ATCAAAAAAGAAGGTAGGTGCAAGAAGAGTAGTAGGTGGATTTGACTGGCAGGTTTTGGCAGTTTGAACCTATAGGAATTCGCTTCTGCTTGATAATAGCCCTTCTTAACACTTGAGATGGAGTGGGTGGTGGAATATGTCTTTGCTTGCTCATAGGCTACCTTTAACCATTTAAGTTTTCTAACAAAACCCACAATTCCATGCAATTGAACAAGAGTCTGCTAGATTCCAATTTTGCCTCTTCTCCTAGGAAGAGTTATTGCAGTGGCATTGACGCATCAGTGCAAAGTTGCAACTTACAGATAAGACAGCTCAGATGAGTTCAACCGGACCTGGTGGACCTCAAGGTCCTCCTGGACCTGGCTTTCACGGTGGTTTCTTCAGTGGCTTGTCCAGTACCATTCCATCTTGGTGAGTGCCAGTTGTATGCTAGTCTTTCCACAATTCTCTTATATAATTCAAAGTAGTCAATTATTTTAATTAATGTAGATGAAGTTATAATCTTTGTTTAGCATGCTAAGCCAAGTGTTACTGTTATGGTTCTGTTCGGCAGCTTCTACTACTTATGCTGTTGCTGGTTGTTGGAAGATTGCTTTGGTGGTCCAGCAGACCCACCTGCTGGCCCACCACCTCCACCTCCACCTGAACCTCCTGTTGTCCCACCAGGACCACCTCCCGTTGGCCCACCATCACCGGGACCACCACCTGCTCCATAATCCCATGTTCGATTATTTTCATAAAGTTGTCTTACGTATATATATATATACATATAGTATTGAATTATGTTAGGATTTTTGAATGATTGTTATCTTGCCTTGAAAGATTTGCTAAAATTAATAATATCTTAATTACTTGTTTGATAAGGTTTCCATCTATCGATTAAGAAATGTTACGTTAATAATAAGTTTGGGTCTTATTGGGCCAGGTAGCCCAAAATCGTTTTTAGGCCTTGTATTATCAGGTTGAGATGGGCCCCAGGCTCATGAATCATAATAATGAGAAGAAAGACAACTAAGGATTCGAATTTGTAAGGGCATCATCCCATTGATCGAATATTGTAAGCATGCATAATAATTATTGCATATACTCCAACCCCAACAAGCCACATGATGACACGAATCATTGATTGAAAATCCTAATCATAGAAGATACATACCCTAAATTTTGAATCACCAAATCATATTTTGGATTACCACTACATCAATTTCAATTATCTATTCTAGGTTAGCTTTGTCTGTTATCATGACCTAAAAGGCTAATCAAGTTTGTTGTTTTCCCTTTTTTTATTACTTTATTTAATCTCTATTTTTTTAAAAAAATTATATGACTCAAAAAAAAAAAAAAAAAAAAAAAAAAAGAAAAAAAAAACAACATTAAAAGACAAAAAAACCACCCCCAAGAAAAATATAGAATATACCAAATGGCTTGAAGCTTTCAAAATTTTGTGGCTGCTGGGCATCCTTTGTTGAATCAATTGAAACCTTAACAAGAAATTAAATAAACCATAATCAGAAGTAGAATCAAAAGATGAGTCAAAAAAAAAAAAAAAAAAAAACATTAAAAGACAAAAAAACCAACCCCAAGAAAAATAGATATACCAAATGCTTGAAGCTTTCAAAATTTGTGGCTGTGGGCATCCTTTGTTGAATCAATTGAACCTTAACAAGAATTAAATAAACCATAATAGAAGTAGAAATCAAAAGATGAGTCACATCACAAATGTACCTTTCCAAAAACACATGTATTTGGTGTTGCCTACACAATCACATTCCTTACTTCAATCAAAATTTTTTTTTTTAAATTAAAATTAAAATAAAATTTTTATTTATACGCTTTAATAAAATTTCGATTCACTGAACCAGACATACCATACATAGTCATGCAAGGCAATTTCAACTACATATTAAATTAGATTAGATGCAAACAAAAAATAAGAAAACATGTAAAAGAGAACCAAAAATCCAAAATTCACAAAACTCTTTTCTTATCCACATATTCAAATATGGTATGAATTATAATTTCTCCAATAGGCATAGACCACAGCACAGAAAGGTCGGTCATCAGGGGCCACAGAACCCCCCATTCAACGTACTAAAACAGTTCGACTGGACTGGACATGACTCAGCAACCTCTTACATCCATTCAAAAACCTCCACGTGTATTTTACTAAAATAATAACATATGCCGTTGGCATGAGCTGGTCCTCCCACTTTCCACGTCAACTATCTATCTACGTTGTCCCTTATCCACACAATCAAACTGTCAAAAACCGCTCAATTATTAGATTTTTGAATCAATTTAATAAATATTTTTTATTTTCTAATCCTTCATTAATCATTAACTTTCTGATTCTTGATCCAACTTGTTTGCCTCTCAAATAAAAAAAAAAAGTAATATAATATTACCAATTAAAATATAGAAAATAAAAATAATTAATTAATTAAGGATATGTTCCCAAAAAAAAAAAATGATAATTAGGAGTCATCTTGAAGTGGTGGAAGAAGAATCTTCCAACTTGCAAGTGGTGGAGTAATTTTTACTTTTTACTGCAATCTTTCACCGAGGAAAGAAAAAGATTAAATTCGGTGGGTTGAAAGAGGAGAAATATATGCGGCAGAAATTTGGCAGTCTAGGAAACTGGCACGTGGCAGATACTTTTAGCAACTTGTCCTTCCCACCTGCCCCGGATGGTTGGCCCCAGAAAAAATGCGCGTCTATATAATTCCAACCTCACCATTTCCTCCAGAACTCGTTCTTTATTCATTGCTGCCATTTCAATTCTATCTGTCCTAAATTTTTTCTCGTTTAAGATTCGATTCGTCTTATCCAAATTTATAATTTCTTTTGAGATTCTTTGCGATGGAGGTTTCGGTGATCGGAAGTTCTCAGGCAAATATTTGCAGAAGCGAAGTAGCGTACAAAGAGCTAAGGTTCTGTATTCCTCGAAGAAACAATAGTGTTTCTTTCTTTGATCTAAGTAAGAGGTCCAGAAAGTCTGGGCTTCGCCTCACTTTAAATGCTATACGAGTGGAAACTTTAAGATCCGACAGCCGATCTGGTCCTCAAGCTTCTTCAAGATCCGAATCGGTAAGGTTTCTATCTTTTCTTTCCTGCATTCGATTTGGGTATTTGACTATTTGTAATTTCTTTTTTGTTTTTTAAGGTTGCTGCAATATAATATTATTTGACTTTTTCTTTGTTTATTTTAATAAAAAAAATGAAAAAGAAATCTAATTTATAAATTTTCCAGTGTAAAGTCTAGTTAATTAATTGAAGCTGGGTGAGAATGGAGATTTGATTGTAATGACCAGGTTCATTGATTAATTACAGAAGGAAGGAGAAAAAGAATCGAACTTTGTGCTCTTGTTTAGGGTTTTACAATGATTATTTGTGCCATTTCTTCTGCTTGGAAAGTGATTTGAGGTTTTTGAATGATAAACAATCCAGTTACAGCTTCTTTACTTTGCATCTTCTATATTTATATTGGAATTTTATTTTTTGGCAATAATTATCTCGGTTTTGGATGTAATGATCATAATGTGAATTTCTCGTATGATTGTCTTTTGCAGCTGGATGGTGTAAGATTATTTGTTGGGCTGCCTTTGGATGCAGTTTCCGACTGCAATACAATTAACCATGCAAGAGCAATTGCAGCAGGACTTAAAGCTTTGAAATTGTTGGGAGTTGAAGGCGTGGAGATGCCTGTGTGGTGGGGAATAGCTGAGAAGGAAGCGATGGGAAAATATGAATGGGAAGGCTACCTTAATCTTGCAGAGATGGTTCAGAATGCAGGTCTCAAGCTCCATGTCTCACTCTACTTCCATGCTAATAAACAACCTAAAATCCCACTCCCTCAGTGGGTATCCCGGATTGGTGAATCGAAGCCTGATATTTTCTACACGGATAGATCGGGGCACCATTTCAAAGATTGCTTGTCATTGGCTGTTGATGATCTTCCTGTTCTTGATGGGAAGACTCCTGTCCAAGTTTACCAGGAATTTTGTGATAGCTTCAAGTCTTCGTTCTCGCATTTCATGGGTTCCACGATCACGGTAAGAATTTTTGATTCTGTAACTACAGATAGCCATCAAATATATTGAGATGTTGTGTTTTATCATTATTGTTGAAGCCTTATAAATGTTGCTGCCTTTTCAGGGTATCACAATGGGACTCGGACCAAATGGTGAGCTACGATATCCTTCTGATTATCGCCTACCCGGCAGTAGCAAAGTCTGTGGAGCAGGGGAATTTCAATGTTACGATAAAAATATGCTTGACCTTCTTAAGCAACACGCTGATGCAACTGGAAATCCTTTATGGGGACTCGGTGGTCCTCATGATGTGCCAAGTTATTACCAGTTACCGAACTTTAACACCTTCTTCAAGGACCATGGAGGTTCATGGGAGTCGCCATATGGTAACTTCTTCCTTTCCTGGTATTCAAGCCAGCTCTTGTGTCATGGAGATCGCCTCCTTTCCCTTGCCGCTGGTGTTTTTGATGATGCTAATGTGAGAGTTTATGGCAAAGTCCCGCTTGTGCACTCTTGGTACAAAACCCGTGCTCACCCTTCTGAGTTAACTTCAGGATTCCATAACACAGTTAGTAGAGATGGCTATGAACCATTTGCAGAGATGTTTGCAAGACATTCGTGCAAAATGATCTTACCAGGAATGGACTTATCAGATGAGCATCAGCCGCAAGAGTTCTTGTCAAGCCCTGAGCTGTTACTTGCACAGATTAGAAAAGCTTGCAAGAAGTATGGGGTCAAGGTTTCTGGGCAGAACTCATTGGTTTCTAAAGCACCCCATCACTTCGAGCAGATAAAGAAAAACGTATCAGGTGAAAATGTGGTAGACTTGTTCACTTATCAGAGAATGGGAGCTGAATTTTTCTCCCCGGAGCATTTTCCCTCCTTCACGGAGTTTGTTAGAAGCCTTAATCAACCAGAAATGCATGCAGATGATCTTCCCGAGGAAGAGGAAGAAGTTGCTGAATCTCTACAGACAAGCTCAGAATCAAGCGTTCAAATGCAAGCAGCTTAGTATGAGTTTTGTGTATATATGAAATATTATTTCCGGTGATTGTATCAAAACAGATTGTATTAGTTAAAGCATACAAGAGAAGTAGTTATGAACTTGTAATTGTGAGATATTTACTTGATTATACTTCCCCTTGTCCACAACTCATAGCCACTATTAAGCTTTGGCTCCTGAGTAGAGATTTTCAGAAAACTGGACATGTATTTGTCCTTGGATAAGTGCATTGAGATAAATTCATTCTTATAACAGATAAACCCAACAAGATTTATCGCAATAAAATCGACCGTCTTTCTTAAAACCTGATTGACACTCGATTAAAATTGTTTTACTGAAAAAACACCTATTTGAATATTGTTAATAAACTAAAGTTTTGAGATATTGTTCAACTGTTTGTAGCTTTTACGATAGTGTCTATGAAAATCACCTTAAAAATAAAATTTAGCAACTTGTAATCAATTATATCGAGAAGTACCTTCTCCCAATAACATCTTGAACAATAATGCCAAACACACCCTTATTGAGCAATCAAATTTGCATCCTAGCATCTCAGAAAAAATAATAAACGCAGTTAAGTTACAGGAGGACTACAGATGGAGATACTTAAAAAAATATTTGTTATATACAAAGTTAAATTTACAAAGAACTGTCACTGACAAAAGTTATAATATTATAAGCTTCGAAGTCCAGATCTTTTCCCACAATTTGATTGATTTCAAAATCATGAACAAGCATCAGTCTCTTTGCCTTTCATTCGCAGAATTATGCACATGTGCAATCCATTCCCACTGACGATCTTATTGCATCGCATCGCAACTTGTACCTTAGAGTTTTGCACCTGGACCAAAGATGGGGGTGTTGGGGTTAGTAAGTATTACACTATCGGAACGGATCCTACAAGCTTCACAGGAAAACAACTCTGGTGTTTGAAAATGTCTACATATACGTCAGTGTATATACATATGCACCACGATAAAAGCTAAACAAGATTTCTATTTGTAATTCTACAAAGACCTACATATTTCCATATAATTCTATTTCTACAAGTTTTGGATGCAAAATGATAGACTTCAAACCTGTTTTATCGTACGTCATCATTCACAAGCAATTTTGGTGTCAAAGCTGCTAAGGCAAATTGCAAATGCCTGGAACGCAGATATTGGGTATCGATAATCCATGGTAAACAAATCCTTTCCCACCTTCCCAAATTGAAGGATGATCTTCTCATGTTCTGGACCAGCTGGTCCATTTTCTGGGGAAGCCACCAGCTGAAAGTTTTTTACAGAAGCAACCGTTACTCTACCATGGAAGTTTAAACACCAACACTGAAGCTGCTCATGCCACCTTGGAGACTTGTTTTTCAGTATCAATGCTCCATCTTTCTGACTGGACAAAGGTCCTGATAGGAAATTCTCTGCACGGTTTGACTTTGAACTGAAGAATGGGAATGATGGAAAGGAATCTAAACTGTGATGAGAAAACTCAGTCTGTGTGGGAGCACTCCCACCAGGTTCAATAGCAGTGGCAGGGATAGCATCCATAATGCACTGCATTCTCCTAGGACCCCTGCATTTTTTGTAGAATGAATGTCATAAGTATTAACTAGTATCTGGGAATCATGCTAGCTATGCTACTGCTAGCAAAAAATTAATTGCCGTTCACATATTTACTGAAGGAGATAGGCCCTGAATAGAGGAAGTATACAGGAAACAGAATGTTTCTTCTCAAACAAAAATCTGTAAATGCATAAAGTAAACCCGTTACCTCGAACCCAGCACATTCAATTCATAAGAGATGAGAGCCAAAGGATAGTTGCCAGCAGGGACCCTAGGAGAAACTTGTTTCAAATTTACTAGCCTATAAGAGCGACTTTTTTCCATCTTGGCCCCAGCATGAGGTGGCTGTCCATCAAAGACCGTGAACTTGGTTCCCAGAAAATTTGATCTTGTCAAAGGGAAAAATATAGTATTAAAGATTCTAACAAACAAAAGAAAAAATAAATAAAAGGTTAATTCTCTGTGGCACTTGTATCATACCTCAGCTTACCAACATAAGTACTGCTCCCTTTCGACATATCATCAGCATCTAGAGAAATGATATAATCTGTGCAGGTTGGGCGTCTGCACTTGCGTGCAGCTAGAAGGAACTTTCCTTCATCAGCTAGTGCTGCATTAGGGAAAATACAAAAGCAAAAGACTCAATTCTCTAAAGCTTGGAAGAGGACAAAGCATAAGATAGCCAGTCCCTCATAAAATCTAGAATTTAAGAAAATGTACTACTTTAAAAAAACTATCTAATTAGAGGAAGATCAATATAGGTGCATAATGAAATGTTTTATTCATAATTGCGATTGAACTGATAACTAATCAGAACTGAATTCTCACCAGGGGTTAAACTTAGGTACAGATAGTATGTTTGAGTAGACCGGCACCGCTTTATAAAGCACTGAAGGAGCAAATCCCTCGGACCAGGCTGCAAACAAAGGCCACAAAATGTGACAATGCATGACAGGAAGATTCGAAAGGAAGAAAACAAGTTGATCAAGAAATCCAAACTCAAAAGCCAGCCATCACAACATTTCTAATATCAGAATCTACAACATCATTTAAAGAACTGGAGGCCCATTAATATTAGCAATAAGCAAGTATCCTATGGGCACACAAATTAGAAACGTTTGTTATTATAAGTGTCCTTTCAATAGCTAATCATTTCAAATGATTGAGTATTGGACTTTGACACTGTGCTATAGTTTTACTCTAGAACAACTTCAAGTCCATAATCATTTCAAATGGTCATCTTTCCAAATGGACTAGGAAATTTAAAAACTATAAAAGGATAATATCCACATCAATTTGCAAAAGGTAACAGTCACAGTGGACCTATGCTACTTAAGCAAAAAGTGGTCCCTAAAAGGAACGTTCTTTTGAAAGACTTCAGCAATTTCCAGTGTAACCTCACTAGAATTGGGAAATTGTCGTACTAAGGAAAAGATGGTCCCAACTCTCAAGCTATTTGCAATTCGCATTTAGATGTCTGAGGGATCAAGTTTTCCATAAACACCACGGCAAATCTCAAGGCAGGTAAATATCGTTAACCACAACTTTTACAACGTACACAGATTAGTTCATCAGCCAGTTAATGCTACCCTTAACAAGTTTCGCACGAATAATCTAAAGATACATGTCCAAAAACTACATTTCTTAAAGAAACCACAAATGATAAATTGATTCCGAAAATATCAGGGTAGATTTACATTAGGATTACCCAAAAGAATAATCACAATTTCTTAGATCCCATAATTAACACCTCCCAACATGTTTCTACCGAATTGCAACCATAACTACAATCTGAAAACGTTTTTTCCTATGGAGATTATATCAACAACAATGCAAGAACTTTTTTTTTATTGACGAAACTCAGGGACAAACTTTACATAGACAATCCATAAAAGTCCCCAAGAACATAGAATCAAAGAAAACTAAAAAAATGATCTCTTTAGACATACGGAATGAGAAATAGCGCAAAAAGCAACCAAAATAATTTGAACTCAACCCATATTCTCGGCGCCAATAACAAACAAAAATCCAAGCTTTTCTAAGTAATCAATCTAATTTATATGTATTGTAATTGGGTACCTGCTTGACGGAGATGGGGAAGGTAAGCAGGCCGGAAAGTTCAGGGACTTTGACTAAATCCTTAGTGATATATCTCCAAGTCCGGCAAACACCAGCACAAGCCACCACGCTTTTTCTGGGCGGCCAGCTACACTCCGATGCTTCTATTCTAATTAGAACCTCTCTTAAGAGCTCCTGCGGCATGTTTGCCCAGCACGAAGTTTCTCCTACATTCGGTTCCTCCGCTGCCGGAGCCAAGCCGTCCTGAACCACCCGGTGGGACCTCGATCGAATTATCATACTCCTAATTGCAGACATTGGTTTTTCCTCTAAACTGAAATATCCAATCTATTAGTTGCGATAATAATTTTAATTTACTCAGAAGAAATTTGAATTCCCATATCTTTAAGAGAGATTTTGGGATTAGAGAGAAAGAGAGACTGTTTTGGTAGAGAGGAAGTGGACAGTGGTAAGAGGTTAATCCTAAAGTCTGTTTGCTTTGGTTTGGTTAAGAATATCACTTATAGTTTTAGTACCTTATCCGCTAATTAATCTAATTACCTTTTCCGAATTAGGAATTTTTTTTAGGGGAAAATAATTAGTTTTTTTTAGATTAATAGTTATCCTTTAAAATGGTGGAAATCATCTAGAATACGTTATAATTTATATATATATAATTATTATATTAATTATTAAATGAGTTATATTATTTTATTATAATTAATGACTCATATTAAATTATTTTTTAAAACAATTCTAGTTTAAGCAAGAATTAAGACAATTAAAATTATAATTCACTAATATTTGTGTTGATAAAAATATATATTAAACGGGATATAATATAAAATTTAAAAAATATCTTTTGGTTTTTGAAAGAAAAAATATCTTGTTTTTAAAATGGAAATAAAACTATAGCTTAAAATAAGCAAAAAGGGCAAAAAAAAAAAAAAAAATAATATAAAATTTTAAAAAAATATCTTTTGGTTTTTGGAAAGAAAAAATATCTTGTTTTTTTTAAAATGGAAATAAAACTATAGCTTAAAATAAGCCAAAAGGGCAAAAAAAACAAAAAAAACAAAGTTTTGAACCCGATTAGGTTTAAAAAAAAAAAAAAAAACAAAGTTTGAACCGATTAGGTTTTGATCTAAATTGTAATTTTTGGATTCGAAATTTTCAAAAAGAAACAGTTTTGAGAAGGTTCAATCCTCCGAAATGAATTTTTAGATCTGTAAATTTATCAACATCAAATTTTTAAAAAGAAAAAGATGAAATTTTTATTGATAATTATATTATGTATTATAAAAAAATTGCGAAAAACTCTTTACTTTTTTTATATTTTTTTATACCAGGTATTTGGAATTTCTTACACTGACCTCTTTCCCCAATGTATTAGATTTTATAATATTTTGTCTCTAAATATTTTTTAATTCATTTTTTTATTAGTTTTAAGCAGCAGCTTTTTTTTATTCAAAAAAAAAGCAGCAGTTTTGTCATTTTTGCATATTATTTTTTATATGATTTTTTTTTAAAAAAAAAATTTAGATGAATCAATTTTCCATTTTAAAGGGGCATACGGGATGGACAGATGGCTATAAAATGAAAAGGGACCCTGTTTGGTAGGACTTATTACTGTGTACAGCCACCTGTTAATCATTCATTAAACATAATTTTGGTTTAAGTTTAACCAAACAGGAATTATGCCTAATTTTTCGTCATGAAGCAAAAGAGTTGGTAATTAGGAGGTCCACGTCACCAACACCAATAATGTTAAATTATTAACAAAATAATAACTAGTAATAATATCCCAAAAAGTAGGCCCCACATCCGCACGTGTGAGGAAAAGCGGATGACGTTTTTTTTTCCCTTTTTTTTCTTTTGGTTATTATTTTTTTAATTTTTTTGTATTATTAATAATAATATTGTATTATATTTATCAGAGTCTCAGTCCGTGGGCGGTTGCCCCAACTATAAACCCGAGGGCCAGGCTGTGAATTTCGAGTTGTTGTTTATCTTCTTCAATTCAATTCATTTATTTCTAACCAATTAATTGAAATATAATATTTCTGTTTTTTTTTTTCTAATTTAGAATTATTTTCTGGATTTTTTTTTAAATTTTGATATTATTATACAACTTTTAACTAAATCGATAATAACATAAAATTAAATTTAAAATGAATAGAAAAGAGACTAATGTTTATTAAATTGAACCGATTATGTTTAAAATTCTCTTCAAAATATCAATTTCACTGCTCGATATTCTGATCAGTAATATAGGATTTAGTGCGTTTAATCACTAGGCTAAAGGAAGAAAGTTTTCCCTCGTAATAATACATCTCACCTACAAATACAAATTAATTAATTGTAATAAAAGAATGTTAGGTAACCAACAGTGACCCCTATTACATGCAATGGTAGAAGCTAAAAGAATAGAAAAAAATATTGAAAAGAAAAGGCAAATTAGAACTTTCTAAAAAAAATAAAAAATATTGAAAAAAAAAGAAATTTAAACACGTAACGTTAACAATAATAATAATAATATATATAAAAAATCCAATAAAAGGGGACGGAGGGGGAGAAGAAATAGAGAAATAGCTAAATAGAGGGAAGCATGTCCTATTGAACATTTTTTGTCTCGTCTTATCAAAGGCCTAGCAAGATACAAAGATAGGGCTCCATGTTAAAATAATGTCGACTATGTTATGATGATAGATGCAGCTATTTTGCATATTCTTCTTTTCATTTTTCAAAATATAAATTATTTCAGTTACAAATATGAATATTATATGCAATCACGTCATTTTTTATTTAATTCCTAAAATTATATAAAAAAAAAAACAAAATTAATTAACTCATTTAGGAAACATTTCAAAGCAAATACTCAATAGAAATGTTGAACTTTCCTTTTATTAAACGATTTGGAAACTTGAATTCTATATTTATAAAAATTCATAAGCTGTGCTCAATAAAAATATATATTTATATAATGTAAAATGAATAGTTCGACTTAATTATTATTAATTTTCATAAAATTCTTTTGTGATAAGATATTCAATTATTGTCGCATTTAATCTTATCTTTGGCAAAAAAAAAAGAATTAATCAATTAAATAAGTCATTCTAACATATATATATAAGATTAAAGTGCTTTATTTCTTTTTAAAGGGGAAAAAAAAAATAATAATCATGTATGCATAATTTAATAAATAAATAACTGTATCTTAAATTCATTCATTTACATCCAGTAAATGATGTGTGGTCCAGATCGCTAAGGCTGATGCCTTCAAAATTTAAAATTACAATTGTGAAAGTGTTTTTTTTTTTTTGAAAGGAAAAAAAATATGCGCACTCCCAAAAAATGGGTTCTCCCTTATCTCTAACGTGGGTCTCATGTTACACAGAAGAACTCTCTCTTTCCCTTATTAAAATGTTTTTACGTATATGAAAGCGATTGTTCATGTAGGCATCAGGACAGCCCACCAAAGCCACCCACAAATGAATTAAAAATTTAAAACAGGAAACCAAAGTCCCAGCTGGGAAGACCCATTTGGTCTATTTTGCCATCCACGCTAGAACATGACTCTGTTGCCCTATCTTATTTACTTATTTTGACTAGTATTGTATTCCTCCAACCCTCTAAAAATTAAAATTCCATTTTTGTAAAAAGATAAAAAGCCTCATTAATCACATGACCAAATATAGGAATCCACAAGCCACAACCCACCTCCTCCCAACAGGCATCTTCCATTTGTTCCCAAATAACATTCAGTTGGTCTAAATACCATCAACACTTTTGAGTCTTGAACTTATCTTTTTCCAACACAGATATTATTAATATCAGGAAGGAAGATATTTTTCTTTCTAAATTCTTTCTTTTCTTTTTTAATTCCATGAAAACAACAGTTTCCTCCAACAGGAAAAATTTTGTAACAGTAACTTTCATGGAATGTGAGATAGCCGGCTGGTTCTTAGAAACCTACAAAAGAGTAGCGTTAAAAACAAAGTTAAGACAAAAAAACAAAATTTATAACTTCTCTCTTTCAAAGAGAATGTTAAAATTTAAAAATAAATTTATATCCTCTGTCGATTTGTGCGCGTAGAGCTTGGCCTGTCATAATCATGACAGAAAAACAATGCCTCCATGACAATATTTAAGTCCATGGAAGTGAGCCACAAGATTCATAAAAAAATAGAGGGATATTTTAATATCCAAACTGACAGACGAGCACTTTCGAAATCATGCAAGTTTTGAAGAAACAAACCCGTGCTGGCAAATAGTATAAACACGAGAGGTTGTCCAAATCTGTTGTTCTCACTTACTTAACCCACTGAAGGAATCCTGCTCACGAAAAAACTCATGCTTCCATATTTTGATTACTCTTTGAATTGGAGCAATAAGTTCCCACCATTACCAAACTTTAACTAGACACAACTATAAGGACATGTTTACACTTTTCAACTTGCTTCTCTTCTGGAGTGGCTTTTCACACCGATTGCACATTGCAGGTATAAAAGATCGAATTAAATTAACAACAATTGACAATAATAAAAGAAAATGTCAATTTCAGGGAGAAAAAGAATTCTTCCTCCTTTCATGTTTCGTTTTTCCATTTTCATCTGAGAACCAAGCAAGCCAGCCTTTGCCAGTCATGTTAATAATTCTCAAGCAAAAGCATAACTTCAGATTAGCATTACTCAAGGCAAGAATTGAAAGGCAAATAATTCCAGCAGCTCCTTCAGCACCAGCCAACCATGAAATTATTTGCCATGAAACTGAAACTCAGTTACAGGAAGCTTCATACATGAGATCTCATACACATCATCGCATTCAAACCCATTGGAATCAGATCATAAAATTAACATTACTGCATTGTCATGGTGCAACATCTATGGCTCTTAAGAGATTTTTTTTTTTTTTTTTTTTTTTTTCTATGGGTCTTTTTTTTTTTTTTTTTTTTTTTTTAATTTCTTCAAGTATAAACAGAGTCATAATTTGAGCAAGATACAGAAGGTTAGAATGAACAATTATGGTAATTTGCCTTTTTCTTTTTGTTTCAAAAATAGATCCTAACCTCATGTACTGTATTAAATACACTTTCGCCTAGCCAAAAATCCATTAGGAGGCCTCCTATAAAACAGGAACGCTTCCACTTGGTTGTTGCATGTTTCCTAGCGATTGTCCTACAAAACCAAAGCCATCAGCTTCTTGAATTTTCCATTTCCTTCCTCATATGGCTTCCATATCAACAATAAATAGGAAAAGAAAATGAGAAATGGAGTATAAGCATGCCTTTGGTGGGCTGTACATTACATTTTGTCAGCACCCAGACAAACAGAATGTTTTCAGTTCAGGCACTGAAGAAAGAAAATAGCAGTTTCAGAAACTGCCAGTAACAATCGAGCACTCATTTAAGTGTAACCAACACTTCACTAGCTGTTATGCTCGGTTCCAACTAGTTTCTAACCAAGTTGCCCATACCTTTCCATTTTACTAGCGTAGCTTAAGCTCAGTTAGAAAATGATTCAAGAAAAACAAATAGAATTTTGTTGTAAGGGAAACATATATATAGAAAACATATATATATATATAATATATATATAGTATATTATATATATATACTTTATTTTTTCGATCAATACACATCACATAATTGTAAACTACTGAATTCCCTGCAAAAGAATAAGGCCTGTGAAAGATATTTGTTCCTGAGCAGTCCAAATAATATATTATTTCGATTCAATACAACATCACATAATTGTAAACTACCTGAATTCCCTGCAAAAGAATAAGGCTGTGAAAGATATTTGTTCCTGAGCAGTCCAATAGGAGCAGTCTGAGGCCTTGGAATGTTATCAACAGGAAACTGATGTGAGAAGTTAGCGGATGTATCCAGGCATACTTCTGAACTTTGAGCAAGAATTTGATCGGGTTTACATATGGAAGTTTCCCTCTGTTTCCAAGGAATAATAATACAAGTCAATAGCTCATTAAACAATGTATGATACCCACCCAGCAAAAATCTTCAGTTTTTAAACACATAAGAGGAAAATAACTGATTCGTTTAAAACATGATGAAGTGAACAAAGCCATTCTACCATGGAAAACTCAGAATAAGATGAAGTTGTATAAATGTACAAAACTCAAGGGACATGATCTTTGAAAAATAGAGAGTGCACATTCTCATCCATGTGGAAATAGAATTAACTTCTTACAACCACATAGTAAGCTTAATATCATTAGTTCGACTTTATATGACCAGCAATATGAGTCGCTCTTAGATATAGTTCTAGAGCTACAACATTGAGTAGAACTCATCAACTTTAACTATTCAAAAGAATAAAAAAGGATTATATGTAGTGACAAGTGAACTTCCAAATGGGATTCTTATTTCTATCATGATGGTATCAAGATAAGCACACTACAATTCCAAGTAAAAAGCAACAAGGAGAGGGAGGAATCAAAATTTAGAATCAATAGGCACAAACCTTCTTGTACAAGTCATCAACTTGCTTACGTGAACAACCTCTATCAGATGAAGCCGGTAATTGAATTATGGTTTCCTCTGATACTTCTGGACTCATGACATTACTGAATCGTCCCTTAGCTGATGCTTCATGGTACATATGAGCAATTGCCAACCGAAGGCGATTATTCCTCTGAGAGTAATAAATTTTTGTAGCAAGGGGAACTGGAATATCTGATTTAATTGCATCAGTTATTATTGAATATTGAGATACAAGAAAGCTCTCAGAGTAAAGAATCAGAACATGGAGGTTTAAGGCAATACCATATTAAAAAAATAAAAAAACTTGACAATCATCCCAACTGAGTGCAATAAGAGAATACCTTTTGAAAGCAGGCAATGCTCATGAGCTCGCGCAGGGAACTTAGAGACAATACAATCATTTGGCATGTCACTCCCCGAAGTTGACTGCAAGTGAAAATCCCTACCTGAACATATAAAAGAAAAGTATGTCTTGGTGAGTCTCATCTGTTGTTCAGCTGCAATAACAGAGTCCAGGGTATTCCAGTGCGTCTTAAATGGGTTATGACTATAGAATTTTTAAATTGAAAACTGACTTAGTTAGCATAAGAACCAAATCAATCATTGGCTACTTTAGTATATATGCCCGTGCATACATTTTTGTAAAATTACTCGTACAATGCTTAGAGAAATAAGAGGAATTCATGTAAATTTGAGAACAATAAATCTAGCCTTACAGGTAAAAGTATCCTGAGAGCTTGTAATTTTTGTTAGGCCAGAAACTGCTTCTGGATGATTTGATAATGATAGGTGCTGACTTGATATGCTACAAGAACAAAAAGGAATATGCACGATGAGCATCTTAAGTAGAGTTTAATCAATAACTATGACTAAATGCATTCTGCAAAAGTCTGTTCCTAATTCTACAAAGAATTTGATTATATAAACCCAAAAACTATCACAAACAACCTAAAAAAAAAAAAAGCAATTGTTCCTGACTCTTCACAACTAATCGTCATGCTGAAACATACAGAAGAAATAATAGCCTAACTCACATGGCTAAATGCTTTATCAATTATACTTATTCACAAAATATTAGATGTCTGACATGGAAAATCGGAAGATCATTTTTATAGCCACCCAATCCCAGTTAACTTCTGGGAATAAAGTGGACAGATTCTCATATAGGAACCCATGAAAAACAGAAATCTTTTAAGCACAACAGTACAGCAGTTACTAGAATGTGCATATATGAAAAGTTAACAAAGAGAAAGAATAGGTGTGATGAAAAGGATGAGGGATGTCAATGTACAATATAGAAACAAACATATACGAATTTCAAAAGCAAAATTGTCTAAGATACCTGAAAATATGTAGATTCGTATAATTTAAAGCAGTCACATTGCATTAAGAACAAAGAAAGCATACAGTTTAGAACGTTTTGTTGGAGGTGGCATTACACAGGCCGAGTGATCTGTATTTTCAGGACTCACTCCTTTACCATCCATAATAGATGCCACATCTACACATGTGAGATTTCCTAATGGACACAAGGAAAGCAAAGTATTAAGCAATATTCAATTCCAGCACATAGAGAATTATCTATCACTGCCCAAGTACCCTAGTACATAAATTTCATTGAATTATCTATCACTGCCCAAGTATGTGGGTTAAAAACAGAGGACCATCTAACTTTCTGTCAGAAAAGCAACTACTCGAAAACCATAATAATTCCTCATAAAAACAACCAGTGAGTACATTTTCCACTAGACACTTGCTCAAAAGAGAAGCCACATGACTTGGAAGTGAAACTACATGCATTTTCCTTAAAATGGTATTGGAAGAATTTCGCACTGGAAATTCATCATTGAAACCGTTTGGAATCCATGATCAAAATGATAGGTCAGACTTGTAACCAAGCAAACGATTATAGTAGATATAAATGTTCAGTGCCAAGCAAATGGCAATCACATCACAGAGTAACCACTGAAGACATGCATTTGATGAAATCTTGTGTTTGAGATGAAAATAGTGCAATCAAAATGTAGTAGTGATTCAATAAATTGGAAAAACCACTCAGACAAGGTAGGCACAATGTCCTTTCAGTGAAAGACAAAAAAAGAAGAGAGGACTTTGAATAAGAGTAGAATTCCAATAAGTGTGACTCAGATATTAACGTTCATACAAGCAAGCGCACTTGACTGAATATCAAGGTAGAGAGAATCATGAAATATTTAAGGTTGAGCTGGAGTCAGAAGATGGACAACAGAGTTAACCCTAGGAAAAGAGACAACATAATAATGTCAACTGAGAGAGTGATCAAAGTCAAAAGAAATCTAGCCAACTAAACTAGAGATTAGAGATGATACCAACATCAGTAACTGGAAAAACAAAACTTCATGCATGTAGTCACTGATCTCTTATATGCCAAACTCCAATGACATAAAACTAAGAGCAGAAGTGACTTACTCTTTGTATGCATGGAGAAGCAAGACAGATTTCCAGGTTGCACTTTCAAATGAGATTCAGATGCAGCCACATCATCTGCATTTGTAGATACAGGTCTTTCTTGCTCTGTGACTGGTGTAGCTTGATCCAAGATATGTTAAGAACCAGAAAGAAAATGCTATTGTTATCAAATATAATATCCCGTACAAAACAAATATAGCAAGAAAACCTTTAAAATGATATGCAAAACTGAAAACATCAAAAAGTGGTTCTACATTGAGAGAATCAGAAAACTATTTTTTTAGGGTCTTTGCAATAATCCTTTGTTGGTATCAAAATAGCACCATAATTTTAACAATGATATATGTTAATGAACATAAAGTAGGAATGTTATCCTGCTTTTGGAATCTAATGTTAACTGTAGAAAATAAAAGGATACTAATATAAGAAGTTAATGATTTTTTCCTCTCCTTCCTTGGAGGTTTCCTATGCCCTGTACTACCACCATCACGCTTCAAGATTGTTTCTTCTGCAGAATTTAAGGACCTACAAAGTTCTGAAAATAAGGGGGAAAAGGAGAAAAGAAAATAACCAAACTCAGAGCAGCACAAGCACCACTGAACTAGAAGAGCTAGTATAAGGCAAGCAAGTCACATTTAGGTCAGTTTGTAAATCTAGTTATTCACAGAAAATGTACAAGCACGCCTATAAGCAATCTCAAGATTGGCTAAACCACTGCCCAACCCATGCCCCCCAAGCATATCAAGTTTGGACCAAAAATTAAAATTGTTGCTGAAAAATATTTATGTGGAAGAGACAGAAAGACTTACATGGCATCTAACCAATTGGGATTATTTGATATATTCATTATCAAATTAAAGTTAGAAGTACCAATGTTCGCAACGAGTGTTTATGTTATTCTTCTTTACTTCCATATGCAGTGATAGAATAATCCAATCAAAAATTTGATAAGATATTGGTACAGACAACAACCAATAAGCAAGATCAGAACAACCTGTACAAATTTTCCAATAAGTTTTTAATGCTGTCATTTCATCGAGGCTTTTGGACTTACTGTGAAAATTAATTTAGATGCCACATCATCTCTACTTGCCATTACAGCAAGAAGAGTTTGAAAGAAACAAATGGGGATGGAAAAACAAAAAAACTCAAAACCTGTATGAGCCGCATACTGGCTGGTCTTCACTGGTTTCTTGCAAGCATTGCAACATACCTTCACAATGATGTTACACAATCAGATAAGATGTTTGTGCACATAGATGCGCACATGTGAAAACAGAAACATAAAGAACAAATGTTTATTAAGAACAAAAACTACATAAAATAAAGAGATATGGACCGGTAGGCAATATCCTAAGTAAACAAATTAAGTTTAAAAGCAGTTACAGTGATTCCCCATGATTCACCCTTCACATATTGCAGCAAGAAAAACACACAAAATTCTTTCAAAACCTCTCAGCCTTCATCAAATCAACATCCCAACTACACTCCCTAAATTTGTTAAACTGGTTCTTTTCAGTATTTTATACTCCATTTTTAAAGAACAGTAAATTATACTTATTTGGGAGAAAAGCTAAGCATTCTGATCAGAAACAAAGTTCAATTCAGAAACCATAGCATCAAAAGCACACAAGAAAAATGCACTTAATGACATTTCATTCACAAAGGGATGGTCTTGAGCAGAATGCATCGCAGAGACAGCCACATGATAAGTTTACAAGTTTCTACAGGCTTTATTCTTCGAGCAATAACACATCACGGTCTTAAGGGAAAATTGGTATTCCTCTTAGTTTTTGAACTATCACCACCACAGTTCCAAAATGAGTAAGCATGAACCAAAAAGGAAAAAAAAAAAAAAAAAAAACTTGAGCAGAATGCATCGCAGAGACAGCCAGCAATGATAATTTTACAAGTTTTTCTACAGGCTTTATTCTTCGAGAATAACACATCAGGTCCTTAAGGGAAAAATTGGTATTCCTCTTAGTTTTTGAACTATGCACCACCACAGTTCCAAAATGAGTAAGCATGAACCAAAAATGGAAAAAAAAAAAAAAAAAAGGAATATGAAAGCAGGCAGAGGATCCAAAGGTACTTGGATGAATATATTACAGAAATTGATACAAAAACAAACTTCCATACTATAATAAACAACATGAATAGAAGGAAAAAAAAAAAAAAAAAAGGATATGAAGCAGCAGAAGGATCCACAAGGATACTTGTGATGAAAATATTACAGAATATTGATACAAAAAACAAACTTCCATACTATAACAACATGAATAATTGAGATACTATTATAAGATAAAGAAGTTCACAGTGGTTCTGAACCTTACCAGGTCCAGAGGATCAGCCATAGGTCTCAAACCAAATACATGCATATCTGCAAAAGGAGAGGATCAGGCTGTTAGAAAAAATTGAATACCGGTGCAAAATTTGAAAACTGACCAGAAATCATAAATGCGACAAATTAATATGCAACAAAATGAACACTGAGAATCCCAAATTTTGAACGTTTTTTTTAGGCCAAAACATTAGAGCATGAAAATGTTCCATGTCTTCTACTTATATTTGCATACTGTTTCTGTAAGGCCATATAGGCTCGCACTTATCAATATGAAACAAGATTCAGGCCCAGGAGCTACCTTCTTCATTGAGCAAATTTGCTTCATCTGCCTCATGTAATTCTCTGAAAATGCATTGAGCAGATAATTTCTGTTGGCCAATTTCATCTGCCAAATTGTAGGAGTAATATGATTACAAAATTGAAAACAACTAAAATAAAGTTTAATTTAATTCATCTTCAAAAAATAACAACAATAATGACAACAACAATGATAATAATAAGGTCTGCAGTTAAACCATCAGTAATGTAAAAGGATCTTGCAAGTCTTGAATAAGATTGTTTCATTTTACCTCCAATGGTTTGCGATAAACTTCCAGCAGCTAGAAGCCTTGCCATGACCGCCATTCTCCCACTTCCCACTGAGCACACCATTAATTAACAAATACCTTTTATCTGTACACTGCAAGCACCAATTTACATCAGCTAAGGAGACCTGATACTGACTTATCTTAACCTTCATTGCCACAGAACTGCTCAAACTTAATCCTACTAGCATAGTGACTAATTAATGATATAATAAAACTTAGGAGGAAGAAAATGGTTTTAACCAGCTTAATGCAAGAGATAATTTCAAAGAAATATTTAGAGCGGAAAAATCAAGTACAATCCACAATTACGAATAAGCTCCCGTCCCATGCAATTCAAATCCATAATATACTAAACAAGCCACAAAAAAATCGACATCATAAACCCACACCGCTTTATGTAGAACAAAGTACTGAGATCGCATTCAGATGGATTAATTAAGAAAGTAGCCGATGGAACGAATCAGACATTTCAAACCATCAAATTGAGTACAAAACGAATCCAAAAGAAAAGAGAGTTCACCTTGAATCTATACAAAGAAAAAATCTACTAAAGTTACCCAAGAGGTAATCCTCTGAAACAAAGACAAATCAGCGAACTCCAACAGCATTAATAAGATTGTCGATCTCGGTGCAATGCGCGTATAAAGAAGAGGTTGACGAGAGGACAGGTAATGTGGCAATGGAGAGAATAGAAACCCTAGCGGTAGAGAGAATTTACCATTGACAGAGTTTTCAGGGGTTTTTCTTCTTGTTGTTGTTGTTGTTATTCTTCTTCTCTCCCCTCTGCGCGAGGAGAGAAGAAGAGGTGGCAGGCAAATTGAAGAAGCTAAAAATGGTAGGATGGGTTTTCGCCGCGAATACGTTGTTGTGTGTGCGTGTGTTTGCTTGCGAAACCGCTTTTATTGTTTTTATCTGCTGCGTAGCGGAAATCAAGTAATAAACATCCTTTCCATAAGTATTTTAAAAAATAAAAAATAAAAACAATAATTCTAAAAAATAATCCTCGTCCAGGGAATTTTTAAAAGTTTAAATATTTAATTAATAGTATTTTTTATTGAAACAATAAAATATAAAAAAAAATTAAAATTCAAGCACTAAAGTCAAATAATTTAAAAAAAAAAAAAACTAAAAAATAAGGTATCAGTGTCAAAATACATCTAAAATCGGCCCAGTCCAGGAGGGTCGCCATTTGAACAAATGTGTTTTTGTGCAAAAGGGCAGCCCATATCAGTTCGCATACTGGTGAGACATGGGCCAGTGGCTTGTAAAATCGTCATTTGAACAAGGACTGGATCTGGAATCTTCAAGTTAAGACAATCAGCAGACTACCTAAACATTCTTATCTAATGGATTCTCTCTGTTCATGAAAACTAGATGCGGATTTTACTAAAATCAAACCGTATAGGAGTAAGTTTAGATACTGGATTGAATTTGTAAGTTCGATTCGATTTGGTTCATATATGTTTGATCAAACAGTTTGATTTTATTCAAATAAAATTATTTTACTATAATCGATCCAAATATAGCATTGCAGCTGAAGTCAAAATAAAAAATTAAATAGATGAATCGAAAATTAAATTAATTCAATATATATCAACTATCACTTAGCATCTTTGTTTAAATTTTTATTTTTCAGAATAAGAAATTTAATCAAGCAATAAGCTATTGATTAATACACAGTGTCAAACTTAAATAAACATATAGTGGCAGCCAAGTCATTATGGCAGAACCCACCCACAAATGGCAAAGTACTAGGATTGTCCCCTTCAGATGATAAATATTTCTACCTATAAGGTCAAAAGCATAAGGTATAGTGTAAATTAATTCTTTACATTTGGGCCCTTTTGTGTTTGATAATTACACAACCAAACGTGAAATCTTCATTACCGAACGTCATAATCAACGTTGTCACACGTGTTAAATTAATATGACAATGTCGACAAGATCATATGCCGAGCATCCACGCGAGGGAGTGGACTTAGCAAACAAAATTAATATGCAAAAGAAGTTGATACTTTTTCCACAACAAGAGTCTAGGAAAGATGATGATGATCATCACCATCGACCTCGTAAACAAAAGGAGTATGATGTGGGCCATATGGGTTTCATCACATGATCCTCCATAGATGAACAGAAATTAATGGGCTTGTCGGGATTAAGGTAAACCTGCAATAATGTACATGCCACTGAGAGTGCTCGTAGTCGTTTTTCATATCTGGAAAAGCTAACCAGCATCCGTACGGGGGTTCTTTCTTTCGTTAAAAAATTGGTCGTCCGTGGGTGGTGAATTCTGAGACTGAGACCCCCATGTAGACTATGATGTAGACCGTACAGCTCTGCCATAGTCGACCTTCCAGAGTGGGAAACCATTTCAGTGCTGGTGCTTGGAATGTAGGGCTAAAGTGGGTTCAATGTCTGCGGTTTTTGCACCCTTTTGCGGAACATCTTTGCAGTAGAAACTATTTTAACATAGAGAGTCAGTGTTAGTTAGAATCCTTGACCAGTGGAAGACTTTGCAAGATAAAAGAGGTTGAGTCCATGGAAAAAGCAGTTATGTGAATGAAATGTTGTGAGATACTCATTGGAAAAATAAATCAAGAAATACCAAATACAATGATATAAGAATGAAAGTGGATTAATTCTTTTAAAAAAAAAAAAAGTGGATTAATTAATTGCTTAATGCTATTTTTTTAGCATTGATGGGTCAAATCTAAGAAAATAATACTTACTTATATATTTAATTTTTACCATAGTATTTATATGAAAAAAATAAATTTGATAACATTAAATATATTATAATTTATAAAAAAAAATTAAAAATAATGCTCTAATTAATTTAAAAGAATAATTTAACTTTGAAAATATAAAAAAGAAGGTATATGTATGCGTAGATTCTGATTCTAATTTCTACATTAATTAAAGAGCATCTGAAAATAAAATAGAAACTCTTTCAAAAAAAAAAAAAAATAAAATAGAAAAGAATCCATTAGTTTATTTTTCTTTTAGTGTAATAGATTCTGTAGACGACATCATCATTCTCATACCACCTCTCTGTTTTTTCTTTTCCTGTGCTTTCTCCCTCCATTAATTTCCAATTCACAGCTAACCAAGCAATTACACTCTACTGTCAATATCACAAAAGCAACTTAATCGCAACCGTCCACTCACTCTACTTTCTCATATCAACAGTCCTTGCGCTGTGACAAATTTGAACTTTTTTGTCCCCGTTCTAAAGCTGTATATATTAATTTCTTTCGCGGCTTCTGCTCTTCTATGTCTTCGCTCCTCTTTATTTCAACCTCTCCAACCCTCACTTTCTGAGTTTGCTGGATTTTCTTGAACCAGAGAATTTCTACGAAGCTTTTGGCTCTTTATTGAAACTTTGATATGCTGAGAGCTTGAAAATCGAACAGTTCATTTTACTTTCTTCTCATTGGAATTGTTGCAGCTACAATGGCGATCAGTTTAGAGTCCATTTTGTCAAAATCGGAGGCAATAGTAGGATCGGATCACTCTTCCGTGGTGTCGATAAACCTATTCGTGGCACTTCTCTGCGCCTGTATTGTAATTGGCCATTTACTAGAGGAGAATCGGTGGATGAACGAGTCCATCACAGCTCTTGCTATAGTTAGTATTGTCAAAGCTCATTTTTGTATTTTGTTTATTGTTATAGCGTATTCCAGCATTTGGAGGTATAAAATGCATAATCTGTAATAGGTTTATGGTGAGTTGATGCAGGGTCTGTGCACTGGAGTGGTTATTTTGCTTACAACTGGAGGGAAGAGCTCACGTCTCTTAGTCTTCAGTGAAGATTTATTCTTCATTTATCTTCTTCCACCTATTATTTTTAATGCTGGGTAAGTTTGGTGGTTTTTTTATTTTTATTTTTAGTACTATTTATTACTAATTGGTTTTACATATTTACTTTGTTTGCTATTGGGATTGTTATTTATTTAATTATTTATAACACTTTGATCATTGATCCTATTGATGTCCAGTGGTCGCCACCAATTTCCATAGAAATGCTATTGAATTTGCATTCTGGTTGTTGCTTATTCATCCTTGTTATTGGATTTTGTATTAACTAAGTTGAGAGGTAGTTATGGTGGAGTTAGAGTACAAAAGCAGTTTAATGATGTTGCCGTAAAGGCTGAACCAATACAAGTCCTTATCTGGATAGTGATTAGCATTTTCTTCATCATGATTAACAGTAGTATAATGGGGGAGTTGCCGCATCATCCACCAACACTAATTCCTTGTGCTCTGCTCTTAAATAGACATGTATTTAAATAACTCAATTTCCTTGGCAACTTTCGTGCTTATTCACCATTAATTATAGTTCTTTCTTCCAGGTTCCAGGTTAAGAAGAAGCAATTTTTCCGCAACTTCATGACTATTGTTCTCTTTGGTGCAGTTGGTACTCTCATATCCACTGGTGTCATATCAATAGGTATATCATTAACAATCCATTATATGAGTAAACAGACTTTTTACAGAAATTTGTGAAGCTTTCAAAAGCCTAATTGATTGCAATAGTTCATCTTACCAGTTTGAAGAACTGGCCTTAGCTATGATTTTCTCGTGATCAATTCTTTTGATTTTACTTAGGTGCTATGCACTTCTTCAAGAAAATGAATGTTGGTTCCCTTGACATAGGAGACTATCTCGGTATGCAAAATGTCATATCATTTGCATATTATCCTAGTTTTCCCTCATTGTAAGCTTTCTTATTTCCATTTAATCCAGCAATTGGAGCAATATTCTCTGCCACAGATTCTGTTTGTACATTGCAGGTATAAATGGCTAATGAAGCAACAACTTTTTACAACTTTCAAGGAAACAACAAACAGAGCTTAAGTTGTTTAATTTTTATTGCTACAGGTGCTTAATCAGGATGAGACACCTTTGCTATACAGTGTGGTTTTCGGTGAAGGTGTTGTAAATGATGCCACATCAGTGGTGCTTTTCAATGCCATCCAGAGCCTTGATTTCTCCCACATCAATTCCAGTGTTGCTATGCGATTTGCTGGGAGTTTTCTATATCTATTCATTTCAAGCACTGTTTTAGGAGTTCTAGTAAGAGTCTTTCTCTATCTGAGTGTTTGCATGTGCTTCCTTTTATGTACTCTTTCATGATATTATACTGTTTATCTCCTGCAGGCTGGATTATTTAGTGCTTACATCATTAAGAAGCTTTATTTTGGCAGGTTTGTGAACATTTTCATGCGGATTAACATGATTTTAATGGCAAATAGAACACAAGAAAAATATAAAAATAGTAGAAGTTAAATTGCAAGTGGTTAAAAAGGAAACGTTCTGCAATTTTGCTTGTATTATTTAGTGCATATATTATGAAAAGGAAATGTTTTAAGAAGCTCTACTTTGGCGGGTTTGTAATTTTGTATACATTTCCTTGCTATTTTGTGTACATTTTCATGCTGATTAACATGATTTTAATGGCAGATAGAACACATGAAAAATATAAAAAGCATTTTATATTGGAGTTTTTCTTGCAGTTAGCACCTTCTAAGTCTCATACTCCCTAATCTAATGGTAGTTTCACATGAAAATAAATAATGCCAACGTTAAATGACAAGCATTTTGTGTACCAAGTTCACTGACTAGGTACTTCCCTTACATTTTCTGCTTTCTTGCAAAATCAGGCACTCTACTGACCGAGAGGTTGCTCTTATGATACTCATGGCTTACCTTTCATATATGTTGGCTGAAGTAAGTTTCTAACGAACAGTAGGCTTCTCTCTGGGGGATCTTGTTTTCTACATCATTCTATTGGTAGATTGAAGTTTGGGGCAAAAGGCATTCCTAACCTTATAGAATATTTGTTTTTTTCTTGCAGCTATTCTATTTAAGCGCCATTCTTACTGTATTCTTTTGTGGGATTGTTATGTCTCATTATACATGGCATAATGTGACTGAGAGTTCTCGGGTGACAACCAAGTATGTTAGGCTACATCTGCAGAAACGTCATTTCTTTAAAATGGTGGCCTGGTCATCGCATTACTAATATTTGGCTTGTTACCAACCATTTCAGACATGCTTTTGCCACTTTATCATTTGTTGCTGAGATCTTTATCTTCCTTTATGTTGGCATGGATGCCTTGGACATCGAAAAATGGAAGTATGTAAGCCATAGGTAAGGCTAATGCATAGTAATGAGATAAGATATCAAACAATAATATTCCAAGAATGCATAATGCAAGTCAAATTGTAGCCACGTATGCATTTGCTGAATATGGGGATTAATTTGTATTTTTCTCCTCAGCCCTGGCACATCAGTTGGGGTGAGTGCAATACTCCTGGGATTGGTTCTGATTGGAAGAGCAGCCTTTGTTTTCCCCTTATCCTTTTTATCCAACTTGACTAAGAAGTCTCCTTATGATAAAATTGACATAAAGCAACAGGTATTGCTTTTAAGCATTCTAACTTCTAACATTTAATGTTCACGAATCACTCAATGTATTAAATGTCTCTGGATTTTTATATGGCAGGTAACAATATGGTGGGCTGGCCTCATGCGTGGTGCTGTTTCAATGGCTCTTGCCTATAATCAGGTAATGAAGATTGAATGTGCATAATTTTTTTTCTTTTAGCTACAAGCCTGTGATACTAGTTCTTTTTGGTCACTCTACATTGGTGTAATCCTATAGTATACACTAACACGCTTCACAGAATGATAAAACTTCATTTTTATTAATGCAGTTTACCAGTTCAGGCTATACACAATTACGTGGGAGTGCAATCATGATCACCAGCACCATCACAGTTGTCCTTTTCAGTACAGTGGTAAGACATTTCTCATCGTATGGATGAGCAATTTGGTACTCTATCAAATTGCTCTTTGGGGATAAAATACGCCTTCTTGATTTTTTTTACCTGTTTTATCATAACTACTATAAAGGAAAAAAAGATTGGTTCTTTTCGTCTTGTTACACATCTAAAAGACTGCTTGTGCAGGTTTTTGGGTTGATTACAAAACCACTAGTGAGAGTCTTGCTTCCTTCTCCAAAACTCACTGGTAGTATGTTGTCTTCTGAACCTTCAAGTCCGAAATCCTCAACCATTCCACTTCTAAATCAGCAAGATTTGGAGGACAACAAAGGCAGCCAGAATGATGGCCGGACACCCACTTTAATGATGCTTCTAAGAACCCCTTCTCACTGTGTCCACCATTATTGGAGAAAATTTGATGATGCCTTCATGCGACCTGTTTTTGGTGGCAGGGGCTTTGTGCCTTTTGTACCTGGCTCTCCAACTGAGCAAGATCATCTTCTTCAATGGCAGTGAGGAGATATTGTCCACATATTAATCAATTAACGACTACACTAATTCATCAAACTTGTAGGTAAGTAGCTCGTGCGATCGGCTTGCGGTGTGAAATTTGTTAATATGTCAGAGAGATTTCAGAGTGAGGTTTGTGACGCCATTTTTAGTCAGGGTTGTCAGCTTGTAATTTGCTTCCATTTTGGTGAGAAATTCTTTTATAGTATACATATACCTATGGTTTGTCAAATGAGATTACTGAACGAGAGAGAGTGAGCAGAGTATAAGTAAGTGTTCCTATAATCCTATACTGGATTTTGTGAAACGCCCACTTGTTGTATTTCTCATAGTTTTGTTTGATTGATGCAATGAAGGATGGGATTTTTAATATTGCAATACAAATTATTGTATGTCGTTGCCTATTCTCCTATTCGCTCGTGTTAAAATTTTAAAATAAGCTAATTATACGTGTGAAGCTCGCTTTCCTTATCCTCAATAAAAGTCCACAGATAATGAGCATAACCATCATTATAACAAGCCCAGGCCCAGGCCCAGGCCCAAGCCCAAGCATTATCACTAAAAAGAAACCAAGGAGCCGGGGACGGGCGATCATCGAACGACAGCGTGTAAACTGAGGATGCTGGTTGGTATGTCCTCCGACTGAGAAATTACAATGTATACCACGTCACTTATAAATAAATCTACTCAAATAATATCACGTCATTATTCTTTTAAGAAAATATTAATTAATTACCTTTTTGTTAGTTTTTTTTTTTTTTCTTCTCCTCTCTTTTCACTAATTGATTAATTACCTTATCAGGCATTGCATTTAAAATCAAACTTATTCCAACCTGAACATATCAATAGTAATTGCTCTTATCTCAATATAAGTTTGTGAACGACAGGACATGTATTTCAGGATTATTTCGTTTTTTAAGGGAAGAGTTGAATTCTACAAAAAGAATCGACAAGTCGTTTTAACATTTTGAAACTGAAGTTCTGTAGCTTGACCTTTTCCACTAAATAAATTGTTGGTTTCTTCTTTATTACCAAGAGATCAGTTCTTTTTACATGCACCATTCAAGAACTACTATATCACAAATCACATATTACCCAAAAAAAACAAAAAGAAAAAGCAAAAAAAAAAAAAAAAAAAAAAAAAATCAGTTCATCAGATTGGCATAATTTCTTATCATAAAATGAGGGGGTTCTTTACTCGTTAGTAGAGACTTCACCCGAAGCCAGCTGATGGGATCTACCTAGGATAATATTTTCATGATAGATCGGAGCGAGAGACCCTACACGATATTGAACGCGTGAAACTTTTAAGAATATTAATTAATTACCTTTTTGTTGTTTTTTTTTTTATTTTTTTTCTTTCTCCTATCTTTTCACTAATTGATTAATTAGACCGTTAATCAGAGCATTGCAATATTCAAAAATTCACAGAGACTCTATTCCACCTGAACATCACTTATTAATTAAACTTGGCGGAGGTGGAATTGCCTCTTGATCGTCAATATTAAGTTTGTTGAACGAACAGGAACATGTATTCAGGATTATTTCCGTTTTTTAAGGGAAGAGTTGGAATTCTCCGTTCCAAAAAAAGAATGCGACCATTGTGCCCGGCGGGGACTAGATTTAAAGATCCTTATGGGGCTAGGGGGTGTGGCTCGAGACCAGGGGACTGGGTCAGTTCGGTCGCGATCGATGTCAGACACGAGCGAGAGGAGAAAGTCAACACTCGTACTTTGCAATGCGGCTCATAGAAGTTACAGATGACGCTATAATCAGATCGTGGTTGAGTCTCATATCACAGTCTATGTCCGGTGGACCCACACTACCTGAAGCACGGTCCAACTATGCACAGAAGACAGCCAGATAATTTCCACTTAAAATAGCAGAATTGATATAAGTGAGTTAGCCCTTCTTCCGCATTTAGCCAGGCGATTGCATGGAAGGGAGATCAGTTCTTTTACATGCACCCTTCAAGAACTACTATATCAGACAAGAAATCAACAATATTACCCACAAAAAAAACAAAAAGAAAAAAGCAAAAAAAAAAAAAAAAAAAAATTAAATTGTCTCTGTCTCCTGTGTGTGGCATCAGATCCTCTACAGTTTAAAAAAAAAAAAAAAAAAAAAAAAATTATGTCTCTGTTGTGGCAATCAGATCCTCTAAGTTTCAAAACTCTTGCTTCTATGGATGAATACGGTATCCAAGTGCCAGGCAGATGAGAGCAACTGTACAGACATACAGAAGAGGAAAACCCACCTGAATTCTTTTCACATTTTTACTCCTTAACAATTTCTGCAAAAGAAACAGATACAAGTCACTTCTAATATGTCCAAACTGCACCACTACAATGCGTCCTGAGTAGTGAAAACTGCTAGTGAGGCAATGATTCAAATTGTGTGTTAAGGCAATCAAGTTTTATTGGAGCTTGAAGTGCAAATCATGAGTGAGATTAATATCACGAGTTTTTTGGATGTCCAAAGTCATGATGAGTTATGCTTATTTTGGGATACCCACAGCAAATCCCTAGAGGATAATAAGCTAACAAGTTAACTATTATATTCCTTCCACAGCCATCTCTTATGGTTAGTCCAATTGTCTTGCTAGGTTTTCCGGCAGCCAAAAGGCATAGATGGCAGAGATCTTCTTTCGGTTCTCATCTGTGTAATTAGTCTTATCGATAGGAAAAAATGCAGAGAAATAAATTACTCACTACTTCATGCTTGAGCAAGTCCTTCTCTTTAATGGCTGTGCTCCTCTCATCAGTCAGTTTTGTGATCATCTGCTCAGCCTGCAAAAATGAACAAACCAACGAGGATGAATTTGATATCAAGAGCAGCATATCATATGGGAAAAATCTCCTCCAAAAATTTTCATAATAATCTTCTCTCAAAGATGAAATATGACAAGGATGTTTTTTAAGAAAAACAAACCTCCCTTAGTTTTGAATCCATTACATGCAGCTTTGATTTCAACTCCTCAAAATCCTCAAGTAATTTTGGTTCCACTGCATCCTTAGCTGATTCCAAATTCCCTATAGCTTCAGCTGGTCTTGGTTCGGCATTCTTAACCGTCTTTAACTCCTCAATATTCTTGGCAGGTTGAAAGCTTGAAACTTCTTCAGTTGACTGATACAAAAAGCATACCAATCATGTCAATCTCCCTAGAATGTATGCTCAAATCGAAAAGCAATGACATATTCTTGTTCCAAATTTTTACTGAAACTACATAATTGAAAATAAAACTGTAATAATGAGTGGACTTGATCTAGTATATATGCTTTTCTTCTATTGAAACAAAAACGATTTGTCAAATACACTGTCTAATTGCACTTGTATTTCCACGAGAATGCTCAAAACAGAAGAAATTTGAGAGAGAGTGTTCGGAGATGGGGAAGAAAAAGGAGGAAGTGGAGTCTTGGCAAAACAATTATAAAACCATCTAGAATGCTCCTTACATTTTGAGGTGGAGGAATGTTTTCAATGCCATTCTGCTCTACATCCCTGTGCAACGAAGTGTCATAACATGGATCTTTCTTCAATTCTCCATTGTTAGGAAGAAGAACCGGTGAATGTGGTGGGCTAATGAGAGCCACTTTCAACTTCTTCTCTTCGACATATTTCCCATTTTCTTTAGAAAACTGCCAAATAAGACAACAAACTACTACAGAGGAATATAAAACAAAAGCTAAGGCAAATTTCTTGCTATAGAAACAACAGAGTGAAAGGAAAGGAAAATTTCTTACCATGCTAGATGTGATGTCCTCGTCAGTTGTTCCAAATGGCACAATTACGCCTTGAACCAGGAACTTGTCTTTGCACTGAAAATCAGGTGGAGCTGCCTTCTGAGCTTGCATGGTAACTGCAAGAGCCAAAAAGTGAATAACAATCTATTGTATTTCCTGATAATATGAGTTGAGAGAAAATGCCAGTAACTTCTCTGGTTCTATTGTTATTGAAGGTGGAATATATGGTTATCGTCTTGGCTCGAAATTCTAATTATTGCAGGGTAATTTTCACAGATAGTAAATTTCTCACTTATATCATGATGCTTTAATAATACCTGTGAATTCAGAAGTTACATTTGGCTTAATAACGCCTATGTTAGGCCGAACGCAATACTTTTTTGGAGACGTAGTCTTCACCTGCCAATAATTTTTTTGAATTGTTTAGCTATCTATGTCTCCTTGACAACAAAACGAGCTTCTTTGTTTTGAAAAAAAAATTCATAAGCATTAAACATATGTCCAGTAATTGCATTGCACAGAGAATACTGAATAGACAGTTGTTAATCTCATTAGAAAATGCCAAAAAAAAAAAAAAGCCCTGAGATAAATTTTGGAAAATACAAGGAACATAATGACCTCACCTTGAAGGCAACATACTGATCAGACCTGTTACTCAGTTGAACTGAACACGAGCTTTGCTTCTTCAATTCAACTACAGAAAGGAAAAGGTATGCTAGACTTACAATTTGAGCATTTCATGAAATAGCAGAGTCACTAGAAAAGAAAGCGCAAAGTAACTTGACCAAAGTTACTACGTTTGCTCGTTTTTACGAGAATTTGGAAAAGAGATAATAATGTGAAAAAGTAATGAAGAATCCTTTTAAGAAAAAGAGCAAAAAAAAGTCACTTTGCCAGATAAATAGATTATTTTTTGCATCAAAAATTAGTTCTCCATCTTTCCAGTGTCTTCAGAAAAGTAAAAAATCCTATTTCTACATCTCTAGTGCTGAGTCCTGAGAGCTTCATGCTCGTGTCTTATGAAACAATGTCCAATATTTCAGACTCGCACATCAATAAATGATAATGTTTCTATCCCGAAGTTACTGAAAAAACTACACACTATATTCTCCTTTCCCTCCAAGCAAAACACTATATCAACAGTCAAACTCCAACCTCATTGCTTTTGTTTCTTCACATTTTTTCCCCTTTTTTTTAAAATGGGACTGTTCTGTTCTTACATCAACAAAAATGAATACAAAATAAAATCATTATTTAAATGTTAAATCTTTCATATTCAAGTAAAGCCAATGTCTATAGTAAACACTTTTAAGAAAATAATCCTCGTAAAGATACTAAATGTCTAATGAAAAAATTAATAATGGTGTGATCAAAGCTAATCTACACAGTACAGAGTAAATAAAACTCACAGGTAAACCTGAGTTCACGGGGTTGAATTTCCAAGAGTTCCGCAGCCATCACTCCTAAACCAAAAAAAAAAAAAAAAAATCATAAAAAATTTGCTAAAATTCGTGAAATAACGAAAATTTCAAAATCCTGCCATTTTAATTCTCATATACATGAAACGATCACAGAAAATATAAAGCGTGGAGAAAGTAAGGCTTACAACTTGTTTCCCGAGAAAATGCAGATCCAAACAAAATGAAGCTTCGAAATAGCCGCACGAGAGAAAAAAAAGATATGATTGGTTGGTGTTCTTGGTGATCTAAAACGCTATAATTTTGAAACTGAGGGACAGAGAGATAAAGTAATACTAATAATTTTGAAATTGAGGAAGAGATAAAGTGTAAGTGAAGATAGTGAGTTGGTGACACACACAGTTGCAGGAGCGCGAGAGAAAGAGCGGTTGTACTTGTACCGACTGCTTCTATTTTTATATGTCGTTTTGGTTCTTCGGTTTTATCAAAACTAACAATGCCTTTTCTCTTTTATAATGGCTCAACTCACTCGGCTTACGCGCTTCTTTTTTTCAACTGTCAAAAACGCCGTTTAGTTTGTTTTTTTGGAAAATACTAATTTACCTATAAAAATTTTTTGAAAATAAAAATATTTTTTTTTACATAGAAAAAACAAAAAATTGCTTTTATTATTTTTTAAGTGATAAGTAGATAATAATAAATATATTAAAGTCTGAAAAATATTTCGTAACTAATTTTTCAAAGCACTTCCAACATCAAGAAAAATCTCAAAAAAAAAATATTTAACCAATGCCATGTTTTTTCCATAGAAACTCATAATTTTTTTTAATATTTCATTTATTTATTTATTGTCTTTGCCGCCAAGCCGAGTTGCAGGAAGTCACAGCCACATGCATGGCTTTGAACTATTCAAACCACCAAGAATTGGATTCTTGCCGACAAATGAAAAGAAAATTTGAGAAGAAGAAACAGGTTAAAAGAAGAAAATTAAAAAAAAAAAAAACAAAAAAGTTTATTTCCATTGTTTTTTTTTTTTTTTTTTTTGAAGAAGAAACAGGTTAAAAGAAAGAAAATTAAAAAAAAAAAAAAACAAAAAAGTTTTAAATTTCCCAATTGTTTTTTTTTTTTTTTTTTGTCAAATGGTTTTTTTTTTTTTTTTTTTTGTCAATGGAGCAAAAGCAATGCTCACTTTTCAAAAATTATATTTTTGGAAAAAAAAATAAAAAAAGTCACCAAAAAGTCAAAAAGAAAAGAAAAGAGATTGTCCTATTTTAACTTTTAAATAACTTTTTGGTCTTTTGGGTCAAAGAAGAGGTGAGGGTAATTTCGGTATAAAAGTAAAGCAATGACTCGCTTTCTATACATAAACCAAAAGTTAACCGATGAAATATTTTCCTTGTCGTTCAAAGCAAACGACATGAGAACTTTTCTCTCCCCTGCCGTATATCGTTTGCGATTTTATTGCTTTATTTTGTGAAAATTATTGGATTGCATGTTTCAAATTCTGCACCCACATTTCACATATGGGCTCGTTTCAAGCTTCCAAAGCCTTGTCTTGCTGGTGATTTAACGAGAACCAGCGGGTGTGCTCTCAAGATCATCGCCTCCACCAGTCGCATCCGTGACTGCATCCAAGCTTCTTCTATATTTATCTGTTTCGGATTAGGTTTATTAGATGTTTGTAAGGGACGATTCCTACTGATTGAATTTGAATGTCTCTTAGCAGTTTCATCATCATGATTTTCAATTTCGAAGGCAAAAGGGAAACAGCTGGAAAGCTATGCAAATAATCGCAGCATCATTATTTGTACGTGCAACAGTCTGCCTTTCTTTTTTTCACACTAAAAAGGGAACTATTACGAGTTAGTCACTGTTCGGTCGACTCGGGATACCGATCGTGTATTGACATCTCGATTTAAGACATTTTATAAGGTGAATCAACCTCCGAACACTAATAAAGAAACATTAACCGTTTTGCAGATCATAGATTGCGATCCTCCGCCACAGGCAGTACAAGCCACCACCACCTCGGGTGGTACAGTTGGTCCATTGATATCTTGTTGGTTAAAGGGGTATATATTTACGACTTTTCACAAAAAATAAAGAAAATGATTCAAAATTAAACGGATCGAGCTAATAAAATAATAGTAGTCTACTTTAATCAAAGTTATGTCTTCATTGGGCTTTGTCATTCGGCCCAACCTAGAATGTATGTTTAAAAAAAAAAAAAGTTAAAGCTGGGATATAATATTATTAATATTTATTTGAATAACTATTGAGAATCAAAATAATAATTATATCATTATGCATAGATTTACACATTGATCCAACTAAAATTAGAGAATTATAATTTTATGATATTGGATATAAGTGAATATAAACTATACAATTTATTTATAGATATTTTCATTAATAGCAAATATAAGAATAGAAAATTACATTAAAGTTTACGAAATTTATTTATATTAAATAAAATTTTGGATAATAAATTTGAAATTGTAAGATAAAATGTTTTTATGAGGTGCAATGAAATCTGTCATCGATTTAGCATGCTTTTCAAAAAAAAAAAAAAAAAAAAAAAAGTTTTTTATGAAGGTGCAAATGAAAATTCTGTCATCGATTTAGCATGCTTTCAAAAAAAAAAAAAAAAAAAGAATTACAAAAAAAAAAAAAAAAAAAAGATTTCAGGACATTATCCAACGACATACCATTTGTCATGCATGGACATCTTAAAATGGGTTTGTTGTTGAACTTTCCAAGAATTATTACAAACGACCAGCCATACGATGACTTGATGATAAACGGCAACTCGTTTTGGTTTACAAACACATTAAAGGACGATTGGAGTTTAAATTAAGAAGTGGAACCGGCTCTGCTAATTGAACCAGTGCAGATCAGACGACTTTTAATTATGAAATCAGAGACAAATCCAAGTTTTTACTTTCCATAGTATGACTTCGATCATGAATTTCAGATGAACTCGAATATAAATTAAAAAAAATGATAAAACAGTAATATTTTTTTATTAATTTAGCGTATAAAAATCAAAAGATACCGAATATTAATAAGCAACGAACAAGAAATCTGATTAAATGACTAGAAAATATTTCCATGTTTTTTGGAGAAGTGTGCAAAGATTAGCAACAACTAATAAGGAGAAGCACATTAAATGTGACTCACTATAACAACCAAAGATTTTTTTTTATTTTTGGTACATAAAGAGGAGTGAAATTAAAATTAAATTACACTCTTGCACACAACTGAATCATAAAATAATTATAAAATTAATAAGGGAAGAATTCAGAAAGTGCACTCCAGATCAATGAGAGAATCGCGCTATTAGGGCCACTTGTCTTTTTAGTATTTTTAAATATTGAAAGAAAGAAATTTGAATCTGAATCTATTATACGTATTTAATATTTATTTTGATTCACGAACAAGGTGTTTGAAAAATAATTATACTAAATTACTATTTGCAATCCAAAAGTCAAGATTTGCTGCGTCAAAAATAAGTATATACAGATTAACCATAGAATCTCACTCAAAAACGTTTTTCTTTTTCTTATCATTATTTTTTATTTCTTGCATTTAAATTTGAGAAGGAAAACGTGTAACGGAATGAAAATTGTAAATGCATGAGGCTAGATCATCATAGTCCCATGTAAGCATCACTTTCTTTTTTTTTTTTTTTTTTTTAGCATACTTTCTTTCTTTTTTTTTTTTTTTTTCTTGCCCCTTAACTATCATTTTTTAGAAAAAAGAAAAATTAGACAAACTTTCTTTTTTTTTTTTTTTTTTCTTCCCCTTAACTTATCATTTTTAGAAAATAGAAAATTAGACAAGTATTGATTTTTTTTTAATTTTATCTTTATCTCTTATTATCATTATTAAATTATTTTATTTTTATTCATTATCAATTTAATTAATAGATAATTTAAAAAATTATATTTTTTTCATAATCAAAGTAAATGTAGTGATTTTCTGAAAATATTTTTAACAAAAAGGAAAAATTAAATTAAAACTCATTTATTTAATTTTGCGTAAAGAAGTGGGTTAGCCACCGAAGCAAAACTCGAAAGAACCGAAATCTTTGATGAGTTAACCCGCAACCAAACACTGAAAAAAAGAAAATCGGTAACCAAACAGTCCGAATTTCGATAGAAACAAAGCCAACAAATCTCAACAAACGAACAACGACAGCAAATAGAAACACAGCTATAAAACAACATCTGTTCTTTCAGTCTTTTAACAATTAGAGCACTTGCCCTTTCTCGCGCACAGTCTTCGTGCTCTCTCTCTTTCTTTGCGTGCTGCTTCTTGTTTTTGTTGAACCACACGCCATGGCTTCGATTACCGGAACTTCAATCTCCATGACCTCTCTTTCGAGGTCTCTTAGCACCCAGGTAATTTACAATATTGATCTGCTTTCCCTTTGTTTTTTCTTTCAAACGGATTTGTCTGTTTATCTTTGAAGCTATCATTGCTTAATTGTTATTGTTTTAATCACTGTCTCGATGGATTGGAAGCGTCAACTTTTATGTGATCCAGATCTTTGAACTCGTAAAAGATCTTTTTTTTTAATGGGTTTTAAGGGGTTGTTTTAGATTTGAACCCAATTCAATATTGACTCAAACTTATGATTCTTGGGGTAGAATTGCAAGTTTTAATCATAAGCGAAATAATATTTTATAAAACTTTTGCATGTTACTGAGTATTGGATGATAAAACATTGTAGTTATTTTAAAATTGGAATGTCAAATTATTGATCAATAGTTAATTAGCTATGGGTTTGTAAGGTTTTGGGTTTTTTTGTTCCATATATCAAAGCTAATTAATTGGGTTTTGATGCCAGTCGGTTTTGGCTTGTTTGATATAGTTGAAGTACGAGGATCATTTTAGTATTGTGCTTATCTTATGAATGTTTGGATTTATGTGGTTTTTCTGTATTAATGCTTGAGCAGGCACCAAGAAATGGTATCTCTAGTTTGAGGATTTCACTTCCCATTAGTGGAAGAAGCTTTCCTTCTCTTAGATTGCAAAAGGGTGCATCTCGCTTCCGTGTCTCCTGTGCGGTATGTATTTCTAAACCTTCAGACTGCAGTTATATTTTAATATTCGCATTTGTCATTCAGTCTATATTAGCAGAAAGTTCATCGATTATACTGTGCTTGATGAGATTATATCATGCGATATATTTTTACTAATATGTTTTAAACCAATTCCCTCAAAAAAATAAAAATGCTGAATACGGCCATGCATTGCCTCATGATGATTCTAACACTTTTCTATATCATCATTTGGCTTGTAGATAAAAGTGAAAATGTACTTAGCAATTAGTATCTACTTAAGTCTTTCTTAGTAGTTCAAGGGGCAAAGATGATTGATTGCTTGGTTGTGCATTTTTTAAGATATATGAATCTCATCATTCTTTAGCAGATTACACTTAAACATGTAGTTTCCAATGAGAATAAGGCTCCATGGTATTCATCATGTGCTTATCTTTCATAGTGCAAATGAAATTATAGCCAAAAATCATTATGTTGTTCTCTTCAAGCAGGCCAAACCAGAGACGCTAAATAAAGTGTGTGAAATTGTAAGGAAGCAGTTGGCACTAGCACCTGAAACCGCTGTTAACGGAGAGTCGAAGTTCGTTGCATTGGGAGCTGATTCTCTTGACACGGTACTTCAATATCTATCCCTATATTGTTATATGTCTTTCCCCAACATCGTCTAAGTATTGTATTACTGTTTATCTTATCTGCATCAATTCAGTAATATGATTTGGTTTCTTGTAGCCTTTCTGTACTTTTCTTCTGGTTAATGGTCATATTGAATTACCCATAAAGAACAACCCCAACCGATGGGGCTTTATCATGACAAGATTCTGAAGTTTTTATATTTTATCTCATTATATTGAAAAAGAAAAAGGGAGTTTCTAGGATATGCATGTGTACTTCCTTCTGCATGTTTTCTGATATCACCTTGTTTTATCTTCTCTCTCTTCTCTTCTCTTCTTTTCTTTTGAATAAATGAACTTCCATCCGACAAATTGGAGCAGATGGCCTGCTTGCTTACATGCCTAAGAACATTTCAGAATTTTGACAAAAATGTAAAACACGAAAATTGGTTAACTGCCACAAGGAATACACATCTAAAGTCGGCCACACCAAAAAAAAATCTAAAATATAAACAAGACATGGTTGTAGGAATCTAGAAGAATTCTCTTAGCATAAATCCCAGGCCATGAGAAGTTAAAGTTTAACTGCCAAATATATTCTCAATTTCTTAGACGATATGTTTTGTACAGGTTGAGATTGTAATGGGACTTGAGGAGGAATTTGGAATCAGTGTAGAAGAAGAAACGGCACAGAGTATACTCACTGTTCAAGATGCAGCTGATCTGATTGAGAAGCTTATCGAGAAGAAAGCTGCTTAAACTAGTTTGGAAGAGTTGAAGGCATAGTAGTTTTATATGAAGTTTAGTTCTATATTTTGTTCTTTTTTTTTTTTCCCTAAACCTTTTCTTTTGTCTCCTGCTTTCTAGTCTGGAAAACAAAATATAAACACATGGTTTTGTTTTCATCTAAGTTAAATGTTGTATGCTGTCAATGTGCTGTTAGTCACCACATCTCTAATATATCATAAACTTGGTCTTTTTTGGGAGCAATGAAAAAACAGCATAATTCAGTACATCAGGATTGAACATCTGTCTGTGCTCTTTACAATGTGCTTATGCTTTATGGTCGAGCTGGACAAACTGGTTTCAATTTAGAAACCATGAAAGAGATGTACTAACCATAAACCATGTTGGTGTGTATGGTTTTGAGAGTACACGTGATTGCCTTGGCTAATGGAAATTCTGCGACTCTACGAGCCTGCAAAGGCGCAGCATTAGAAAATTCGCTTGGTATATTCATAATTGGTGAGCCTTTTACCCATCGCTAGTGGATATGGGCTCACTTATGAACCTCATTAATTAGAGATTGTTTAAATATATTTTTGTTATATATATATATATTTTCAGGAAATGGTCAAGATTATCTTAACAAAAAGTTATTTTTCATTGGTCAGTCTATTAGTGAGTTTCTAGAATGGGTCTAGATTAATGCACCCAAACACAAAATATAAAAGAGAACAACAAATTTAATTTAACAAAATTATAGTCAAGGGCTCTGCGTCGTTTAACGACGATCCGATGCAAATTACATATCGCCATTATTAAACGGCAAACGAATGCCCTCTAAAGTTGTCAGTTGGCGATGGCCGTTGATTGCCTTTTACACGTGGCCACATTCACGAAGCGCATAATTTCCTTCAAGAACCTTCAATTTCCTAAATTTGTGATTTTTTTTTCATCAAACGGCATCATAATAGAAATTGATAATTAATTAAAATTAGACAATTGCCATCTATTTTGAATGTTCTAAAATAAAAATTATCATTTATTTTATTTGAAGAGAATACTAAATACGCACGAATATAATTGTTTAAAATATTTAATTATGTTAAGAATTTTGAATATATATCTCATAATAGTTGGTTATGTTATGTTTTGATTTTTGTCACTGGTTAAACTTGGGATTCTCCGAGAGAAATGATGACAGTGGAAAGTAGACAAAGCAAGCAGATTTACCTATATACCACTATTATTATTATTATTATTATTATTATTATTATTATTATTATTATTATTATATTAAGCATGATTAGTTTAACATGTGAAATATTTATCACCTAATACATGGTTTTTTTTGTCTTTTTGTGTATGGGTCACATGCTTTTCAAATACAAATACTTTCTTCCCATATTGGTATGGATCAAAACCATGTGGCCACTCATCAGCTGCAAGATTTCAAATGCTAGCAAACTAACATGACAGCCAAGAACCAATCACTCGCTTTGTCCTCTAATAGATTGAAGAGGTAGTAGAAAGAGACGATGTACACAACACCCAGTTTGAATCTAGTTAAGTAAAAAAGAAAGAAGGCCTGAAAATACAGAATGCATTAGAAAGAGACGATGGTTATTGTTACGATACCCATTCAACTGAGTAGGGGAAAAAGAACTACTTACATTATAATGTATACTGAAAAAGAAATGAAAAATTTTAGCATGGAAATGGTGGGATTGGCAAATTCTATCTAGTACAGAAAATTACTCACATTTTCATGAAGCTGCAGTGACCAATATACTTTACAGAATAAAGCAATAGCTAAGTTAACTAAACTATGTGGTGCTGCAGAAGAAGCTGGCAATGAGGCTAGTGGTGAAAGTGCGGAACCAGGCCCTGGTGCAGGCAGTGCATCAGGATTAGGTGGGCTTGGAGTGGAAGGAATGGTAGGCAGAGAAGATATAGCAGGAGAAGGCAAAACACCGCCAGGAGAAGGAAGCAGAGGAGCAATTTCCGGTGACAATTCTTGAAAAGGAGAATTGGTTAGAGATGTTGGGATAGTTGAAGAAGCTTGTAATGAATTTAGTCTAGTTGATGAAGAAAGAAATGGAAAGATGATTAAAGATATAATGAGTGATAAGAGAAACGAAAAGGAGGCGGCCATTTCTAATGATGAAAGAAATCAAGTAATGTCTTACTCTTATTGGGGAGAGTAAAATTTTATATATTGCTCAAGAAGAAAATTTGTGGGGCCATGGACAGTATGGGGAGCTTTGGTGCAAGTTATGATGGAATTCTTTTTAAAGGTATGACTAAGGGCTTTAGGTGGGGTCCTTAGCCATATGGGATCTGATGATTGAGAAAATGCAGGTTGGCATGTTTGGGTAAGAGACAAAGATTAGTTGAATTTTGTTGGGATACGTTTGTTTGGAGTTTGATTATTGATTCCCTTTCCACCGTGATTTGGGTTTCCTTAATTTTAGCCTAATAACTTGATTTAATTGCTTTTGACACACTTGGCATGTCTAAACTTCCATCACGTGAAAGCGGAAATTATGAATCACGAAGTGCTAATCTTTACCTGGTTAATCTTCTGCAGGTTTATGGACATTTGTTTATTCCAATTTTTTGGCCTAGTGTAACCTTGGCTTAGGAAAAATATAACTAATTCTGGATAAGGGAGAGAACAGTGTTTATCAGCTTAACCGTTCGTAGAGACCATGTGCAGCAACAACTTTATAGTATTTGGTAAAATGATGTTTAAAGTAACAAACGTTTAACTACTTTTAAAATTTTAAAATTTTATGAAAAGCTATCCAAACAGCTATCAAAACAATTAATTTTATCAAATAAACCCATACTACGGCCAAACATAGGGCCACAAACGAGCGAGGGCACACTCTACCCACTTAACCACAAGCTCAGTCGATCAAACTTATAAGTTTTAGAAAAAAAAATGAAATACCAAGTTCTGAAAAGAATAAATCATTTAATTGAGTGTCCATGATGATTCGAAACATACAAAAATTATACAAGAAGCTCATATTAGGACTATATACTATAATATGAATTGAAAACTGAATTTATCTCAATACATGGGAAATTGATCCCTTGCCCAGAACCAGTATTCAGGAAATTGTCTTTCAGCCTTATGATTCGTTTGATCAGCTAATTAATCTGCAAATAAAAAAGGAATCATAAATCTCAGAAATTGGAGTTTATGATAAACAGGAGGAAGAAGGAAACCAACAAACCTACAAGTTCTCAAATGCATCGAGGTAGCCGGTGCAACTCTGTAGCCACAACCGAAGCAGCTCTGGCTAAATCAATTATGCTTGAATTTTTCAGTTCCAAAACAATGGCTTCAATCCTTGAAACGTCGGATACAGATATTGATAATATCATTGCATGTGACAGATACTGCCTGCAAGAATAACCAAGAGCATGCAGAATTCGCAGCAAAAGTAAGTGAGGTACGCGCTTTTGCCAACACTCGAGGATTGCACTAACCTTTGGAAGGTTAGTCAGAAATCCAGTTGTGGCTTCCCTTGGAGCTGCCTTCAGAAGCAGTACCACACATTCAGATGATATGTCAGCAACATTGGCTTCAGGGGACCCACTCAACTCCAGCAAGACACCTATGTTACTACCAAAGTCCATTATATCTCTTATGCATTGCTGCTGATCGAATGAACCACTTGCCTCAGAAGAAACATCATTTAATAGTGCTGGTTCGTTTCTGTAAGCTAATCCTCTTTTACTACCAACTGAGCATAGAAGGAAAGCCCTACAAAGGCCAAGAGTTGGCTCAAGAAAATCTTCCATGTCTTTTGCATACACAAACTCCAAAAGGTTTCCAACCTTCCTAACTACTTTTAACTGCGAAAGTAACTTGGATTCCATTTCAGGAGCAGATGCCAAAGCAAGACATAGCTTAACATTGTTCACATTTGCACTTGACAGATCACCAAGCAAAAATTCAAAGCACTGTGATACTGTCTTCAGATTTAGAATGTCTGAAATTTTAATATAATCAAACTCGATAAGCATCACAAAAAGCTTCTGCGCATACATTGGAATGGGATCTTCATCTTCAATAAATGTGGGATAGAGTGGAAGGAAATGAATATTAGATATTGACTTCAAAGACTGGGATCTTTGCTCGTCCTCAAAAGGTTCATTCAAGAATATGACCATCACATCAAACAGGATTTTCAGGCATAAAAATCTGGCATCACCATCTTTATTTCCCTTGTATAGAAAAGCCAAACTTGGGAGAATATCACCTATAAAGATGTTGGGGCTTTCAATAATTAAAGAAGATTCCTCTGCAACAGACTCTAGAACTCGCAGAAGAGTTATCTGGAAGTCGTCTCTTCCCTGAACAAAGATTAGGGGAAAAAAGATCTGCTTATCAGTACATAAACCCATTTATTCCTCTTTCTTTAGACAATATATACCATCTAGACAAGAAAAGCCTCGGTGGTTTGCCACAACAAATCCAAAATGCAGCTCAAAAAACCAGTTAATTATGAACACAAATATTGGAAATGAACTAACGACACAAAGTTGTTGACATGCAGTTACCTACCTGAAATGGTGTCTCCACAATCTTGACCAAATTTGTCAATTGCTGTAGCACCTGACGATTCACCAACCTGCGTTTAAAAGAAGACGTCCCAAGAAGATGAAGCACAACAGGAAATAAATGAACATTAGTCTTTGAAGCAACCCGATTGGAAATGGCAGAGCTCTGCCCATGGCGCCTTCCTCCCATCATCTGCTGAATATCTGCAGTTATAACGTCCAGTAAGCTTGGTACTGTAGATGCAACAATGTGCACAAATGCATCCAAACACTGCTGCAGATAGCTGTCCTTCTCTTTTGTCAATCTGTCCACAGCAGAAAGTATTCTTGGATTGCAAAAAAAATACGTTAGCCATCTCCTGCCATTCTTGCAAAGCAGAGCCATGAAAAGAAGTGCCTTTCCCCTCAGAATTTCGCTTCCCTGTTCAATAAGAGATAAAAGACTTGGAACCAGATTCTTGTCCTCTGCCAAGGGTAAAAGGTGTCGCCCGATATTTGTGAACATATGACTCCCAAGCAGGGCCATATTTAAGAGATTCAAACTTATTTGCTGCTCACGTGTACTGCCTTTAACAAGGGAAGATGCTGTGTCTTTAAAAGAGAGTTTTTCCATGACTGATTGAATGGTAGGAGGATTGAATCGAGCTAAACGAACCAAACATGATCCCGCAGTAAGCCTCATGCTCTCCTGTTTTCCTGTTGCTCTATATATATAACACAGGTTACTGATCACATCTGAGCTTGTGAAACGAGTCGCCCAATGCCCTCCTTGACTGCAAATGTTTTCAATTGTCCTCAATGCATAAAGTTGAGTTATATCATCTTCTCCTTTTCGTAAGACAGATGACACCAATGAAATTAATGAGTTTGGAACCTGCATCCAGTAATTCATTGAAGATTGAATAGAAGTCAAAGAAGAACATGAAAGAATGATAAAGGACTTAATACTGTCTTATAAGCAAGTTCCTGCCAAAGAATTACTTTAGAAATTCAATTGATGGCAGCAAATGAAGAAAAATTTTCTGCTAATGCACTGATGGGTTTTAACAGATAAATGATGTGAAGTTGGACCTTAGTAAAAAGATGAATCAAGCATCATATAATCTGGCACATGAGAAAGAAAGCTATGATATCAAGTAAGAGAGTGAACCTGCCAACCAAATGTAGCTCGACTATCCTTTGATGGAGATTCCGGTGGATTGTTGTCTCTACTCTGCTCATTCTGGGTAGATATATAAAACAGCAATTCACCTAAAGCTGCCATAGAAAATCTCCTTACTTTTTCCTGCTTGTCCCTGAGCCCATCAGTAAGTGACCCTAAAATTCCAGAATTTGCCAAATCATCTTCAATGAAAGTAGAATGACGAATCAACAAGCCAATTAGAGAAGCAAGTTGCACACGCAAAGCAGAAGCCTTGGACAGTCGAAGCATTTTAACAACCATAAGCATTATTGGCCCATTTGTCAAGATATTAGCTGCTTCAGCATTACTGCTCAACATCTCAAGATATCTAATAACATTCTGCTTCTCTCCTATGCTAGTGTTTCCATTAAAAATGGATATGACTCTATTGTTGAGTACATCCAGCTGCTCTTTAGACATCTTCACAAAATCAGATGGTTGCAGCACCTCAAATGGAAGAGAATGAATCACCTCAGATGCTTTATCGGCTTTTCTACTGGGCATGACAGGTCTAACTGAAAGGTCAGATGGATGCCAAAAGACCTCTGAGAGGTTATTGGATGATTTTGAAGAATCAAAGTCAGAAGCTGACCCTATACCTTCTTTAACTCTCTGCGACTTAACCTGAGGACTGGCACTTAGTGGGCTAGCAGCCATGTCATGCTCAGAACATGATTCCTGGTCATTTGTTCTCAATTCATCTGAAGCAGGCATATTAACCACAGGTGAGTTCTCCAATTGATGCATGTTATTGTCACCCTCATCTGGAACACTGGTAGAATTGTCAAATCCATCAGGTTCATCATGTGCATCATCTTCTGTGTTCTCATTGAAATCAAGCTCCATATCAGTGTTCTCAATTTTAACTTCAGAATCATTTTCAGAGCTATTAGGCATGGGCCTCCTGTAGTTTTCCTTCTCGTTCTCCCTCTGTAAGTTTGATTTTGCTATCCGTGACAGTCTTAAGAGATTAACACCCCTAGCTGCACTAGAAGGATCTCTCTGCTTCTCCTCAACTGCTCTGCCAGAGGCCTTAGTTGTAGTTTTTCTGCTACTTGGCGTATTCTTTATTGGTGTCTCATGACCTCTCAATCCAAATGTTGAATTCTCATCTTGTTTTGGAGTCCCTTTTGCATCCTTTTCACGATACTTAGGTGGGGTTTTCTGTAAGAATCTATCTCCATTACGTTCTAAGAGACATGGCTTAGCATGAAGTTCTACCATACTGTCAAAAGCAGGCTGAGGAGGCAAGGGCACTGGAGCAAATTTAGTTCTCCAAAAAGCGTGTCCACAAAGCTCGGTCCATTGTATTCTTTCAACTGGATCTTTCACCAAGAGAGAATTGATTAGGTTGGCAAAAGGGCAGCTTGGATTTCCAGGAAGTGGTGGGATTGGATCTGAGATGATAGATTTCACTAGCTGAGTGAACTCTCTACCCACAAAAGGGGGCCTCCCAGCATAGCACTCGTAGAGTACACAACCTAAGGCCCAAAAATCAGATGCATACGAATGGACACCTCCATCTTCAAATAGCTCAGGAGCCATATAACAGGGTGTTCCACGTTTAGCTTGAGGCAACTAAGAGAGCACATAAAACAAAGGTTTCTGTTATAAACAATTATATTTATATTTAAAAAAAAAAAAGATAAACTTAATATTTTGGTGCAAAATTTCAAACTTGATGCATATCATATGTCAAATGCTGCAACAGTTAGAACAACTTACCATGGAAGATGGAGTTTTAGATATTTCACTCAATTTTCTTGACAATCCAAAATCACATAGCTGCATGCACAAACATACGGAAAACTAGTTGGCATACACATCGTGAGTCAACAACGCAAGGAAAGTAAAATGGACACATACCTTTGTACGTCCATTCTCATCTAAGAGAATGTTCGATGGTTTTAAATCACAGTAAATGATTCCCTTTGAGTGTAAATACCTGAAAATAGTGGACTTGTCAGAATAAAAACTGAAAGCATAACATTTTATCAGCATCATGTAGAAAACAAAAGAAATCGATCCAGCATTTCTTACTGCAAAGCTCTAACTAAATCACGAGCAAGATCATGAATTGAGTCTTCAGGTAGCTGGCTGTCCTGCAATTCAACCAATAAATATCATTGTGCAATTTCTAAACACATATTTCACATTTAAGACTTCAAAAATTCGCTGCACATAACAACACATCTCTCTGTTGGATGCACCAAGGCTATGGCAATATCCATGTTCTACATTATATAACTAAAAAGAGCCACCGGTAAGAGTAAGCATGACTTTTTTCACAACACTCGAAAAAAAAAAATTGACACCGATTATACACGCTTATCAAAGAAATGCGAGGTTTTCGTAATACTAAGTGGTCCACACCTGTCGTAATAAGCTCATCAGATCTCCACCAACGCAATATTCCAAAACTAACCACAAGTGAGCAGAAGTTTCATACCTGATGCACACACCAGGGATGTAAGGAACAAGCAGAAAAAACAAGAAGGCAATCAACTGTAGTTCAAAGAACAAGCATCTGAAGAACAATAATAACCAGATATCAGCAAGTCCTACCATGAGTAAAATCTCAATACATTCGGATGATCTAAAGAGTGAAGAATCCTAACCTGCAATAAACCCATTGAAAGGCATCAGTGGATAAAATACAACCAATAACAAGCTAAAGCATGCTCCCCGAGGGAATGAAGAATACCCATCAACAGAAAAGGATAAAAAAAAGAGAAGGTAACTTCCTCGAAAACGTTTCTATTGACCAATTTACAGTGTAACACTCTAATTCCACCATTAGCAATGAAATCAAAAGTTTTACAGACTCACTTCTTGAAGCACTTTGCTCTTCTGCGACTTATCAACACTCTTAATTGCGAAATACTCTATGGTCTTCTTCTTTCTCCCTTTATATACAGTCTGTGCACAAATTCCACAACAGAAATGAAGAGTTAAAGGATATGTTATTGCCATTTCCACACGCGAAATTTAAAATAATCTATAGTAAAGTCTTACCGAGTATTTGCCCCGGCCGATGGCTTCGTAGATGTGGAAATGGTTCATGCTGACGAAGTTGGCTTGCTAGGGTTTCAATTGGGAGAAAGCGAGAAGAACAGTCTGCGTTTTGAGAGGTCACCGGCCGAGAGAGTCGGAAATCGTAGACGGAGAAGGAGAGACAGGTGGTTTCGGGGCTTCTGGCCGCAACTGTTTTTAGAGCTTAGCTTGGATATGATTAGTGAATAGTGACAAAAAGAGAAAGCTTGATTGGTCAAAAATTAGGAGAGAAAGAGAAAAAAGAAAAGAGACGGTGAGATGGGCGGGAATATGAAGTGTAAATTGAAAATCAAACCTGAAATTAAGATAAACATGTCGAGTTTAGTATTAGTCTTGTGTCCAAACAATAAGGTCGACGACAAGCGAATTTTGAATTTTGGTGCCACTGACCTGAGGCAAGGCAACCGTTAAATGCTGACAAGATGGATGAAAGTCACGTGGCTGATGTGAATTTTCTTCTTTTTTTTTTTAATTTCATCGTGTAAAAATAATTTAATTTTAATCAAACATAAATACTAAATAATGGATTTATGTCTTTAATTTGAATATAGTAAATAGAAATTATTATTGCTTAATATTTAATTTTGTAATTGCTCGATGGTCCGACCCTTCTACTAGGCTAACAATTAGGAGAAAATTAAAGTTTAATCGCATGAACTAAAAGTAAATTCCAATGTTTTTAATAGTTTATTCGAATTGAATTACTAATAATTAAAAAATAAATGCATTAATAGTAAACTTTTTTATATAAAAAAACAATAATGGTTTGCTTTTCAGCCATCACCATAATTATTAAGTCGGTAGTCCATACATAATTGAATCATGACACTATGCACACATATGCGTCCAACAATATTAAATGATAATAAATTACTGATTTAATAATATTAATCCCATACCTTGAGATCAGCTAAAAAATAAACTTTTATATTAGGTTATTTCCTAATCCATCTATTTATTTTTATCTATCTATATAAATATATAAAAATAGAAACTTAAAAGTTTATGTGACATAATTTTAGCACATCAAAATGTTTATGTGGCAAAAATATTAATCTTTGAGTTATAAATAATTTTTAATATTTTTAAAAATTATTTTTATTATAATCAATAGACAATTTAATCAATATCATTAATAATGTCTTTTTTTTCATAACTTTTTTTTTTGTTTGTATTTTATTGTTAATGGGAGTGTCAGTTAAGTTTTACTTAACAAATTTTTTCAGATGAAGGAAAAATTTTATTTATTTCTATTTTTTTCCTATAAAAATTCAAGGGTGAGTTCTTCGGAATCTTTTAACTTTTAGCAGTAATTTTCAATTTTTAAACAACCCTGCAATTTATTTGGTTTGTGTTTAAATTATTATCCCCGCTCTATCTCAAACTTTGAAAATCTTTGTAAGCCTTCTAAATTTATATTAGTATCTATGTTGAAATTTACACTAATTAATAATTTATTCGACCGTCTCAAACCACGGGCCTACCCGCTTGGGCAAATATTGTAATCCTTCAGGCCCGAAGTTTGAATGCTTTCAAACAGGCTTTGTGTTTGAGTTTGGGCTGAAAATTTGACATTTTAAACCATTTTATCCTGGCCCACAGTTGGTTTTGAAGTAATTTTCAAATGCCCGACAGTTTTTTACTACATGGGCCAATCATTTTTGATATGTTTGGATGAAGAGAAAATATCAGAAAAAATAAAATAATTTAAAAAAAGCGGGAGAGTATTTATTCTTACTTGGAGATAAAAAAAAAAAAAAGAGGAAAGGAAATAAAACATGTATTGAAATAGTAAATTATGGGCTCGCAAATATAAATATTTTTAAATTGGGGAGAAAATAAATTAATTAAAATAGAAAATGACATTATTCATCATATAGTTACAATATAAAAGAATAAGGCTAAAATTTTGGGTTGTTTGGTTTTATATAATTCATTTAGAACTTCCATATATATATAGTTTTTAGAAAAAAAAAAAAGTCTAAAACGTAATTTTCTATTATAATAAATGTGTTAGAAAAAGTAAATTTATAAAAAAGGATATCATGTCCAAATGCAAAGTATATAAAGAAAAAGGAAAAATTACTTACTGCAAATTACAAACAATTAAAAATATTTATCAACTTATTAGGAAACAAGATCTCTTAAGATACATTCCTATTGTAAGGATTTAGATATAGATTAATTCATGATTTCACATTAATTTAACTAATAATGGCTGTAGAGTTCGATTCCCATTAAATAAATTTACAGAAAGGGCGAAGAGTTTTAATTGTGATTAAATTACGAGGTAAATTAGACAATCGGTCCGGATTCTGGTAATTTAAAAAAAAGAAAATTAATAGACGAAGAGTCAATTTTATCCAAATTCTCCTAATTGTGTAGTCCGGGAACGAGTCATGGTTGTGTTGTGAGGGTGGGCGAGTTGTAGTCTTGTAGAAAAGAAGAAAGTAACAAAGCACAAAAGTTGATGGCGTTTTAGCAATGGATGAAGCGTAGACACGCACAATTATATTCGCACGTGCCGTATAAAAGAAGCGAGTTTGGGGTACCTGGAATCGTTACTCACTGCCAAAAGGAACTCATTTTCCTTTTGAGGGTTTACGTTTGGAGAAATAGCTTTCTCTTCTCTGTATGTAAGCTCAGCTACTGAAGCCAGCATTTCCGGCAATTTCCCGGTCGGATCGCCGATCAGGTAACCGAATCCCCTTCTTATTTACTATCTAGGTGCTGGTCGCTTCTCTTTTCCCTGGAAATTAGTTTGCCCGGTAAAAATTCCATAGAAAATTAAATTTTATGGAAACCATATTCTACTAAGCTGAATTTGCCTCTTGTTCGTGTTCCATAGTTGGAATTTGACTTCTAAGTCAATTACTGATATTATTAAGATAACCTCCTGTTCCTAGTGTGTATATGGAAGTTTTTCCTTTTGGGTGTGGATGTGGAAAGGTTGCAAATATTTAGCGCTCTATTTTGTAGATACTGGTAATTATGCCGATCTTCATCTAAATTAATTGCTATGTCTGTTTCGTTTTCTTATTTAATAATTATTGGATAAGATGATGTACAAGGAACTTTTTTTTTTTTTTTTTTTTTTTTTTTTTTTTTTTTTTTTAATTGGCTCCTTAAGGCACAACTTATTATGGGTTCAGTTAGCACAAAAAAACGTTGCCATGAAATATAGTGTTCTTGCTTTGATTGTTTTTTATTAAAGAACTTGTTTTGCTGCAGTGGAGTGCGAAATTAAGCATATAAGATGATAGATGTTTTGATTTCCAGCTGCAAATTACAATGGCCAGGAACAAACTTTTGACTTTTGATATGCAGAAATTAGTCTCTTTATTTAATTATTCTTTACAAATTTTGTAGGTGAAATGAGATTGGCGTCTTCACAGCCTTCATTTTTTTTTTTTTTTTTTTTTTTTTTTAATTGGCTTAAGCACAAACTTATATGGTCAGTTAGCACAAAAACGTTGCCATGAAATATAGTGTCTTGCTTTGATTGTTTAAAAGAACTGTTTTGGGCGTGAGTGGAAATTAAGCATTATAAGATGAGTAGATGTTTTGATTTCAGCTGCAAATTACAATGGCAGGAACAAACTTTTGACTTTTGATATGCAGAAATTAGTCTCTTTATTTAATTATTCTTACAAATTTTGTAGGTGAAATGAGATGGCGTCTTCACAGCCTTCACATAATGTTGAATTCGAGGCTGCAAAGTTTTTGCAGAAACTTATTCAAGACTCTAAAGATGAACCAGCAAAATTGGCTACAAAACTCTATGTGGTGCGGAAATTATTCACCTGATAAATATTCTTTATTGTTTTCTCTACTTGTGAATTTTAATACCATTCATGCTTCTAATTGTCATGTACGCATGATTCAGATATTGCAACACATGAAATCAAGTGGGAAGGAACATTCAATGCCATATCAAGTAATATCAAGGTGAAATCTTTAACTTTGTTAGATTTTTTTTTTGTTTTATTTATTTATTTAGTTTTAAATTTTTATGCTGCTTTGACATTTGTAATTTTTTTATGCTAATGAGGTGAGAGGGCAAGTTGTGTAAATCTGAGTCTTGAGAGATTTATTTTTCTTCTCATGTGAGGCGGATTTACTGAATCATGCTAAACGAGATAATAATCGAGGCATTTAATTATGTTGGGATAAGTGTGGTTCCCTAGCAAGGCCTTGCATGAAGTCTCCTCAGTCCAACTTTATGAGGGTGCACTTGTTTTTATGAACCTTTTCAATATAATGAAAATTAAAGCATGATAATTTACTTTTTTACAATGAAATTAGAAGATTGTATTATTTTGGTGTGGAACAAGTGGCGGTGCTAATATATGTAATTTATTTTGACTCTTAATATCATCTCGTTATGTGATCAGGACTTGAAGATTCCATTGGCATATGCATGGTGGAAACATAAGATTAATTACTTATGGTGTTTTACCAAGTTTTTGAGCCTCTAAGTTAATTTCAAATTAAGTTTGTCCATATGATGCAGTGTACACAGAAATGTTCTGTTTGTTAAAAATTAAGTTTAATTAGAATTATCGTGTAAAAAAAAGACTTAAATAGAACAGAATATGTGGATAGTCACTGTTATAAATGCATGCTTGCAGCATAATATGTACCTATTTTATGATGGATTTGCATAATGAGGATGTTTCATCACTGCAATATAAATTGTAGTTCTATCAACTTGTTAACGTGGACGTTTTTCATCCATGGTGGTTTATTTGATTCGAGTTTTGTTATTTAAGGGCCATGGAGACTGTCATCAACCAGCATGGTCTTGATATTGAGGCATTGATGTCATCCCGCCTTCCTTTGACAGGTGGAACTCAAATGGGTGACTCTGCAGGTAATTGTTAACAGTGATGTTCTCCAGTTTGTTTTTGGTTTTCTTATATCTTTTATGGTGACACAATTGCGCATGATCATAATTAAACCTAATGGATCTTTCTTTCTTTCCATTTTTTTTTTGTTTTTTTGGAGATTGCTAATATACATTTCATTTATCATGAACAAATGGGAACCCCACCATGCAGGATCTTCTCAGGCAGTTGGAGTTACAAAAGATACTGCAGTGGGTTTGACTGAAAATGATGTATCCAAAGTTGACCCTTATGCTTCTAGCAGACCACCTGTTGGTCCAAGTGGGGCAGGACATGATTATTATCAAGCATCTGGAACTCATAGGAGCAGTCAGTCGTTCGATCATGAAAGTCCTTCTAGTTTGGACACTAGGTCTGCCAACTCTCAATCCCAAGAAAGAGGGGTGAATCAAAAGGATGGAAAAAAGGCTGCTGCAAAGAGAAAGAGGGGTGATTCATCTTTTCCCACAGAACCACATTCTGACCACTCACAACAACTTGATGCTCGCAATGCTGTTGTTAACCAGAGGAAGGCTAAAACAAATAAGATTGACTCACCAGGAGGTTTTCCTGCTCGAGGTGGTGACAATACCTTTAGTATGATTTCCGGTGGCGGCCAGCTAGAAGTATCCTCCACTCATGTATCTGCAGGACAACAACAAGGTGGCTCCTTGGCATCTGCTCATGAAACTCTTTCATCCAGGAGCATATGGAGTCAAAATAAAACTGGGTTATCCCTTGAAAGATCTCAAGTTCCTAGGTTTTCTTCTAATTCTGTGTCTGGTAATATGACAACAGAAATTCCATTACCACAGTCAGCAGCTTCGTCTCTTGGACCTGGTACGCATCAAATGTAGTTTAAACAAAATCAATTTATTGTTTCTGTAAACTTTTATTCATGACTTTTTAATTGGTGGAAAGTTCAGAATTTCCAATTTTGATCAGGACCAGTGTATTAAAAATATTTAGAAATGAGTTGTGAAAAAACATCTTGATGATGAGATTTCCTTTTTAGTTTATTTTCTGTTCTACAAGGAAACTAGGGAATTACTTTTTCCTTGTTTTAAATGTTGCTTGAGTAAAAAGGCTGGATAATTTGTGTGGAATATGTGCTCAGTTAATTGTATTATAGCCATCTTGCTGATTTTGGTTGTTGGTATTACTTATTTTTTCAGGTTCTATGAGCAAGGTTCATGGTATGATGCCTGTCACTTCTAGTCCATACCCGATGGGGGAGCTAGGATTCCCAGGTCAGGTCCAGTTCGGTGGATCTGAACTTCAGAAGCATGGATTAGTTAAAGGTGCCATAACAAGTCCTCCTGAGAAAGCCATTGAAAATCACTTTTCTCCTTCTAATCGGGTGGATGACTTTCCAGTTTCACTTTCCACTGGAAGGGTTTTGGAAAGTGATGGAGGGAGTTCAAATATGCTAGGGGATGCAAACAAGTTTTTTCAGGTGCTTTTACTTTTCTCCTGTTTAATATTTCCTAGAACCATTATGTCTTTTCCTGCCTACTCTCTGATCCATCTATATTTTACATATCTGATGTCTCATGATGCTTTGATTACTAAGCTCAATTATATTATGTTCTATTCTGGATGTGGCACCTCTGTTTTTTTGGTACGATATGTGTTCAGTATTTTGTTTTATGTTCTTTTATCACCAGGGTGGCCGGCAAAATAATAATTCTGAAATGACAATGATTAGAGCAGCAGCTCCCAGAGATGTTGGAAAATTGCCTGTTCCTCAGTCTGGCAATCCTTTCAAGGATCAACAATTGAAACAGCTCAGGGCGCAATGCCTTGTCTTTTTAGCATTCAGGTGGAGAGTAGTATTCCTTCAACATCCACCTTTTTTTCTTCATTCCTTTTTCTTTTATGATTTGGGAATCATGCATAACAAACCTTTCCTCAACACGTAATATGCTGGTTTTAATTTGCTATTTGCTACTTGCAGAAACGGTTTGGTGCCAAAGAAACTGCATCTTGAATTAGCACTTGGAAATATCTTTCCTAAAGATGGTAAGAATTAATAAATCTGATATAGACTGGGCCGGCTGAATATCCTAAGATGCCTAGCTTAATTTGGAAGGGCTTGGACAAGGGATCTTTCCCTGCCAGACTAAGTTGGCTGGTTTTTGTGATGGGTCTGTTCTAACAAAGATTTGCAAATCCAGCCTGTTTTGTGCAGATTTTGTCCTCGAAATATGTTTTTTGGGGCTGGGATTGGGCTTTTTAAACTGGTTTTGCTAGGCTTGGGTCCACATTTTATGCTTTAGTACCAGGGCCTTTCTTGGCCCATGATGCTCTCTTCTGTTTACGTCTTTGTTCTGTTCACTTGGTCCTTGACATAGGTTTGTTGGGTAATAGGCTTGGGCTCTATGAGCTGGTTCTGTCAGGCTTTGCCAAGACAGGATGCCTTAGTCCCACGGTGAAAGCCCCTAGTTGGCCCGTGATTCCTTCTTCTGTTTATCTATTTATTGTATATATATACATATATATATATGTATGTTCATGTTGTTTCCTGAGTAGCAATCATTTTATTGGTTATTATCAGGTGGTAATTCAGATGGTCCTCGTAAAGAGCTAATTGATCATAAAGGAAAGGCGCAATCTTCTCATGAGCCAAGTAGTACTCCTGAAGTTCCAATGCCATTTGGGAGGCTGAATAATGCTAGGGAAAACGAGGGAGTTCCTTCAGGTGCCTCATCTAGAATCTTGGATGGCAACCACTTGTCTAAAGAAGCTGAGAAATTGAAAGCGATGGAGGATAAAAGCGGTCCACCTTCAGACCTCTCGGCACTTGCAGAAGAAAGGCAACATATTTTTGCTGCTAGAAAACTGGAGGCTGAAGTGCAGAGCCTGGGAAAAGTGGAATCACAGGCATTGTTCACAACTGCAATGCAGCATCCTGACTCTGCAAGGGGTGGTTTGACCTCTAATAACCCTGTGGACAACATGGAGAATGGCAATATGCAAGCAGGAAGGGCTGACCTAGGCTCAACTGTACTGAGCATAAATAAACCTGTCAATCCCGAGGCAGTTAGCTGGACTGGAATAGGTAGTCATAATGAAGTTCTCCGTGGATCCCTACCATCCACCGCTATTCAGCATGAATTGGCACTTGACAGAAAAGATACTGGTTCTATTCATTTTCAAAGTCTTGGCAATGGTACTGTTTCAGGTAACCAACATGATGATCACTATTCTTCCTACTGCACTAACAATGCAATCTTAAGCACTTCACATCTGCGTATTGGTGCGTGGTTTTGTGATTAAGAATTTATTGTCAGAAGTATAATTCTCTTTCTGGAGGAAATATCATTACCAATGGCATTTATGATTCTTAGCTTAGATTCATGGCTGTATGAATATCCTATGTCTCTTAAGTTCAAACGAGATGCATTCAAGATTGATACATTGTTATTGGAGTTAATGAAATACTTTCTTGCCACAGAACAAGATGATGAGGACAGGTCAGCTTCTACAGATTCCTTACCATCTCCAAAGCATACAATGTCAGAGAAATGGATTATGGATCACCAGAAGAAGAAACTCTTATTAGAGCAAAGTTGGACCCTAAAACAGCAAAAAGCAAAACAAAGAATTGCTACTTGTTTTGACAAGTTAAAGGTTTGCTATGAAATTTCTACTTGATGGGTGGATATTTTGCGACCCAATTATTGCTGCCAATTTGTCTTCTTTACCTCCTTCCTCTATCTCTAGCTGAGTTAATTTCTCTGTTAATTTTTAGATTTGGTGATAAGGATATTTGTTCTGACAGGTGAAATTATTGGCAAGTAGTTAATAAATGTTCAATATCTATCACTTGTGTATGATAAGGAAGCAATATGGAAAGATAAGGAAGAAAAAACAATATCTGTCACTTGGATATAAGACCTCAAGGGCAATGTGAGCGCAAATGAGGTCACCTGGGTTTCGAGAGAAGAAAGATATAATGTTTTATGAGATGATCTGGAAAATTCATTTAATTTGTTGCTTACTCCTTTATTTGTTCTTATGTGCTTTTAGAAATCTTTTGATGCTGTGGTGTTGTGGTCTTTTTAATTTTCTAGTTTTCCATGCATGTTGGAAGTTTTCTTCTTTGCTGGACTTGGTGCTTCTTATATTGCCTTTGTAGATACACTGAAGAAGACTCATGGTTTCATCACATATTTGTTATAGGAAAGAGTGAACTCATCTGAAGACATTTCTGCAAAAACCAGGAGTGTCATAGAATTGAAAAAGCTTCAGTTGCTGGAGCTTCAACGCCGTCTTAGGAGGTGATTGGTTTTTTTCCACATTATATTTAGCTTATGTGAAGCAGAAATATATTTTGCTTCAAGTCTTGGTGATTTAGTGGATTTCCTCATTTAGTTATAATAATTTGTTCCTGACACCGTTTTTCATGTAAATTTGGGCAGTGATTTTCTGAATGATTTTTTTAAGCCAATCACTGCTGACATGGATCGCTTAAGATCATATAAGAAACATAAGCATGGTAGAAGGATAAAACAGCTTGAAAAATTTGAGCTGAAAATGAAGGAAGAGCGACAAAAGAGGATTCGTGAGAGGCAGAAGGAGTTCTTTGCTGAGATAGAAGTTCACAAGTATGCTTCTTTGTGATAAATTTAAAGCATTGCCCCCTCTTTTTCTCTTCCTCTTTTTTTCTTTTTCCAAACACACGCACACATACACAAGCACATGCACTCACATCCTTTTTTTTTTACTGCATCATAGTGAAAAATTTTATGTTGTTTGTCTGCTCGTCAACCCCAACTTTAGGGAAAGGCTGGATGATGTATTTAAGATTAAGAGAGAACGGTGGAAGGGCTTCAATAAGTATGTGAAGGAGTTCCATAAAAAGAAGGAACGTATCCACAGGGAGAAGATTGACAGGATTCAGCGTGAGAAGATTAATTTACTAAAGATTAATGATGTAGAGGGGTATCTGAGAATGGTGCAGGTTAGGATTAACTTGCTAAATTTACTGATGGGTCAGGTTGTCATCTTACATTCATTCTCATTGCGAAAAATTTTTGGTGAGTCCGCAGGATGCAAAATCAGATCGTGTAAAGCAACTGCTGAAGGAGACTGAGAAGTACCTTCAAAAGTTAGGATCCAAGTTGCAAGAGGCAAAGGTGATGGCAAGCCGTTTTGAAAATGACATGGATGAAACACGAACTGCAACTATTTTTGAGAAGAATGAAACTATTTTTGAGAATGAAGATGAAAGTGACCAAGCCAAGGCAAGTTCTTTCTCTCTGTGCTTTCTTGGGTTGACTTTGTATTCTTTTTGCTAATGATTATTGCTAAATTACTTTGCAGCACTACATGGAAAGCAATGAGAAATACTATTTGATGGCTCATAGGTACTGTTTCTCATTATAATTGGAATTTTTATTATTCATTTGCTACAGTAGTTTGTCTTTGTGCTTTTTCCTTTTATCCTCCATTCTGGTGGTTACTCTTACGTACAACCTGTGGATTAAGTAAGAGGGTGTGTCAGATTACCTTATTTAGTTTTTGAAATGACTTTACTATTTATGGAAAATTGTTGAATCACGTTTGCTTGTAGAGTGCTGGTTACTGTGAGCCTTTGTTCTGACTTCTGTGTTCATTTCTCTTTACATGGTGCTATGCCTTTTGAAACTGATTGTCTCTCTGTGTTTGTGTTTAGATTACATGTTTTTGCCAAGTATTTTACCAAGTAATGTTGTCTTGTGCAGCATAAAAGAGAGCATTGCGGAGCAGCCAGCTTGTCTTCAGGGAGGAAAACTAAGGGAGTGAGTATGGCTTGTTTTTTAATATTGCATTTGTGTTCCAATTCAGGTGTTTTGAATTACAGGTTAATGTATATCATGTGTGTTCTTTGGGTGTGAGGTCTTTTTTACTTTTACCAAGTTGATTATGTTTTATTGATATATTTTGTTGGCATTGATTAAGTGTTCTGTTTTCATTTTTCAGTTTGAAAATTTCTTAAATTGCTTTTTCCTCCTTTTTTTTTACTATTTACTTTTAGGTACCAGATGAACGGACTGAGGTGGTTGGTTTCACTATACAACAATCATTTGAATGGCATTCTTGCTGATGAAATGGGACTTGGGAAAACAGTTCAGGTATGGATTTGATCTGGATGTGTTATAATCTAACTTAACTACTCAACCTGTTTTGTAAAGTTTTTGTATTCTTTTTAATATGTCAAAACAAAAATTTTATTGCTTGTTTATTTTTTATTTTTAAAGAAGAAAATATTATAATGCCTCTTTTTTCTCCCAATTTCGCAGGTTATATCTCTTATTTGTTACTTGATGGAAACAAAAAATGATAGAGGTCCTTTTTTGGTAGTTGTACCTTCCTCAGTTTTACCGGGATGGGAGTCTGAAATCAATTTCTGGGCCCCTAGTGTACATAAAATTGTTTATTCTGGTCCTCCAGAAGAGAGGCGTAGACTATTCAAGTAATTTCAGACAGACACAATAGATCTCCTTTTCTTGCACTCCATTTCTTGTGTTGTTTTTGTAAGCATCATTATTCCTTTGTATTTTAGGGAAAAAATCGTGCATCAGAAATTCAATGTGCTTTTGACAACATATGAGTATCTGATGAACAAGCATGACAGACCAAAATTGAGTAAAATACATTGGCATTATATTATAATTGATGAAGGTCATCGCATAAAGAATGCTTCTTGCAAGTTGAATGCTGACTTGAAACACTATCAGAGTGCGCACAGATTGCTATTAACTGGAACACCGCTGCAGGTAACACAGCTTTCCCCTTGTGTGCTTTTCTTGGTTTTATTAGTCATCCTTCTTTCTTCATTGATCGGAGATGAATAAAGTGTTTGGTCTTGTGTCTTATTCTGTATGGTTACTCATCATAATGACTTTCCTTGAAATCTTAATCGAAATTTGGTTTATTTACTTATTCTAATTTTCTCTTATGCAGAACAATCTTGAAGAACTGTGGGCACTACTTAACTTTCTGTTGCCTAACATTTTTAATTCATCAGAGGATTTTTCTCAATGGTTCAATAAACCATTTGAGAGTAGTGGTGATAATTCAGCTGATGAAGTAAGCTTTTGGCTTGTCTATATTTGAGATATTGTTATTTCACTCTATTATATTTTATTTCTTCCTCTTGCTTATCATATTGAATGTTCTATTTTCAACTTTGCCTTCTTCTTTCAAGGCTTTACTATCTGAAGAGGAGAATTTGTTGATCATAAACCGTCTTCATCAAGTTCTTCGACCATTTGTTCTTCGGAGACTGAAACACAAGGTCCTTAAATTATTGTTTTTTGCTATTGGGAATATTTTTTACTTGTGTAATTGAAGCAAAATTCATTCCTGTTGCAAGAGTTATTAAATTTTTGAGCTTTTCTTTTTTCCTGATCAATTCTGTGTCAACTATCAATTTGGTTTTAGGAGCTACTCTTATATGTTTCTTGCATTTTTACAATTTCATTTGGTAGGTTGAGAATCAACTACCTGAAAAGATCGAGAGACTTGTAAGGTGTGATGCTTCTGCATATCAGAAGCTTTTGATGAAAAGGGTAGAAGAAAATCTTGGCTCAATTGGAAATTCAAAGGTTACTATAGCATATTTTACCTCACTTTTTTTATATCCTTTCATGAGAACGGACTTCTCAAGGATGCGGGTAGTTAGACTGTTTAACCTTTGCAAAAATCATGTTTTGCAGGCTCGATCTGTGCACAACTCAGTTATGGAGCTCCGTAATATCTGCAACCATCCTTACCTTAGCCAGCTTCATGTAGACGAGGCATGCTTTTTCCCTATTTAATCAGGCCTAAGCTAAATCTTAAAATTTATCATTGAAGATATTCAAAGTTTCGCCAAACACTTTTATCTTTCATTTATTTATCATTTTGTGAGCCGATTCTTGTGATTTCACTTTGTTATCTTTGTGGTTGTTTTGCTTCAATTTGAAGTCTTGATTTGGGGTTACCTTTTGTAGGTTGATAATTTGATACCTAAGCATTTTCTACCACCAATTGTGAGGCTTTGCGGGAAGCTTGAGATGCTAGATCGATTACTACCTAAACTAAAAGCAACAGACCATCGGGTATTAGTTATCTTCTATGCATTTACCAGTTTCTGTTTGGGAGCAGATGATTTTTGTTGCACTTTACTAATGCTTGGCAAGATTTATATCTTTACTATTCAAATTAGGGTCGGTATACTATATGAATTCTGAGGAGGCTTTTACCGCTTGATTGTCACTGTTTGATTACTTAACCATGTTTTGAAAGGATTCAAGTGTGACTACTGAGTAGTTTCTTATGGTGCTTAATTTGTCAAGTGGATGCTTCCTTTTGTTTGAGATAGTTGTTCCACTTAATTGCACCTTTCATTTAATCCTATTGAAATTTTCACCAAGATTCTTTACATTTTATTCATCTTTGCAAGCCGTTTTGGTTTATATTTACTTTATTTCTCCTGTACTTTTGGTTCCAAATTTTGGCGCCATTCTAATGCTTTGAAGATCACTGCTATTTCTGGACCATGCAGGTACTTTTCTTTTCAACAATGACTAGGTTGCTTGATGTGATGGAGGAGTATCTCAGTATGAAAAAGTATCGGTACCTCCGGTTGGATGGTCATACATCAGGGAATGATCGTGGTGCCCTCATTGATTTATTTAACCAACCAGACTCTCCCTATTTTATATTTCTGCTCAGGTAATCTTTGTAATATACCTTGATCTATAGATTTCCCAGATATGGCGAAGAGGCCACATCATGGGATCAGCATATTGTAAAGCTTGAGGTAGAAGAGAGGAGATTATCTGTTTTTGTTGCTAGTCAGCAGTTGTCTAGCTTTTTTTACATTGATATTGTAGAATTGGAATGTGTATAGAGGTGGTGCAAAGGAGGCTCTAGATCTGGATATGTATGGGTTCTAGGCCTCCCCCCAAATATGTTCTTTTTGAGAACAGTAACACACTTTGAAACTGGAAAATGAGGAATTGAATCAGTATGTACTATAAACTTCACACTGCAGATTCTGTATTGAATAAATTGTGTGCTTATAGGTTTTGTCCTTTAGTGTTTAGGCTGTCATATGAATTCTGCAATGGTTGATTGTCTGATGATCTTATTAGATGTTGAAATGTCTAAAAGTTATATACTCTGTAAAACATAGTTTCAATCTATAATATTGACATGTGTGCTAACTGTAATAATTGCAGATGTTGAGAACTTTATTATCTGCCCTGTGTATGCAAATATTGCTTGCAATATTCGTATGGTAGATTACATCCACAAGACTGATATTTGAATTCGTTTTGTTAGCATTCGAGCTGGTGGTGTTGGAGTAAATCTGCAAGCTGCTGATACTGTGATTATATTTGACACTGACTGGAATCCTCAGGTTAGAAATGAAATTGTGACTCCTTGTTTTTGTGCAGTGTTACTTTCTCCTCCTAAACCTGTCCTAATTTTTATGCTGGTGTATGTTTAATTTTTTCAGGTGGATCTTCAAGCACAAGCAAGGGCTCACAGGATTGGTCAGAAGAGGGATGTGCTTGTTCTTCGATTTGAAACGGTATTTTGATCGTCTTTTCTCTCAGTGTCGTAAGGGAAAGTACATTATTTTTCTTCATTTTCCTATTTTCTTGGTCGTAAGAGGAAAAGTCCATTTGGGTTTTCTGAAGTTGGAAATACAGATACATGAAGCTTTGGTTACAGATTGTACTTATTTACCAGTATATATTTCCAATTGTGAAAGATAAGAATTTGTGATGGTGCAATAGTTCATTTAATGTGGTGCTTTTTTAATCTGGTTTTTGTCCCTTGGACCTGAAAGTTTCTTTAATATATGATGTGTGTTTTTTGATTTTGTGTTTGGAATTTACGTTGAACTATTTTAATTATTTCAAGGTCCAAACGGTTGAAGAACAAGTCAGGGCTTCAGCTGAGCATAAATTGGGAGTTGCTAATCAGAGCATTACTGCTGGTTTCTTTGACAATAATACAAGGTGATGTTGGATGCTTGTTAAGTAAAACATTGCTGCAAAAGCTATAAGCAGTTCCAAAGTAAGAAAGAGGAAATACTTGGAAAAAGTTTCTATATGTTTTTACTAATGATCTTGAGAAAATTTCTATATGTTTTTACAGTGCAGAAGACCGTAGGGAATACTTGGAGTCCCTTCTACGGGAATGTAAGAAAGAGGAAGCTGCCCCTGTATTAGATGATGATGGTCTAAATGATATCTTAGCTCGCAGGTAAGCAATCATGTTTGATGCCTATTGTTATTGTTGCATAGGTAAGCAATCATTTTCTCAGCTTTGCTAGTTAATTTGTTTCTTGAGAATATGAGCTGACTGGATAAGGTACAACATTCTAATATGAGGATGCTTTATTGAAAGCAGCCTCTGAATTGTACTAGTTCCTTTTTTTTTTTTCCTTTTTCCTGATAATATGGGTTGACTTGTCATGGTTCAGTCATCCCAAATGAGGATAGTTTATGAATATTGCTAGAACTTGTATAGATAATTTCACCTTTCTGAATGTTTTTACTACCTTTCAACTTCATTAGGCAGTTAATCCTCGCGTTGGTTATTGCTCTAGGCCTCTAAACATTCTGCTTCATCTAAGGCGACATTATGCCACTAGTTACTGTATATGGGCTTGTTTCTTTTGTTGGCTGGAAATGATTCCTTGATTGGAATCTTGAACTCTAACTTTGATGTTGTCTTTAATGTGCTTTCCTTATTTAGCATGAGAATGGATGTTATTGACGTGTTGAAATTTTCATGATTTTAACTTATACTGGCAGTGAATCAGAGATTGATGTTTTTGAATCAGTTGACAAACAGAGGCGGGAAGAAGAGATGGTATGGATTAATATGCATGCACTTGTGACTTGAATACTTCCCTGTGAGATCCGCTTCTTAAAGTTTCTTGTTCTGCAGACAGCATGGAAGAGTTTGCTATTGGCACAAGGGTTGGATGTTACTGAGTCTTCACCTCCCCTGCCCTCTCGCCTGGTAACGGATGATGATTTGAAAGCATTCTATGAAATGATTAGGTTGTATGATGTACCAAAGGCTGAGGCAGTTCCTAATGTTGGGTTGAAGCGGAAAGGCCAGTCTCTTGGAGGCCTTGATACTCAGCACTATGGAAGGGGAAAACGAGCAAGAGAGGTTTGTTGATTACATTTTATTCTGATGCTGAGCACCTATGCATTTGTGTAATGTGGTAACTTCTCCGGTGATTTCTTATAATCTTTTTTTTTTTCTTCATTAGGTGCGCTCTTATGAAGAGCAATGGACAGAAGAAGAATTTGAAAAGATGTGTCAGGTTGACTCTCCTGAATCCCCTAAAGTGAAGGAAGAAATTGCTGAAAGGAATTTGCCAAAAGATGCTAGTTCATCAGTGGTGGCGGTTGTTAGCACAGAAGTTCAGGCTCCGCTCCCACCACTTCCACCGCCACAATCTGTGGAGCCTCCGCAACAGCAACAAAGTAAAGACGTAACTCCACCATCAAAGCGGGGACGTGGAAGGCCAAGAAGAACAACTTTTGATAAATCTCCAACTGCTGTGGTAGTTCCAGCTCCTTCTGGAAGTATTAAAGTGGATATGGTGTTGCATAAAGGAATTGAATCTATCTCATCAAGTCCCTATTCCCAGAAAGGAATTGGGTCTATCTCATCAAGTCCCTTTGCTAATAATGTTTCAACTGGTTCTTCTAATTTAGGGGGTGCTAATGGAGCCACATCTCAGTCTAGTGTAGGTGTTCCTAGTCCTCAGCCTACAACCCCTTTAGTTTCTGTCACACCAAGCGCACAAACCACTTCTGCTTCTGTTGTTACACCTATCTCACAACCCATTTCTGCTTCTGTTGTCCCACCTGGCTCACAACCCACTTCTGCTTCTGTTGTCCCACCTGGCTTGCAACCCGCTTCTGCTTCTGTTGTCACACCTGGCTCACAACCCACTTCTGCTTCTGTTGTCACACCTGGCTCACAACCTACTACTGCTTCTGTTGTTACACCTGGCTTACCATCTACAGCAGCTGGCCCTTCTCCACCTATCCAATCAAGAGGACGAGGTCGAAAGGCTCAGAGTGGAGTACAAGCACCACGACGCAGGGGAAAAAAACAGGAGCCAGTAATGTCTCCTGCTGAGAATTTAGTTATTGCTGATCCAATTATAAGTGGACAATCACAGAATATATCTGCTAATCCATTGGTCAGTGCCACAAGTGAAACAGTTCCTAGTGTTGCAATGGCAGCTGTTCAAACTAAATTACCTGGGTCTAATGCTGTAGAAGATATTAGGGCAACTCATCATTCTGCACCAGGGATTGCTTTGGATTCTAAGTCAGCCCCACCTATTACTGTCTCTGCTGCTGCTGAAACACCCTTTCCTTGTCCATCTGCTCCTATGCAAATAAAAGCGCAAAGCCGGAAGACACAAACTGGAACAGGAACACCGCGGCGTCGAGGAAGGAAGCAAGCATCAGTTACACCTGCTGTTCCAGATGCTTTGGTTAGTCAGGTTCCTATGTCAGATCCACTTTTACAGAATAAATCTGAGGACTTGGTAGGGAGTAAAGACATTTCCATTACAAGTAACCAGCAGAAATATGATCGTGAACCAATCAATGTTAACCAGGAGCAAGCATCCAGAATAGCTGCTCAGGGTCAAAAATCCACTGAGCATTTGGATGACGTAAACCAAAATGAGCAACCAGTCAGCTCATCAACAACAAATGATGGTATTTCTAGATCTATAGATACGTTTATATGCATATATTAATCTTATTTTGAAATTATGAATGGATACTATTAATTGATGACATAGTGATAAGACCCCAAAACTTATGCAGGCACACAACCCAGACAGACTCCAAATGCTGCTTTGCATGATGTGGTTACTGTGGCAAAGGACTTAGCAGTTGGAAGTAGCTTATCGATAGCTAAAATGGGTGGGCCAGGTAATGAAGGCGGGATTGTTCAGAATGTACCTTTGTCAAGCAATACCTTCATAGAGGTGGTTCAGAGCCAAAGCTCAGAGAATAAAGCACCCCATGTTGTTGGTCCTCCAACTAAGTCAGCACCAGGTAATGCTGCTGCAGAAGGCTTTGGGAAACCCATTCATGAGGCTTCTGTGACGATTGCTGCCAATTCTCAGCCCATTGCAATTTATCCTTCTGTCTCTCCAACTTCACAATCTATCCCTACTGAAACCATGCAAGTTAAAAGGCAAGGCCGAAAGGCTCCAACTAGAGCAGAAGCACCTAGGCGTAGAGGAAAGAAGCAGGGTCCAGTTTCACCTGCTGTTGATGTGTTGGTTGGTCAGGATCCAAGAGTAAATCCACAATTGCAGAATAAATCCCAGGATTCATCAGGAAGTAAAGTGATGTCTTTGAGAAGCAGACAAGAGACTGATCCTAAGGAACCTGCCAATGTCATTCAGGTATTTGAGTTTGTCTATGTATACATGCTAAACTTGTCATATTTCTTGTAATCCCAAATGCAATAACCTTAGCCTGAACTTTCAGTTACATCTCAACTTAAAAAATTCTTATTTTTAACGGATCAGTCCCTAAAATCATATGGGTAAAGTCCAGGAATCATGACTAGTTATTTTATCTTTTGGGAAATCCATCTTTTTGATTGCATTATGAACCAAGTGAGGAAACCTTACGTTATGCTGTTAACAAAATATTACAATGAGAGAGAAAATAAAAAATTATTTTTGTGTTCTTTTGGGGTGATTTTGCTTTATATTTTCACTTTTAATTCTTTGACCAATATGTATATTTCAAAATTTTTAGGAGACATATTTGCCCAGTGGATTAGTCGGTCAAGATCTAAAAAGAAAAGATACTTGTGGAACTCCTGCTTTTGGCCGAATTCAGACAGCTGCTATTAATGATGTTGCTCGTGTGATGAAGGAGATTTTCTCAGAGACTTGCTCATCAAAAAATAAGATGGGAGATTCTTCTAGAAATGAATGTAGAAATGCCTCTGTTGTACCTTTGGAGAGTAAGACAACTGTGGAGGTTCTGGAAAACCAAAGCTTAGAGGAAAGAAGGGCCCCTGTTATACCTATAGAGAATAAGACACCTATGGATGTTCCTGAAAAGCAAAGCTTTGAGGAAAGAACGCCTTCACCTATGCCAACTCCGGAAATAGCAAATCCAGTTGTGGGGACTTCAATAAACGTTTCTAAAGAGTCTGAGTCTGGTGTTGATGTCATGATGGAAGAGGACCATGCTCCTGTTTTGGGCAAGTCTCTTATTCAGAAAAATGATGACTCTGCTGAAAGTGTATCAGATTCAGGACTAGGTTCTTGTGAAAACTCTATCACGGGGATTAATGTGGGGGCCACCTGCACTGTCCCAGTCAGTGTTGGTGAAAAGGAGATTGTTCCTTCTTGTAGATCAGCTCCTAATGAATTTACTGGCCCTGATCCAGGGTCCGCTGGGTGTGAAGTTGTTTCAGGGGTTTTATCTCAAGACCCAGCTGAGACTTCAATGACACAGGATGAACCAGGAAATCAATCAGTTCATTCTTTGAAAAAGCCACCAAAAACTTCTCTTCCTGATATTAGCAGTCTTGAAAACACCAGAATTTCAGGGGAAGCTGCTGATCTTTCCACAGCGACTCTGCCTGTTTCAGCAGTAATGGAGTCCTTTGATAAGAATTCAATAAAGAAAACAGAGGTCCCATTGAAACAATTAATTCCACTGGTCATCGGTTTAAAAAGCACTAAAATTTCTGCAAATGCTGATGGTGTTGGTTTTCATTCTGGCAGAACCACAAAAGTTCCTCATAGTCCTAGTCCACATTCAGGTGCCAGAACTATTCCTGCTATGACTGAGATTGTCTCTGGAAATGTTATTGAACCTTCTCTACAAGAGTTAGCAGATTCTAGAAGCGTCAAACATTCTCCAAGTTGCACAAAAGCTGTTGATGTTGGTGTTGTCGATCATCCTACAGAGTCTCTACCAATTTCTGGGAGTCCTTACTATTCAGAAAATGTGAAATTGCCTGAAATGGTTCTGAATGATGATAAAACTGAAAAACAGCCGCCTTCAAAAGAGTCTCCAAAACCTTGTCCTCTTGCTATTGAAAATCACAAAGACCCCACTTCTGGAACATCTGATGCTTTGTGTGATAATCTTCCAGTGGCTAGATGTATTTCTACAAGTCAAGCTCATTTAGATAATGTTGATTTGGTTGACAGTACTTCTGGCAGGTCTGCTTCAGAAGATAAGGCTGGAGGTTTCTCAGGTGAAGCTGTTGTTGAATGTTTGGAGGCTTCTGAAAAGGCCAACAGTCTGGGAGCTGATCTCCAGCAGGCCGATGTAATTTCTGATCTTGATAATGCCACCTTGGAGGCTTCTTCTGATCAGGATAAATTGGAAGATCTATCTTGTAGGGTTGAAGATTTGCATTCAGTTGCTTCTGAGTCCACTAATGAAGTCCTTCCAAAAGACCATGGCGGGGTTCAACTACCACTAGCTGTTAGAAGTAGTGAGAGTGATCATGTTAAGGGTTGCGATATGGAAGTTGACACCTCTGAATCACGAGATCCTCCAAATGATTTTGTTACTACTTCTACCAATATACATGATGTTTCAGAAGACACTAGTAGAATGCAACTGTCTCTTGGAGGCACTGAGGCTGGTAATCTCAAGGTTTGCAATGTTGAAAACCAAGCATCTTCACCAGAAGTTGTCATTTCTGAATCTGCAAACACAGAGAAAGATAATTGTGGAGCTGACTTGCAGCCAGGGGTTGGAAGTGAAAGGAGTGAACATGTTGCTGACTGTGATGCAGGAGTAAAGTTGTCAGAACCATGTGCAAGCTTGCCAAATGATATTGCTGCTGACTCGAAAAACACAGAGGACAGTTCTGAAATGAATGTTTTGCAGGTTGGTGAGGTTATGCTACAAAATATTTCCCAGGTTTCTCTTCCTTCATCCTCTGTTGAAATAGTTGGCAGCTCATTAAAGTCGGAGGAACCACAAGGATCTGAAGCAGAAATGGGTAATCAGGGGGATGTCTCTCAAGTTGGTGAGTTTGTGCCAAAATATTTATCAGAAAACACGGTTTTATTGTCATCTTCATTGACGATGGAGGAAGAAAAGAACAAGGGATCATCTGAGAAGGGCTTATCTGGCAGCTCAATGACACTAGAGGAATCAAAAGGATTTGAAGCTGAAATTATCCATCAAATGGATGAATCCTGTAATACTACGGTGCCAGTGATTACACCAGCAAATGAGGCTATAGAAGATGAAAAGATGAATAGCCAATCTGAGAAGAATCCAATTTGCGACCTAGAACAAGAGGAATCAAAAGGATCTGAACTGGAAATTGGGGGTGAATCTGAGGTTGGTGTGGTTGTGCCTGAATCTGTACCTGAAAACATGGTTTTGCCATCTTCTTCCTTGGCAATGGAGGAAGACAAGGCTGATGACTCATCTGATGAAGGTCCACTCTGTAGCTTAGTAGATCCACTGAAATCAGAAGAATCTGAAAGTGAAAATAATAATCAGTCGGATGTTTCTAAGGTTTTTGATGTTGTACCTGAAATTGTATCAGAAAATATGGTTTTGTCATCATCTTCCCAGGCCATGGATGATGACGAGGCTAAAAACTGTTCTGAGGTGAATGAAAATGGAGGCTCAGTGGCAGAGGAATCAAAAGGATCTGAGACTGAAAAAAGCAACGAATTAGTTCTATCTCAAGTCGTTGTAACTTTGTCTGAAACTTCATTAGAAAGTGATGTTCTGCTTACATCTTGCTCTGTAATGGAGGATAAAACGACAGTGTGTGTGCCTGAGAAGAGCTCTGATGGCATCTCAGTAGCATTTGAGGGATCAAAGTCTGAAATAGACAACAGCCATCAAATGGTTGAATCTCAAATTGATGGAGTAGGGCCTGAAAATTTTCAGGATGATAGGATAGAGCCTGAAGGTTCTCAGGTTGGTAACATTTTGTCTGATGATAAATCTGGAAATGTGGTCCTACCTACATCTGTCTCAGTGGTTCATGAAGAGACTATTGAGGATTCACCTTGTATGATTCCAGAAGGATCAAAAAAGTCTGAAGCTAAAATAGGTGAACAAACTCAGATCTTGCTAACTGTAATGGGAGGATTAAAACGACAGTGTGTGTGCCTTTGAGAAGAGCTCTGATTGGCATTCTCCAGTTAGCATTTGAGGGATCCCAAAGTCTGAAATAGGAACAAACAGCCCATCAAAATGGTTTGAATCTCCAAATTGATGGAGTTAGGGGGCCTTGAAATTTTCAGGATGATAGGATAGAGCCTGAAGGTTCTCAGGTTGGTAACATTTTGTCTGATGATTTAAATCTGGAAAAATTGTGGTCCTACCTACCATCTGTCTCAGTGGTTTCATGAAAGAGGACTATAGGATTTTTCACCTTTGTATGATTCCAGAAGGATTCAAAAAAAAGGTCTGAAGTAAAAATAGGTGAACAAACTCCAGTGTGATGGGGATGGTTTTTAGAAAAAATGTGTTGAAAAATCAAGTCCATGCTTGTCATTTCTTTTCCTCCTTGGCTGAGGCGGGATTAAATGTTCCCATCCCAAGGGGGTTGCAGTTGACGCTTAGTAACCAGCCGTTGGATTCAGAAGGAATCAAAAAAACTCGAAGCTAAAATAGGTGAACCAAACTCAGTGGTTGATGGGGATTGGTTTAGAAAAAACGTGTCTTGAAAAATTCAGTCCTGCTTGTCAGCTTCTCCATTGGCTGAGGAGGGGATTAACCTGTTCCCAATTCCCAGAGGGTTTGCAGTTGACAGCTTCGTTACCAGCCGTGGATTCAGAAGGGATCGAAAGTTGAAGTAATTTAATCATGATCTCATTCCGAATGCTAATTAGGACTTCATCTGGAAGAAAAAGTATTGGCCAGACGTGGGGCTTCGCGTTCGTCTTCCATCAGTGATGGGAGGATGGAAAAAGACGGAGAGTCTATTCTGGAAATTGTGGGTGTTGGGCACCTTCAGAAGCCCTTGGAGAAATCAGAAAGGGATCTGCTGCCCGAGTAAGAATATGAATCAAAGAACTTTGTTGTTACAGGTTGTGTTAATTTGTTGCTATATTGCAAGGCTTACTATGGAGAAGCTGAATTGCATTCCCGTGTATAACTAATTTAATTGCATGGTTATAGGGCTGCTCATATTTCACTTTATCTAGTTTCTGCGAGGAATTCCCTTTAAAGTATCAGTGGCAGCAGATATCTTAAAAAGTATCCAATTTTTCTTTTTTAAATCGGTAAGCATAGGGGCATTGAATAACTAGATAAATGTTAGGCGAGGAGGTCTATATATTAATTTTATCTACTCAATTTATATCGACTGAAAATGATATTACTCTCTCGATTCTTCCTCTCTTGTAATATTCATTTTCCTGTATCTTTCTTGTTGAATGGACCTTAAAATTGCATTGACTACTCTCTAATGTTTGTTGAGTTGGATTTTAAAGCCATTTGTGTTGAGTAGATAATCACCTTCATCTTTCTTGCTTGAAATTGAGATTTCCCAAATTCCGTATTTCTGTTTTCATCTCATTAAAACTTTCATTTACATTAGGTCTCTTCGATTATTAGATTTGATAGTTTCTTGCTTGCTGCTGAGTGGACTGATCTGACTTCCTTAATTCCATGAAAGGCCAAATGAAAGGTTACTTTGGTTAACCAATTTAATCCTTTAGCATAGAAGTTTTTCTGAATGACAAGAACATTGTATTTTAATTCATGTTTTCTACATCTTTTGGTATTTTATCATTGTGGTGGTTTGATTGCAAAGTAGTTGTTGTTTTTGTATTCCTTTTCAAGTTCTAACTTTTTATTTTATTATTTTTGCTTTATTTCAGGAAAATAACTTAATAAAAAAGTATTAATTATTTGGAACTGATAAAAGGCGATTTAGTCAAATTATTTGACATAATTAAAAATTGAGGTTCTTATACAATTATTATAGTTATTAAAAGATTCATTACGCCAAACTTTGGAACAGAACAATTTCCAAAAACTACCGAGTGTTGGCCAAAACCACCAACCTGACTTTGCTTTGTGTGAAACTGAACTCAACACAAAAAAAATATAAAAACCCATGAAAAAATATGGAAAACCAACTCTACTTATGATTAATTAACTGTTTGTCATGATGTTCCGCTTCTTTTTATCAGACTTTTGCAAAAGAATAAAAACTTTTTTTCTACTCCTTTTACGTTTTCATCAGTTCCAAACTATAATTAATTCATTTCGTTTTCAAAATTATTTCTTTTTTTTTTTTTTTTTTTTTTTTTTTGCATTTTTCCACAAAATACCTTATATGCAGAAAATACTGGAAAAAAAAAAAAAAATTTTTTTTTTTTTTTTTTTTTTTTTGCATTTTTCCACAATACTCTTATATGGCAGAAAATACTGGAAAAAAAAAAAAAACAATCTTTAGGATATATAAAGGTATATATAGAAAAAATAATTATAAAAAAATTTGTGTATAATTATAAGATTAACTTTGTGTTTTTCATTTATAATTAAAATTTAGTATTAATTTAATTTTATTGTCAAACAAAGAAAATAAAAATATTTTTTGGTTCAGGTTTATTATTTCCATTATGAATTTATGATCAGTTGTTCGTGATGGAGGAAAAATTTCCCTTGCATAAAATAACGGTGACTGCCAAAACGACGCTGTTTAACCGGACCAAACACCAAAGATGCGGATTGATCCAACTCTGAGAGAAGTTCCCTTCCGCCTGCCTACCAACCACGTCCTGTGCAAAGCTACTGTGATAAACCAGAGCAAATTGAGCAAATTCTCTATCTAAGAGTCGGCATTGCGTTTGCTCAAGGAAAACATGGACTCCACCGGCAACGTATTGGTAACTCTTCATTTTCTCCATTTTCCTTCTTTCTATGAATAAAAGCTAAAAAATAAATGAATAAAGAAGAAAGCAAAGCAATTCACTTTATTCCAAAGCTAACATTTCAATTCTGTCTATTATGGTTATATCTGATTCTTGTGAATCGTAAATTCTTTTCATTTCTAGTTTCTCAATTCTATCAACTTATTTCTTTCTTTCTTGCATAGTTGGCTTCATCGTCTACTGCGGTGGTGCAAATGGGCGCTGGAGGAGTAGGAGGTATGAGGAAGAATCCGACGCTAATTTGTGCTCCGATTATGGCGGAATCCGTAGATAAAATGATGATCGATTTTGGTAAAGCAAAAGTTAGTGGAGCTGATGTTGTCGAAATTCGATTAGATAGCTTAAAGACCTTCAATCCTCCTGATGACCTTAAAACCCTTATAACACGCTCTCCTTTGCCCACTATTTTCACTTACAGGTCCGCCAAGACCCAGATTCTCTTTTTTTTTTTTTGTTAATTATTCTTTTTGAAATATTAATTGGTTTCAATTTTAATTTTTTTTATAGACCAAAATGGGAGGGTGGTCAGTACGAAGGTGATGAAAACAAGAGATTGGATGTACTTAGATCAGCAATGGAGTTGGGAGCTGATTATGTTGATGTTGAGCTTCAGGTTATTTTTTAATCAATAATTTTTTAACCTGTAATATTTTTCAAAATTGGCATAATTTCATTATAACAAAAGAAGATTTATGCTTGTTTGTGCAACTTGCTTGAGTGAACTGTTTTCATTATGAATAGTGAGATTTGGAACTCAATGTGGTCCTTTTGTTGTTCTGTATTGTTTTTTGAAGGTTGCACGTGAATTCAATGACTCCATACTTGGAAGCAAACCGGCAAAGTGCAAAATCATTGTGTCTAATCACAACTATCACAACACTCCATCAGTTGAGGAGCTTGGTAACCTCGTGGCAAGAATACAAGCTGCTGGAGCTGATATAGTGAAGATTGTGACAACTGCCTTGGATATTACAGATGTTGCACGCATTTTCCAAATTACTGTCCATTCTCAGGTAAGCGGCGTGTGTAAAATGTTGATTTGGTGAAGGAGTGTATGATTTCTCCATGTTATTAATTATTTATGTGGATTGCATTAGCAAGAATGGGAATTAGGAACATTTTTCTGTTCAAATATTTTTTTTATCTATGGCTAGCGTCTTGTAATTTTGAGGTATATTGTGAGGAGAGATTCTAATTTTACGGGTCTGGGACGAAATGGTGCATATTTTCCTTCCTTTAATATTTTCATCACCCTTTCCAAAAGGGAAAATCCTTTCCCTTGATATTTTCCTCACATATTTTCTTCTTCCAAAAAAATCCTTCTTCCAAACAAAGGGTGAATGAGCTTCAAGTTGAAAGGAATTGCAAAAGGGAAAGAAGTTGATTTGCATTCTTGCATACTGGTCACAATGGCGCCCCTAAGTATGCGGTCAATTTGACAACTTGATACTATGTATTGGCCTTTGACTAAAATTAAGATATTTTGTCTAAGAAGAATTGCACTAGAGTAAGAACCCTTGAATGTGGAGGCATTTTAGACCAAAATGCTATAGAACTTACCATGCATGAAATACAACGTAACCCATTCAAGGCACTAGCAAACTAAGTTGTCTAGGATGTCATATCTTTTATTTGTTAATCAGCATTAGAGGTTTGACGTTGTTGTTTCTAAAAATTTTCTTCCTTTGATGTTCCTCATTTCTTGTTTGGTGTGTAATAAGTATAATTTTGTTTGTCTATTTTATTTTCTGAAACTTAATAGTTTATCTTGGCAACCTTAACTGTAATGTTTAGGTTCCAATCATTGGACTGGTTATGGGTGAAAGGGGTTTGATTTCTCGGATACTTTGTGCAAAATTTGGAGGATATCTCACTTTTGGCACTCTAGAGTCTGGAATTGTTTCAGCTCCTGGTCAACCAATGATCAAGGACCTCCTGGATCTATACAATTTCAGACAAATTGGGCCTGATACTAAAGTATATGGCATTATTGGGAAGCCTGTTGGGCACAGCAAATCACCTGTTTTATACAATGAAGCATTCGAGTCAGTTGGTTTCAATGGGGTGTATGTGCATTTGTTAGTGGATGACCTTGCCAATTTTCTCCGGACTTTCTCATCCACAGATTTTGCAGGATTCAGGTTCTATCTCTATGAGCATTGTCATTTGTTAAGAAATGTACTGTTCCAAATACTTGTTGAATTATGCTTTGGTTTTATAAACAAAAATTTTCTAGTATTTAACTCCTAGTTGGCAAGGATTCTAATCGGGTCTAAAAAAATAATTATCCTATATGTGTTGGTAGAGAGAATTCTCATATAAACAATGTTGCTTAATGAATTTGTTTTTGCAATTTTGAATGTGCTTTATACTTAATGCATTGTAATGACGTAAATTTGCTTTTTCTCTAAACACAGCTGTACTATTCCTCATAAAGAGGCTGCTGTGAAGTGCTGTGACGAGGTCGATCCTGTTGCAAAGGTAAATCTTTTCTCTGTTAGAAATTAGAATAGCTGATGAAGCTTGTTTTCTCTGAAGTGTTCAATATTTTCTTTTGTGGCATGGACAACTGGTATATTGATCGATTCTGGCAGTCAATAGGAGCAGTTAATTGCATTATAAGGAGACAAAGTGATGGGAAGTTATTTGGTTACAATACAGACTATGTTGGTGCTATTTCTGCTATTGAGGAGGGACTAAGAGGTTATATTGCATTTGGCAAGCTGGGACATTATTTTGAATGATTTTTCCTAATGATTTCTCAAGCTCCTTCCCTTGTTTTGCAGTTTCACAAAATATTAGCAGTACAGCTGGCTCACCTTTGGCTGGTAAGCTGTTTGTGGTCGTTGGTGCTGGTGGCGCAGGGAAGGCACTTGCTTATGGTGCACAAGAAAAGGGAGCAAGGGTGGTGATTGCCAATCGCACTTATGGTGAGGTTCCTTTATGAATTCACAAGCTGTTATATTTGAATATATGATTTAAAGTTATAATTCAGCAAATGTTATGTGCTTACAGATAGGTTTGAGCATTTATATATATCATTTGAATCTGCATGTGCATACGTGTATCCATGTATATGCATGTAGAAAGATCTCATGCATGGTGTACCTTTTTAAGCGAAATTCAAATGGTTTATTCTTCCACTGACAGTTTTTTGTTTTTTCAAGATTTCCTGTCCACCCCAGTTTAATAACTGCATTTATTTGGCTTGATGATGACACATGATTAATTTATTTATCATTTTGACTTCAAGATCGAGCAAGAGAGCTTGCAGAGATAGTTGGAGGAGATGCTATATCTCTTGCTGATTTGGAAAATTTCCATCCAGAGGATGGCATGATTCTTGCAAACACAACATCTATCGGAATGCAACCAAAAGTTGATGAAACACCCGTTCCTAAGGTTCAATCCCTATCATTCTTTTATTCCATTGTGAAATGATATGTAGCTTCTTAATTGGAGAAAACTATTGAAGGCTTTGGGCACTGGGCAGATTACAAATTTAAATTATTTTATGTTAACTTTCACTTTAACAGCCCCATAGCATGATATAAACATGAGTAGGAAAGTAATCAGTAAGGGCGTCTAAATATAACTTGTATCTGGTACAATGGTATTGTTCCTGGAAAGAAATGGACTGGAAATGGAATTCCGTACCTTGGCTCAATGAATTTACTAGTTGAGATAATCAAACTAGTTGCTTCATCGCTTTTATGTTTTATATCTTGCAAGTTTTATAATAAGTTTTGATCATTTCCTCCTGAAATAAATATACCAAGCTTTTATAATCCATTATAGGCACAGTCGGTTAACATAGTTAGCTGACTTCTATTTTTGCAGACTGCTTTGAGATTCTACTCCCTGGTTTTTGATGCGGTTTACACCCCTAAAATTACCAGACTCCTAAGAGAAGCAGAAGAATGTGGAGCCATAACGGTTTCAGGGTTGGAAATGTTTATTGGGCAGGCATACGAACAGTTTGAGAGATTCACTGGTTTACCTGGTAAGATTGAAAAATTGCCATTCTCACTTTTCTTCATTAGTTATTTATTAGTTGGTCCTGAGTTATTTATTTTCCGTGTCATTTTATTCTTGCAGCACCCAAGGAACTCTTCCGGAAAATTATGTCGAAGTACTAACAGGGTGTTGTTGGTAATCTTATGGATGCAACTGGTTTTCTTTTCTGTTCAATTAAAATTTTATTTTTACTTCTTTTCTGGACAATTTTTTCGAGGATTAAAAAAAGGAAGTGTAATTGCAGTTAATTTGAATAGCGACTTTCTGCAACTCAATTCTTTTGCTTGTGGAAATAGAATATATTTATTAATGGTGAAAACTGTCAGATACCTGTTAACAAAAAAATTTGAAATGTGAGTTCTTTGTGCATTTACATTTCTCAGGGGAGAGAAGAGGTTGGAATTTTTTTAAATTAAAAATATTTTACCTCAAAGTAACTGAATATTTTACCTCATATAACATGGGTATTTCTCCGTTTGACTCGTCAAATTGATCAAATCGCAGTTGAAGTAACTGAATATTAAATAGTTTTTTATTTTAAAATGATATTTTATCCATTTTTAATCAGCTAAAAAAGAAAATTCAACTGTTAGGTCATTCCTTTCCCAACCGGCAAGTTCGGTTTCAAAATATTACAGTGCCTGCTCTCGCAAGGCTAGAAATAGCTGGGATTGAATCCATTGACTTTTCAAGATAGCTCGCTAAATTCAATAATACCTTACCATTTCAGTCACTCCTTACAGATTTTTAATCAACAACAGTACAAGTGGTCGGTAGATCCTTCTGCGGCACTTGTATCCACCAAATAGGCAGTTGGTCAAAAAAAGATAAAAGGTTTCCTTTTTAAATAAGTACGAAGGCTCAGACTCATTTTAACGGTCCTTCCAGCCGCAAGCTCAAATATAATGACATGCATTCTAATTTGTTTCAAATAACCTCCAAGATTTCTGCTTTGGCAAGATCAGGTTGTATTACACACGCTCGCAAACTGTTCGATGAAATGCCGAATAGAGACACCGTTGCTTGGAATGCCATGCTTAGTAGCTATTCTCAACTGGGTCTTCATCAAGAATCTCTCTCTCTCTATTATCAAATGAGAACCAGCAACACCAAACCTGATCACTTCACTTTCTCTGCAACTTTAAGCGCATGTGCAGGTGCTGCCTCCCTTCTAAATGGAACCAGAATTCACGCTTTAGTCATTGTTTTTGGATACCAATCTTCATTGCCAGTCAATAATGCCCTTATAGATATGTATGGGAAATGTTTGAATGCTTTTAGCGCTGGTGAAGTGTTTAAAGAAATGGATGATACTAATGAAGTAGCTTGGTGTTCGCTTTTGTTTGCATATACAAATTCTGGTCAATTTGATGAAGCAAAAAAGGTATTCAATTTGATGCCTAGAAAGGTTGATATTGCTTGGAATACAATGATTGCTGGCCTTAGCCGATATGGTCAAATTGAAATGTGTCAGGATTTGTTTAGAGAGATGCAACAGAGTTTGTGTAAACCTGATCAATTAACTTACAGTGCCCTTATGAGTGCTTGCATTGAATCATCAGAGTTGTTATGCGGGCATATGTTACATGGAGTTATCATTAAGAGTGGTTGGGGCTCTGCAGTGGAGGCAAATAATTCAATTTTTAGCTTTTATGCTAAAATTGGTTCATTGAATGATGCTATTAAGGTGTTTGAATCAACTGAAATGCTAACACAGGTGTCTTGGAATGCTATAATTGATGCTTACATGAAAGTAGGAAATATCAATGAAGCATTTCTCATGTTTCAGCATTTGCCAGAAAAGAATGTTGTTTCATGGACATCTATGGTTACAGGGTATGCAAGAAATGGACATGAAGAAGAAGCTCTTAGCTGTTTTGTTAGCATGGTAAGAAATTCCTTACTTCCAGATGATTTTACGATTGGGGCTATCCTTCATGCTTGTTCAAGTTTGGCAGTTCTAGCCCATGGAAGAATGGTCCATGGGTATGCAATTCGGCGTGGTTTCAATTCTTATCTGTATGTTGGCAATGGCTTAATTAACATGTATGCTAAGTGTGGAGATTTAGATGGGTCAATTCGAGCATTTGATGATATTTATGTAAAAGATCTGGTTTCTTTTAATGCTATGTTGTTTGCATTTGGGTTGCATGGAAAAGCTTGTCGAGCTTTACAGTTATTTGATGATATGGTGGTATCTGGGATAAAACCAGATAAAATGACTTTCATCGGCTTGTTAACCACCTGCAGTCACTCAGGCCTGATAGAAGAAGGTCGTGCAATCTTCGATTCAATAAGGTTAGTTCATGGCCTTTCTTACGACGCAGATCATGTGGCATGCATGTTGGATATGCTTGGTCGGGGTGGCTACTTAGCAGAAGCGAAAGAGTTAGCTAGTAAGTACGCAAAAACAGGCGATGTTAAGACCAGTTGGTATGAGGCTTTGCTTGGAGCATGTTCTGCACATGGAGAATTAGAAATGGGGACTTATTATGGAGAGGCTTTGAAGGTTTTAGAGCCTCATAAAGAGATGAGTTATGTGTTGCAATCAAATTTGTACTCTGTCAGCGGGCAATGGAAGCAAGCAGCAATGTTTAGAAAGGCAATGGCGAATGAAGGATTGAGGAAAATGCCTGGTTGTAGTTGGATTGAAGTGAGAAATGAAGTGACATCTTTTGTAGCAGGAAACCGTTCACACCCATACATGGAAAATTTGTGTAAAATATTATATTTCCTAGAGTTTGAAATGAGAAATCCATCCTTAACTTGTACTGTGACTTGAGTGAATTCCAATTTTGACCTTTATAGTTATGGACGTGAAGACAAAGTCAAGTGACTTTTTTTATATACATTAAAAACTAAAATTCAGATAACTTTTTTAAGAGAGAACATGAACAGTTGCAAACGGAGGGAAGCCACATTCAAGAGAAATAGGATATTTCATATTTTTGTTGGAGGTGCGAGTACAAAATATTTATTATTTTTATGTTACCAAATGCATACAACAATCTGGGCATTTGGTCTAGTGGTATGATTCTCGCTTTGGGTGCGAGAGGTCCCGAGTTCGATTCTCGGAATGCCCCAATTGTATATTTTTATTTAAATAAAAGTTTCCTCATTTTTCCTTTTCAAAAAAAAAAAAAAAAAGGTCTAGTGGTATGATTCCTCGCTTTGGGTGCGAGAGGTCCCGAGTTTCGATTCTCGGAATGCCCCAATTTGTATATTTTTAATTTAAATAAAAGTTTCTCATTTTTCCTTTTTCAAAAAAAAAAAAAAAAAAAAAAAAAAGAAATAGAAAATATTTGTTTATCTTTTTTATATAAGAAAAAAGATTTATTTTTCAATAAGTTTTCTTTTTAGAAAAATTCTAAATAAATAACAAAATATTTTTTTCCAGTTCCATTTTGTCAGAAAGATTAATTATTTGTTTTAATTTACTACTTTTTCAAAAAAAAAAATTAAATAAAAAAGGGCATTCCGAAAATTGAACTCAGTTTCCTCATTTTTCTTTTTCAAAAAAAAAAATGAAATAGAAAATATTTGTTTATCATTTTTATATAAGAAAAAAGATTTATTTCATAATAAGTTTTCTTTTTCTACAAATTTTAAATAAACAACAAAATGTTTTTTCCCCAGTTCTATTTTGTCAGAAAAATTAATTATTTGTTTTAATTCAGTACTTTTTTCAGAAAAAATAATTAAATAAAAAAAGGGTATCCCGAAAATTATACTCAGGACCTCTTGCATCCTAAGCGAAAATCATACCGCCAGACCAAATACCCTTTATTCTTAGTTTAAGCTAATTATTGAAAACACTAAGCTAGGGTAAATCGGTCACCTATCACTCCCAGTAAAATCCTCTCCTAACAGGCTAACAGTAACAGTATTAATTTTCCCTCCAAAATCCTCCCCCTTTCTCTGCTCTCTTAACCCTAAATCAATCTCACTCTCTCTCTCTCTCTTCGGCTTCAGTTTTGGTCAAGTACGCCTGGATTGTTGTTTTTCTCTCCGTTGAGAATTCACTAATTTTATAGAGTTTTAATGGCTTGGATTTTGGCTTCGTCTTGCCGATGAATTGAGACGATGGTCTCTCTAGGAGACGATGATGGAGAAATTAAACCAATGGAAGGTACTGGAAATGTCCATTTTGCCCATAATGATACTCAGCTCTTTGATTCGCAGATGTTCCCCTCTTCATTGCCTGGTAAACCACTGAGATTTCTTGGTTGTGTTCTTGTACCATAAAGTTTTGTTTTTGAGTTAACTGAGCACATTGAGGAATTGTGCTTGCAAAAATTCGTAATTCAGATATATGATTTATATATTTTGTTATAACTAATACAAATTTTGTGTTTTCTTCAAAAATTGTAAATAGATGAAAAAGGTGGGGATGCTAATGAGGTAAATTGGGTACAGAACACTGTACCTTTTGATGATACTGTTCCAGTTGAAGATGCATTTGAGACCCAAGTGGATTTTGGTGGTGAAACACAAGTATTGGATGATCCAGATTACCTCATTGACCATATGGACACGCAATTGATGGATGAGATTTATAGTGATGGTGAAGGAACGGATAAAACTGAAGTTTTGAGTGATAGTGATGAGCTCTCTGATGACGAATCTCAAAAAAGAGGCAAATGTGAATCAGTGGACGGTGGAATTACTTGCCGTGCTTCTCTTGAACACAAGGACCAGATTACCTCATTGACCATATGGACACGCAATTGATGGATGAGATTTATAGTGATGGTGAAGGAACGGATAAAACTGAAGTTTTGAGTGATAGTGATGAGCTCTCTGATGACGAATCTCAAAAAAGAGGCAAATGTGAATCAGTGGACGGTGGAATTACTTGCCGTGCTTCTCTTGAACACAAGGAGAGCGTATCAGTTGAGCAACCCAATGAAAACTGTAGTTCCAGTAAGTTGTTCTTCCAAAACTTTTGAGGCAAATGAAATTCAGTATCACATTTGAAATATGTATTATTTATGGTTGATTAGGCACTCAATATAGAAGATAGATTGGCCGTGAGACACTTTTCTTTTTTCTTTTTTTTTTCTTTTTGTATTTTCGGGATTTAAATGTCAGTTCTTTAAATCTGTTTTTTTTTTTTTTTTAATTTCTAATTTCAAGTTTGTATTGGTTTTCAGTTTACTGTTGAAACGGGAGGAATTGAACTGTTTGCTTGCAACTTCTGCATGCGATAAAGTTTTGTGCCTTGAAAACTAAAATTATGATATCTTCATGCGTTTCAGGTTTCAATGTTTCAGCTCAAATACCAAGAGTTCAAGTTGGCCAAGAACCAAAATCTGGTTTGTGCTCTCTTTTTAGTTTTCTTGCTTCACTTTTTCTTCTTTCTTCTCCATGTGAAATTTTGATACCTTCTGGTATTTGGAGCAATGGCTAAGAGATTCTCTCTCCTCTCTCTCAAAAATAGCCTTTTTTAAGTGGGAAACATTTAAGTGTTTGACATGAGATCCTGAAGTTTAAAAGATACAATTTGAAATATATCTTTCTCACTTTAATGGAGAAGGTTGATACTTATATTTGGCAATTCATGTCATATCTAGTTAATTTTTCTAATAACTACATATTAACATAGGATTCTTTCTTTCTGAAATTTCCCCTGCTCACCTCTCAGGTTCTGTCCCCAGATTCACTTCAGTTCGTGCGGCATCTTTCCGGGCATCTGGTTTATTAGCTCGGAAAATTGCTTTGAATGGAACCAATAATAAATCTTGTCCTCTCCTGCCTAATAAAAAGCAGTCGGAAGGTTATTTTGTGCAAAATAATTGGTCGAGGACAGAAGATTGGGAGGAAGTTGATCGGACGTGTGACGCAGAAAGATACAAAGTAAAAATGAAGGAATCAATAAATGCAAGCAAAGGTAAGATTGGCTGTTCCACTGCTAGAAAACTATTTGTTGAAGATAACTTTGTGGAAAATGGACTTACTTCCAATAGCGATGATACTATTGGGGCAAATGAAAATCTTGAGGTTCTCACTTGTGATGACGAGCTGGCAGGACTGAGCTACATTGACTCCCAAGAACCTGGAGAGTTATCACAAGCCAATGCACTTGCCTGCGTGCAAAAGTTGATAGAAGAGAACAAGGCATTGTTTGATAATGAACTGGCCCTGGGAAAGAATAGCAAGGGAAAATCAAATCCTACTTCAACTTCGAAAGGGCTACAAATTTTGGCCAAGAAAACCATCGATAGAGGCACCAATGAGAAAAGAGGAATTTTTGACTGGGATGACGGGCGAGAAGATGAAGGTGGGGGAGATATTTTCTGTAGAAGGAAAGAAGAATTCTTTGGTAGTGGAAATCTTAGGCAAAGATCATTTATGAAAACCCAGAAGGCCAAAAGAAATCAACTGGAGGGATACAGAGGTAATAAAGGACAATCGGATGTCGAAAATGAAATTATTGTGCAGTCTGATTCCAAAGTAATGTTGCATGGTTTAGAACTAAATGACAAGACAGATCCAGCTGCTGAAATGAATGTTAGAAAGAACCTTGTCAATGAGTTTGAAGAACAGTCTAACATAGCAACTTCAGCAGTGCAGTTGGAAGCTGATCTTGTTGGGAAGGATATAGCAGAAGTGCTTAATGTAGGTTTGGACACTCAAATGGCTGCTGAAGCCATGGAAGCCTTATTCTATGCGGATGCAACTGCTAACTCCAATGCTAATGATGTGCCAGGAAACTATAAGGACTCTCAAAAAGGATTTGTGGGAAGAAAAGGTAAGAAGAGTTCTTATTCAAAGCAACAGTCTTCTGAAAAAGACTGTGGTATTGGGGTTGCCACAAGACAAACAAAGAACACAAAGAGGATTGAGACTAGATCAAGCAAACGACTTTCAATTTCATCAAAGCAGCATTCTGAGAATATCAGGAATGAGTGTGACATGGATATTGTAATTACAAGAAGGAAGAGGGCTAGATCAGATGCTGAAGGCTTATTGAACAAGGGGATAAAAAGAGCGAAAATAATGCCATCTAAATTGGCAAAAAGACCTACTGATGGACATCATGAAACTGCCTTAACTGGAAGTTGCACTGTTGAGAAACAGAATTTACCAGAGGAACCTGCCATGTGTACACCCATTGCTCATCGAACTAGGCAGTCCTTAATTGCTTCTCAAAATAGAAGAGAAAATGTGTCCAGCAGTGGTTGTGGGGAAGAAACAACCTCTCAAATGGAGATTGGCGCCCAGGAACAAAATAAAGAAGGTGCAAGCGTTGAGAATGCTCAGGTGTTGGATGCCAAAGGGAAATCTTCAGAATTGGTTTCAAGAAAATCTGAAGAACTTGAAACTTTCCAATCAACATTCACAACTATGAATAATGGCATCAGTTGTCCAAGAAGGAGAAGATCTTCTCGACGACCATCAGGTCAGCTTAAGGAACTTGATAATGTAGATGCTCAGTCCAAGCCATCTAATCAGCAAGGAAAGATTGGAGAATCTGGAAGTGCACACAAAAGGACATGGGGCAATGCTAAAATTAGCAGCATTGCTGATTTAAACACAAAGAGGAAAAGACAATCCTCCATTGCTGTTTGTCAAGAATCATCACCACAAAGTGGAGATAAATTAGGTTCAGGTGATGCTGCACTTGAACCTACTTCTGATGAGAATAGCAAGAAGATTTCTAGAGGTAAAATAGGAGCAAAGGAAGTAAAATTACATAACAGAAAGAATAATGCATCGCCCTCTGCTAAACATGAAGCAAAAGAAAATTCAGATAATTTACCGAAGGAAGTAATAGAAGTATCTAAATCGTCTTGTACTTCCCCAGCTAACTGTATGACCCCTGTGAATGCTGCATCACCTGTCTGTATTGGCAATGAATATTTTAAGCAATCATGCAAGAAAAATCTGTCTAGTTCACGCCTTACGAGAGAAATTAGTAGCTTATGTTCCACAGAGCGAGAGCCTATTTCTCCAACAATTTCCCCACCAAAAGATTTGCGGAAGAGAAGAGATTTGGCTGATGTTAGAGTCTTGTTTAGTCACCACTTGGATGAGGATAAAATTAAGCAGCTGAGAAAGGTAACCCTCTGGTTAGTTTTAGCCGGTAGACAAATTGTTTGATGCTGTTTTAACAAGATATTGCTTGTTGACCTTGTTATACAGATTGTGGACCGGCTTAAAGTTTCTATGGCAACCTCTATTACAGATGCAACACACTTTATCACTGATAAATTTGTGCGTACAAGGAATATGTTAGAAGCCATTGCTTCTGGCAAACCAGTGGTAACGCATTTATGGCTTGAGAATGTTGGAAGGGCTAAATATTACATCGATGAGCAAAAATACATATTGAGGGACACAAAAAAAGAAAAGGAGATTGGATTCAACATGCCGGTTTCATTGTCACATGCACGCCAACATCCACTTCTACAGGTAAGCTTTTGAGCACCAACACTTCAATCTTAAATATAGACCTTTGTCAGACACTTCCCCAACACTTTCTCAAACTTTCAATATGTGTCATGCTATTTTTTCTAAAAATAGCTGTGTCGGCAAAATGTATGTCTGTGCTTCATATCAGGTAAGTGTTTTTGTTTGTCGGCTTATTTTGCTGCCATCAACTGAATTTGTTACTAAATAACATATCTGCAGGGTCGAAGGGTTTTTGTCACTCCTAACACAAAGCCGGGTAAAGAAATAATTTCGGGCTTGGTTAAAGCAGTTTGCGGTCAGGTACAGATTATGATATTTATCATTTGGTTTGGTTTCTATAATTGTTGATTGGAGTAGTTTCCTTCATTTAAAATATCATTCTTGATGGGGTGGATGGTTCACAAAGATTTGGATTTAGGCTTCTACCTTGAATTTCTCTTGCCCATAAACCCATCTGAATGTTGGTCACACATTTGGATTTTTCAAATGGCATTAAAATCTACTTTAGTGTTATGTAATGCCTGGTGTAAACAATTATCAGGCAATGGAGAGAGTTGGTAGATCTGCTCTAAAGGATGATACTATACCAGAGGATCTGTTGGTTTTATCTTGTGAAGAGGATTATGAAGTTTGTGTGCCTTTCCTTGAAAAAGGTTTGGATTTTTATGCCTCTGCAGGAATTATTAGGTAAGATGGGAGTGTTTTTCCCCTCCTACTCAAATTGAGGTGGGCCCTATTTAGTGGGTCCACTTCTGATGTTCTCACCAATGTGAGTAGAAGGGAGAATACTTCTGTTTATCTAATAGTTTTTGATGCCTCTCTGTCCCTTAGCTATAAGATATTATGCTTCGCTGTCCCTTTCCCATAAGATATACACTACTGAGAATTTTGCATCCTCACTTTATACTTCCAGGGGCAGCTGTTTATAGTTCGGAGTTGCTGCTGAATGGGATTATTACTCAGAAACTGGAATATGAAAGGTAAGCCCCATTGCTATTAGGAATATTATCTTCACGATGAGCAGTAGAATTGAATGTTTTACTCGCAAGTAGTGCAATTTTGTCATCAGCTCATCAATGCATATCAAAACTTGGTGTTTATACTGTTCCAACCAGTAATTCTGCATTTGTTTCTCATGCTGAAGAGTAGTTTTGATTGCTTGCTTCCTAACCCATGGTTTTAACTTCTGGCCTAATGTATGGTTGTGGATCAAATGGATCCTCCATCAAACAATGGCTGATCAATCAGTGTATTTTTCTAACACCAGAATTCCTTGATAACAGGCATCAGCTCTTTGTCGATCATGTGAAAAGAACTCGTTCTACCATATGGCTTAAAAAAGGTGGGGATAATTTCATTCCAGTGTCAAAACAGAAGTAACCGAGCCTTTTATTTTTGTTCTTTTTCTTTTTTCCCCTTTTCCTCTCCACCTTCACCTTATCATGCATTTGTGTATGATAGTATGTGCATAAATTGTATTAGGTTCGTTTTCTTTAGAAGTATTTAAGCTGTATAATTTTACCTGTTTTCTCTCCCCTATCTTTGTTTCTATGTTATTAGCAAAACAAGCTAGTTTAATTATTCATTATTACCAAACCGAACAATCTCTCTCCATCCATGATCATGGAGGTAAAATGAAATTTTAGTTTAAGATAATCTTGTACAGAAATTACTGTTATCAAAGTCAGTCCGTAAGCGTTTTGTAATAGAGAGGCGTTTGTAATAAAGAAATTCAAAAATTAGAATAAAACCTTTTGACTTCTGTGAATTGAACAGGTTGTACAAGAGATTAAGAGGTATAAATGTAATATTTCCTCATTTGGTGACAAGTATTGTCCAAGAATGTTGATGGTATGGATAACATTGCCGGTTAACAAGTTACTAGGAATACATTGAGATGAAATTATGTACTATAAATCCTCCAGCAAATGAATGACATAGATGATGGATTTTGTCTCTTCGTACTATGCCAGTCATACAGGACTAGGGTTGTGTTGATGAGCAACCTGAACTCTCCAAACATAATATTGAATATACAGTGAGTTGAGGCCCATAGCTATCCCAAAACCCAAAATTGATGAAACCAAGATAGCATAAATGGCCTTCAGATGAAGCTGCATCAAAATTTCAGGAAGTAATCAATGAAATGAACATCCAAATTCCAGTCAATTCAGATAACGAGGAATTCACTTTTTTTAATCTTCCTATTACAAACTTCCAGTGCAATCACAAGGATCTGGATTATCATAAAATTTAAAGATTTTTCATTAACCTCAACCGAACTTCCAGATGTATAAAAAATCGAATAGAGAAGCACTTCAAATGCATTTTCAAAACTGATAGAACTGATTACGCTATGGAAAACAGAGCACAATTTCAGGAGTGGAGAGACAGAGAGAGAGAGACAGAGAGAGAGAGAGAGAGAGAGAGAGAGTGAATGCCATATTTACTTACCAAGCTATAAAATAAGTGAACAAAAATAGCCACAAGTGCAAATTCAAGAGCAGCATATGTCCATATATACTCTCTGATTGCTGCAAGTCATACAAACATATACTAAGACGACTGCAGTTCAAAAATAAATTTCTTCATAAATTTTGAGGCTGAGGTCTACCTAGGATGACGGCAAAGATAGATGCCAAAAGCCCCAAAGTAAATGCAAATGGTGCAGCAATTATGATTGCTTGAGTCTTCATGTCGTGAATCTGCAAAATTTTAAAACAGAGTTAACATTCTTATGATAAATATTGCAGAAACAACAAAGTACTTTGACCAAGTCTTGCCTTAACCTAAGCTCCATAATTAATCACCATTCCACCTTTATTCTAATTAACCCTCCACAGGCTACAAATGAGCCTAAACATTCATGTCATCCTTCTGAGCAGGTATAATTCAAATATTACATAGTATTAGAAAATTCAACCTATAGGTCAATTGTCACCTGTTTCGGCTATCATGAAAAAACATCTCCAAGACATCTCAGCGACATCACCTTCAAATATAAAATATAATATGCATTCACAGCCTACTCATTCATGCAGCAAAATATACTCAGCCAAATGCATTAGAGAAAGTTAGTTATCAGAATGAGATAAATTACAGATTTAGCCTTCAGAACAATTAAATAAATTTATTTTATGTTCTTTAGCAGCTAGAAAACATACCAATAATTGCTCCAGGAAGAAGAAATAGCATATGGTGCTAATTAAGACAAGTACTACAAAGTCCTGCCAAGCACTGCATGAGGATTCAATATCAAAATTAGCAGATACTGGAAAATATAACATCTCACAAAAAGCTGATGCCTATGAAACTTGAAGCTAACAAAACAATTGTCAAAGTAGGTTGATGTAAACATATAATGAATAAAAGAAAAGATAACATGTCGATGTGTTGATCGTTCAAGTAACCTAATCTAGACAGACTGTTCAACCATTGAAATTAACCTCATAATATATTATTTTACCTTATTGATTGTAACCTCAAATTCTGGTTATCCTGTTCCTGTCTGTTAATGCTTTGGGCAGAGCTTGCCACCCGAAGCAAGGTTACAGGTAAGTTCTTCACCTCTTGCCCACATACATCACAGTTCTTATTTCCTTTCATGGTAAACCACTTAATTGCACATTCTTCATGTACAAGTCGAAGTGCACCTTTGCAACTGCACTCCATTTTGAGTGTATTTCCTTCTTCACATACATCAAAACATATCCTACATACAGCTTCTTCTTCAGGAATTTCTTCATCGTCAACAACTTCCACAGGACCAGAGGATGTTTGATCTGTTTTTTTTTTTTTTTTTTTTTTTTAAAAAAAAAAGAAGTGCACGCTTTGGCAACTGCACTCCATTTTGAGGGTATTTCCTTCATTCACATACATCAAAACTATCCTACATACAGCTTCTTCTTTCAGGAATTTTCTTCATCGTCAAACGAACTTCCACAGGACCCAGAGGATGTTTGATCTGTTTTTTTTTTTTTTTTTTTTTTTTTTTTAAAAAAAAAAAGGATGGTTACATATGCATATGTTTGAAGATACCGGTGTAAGAAAGACATAAAAAGAGCTCCTTCATGACATTGTTTCTTTATTTTTCTTTGAAAGTCACATAATTAATGGTTTTCCCACATTTTCTACATGCCATACACAAAAAAAAAAGATGAGATCTCACCAATAATACTGAAAAATGGTGTGTCAAAAACTCAATAGCAAGTAGAATGAATAATAGAAATAAAAAAAAAAAGAAATCGAAGACGTGCCACAATATACCATTGTCAGGATTCACAATTGCATTCTCATTGTGAGTAGCAAAGGATGAAGATCGGACAATTACAACATTTCGCCCAGGCACTGAGAGGGACCTAGAAACAACTTCCCGAATTGCACCTTTCTGGACAAGCATACAAAATTTATTTTAGAATTATTTTTTTCTAAAGTCTCCATGTCACAATCCTCATGGAGAAAGAACACATTTTTCATCTAGATATATAATATTTAAATTGTAAAGTACAATTAAATTTTCCCAAATCAGGGAATAATTCAGGAAGCCCTCTTTCAGAAAAACAAAATGAGCTGAAATTTTATGATTTAAGTCCATAAAGGTAGCAGCAAAGTATAATGTAGCTTACACTAGTTCTAGTAGATTCACCAGGCATTCTTGCTGAAACAGGAGTTGAAACTGAAGGTGACAAGTTTGATGCAGGTGTAACAGGAAGAGATGCACATCTTTCCCGAGAAAAAGCAGACCTGAGACTGGCCATTATAGGACTATCTGGGGCTGTCTTAGGACTTGAATTGAGGAGCAAGCTCCTTTCACCATCAGGTATGGCACTCCCTTTTGCAAAGCTTAAAACTCGCAGCAAACCTCCTGATGATGAACTACCTTTACATGAATGTTGGGAGTGGATTAGACCTTTTCCACTCCGGCTAGTGCCAATACCTATAGGTCTAGGGGGAATTTGTACTGAAAGATTAGAGCGCCTTCCACCTGGTTCCGGATTTGGAACTTCTTCATTGGAGGATTCCGCATGTTTCAGAACAGCCTACAGGTGACAAGCATTAACCATGAGTCATTTGGTCTATGCATTTCCAGGAGAACATGTCATACCAAAAACAGACTAAACGACCAATGTGACCAAATGGTGCGCTTATCCTAAATTCTACAACATGAGGTAGAATGGATGCAAAACATCTCATGTTCCTAGTACAGCAGACTTAGTCGTAGATTTTTAGGTACTTGACAGCTGCTTAGATATCAGAATTCCACTTTTTTTGGATCTTGAAGATAATGAGAGAAAAATATATAATTTTTCCTATTCAAAGGGCAAAATGACAATTAACTCCCCAAATTTCTCTTAGCTAAATTATGTACGCCGATTATAAAATCTAAATCGCCAGATAATGTATTGTTTAAGAATTTAATTTCAACTTTTGCTACCATAATTATAAATGATATACGCAGGTTCTGGAGCCCAAGTAATACAGACTATAATTATTCAGAAACGTCCAATACCCTAACTGGATAAGCAAATTTCTAGGTTCTTAGCACACCAACATAACTTTACAAGAAAAGTAGCAAATAAGGATCAATAGTCTCTATACATTAGTATTATTAGACAGGTCTTACAAAAATAAGATAACAGAAGATCAACCGTGAAACCACAAAAGGAAAAACTTCTAAGTCGTCAAACAAGTCTGAGATGATCGGTCTGTAACGATACAGACAAACGAGAAAAAAGGAAAATAAATAAGTAAGTTGATTTCCACGACGCCATAAATTATAAAGGACTCAAAAGATAAAACAAGTTCAGAACTAAATATAAATAGATAAAGTTGGAAACTTTAACAACCCTTTTAGAAATAAAGCAAAAGAATATCATTTACCCAGAAAAAAACAAGCCAATCTATCAAAAAAAAAAGGCAAAAGTATGCAGGTAGATTTAGAAAAAAGAGAAAGGAGGCTCTTAAGGGCGAACCTGTGAAGAAACCTCTGCAACCCTATTGGTAACTGTTTGAGTTGATTGCATTATTAGTTGCAAATCTAAAAGATACTGTTGGAGAAATCTCAAGAGATCCAAGACAAATAAATATCTGGGAATAACAAGTACTGCTTTTTTCTATAGTAGAAGAACAAGGAAGAGCAAATATACACCCAACAGCAAAGGTTGAGAAATGGAAGAATCTGAAAATGGAAAAGAGTTACGAGATTACACTAGCAGTTGCTTCTGTAGTAATTTTTTTTTTTTTTTTTTTGGGAAAAGAGTTACGAGATTACACTAGCAAGTTGCTTCCTGTAGTAATTTTTTTTTTTTTTTTTTTAAGAGTAGAGATAGAGACTTGTTGTCGGTAAATTTGGTGATTACTTACTTTATAGGTCCAAGCCATGAGAGCTGGCGGGGAGGTGTGGTGGTCAGACGGGTCGCCCTGCAGGTTGACGACAGATTTTCTCCGTTTCCCTTTTTTTTTTTTTTTTTTCCGAAAGTAGTTCGTTCCCTTGTTTTTACTATCCCACTTGCTTGTGATCGCCTCTTTCTTGCTCGCTTTCCGCGTTTACTTTAATACTTTAAACGATCTATATTTATAATATATAAATTATATTTAATATATAATTAATTATATTTAATATATATTATAAAATTTACTTTATTCTTTTTAAATTCTCGTGTTATATAAAAATTATAATGTTGTTAATTTGTTTAAGATAATAACAAATAGGTTGAATATTATTTTTTATCCTAAATAATTTTATAAAGTGTTATAATTCAATATAGATAATATATTGTAAAATAATTTTTATAATTTTAATAATTTGTTATTTAATGGCTAAAACATAATTAATTATTAACAATCATGTATTTTTTTTTTTTTTGACTTTAAAATATTGCTCATATATTATTTAAGAGAAGAAACGAGCAATGCAAGCGGAACAATATCTCAAGTTCGAAAATAAGCCCCACTAGGAACTGATTTAGCCAAAACATGAGCTAGATCATTAGCTTGTCTTCTAATCCAAAGTCAAAGTGACATTAGGCAATTGGACTAATAGTAACTTACATTCTGAGATGACAATGCCAAACTCGACAAGTCTTGGACAGAACCCCTCATAGCATAGTAAACTTGAACTCAATCAATCTCAACCTGAAACTGCAAACTAGATTAGTATTAGTCCGACAGCAACATGACAAAATATTTATGAGCGCTTGAGTTTCAGCTAATGCTGGAGAAGAACAACCCTGCAATGATGACGCTGATGCTGATACAAATTCGCCATGACAGTTTAAAATTACGGCACCAACATCTATACCTGAATCAGACAACTTCAGTTGGGCTTTCTTTCAAAAGGCTAGCATGCTTCTAGCTCGAGTAATCACATGATAAGGTCCTTCTGCTACTTGTTTCCATTTCAATTCATTACGGCTCAACCAAACACTCCAAAGTCCCATAATAAAACTCTCAAATAACTCAATCTCTCACACCTTGTGTAAATGTTTCAACATTTGTAAGAAATTTGGAAAAATTTCAATATTCAGCTGAATACCAAAAAACTGCCAACAAAAACTTGCTCATGTATTAATTATTTGTATTGACGCGAAGTACAATATTTAGTGCATCTCTAGTTTCATAATACCTCTCGAGAATAGTAATTCCTACTTAAAAATGCAAATTTAATTAAATTTTTGTCATTGTGTATGTAACCACATTTATAAGGTTGGCAATAATGTATTTATAATTTTTTTTTGAGAAAAGTATATAAAAATTATAATAATATTACTATTGTATAAACTATAAAATATTGATTAATTTTAATATAATAACCGCTACCTTCAAAGCATAAATTGAAAAAAAAAAAAAAAAACAATGACTCAAAGCAATACAGAGGAGAAAAAAAATGAAAAATTAAATTATGAGAAAAGAATAGTTAAAAAAATTATGAGAAAAGAAGATAAAAAATTAAAAAGGAACCTATAAATAAAATTTAGTTTTCTTATTTAGAATTTAAAGAAAATAAAGTAAAAGAAAACCTAATCTGAGAATCATTTAAGATTCATATTGGTGGAGAGCTCTTTATGTTCGTCTATTCTCTGCTGCAAATGGCAAATAAAAACTAGCAGATGAGAATCACAGTAGGAGAGAGTATGAGGCGTAGAGATACAAATAAAAATTAAGATTTAATGGAAGAAAAATATATAGTTAGATAAAATTAAATTTCAAAAATGTTGGTTATTATCACAAAATATTAATTTTTAAATTTAAAAAATATTTTAATGATCGATTTCAAAAATGTTGATTATTATCATAAAAAATTAATTTATAAAATGACCTCGATGTTTCAACAAAATGTTGCAATTATTATCACTCAAAAAATAATTTATAATAATTTTAAACAACTATTTTTACATGACCAAGCAAATTTCTTTAGAAATCAAACGAAAAATCCATAGTAAAGAAAGAACACAAAGTTCCAAAAATTTATCTAAAATAACATATCATAACTTTATATAACCATACTATTATATATTAGGAAAAAAGTCCAAAAAAAGAAAGCTGAGAAGAAGAGCCAGTGGGACGTATGGACAGTTTTAAAATCTTTTTGCTTTTCAGATGTATATGCATATTATATATATATATATATATATACTATATATTTATTATATATATACTATCATATAGATTCTTCTAAATAATAATTTTTACTTGTTAGCGATAACTTATCTATGTATAAACATAATAAATTAAAATGGCCTTAAATTCCACAACTTAAAATTCTAGACAAAATTAACGAAACCAAAACTACTGGATTAAATAAGACAAAAAATAACTCAACACTAGATTAATTAAAGACATGATACATCTAAATTAATTTTTACTTGTTAGGGAATAATTATCTATATAAATAATAAATTAAATGGCTTAAATTCACAACTTAAAATTTAGACAAAATAAGAAACAAAATAAATGGATTAAATAAGAAAAAAAAAACTCATACATAGATTAATTAAAGACATGATACATTATTTCTCAATATATAAATCTTTAATTCATAGATAATGAGTTCGGATTCATTATTCAAGGTTCCAATTTGATTATGAAAAATGTGAATAGGAGTCATCTTCAAAATAAAAATTTTTCAAATTTAAATTATAAATTAATTAAAAAATATTATTTTTTTTCTTATATATTGTATGGATATTGTAAAATAACAAAATAGATGGTAATAGTTAATTGTTCAATTAATAAATAAGGAATGAATTATTGGATACTTGCTCTCAGTATGATTGATCACACCACATTACAGACTAAAGTGTTTCATGGGGCCCTTTATTAATTCCAAGGCCCATATATGTTGAAATTGTGAGGCCCAAACGACAAGGCATTTTATTAAAATCAAAATGGGCCTTTGTGGCTCAGAACCTGTTTTCTAGTTTCATGATTGGGGGAAATCGCATCATGTCGAAGGTCGCGACCGAAAACAGAAGCAGCAAAAGAAGAAGAAGAAGAAGAAGAAGAAGAAGAAGAAGAAGAAGAAAGCATATGCGCAGAGAATGAAGTTTCTGGATTGGTATTTGAAAATAGCTGTTGGATCTGCTCTAGTTGGAGCTTCCATGGAACTATTCATGATCAAAACCGGCTTCTGTGTGAGAACCTTCCTTTTTCATATGTTTGTTTGCTAATCTTACCCCTTCTTTGTTTTACTCGTTATTGAAATTAATTTCTTGATTTTGAGCTCAAATGCACGAATTCATTGTTAATTTGGAGGTCTATCTATGGAATTTCAGTTTTTGATTGAACAACTGATTTCCTCTTCCAATTCTACAAGATTTTCCTTAAAAGTTTTACTGGATTTTCTTTTTTCTTTTTTCTTTTTTTTCTCATGGCAGAGATTTTGAATGAGACTGACAGACCGTAGCTCATGTGAATATTTTGAGTGTTTCAGTCACTATTGTCTTCTCTTTGGGAATATGAGTTTTAAATAAAATGTACATCTTTCAGTATTGCTGATACTGGTTTTCTCAATATACAAGAATAATCTAAGCGGGTTGTTGTTTGCATTTTCAAGATTAATATATAAATGACTAGTTTGGACGGATATTAAAAGGTGAACTTTATTCTTTGAAACTTCGAAAGCAAGCATCTTTGACGCCATAGTAAACCCTTGCTAAAGTTTGTAGCGTATACAAGTTGCTTGTGGACATGCTTTTAATTGGATGATAAGATGATTGATTCATAAGTTTGAAAAGCTTCAACATTTTTGACAGAAATCTTCAATTCCTTCTGGTTCCTGTGTTTGCCTGCTTCTTCCTGTTGTTTGATGTCATTTAGTAGGATTATTCCGTCACACTATATCAACAGCACTTATCACTTTCTGTCAATTGATTTCCTATTTTAATTTACTTTGGTGCCGTTTCTCACAGATGATAAAGTGACTGTTCTGGAGTCAGAGAAGCAGGCTTGGGAGAGCTCCCCTGAAGCTCAGGCTATGAGAGAAGCACTAAATCCCTGGAGAAAACATGATGCAGAAGCAAGAAAAAATTTATAGCCTTGGCATGGAGATTTTGTTCCATAAGGTTTGTTTCTTGATGATGGTGTTTAGTTATATCTTGGGACCTGAAGTTTGTAATCCCAATTTATGGCCCTCCAGCATATTTGGCAATTATGCAATTTGCTTTCATATGTTATTCTTGTAATATTTTATCATGGACACAGAATATCAATATAAGTCTCGAGAGAAGACATTGTTAACTTGAGTTTTTACTTTATCAATGGACTTTATCTTTTTTGGATCATGTAGGCTAGCAGAAGATATGTTTGAACTTGGAAATTTCTGATTTCATTGAATTGTAAACAGGCTTAACTTGTTATTTGCGTGGGAAATTGTTAGTTCTCTGATTGTTGACCCCATTTAGTATCATTAGATTGTCTTCTAAAATGATTTATGTGGTGGTATTTATAAAAAAATATTGCAACTTTCTAGTTAAAAACTTGTCCTATGCTTCGTTTGGCTGTAAAGCTAAGATTTTTACTGAATGATTATATGAAGTGTGTAATATTGGACTTCCTACAACTCTTTCTGCATGAAAAAGTTCAACTTTTCGCAGAAAGAACATGACATTTCATGCATTTGCCCTATTGAGCACAACAATTGATAATTAATTTCCCATGTTTGGACTTTAAAGCTGAGCATGGATAGTGGCAAGTCCAAGATCAATTTTATTGTTTTTGATTCAGCTCAACCTTAACATTCTTTTAGCCTATACTCCTGCACTCGCTCTGGAACTTGCAACGAGTTTCAACCTAAGTTTAGACTCACAAAACATTCACTAGTTTTTGATTTGTCTCTTCATATATAGTCTCCCTTTTTGTTTGTTAAACATAACCTTATTCTGTAACACGTATTGCTATAAGATGGATAAATACGAGTCTCTAAAACAAATGAATTTGCAAATACAAATACAACAGTCTTGTTCTACAAATTGCTTGTTACAAGAGTTTGATCTAACATAATTACTGTGAAAAATGCATACTATAGTTACAACTATATTTCTTTTGTGGGTGAAATGTGTATGTTGGCTGAACTTGTCTCAGTTTAAGCTTAACCCATATTTAATTTGGAATCAAATTACAGATTCAACGTAGAGCGACCCAAGCTCATAAAAAGCTCTGTATGAAATTTTCAAGTTAAATAATTTGGATTTTGCATTTGCTCAACAGAACTGACATCCTAGAGATCCATATTTCAGAAACTTCCGGTTTAAGTGATTTGGAATAAGAATGGTGAGGACTTTTTTACCCTTGAAGCTGTAAGATAGCAAAATAAGAGACTTTCTTAGCTTCACATTGCTGAATGTATTAGCAAGTATAGGACTTCTGATGAACTAACTAGAATTCCTAAGATCTTATGTTTGCATTTTCTATACTTCTAAGGGGCTCCATGGCTCGAAGGCTTTTGGCTGTCCATTAATGGTGTTCATACAGGCATGACATCAATCTTTCCCTCATTTGTGATCAAGTGTACTATTATGATAAAAGAATATCTCGAGTGCCATCAGATAATTTTTCTGTCGCTGCTTTATTCAGTCCTGTGCCTATAAGGTGCCTGAAACAGCGAAAATTTTGCTGTAGGGGATAGAATCCCTGGCTGGCATGTTTGAATGCTACCATTTTGATGTTTAGATATACTTTTTAAACATGATTATTGTTGTCAAAAATGGGGTTTTATGACATGATTATGACCACATTAACAAAATAATGCATATTTATTATGCTATTAGACAACTTTAATTGACCTGAGACAGGATTAGTGGGAGTTCACACTTGAATTGAAGCATAGTGCTGGTGTCACTTGTAAACATCATTTTACTTTTGAAAAAGTATGATGTTATAGCATGCGTCGGTAGAACCCAGCCTAACTCACGCTATGATGAACCATTTTCTGTGAAAGAAAATAGGTTGAGGAAATGGTTATCCAACCCTATTACTTCAGAATTACTGGTTCCTTTGTTTCTTGATATGTAGTAGATGTGCAGTTTATGATATGATTACTTGCTTTCTTATATAGTACAAGATTGATGGTTAATGCTAGATTCCTAGGTAATTTAGTGGTGTAAATTTCTTGCTTTAATGTTTGTTTTAATATCTAATTAGGGACAAAATTAGGTAATCAAGTATAAATGTGTGGTCTTAAACATAGCTTGTGGATTTCTATTGCATTATCAAGCACTGGTACTATTAGATTTGGGTGATTAGCAATCTTAATCAAAACCTAATCTTTTTCAACTAGTAAATGATCTTCAACTACAATATTCCCTATCTTGAAGCTATTTATTATCAAGATACGGTCGCAAACATTAAGTCATCCTAGCATCAATTAATGGTTGGTCAAGATATGAACAACTCTTATCAATCACTTAAACAAACTTAGGTTTTAATAAAACAAGAACTTGAAATTATTAAAAATTAGGTGGGGACTGTGTTGTCCAATTTACAGCTGAGAAATAACCATTATGACACTATGCTTCACACTAGATAAATGGACATAGTCTTCCTATGTGGTTGACTTTAATGATTGTTTCTATCAATTAAAACAGTTTAATTAGGTTTCTAGAATCTAGTACAATAGATACATGCTTCTATGATGTTCCTATGGTGGGCTAACTCATTTCTGAGTTCCATTATTACAGGCAATGAGAACAAAACCAACACACACAGACTTTTCTCCACCAAAAGAGTGTTGTTGCTTTCTCTTCCTTTGTTTTCTTGCTCCAAAAAGACCATGACTAGAAGATGACGCGAAACCCACCAATAAATTGGATTCTCAAGCAAGAAGAAGCAAAGCAACCTCACCTTTTAACGCAAAAGGTGAAATTATTAGTCGGTGTAGTTAACAGCAACTTGTTAACAAATTGTATTTAATAGACAACAAGCAATAGAGATATATTAGCATAGTTCATCTAAGCACATACTAAATAATATATTCTCTCTCTCAATATGATGGACAAGAAGAATGAATTGGTGGACTTATCTTCTTTTCTTCTTGTTGAAGGCAGCGCAGATTCCGAGGGACTTTTGAAGCTCTGTGAGGATGTGAATATGGACTGTGATTATGGTGAAGAAGAAGAAGAAGAAGATGATGATGATGCTGAATCATGCAGCTGTGACACAACAACACTGCTTGAAGTTTGTTGTTGTAGCGAGTTTGATGAAGCTGATAAAGATTGTAGTGATGGCCAGGAGCCAAGTTCATGTAGGTGGATGTTGGAATTTACGTGTGATAAAGAAGGTGAAGAAGAGGTGTCTAAGAGTGTAAGTAAGGAGGTGATGGATCAAATGGAGGACACACTCTTTTGGGAGACTTGCCTGGCGGTAGGCTACCCTACCCAGCCTAGCTATCCTTAGATTTTAGGGCTTCATTTTTTCCTTTGCCGACCTAAATTACTAATTAGATTTTGGTAATTTGATAAATTTAAAATCATGAATTTCAGTTATATGTTTTCTTCTTCTAAGAAAAAGATGAAAAAAAAAATACATAAAAAAAAAAAAAAACCTAAACCCATTACTACAAGTGTTTCTAAGATTTGAATGAGCGATGAACTGTTTTATGTATAGGTTGTGCTTTAATTTTTGAATTTTAAAAATTAGGTATAGGATGGATGGAGAAATTGTCTTATTGGATGGATTTTTTTTTTTTTTGAATATTCTTATTGGATGGATTTCTGAAATTGATTTTCTTTAGATGAATCAAATATTTGATTTATATTTTATTATTATTGTTATTTATACCATTAAATTATAAATGATCATTTTTTATACTTGTCATTATTGTTGCATATGAAGGTCTTGATCAGGATAGAAATAATTGAGTATAACATAATTATTTTATTAAGCTTTCTTCTATAATGTAAAAAACATTACTATAAAAAAAAAAAAAATTATAAATTTAAGGTTGGGCCCCTTCTCAAAGAGAAAGAAAAAGAAAAACGAGTAGCCCGCGTGCCAACTAGTACTCGTAATATTGACGGTGGGCCGGCCCGCGGCCTTTGGCATTTTTAACCATCATGCATTCTTCTTAGGTGATTAGCGGGCTTTGGGCTTACCATCTGAAAAAAATAAATCTAACTTCACAGACTAGGATCTAGGCCCAGGAGCCAGGACTTAGCAATCAAATAAAATAATCATATTTAATTAAGCATAAGAACTACGTATATCCGGTGTATTCTTATTATTACGTATCAAACCAATAAAAAAAAAAAGTATTTTAAAAAAATTGTTCCTGCTTTAATTTTTTTTTTCAGAAATGCTTTCATTTTAACCAAAACATTATATATTGGTGTACAGATGAATCTATATAATCGGTGTAAGTAAGTCTTTTTACTTAATTAATACCATATAAAAAACTTACATGTGAAGGATAAAATGATTAAGATGAGTATATAAATATACAATTCACATGAAACCCACGATGATTCTTCTATTTTTATTTTTGGATAATGTTATAGTTCAGTTGTACCTTTAATTTCCGGTACATGTACAATAGAATGGTTTAATGATGAACCACAATCATGAGGCTTCTGTTCTACTATGTGCACAGAATAATACCACATGTAACTTCTGAATCTTTAATATGGAGATTGGTTGAGCAACTCCATATACTATTTAACCTCAGAGACAAGCAATATAATAATATAATGTCAACAAGGTTCCACAAATTAGCTTTATCTAATTTTTTTTTTTTTTTTTTTTTTTTTTATTTTTTTTTTTGTTGTGTTGTTAGCCATGTGTCGGTCAGTGGTATTGCACATAACACCCTGTAACAAAATGTTTTCTTACTACAATAATTAAAAAATAATAAAATAAAAATGGAATATTTGTATCCCCCAAAATGATCTCCCTTCTCTTTAGTGGATGATATTTAATCTATATTATATTAAGCAAAAGATTATTATGTATCTTTATATTTTATTAATTTATAAATCTAATATTGTAAGTACCCTCAATTAAGAGCTCTCTCTTCGTTTATAATACAATTTTCGCTTAACATCAAATGAGGCACAGGAAGAATTAAAAGAGGTAAAGCAGAAATAGAAGGTAATGATGAAGTCTATGATGAGTGGGCCAAAGATGTGCGGCGTTGATTCCTTCACGATATAGAATATGTTATCTGATTTATTGCGAGACATAAGTGACTGATCCTTCCGCAACAGCGATTCTGGCAGAGCAAGTCAGACGAACAGACGCTCAGCAACATCGACAGGACCTTGCTTCTGAATCAATTTTATATTATACTAGTAATCATGAAATTATTTAACATAGAAATGGGTAAGAGATTGACAATAATCAAACCAATAAAAGTCATCATAAAACTCAAAAGCATCAACACCCTAATATGAAGATTTTCCTGGGCAACCTATTTGCATTCTCCAAATCATCAATATGCTAGCTGAGGCCCATGACATTATGATGGATCCCAGGCGTGTATTTGCATTCGAATAATCACAATCTGACTCTATAAAACTAGCTTTCTTGTATGCCCACTAAACCCTCCACGGTACTCAAGATTTACTAATACCAGTTACTAAATTCAATATAACCTAAAAGACAGAAAATATGAACTAATGCCCATATCTTTAGAGAGGCAAAGAATTAAAAGAGGTAAAAGAAATAGAAGTATGATGAAGTCTATGATGAGTGGCCAAAAGATGTGCGGCTTGATTTCCTTCACGATATATATGATGAATGGAAGAATAGTGATGATGCAGCAAGTCAGCAACACGCCAGCAAAATCGAAGGACCTGCTCTATCAATAATAATAATAGTAATATGCATTATTATCAAAAATAGAGATTACATAATCAAACCATAAATATCAATACTCAATCAACCCTAAATGGAACCCACCTTTGCCATTCCATCTCCTATCAGCTGAGCTGACATTTGTGGATCCCAGGCGTTTGCTCGAATATCACATCGACTCTATCTAGCTTCTGTATCCCAAAAACCCATCCACGTACAGATTACAATAACCATACTAAATTCAAATAACCTAAAACAGAAATATGAACTTGCCAACTTTGATACGCAGAATCTTAAGACAAAAGCAAAAGACTGCACACTTAATCAATCCATTATTATATATATATATATAAAATAACACATATATAACAATACTATGGATGAAGGAAGCAAGTGGATGCACGCCAAGGAATTTGCCTAGTGGTAAATGTATTATGACTTGACAACAGATCCATGTTCGAATCTCCTTTCCTCGATACTAAAAAAGAAAAAAAAGAAAAAAGAAAGAAAACAGGTGGATCCAACTAATTTTATTGCATCTCATAATTAAAGAATAAGAATATTGCAATATAGTTTGTTCTCTCATCAACATATCCGAAAATAATGTAAAAAAAGTTGGTAGGAAATATGGTTTACAGGTATTTAATACCAACTATGCTATTTTTAATTTATTGTATCAGTAAATATAATTAAACTAAGCAAATGATATGCTTAATTTCTTAAAATTCATTTCTGTATACAGATAGGAATGTAGCAACTACAAGTATTTGGATTTCACCCATAAATCATAAATTTCATTTTTTAAACATAACTGAAACAATATATAAAAAGGATGAGTTAGATTAATTAGATCAAATGTCATCCATGATGTGAATCATTACTGTATATTATCAACTTAATTACTTAATTAATTAACCAATTAAACCATCTATTTCATTGTGTGTGCTTCATCTAATTAACTAACAAGCAACGCAAGTCAACCCCATTAGTCTCTCAAGAGGCAAGTCCAGCTTTTATGTTATTATAAAAAAATCTGCTAGCAATTGAACAGTTTCAATCGCCAGGACTAATTTATTGCTACTGTGTGTGTATATATATGAGCAATCATTGTGTTAGTTTTGCATACAGTAGCAGCACAGGACTGCAAATCGTATACACTTTCTTTCATAGACATTAAGAGTTAGAGACAGATATGAAGAATAAATCAGTTTTCTTGTTGATCTTTATTGCAGTAGTTGATTATGAAATAGGTGTTTGCTATGGAGGACTGAGGAAAAATTTTTACGAGCATACCTGTCCTCAGGCTGAGGAAATTGTCAAAACTATCATTTGGAAACGTGTGGCTTCCAATTTAACATTACCTGCAAAGTTTCTAAGGATGCATTTCCATGACTGTTTTGTTCGGGTAATTTTTTTTTTTTAAATTTAAATTAATAAACATAATTCAAATATGTATATATATATTATTAAGATTGGATTAGGGTTTTAAACATTAGTCTTGGGATATTGTTATTTTGTTGTAGGGTTGCGATGCATCGGTATTGCTGGATTCGACGCCAAATAACGCAGCTGAAAAAGCAGCAGCTCCAAATTTATCTCTTGGAGGTTTTGAGGTAATAGATGAGGTCAAATCCCAATTAGAGAAGGAATGCCCTGGAGTTGTTTCTTGTGCAGATATAGTTGCTCTAGCTGCAAGAGATTCTGTTTCTTTCCAAGTAAGTTTAACTAATTGATAATAATTAATTGATTTTTTTACAAGTTTTACGAACCCTAATTTGTTTATTGTTGAAAATATAATGACATAAACGCAGTATCAGAGGCCATTATGGGAAGTGCTAACAGGAAGAAGAGATGGAACAATTTCTCGAACATCGGAGGCTCCATCAAATATTCCTTCACCTTTGTCCAACTTCACCCTTCTCAAACAATCTTTTGCCAACAAAAGCCTTACCGTTCACGATCTCGTTGTGTTATCAGGTACATACATATTATCTTTCTTTTAGGTATAACAATAAGACAGTTGGATGGGCGGAGACGAAACGTTTCGAGGCAAATTTATTTGTAAGAAACTTGGAGTCGCCACTTTGATTAATAGACGACAAGTCTTTTGTAACTAACAACTGGTCTTGTGCACGAAATAACAAGTAGAAGACTTGAACATAATGACCATATTAAGTAGCGTATTTCAAAAGGATCCATCGTCGGATAGTTTAGGCTAAACGACACTGCTTCACTTAAATGGCCAGTGGTCTGGACATGAAGCTTAGGTTTAGGCTTGGGCCCAAATGTAATTAAGGAAAGAGACAGGGATTTAAATAAAAATAAATAAATTTTTTTAAAAATGGTATTTGGTCAGGTGGACACACCATTGGAATAGCACACTGCAACTTCTTCAGCAACAGATTATACAACTTCACAGGAAAAGGAGACACAGACCCTTCCCTCAACCCGTTCTATGCTGCTTTCTTGAAAACAAAATGCCGAACTCTGACAGACAACACAACGACAGTGCCAATGGACCCCTTTTCTCCTTTATCTTTCGATACCACTTACTTCCATCTTCTGAAGCTAAACGAAGGCCTTTTTCAATCTGATGCTGCACTTCTTACCGACAAGGGATCGAGCAATATCGTAGATGAATTGCTCGATCCGGCCAAGTTTTTCACCGAATTCGCTCAATCTATGAAGAGATTGGGAGCCATTGAAGTCCTCACTGGAAGTGCTGGACAAATCAGGAAAAATTGCAGGGTGGTCAATTCTTGAGGGCCTCTTTATATGTCAAACCAAATGTTTATTTCTTTTCCAGATCAAGTGGAATGAAGTTCTTGTGTATTTGTTTGATATTGTTTGTGACTGTAACAAAATTATTTATCTGGTCCATAAGTGGATTTCAATGTAATACATCTTTTTTTTTAATGTATTTTTTTGGGTTAATCTTATCATTAAGCAACATGGCAGACATTGAGAGACATATAACTAACGTTGGGAACGTGCAAAAACATGTAGTAATTCAAAAATATTAACTTTCTTAATTTAATCCAGCAATATTTGTGTCTTCCTCGGCGGTGAATGAGATATCTCTTGATGATCGAAAACGATATCGAGAAAAAGGGCTACTCTTTAATTGTAGCAATTATTAGAAGCTTGTGCTAAATATACCTGCATACATGCGGATTTTATGTTATTGTATTATTATTATTATTATTATTATCCTAATGAAAAAAGAGTATATATATATTATCAATTAGCATTTTTCGTTATCGAAATATGATATCATCTTTTACCGATAGCTCAAGTGATAAAATAAATTTAAGCTCATCAGATAAATTTACAGAATGGTTTTTGAAATATTTGTGAAAAAATAATTAAAAAGAAAAAAATTGGCATCAACTTTCTTAAAGTATATCTAATTATCTACTAGCTGTGGCCATAGTTGCTTGAAGAATTTAATGTAATATGCTTATCATCTTGACACATTTATAATCATCAAATAAAAGTCACTTCTTTATTTTTTTAAAATTTTTTTATTCCCGACAAGTCAATCGACACCGATAAAGAATACAAATAAGTAGAAGTTGAGGAAAGAAATAACATTGTCGGCCTTTATGTTGTCTACAGAAAGGCTAAAAAATATTATTCAATAAATTTGAATACAGCTGACTTGAATTAATCATTGTTGAATTGTTAATTAGTTTATGAAGAGAAGTTGCAGGGATAAGTATGTTAAGACATTTTTATTCCCACAACTCCAAAATTCAAGGCGGATGGCTTGTTCAGGACAACTATATAAAGGGTTGGAATCATGTTCATTTCAAATCATCAGCTACAACTATTTTCCTGATTATTGCGTCTAATTTAGTTTGGTTTTTAAATATTAGCGAAGATATGAGGCCTAGTAACTTCATTCTCCTACATATTTCTCTCCTAGTGCTAACTGCAGCCATGAAGTTTTCCAATGGAGAAGATCATGGTCATGGTCTTAATCCTGGCCGTGGTCTGGGACATGGTCCTAATCCTGGCAGTGGTCTTGGACCTGGTGGGAATCCCGGTCGGGGTCATGGTCCTAATCCTGGTCGTGGTCGTGGTAATGGTCAGCAAAATAAGCAACATGGGCAAAACAGTTGCCCGCAACTTGAAGCAATTTCAAGGGAAATTACGTGGAGAAGGGTTTCTGCTAACCCCGCCTTTATAGCCAAGATATTAAGGATGCATTTCCATGACTGTTTTGTTAGGGTAAGGACATGCATTTACTCTTTTTTTTTTTTATATATTAAACAACTAAAACTTCATACAAAAATATGTGCCAATATCATATAATTTTAAACATTTATATATGCAATGATATATGAATCCCATAAAATTATATGATGCAGGGATGCGATGGATCCATTCTGTTGGATTCTACTAATAATCCTGCTGAAAAAGAAGCGATACCAAACAAGTCTTTAGCAGGATTTGATGTTATTGATGAAATAAAAGCTAAATTAGAAGAAGAATGCCCTGGACAAGTGTCATGTGCTGATATTCTTGCCTTGGCAGCAAGAGATGCTGTCGCTTTCCAAGTAAGACAATAATATGTAATTAAGTTTTAATTAGGAAAATTTGTAGTACAGTAGTAGTAATGCTCTTGTATATTAATTATACAGTTTAAAAGGTCTTTATGGCCCGTTTCTATTGGAAGAAAAGACGGAAGAGTTTCTTCGAAAGATGAGGCTGATAGAGATTTACCCGCTCCATCAGCTAACTTTACCACTCTCAGGCAACAATTTCAAAGCCATGGACTGGATGTTACAGATCTTGTTGCTTTGTCAGGTAAATTAATTTCCATATATATATATATATTTTCCATATACTATATATATATATATATATATATATTTTTTAAATTGGCATTTCACAGGATTTAACCTTTCTTTTTCTTGCCAGGGGCTCACACTATTGGGACTAGGCGCACTGTGTAATTAATTTGCAAAACGGCTGTTTTTGATTTCACAGAAGAGGACGGATACCAGACCTTCCACTCAATAAAGAGTATGCCAGAATTTCTTATATATTTGTTAACTTGCTTCAACAGGATTAACCTTTCTTTTTCTTGCAGGGGCTCACACTATTGGACTAGGGCACTGTGTAATAATTGCAAAACGGCTGTTTGATTTCACAGAAAGAGGAGATACAGACCCTTCACTCAATAAAGAGTATGCAAATTTCTTGAAACAGAAATGCTCAAACCCTCCCAATCCAAATACCACATTAGAGATGGACCCTGGAAGCTCACTCTCCTTTGACAGCCATTATTTTGTGGCTCTAAACCAAAGCAAGGGTTTGTTTGAATCAGATGCCGCTTTACTTACTAACCCAGAAGCAGCTCGGCTGAGCAGTATTTTCCAAAACCAACCTGTTTTCTTTGCTCAATTTGCTCTGTCAATGGTGAAAATGGGTTCAATTGGAGGAGATCAAGGAGAGATTAGGAGGAATTGCCGTGTTGTTAATTAATTAATGAGAAATATGTATTATTAATTTATGTGATTGTGTCTTTTTTTCATTTCATCGATCACGTAAATGTAGTCTTTCTTGCTGATTTCATTACATAAATAAAATTGCAAGCAAAAGCTATGCATGTATTTAGATTGAACAACAAATTGATATTCAGGGGTTATTCAGTAATTTTAAGTCTTTAGGAATCTTCAGAAAAATTACTAAGAAAATGAATTGATCAAATGGCGGTTGATTCTTTAGCCTTCATTGTTTTGATGGCAGCTTGTCTAAGCACATTTTTATGTCAATCTCCGTGTTCTGCGGAGCGGTATTCAGATGACATTTTACTATTAATTTAATAATTTACGAAAAACTCCCACTAAATTGGAGATAACATGTGATTATATACTGTGTATATATCCTTCAAAGCTAATGAATTCCCTAAAATACCTATTACTGAATTATTAATATGTGATCAAGGCCAATAATATAATTATAACCTAATTAAATAATATGCACTTCAATTTTGAAGACCAAAGAAAAACTTAAAAAATAATTGGAATCCATTATTAAGTTAATCATGTTACAAATTCATTTTACATGGTGGGATTTAACCTATGATCCGTTAATGTGAAATTATATTTTTAAAAATAAGACTTATCTACATTTGGTGCATGGGCGATCTCATATATCAAGCCAATTTATGAAAGATTTTCTAAAATATAATTACAATTTTATCATTTTCTTCAATGAAGCAACTAATTCTCTTAAATTATAACGGTTATTACCCTTTAAAAACTTATAAAATAGTTATTGTATTTTATATAAATAAGGTATATTCTCAAAATGACTTATATTTATATAAAAAAAAAATTCCTAAAACTTTATTATACACTAATTCTTTCCCACTTCTCTAAATCACAATTTCCATAAAAGATATTATAGAAACTAAATGAATTAACTGTAACTTGCATGAAACAAATAAATTTTAAGCATCAAAATTAGCAAAATTTACTTTATAATACCATTTTACTGTAATATTTTAAAAATTAATTGTATTAATTTTTATAAAGAGATCTTTTAGAAATTGTATTCACTAGTAGACCATTTGTAGGAGCTACAAATAATACTATACTAATAAAAAAAGAAATCAAAGTCAAAGTCATGTAGCCAGAACGAGGAAGCCTGCCGATTAGAAGCGTAGAGGGTATCAAGGAACCGCGTGCCACCTTTTCTACAGTTAACTTTAGATGCATATATATATATAAACCTAGCAGATTACTTACGTAACCAACTCATATAACCTCTGACTTCAAACTTAAATTAATTATTTATTTATATTATGTTGACCTTACTTATCAATTCAAAATGTCCTTAATGTCGTTGCTTGTACATATGTTTGAGAAATTATGTTATTTAGTTTATCAATTATATCTTTTTGTTGTACACAATTTCTTTTTGTTGATAGAATTAAGAGGTGTAATCTCATTCGGTTTGTAGAGAGTAAAAATTTTTGCCCATTAATAAGTGCATTTCTAAATAATTGAACTTGTATTCTTACTCTTATGAGAATTAAATTCATTTATCACTTAAATCAACATTTTATTAATTAATTGTGCTTAATTTCTTGTAAAAATTACTTAATCTGATCACCTTCTAGCTATTACTATATTATTTGATTACTTAACTTAACGAATGGAACGGTGGCTATAATGATTGCAATAAGCAAGTAATTTAAAAAAGAAATAACAAGTGGGTGATCCATGTCAAGGCTAAGATTATGGACAAATTGAGTTGAGGTGATTTTTTTATTCTTCTATTACTGAAAGAAGTTCTTGGAGTCGCTTGCCCTATAAATAGACACGCTTGTTGCTCATTCTCATCATACATCGTACATTTCTCTTGTTTAATTGGTTCTTCAACTAGCTTAGAGTTAAAAAAAAATGATGATCGGTAGAGATGGAGTATTGATTGTGCTAGCACTTCTTGTTTTTAGAGCTTTTAGGGTTTGCAGAGCTGATGGATTGGTAGAGAACTTTTACAGCTCTAGCTGCCCACAAGCTGAGGCGATTGTGAGGAACATTACAAGAAATAGAGCTCAAAGTAACCCTCCTTTGGTTGCTAAACTGTTAAGGATGCACTTCCATGACTGTTTTGTTAGGGTACGTAATTATGATTTATGAACCAAAAGAAATTAGATTAGTACTATTACCATGCTTTGTTTCTTAAATTATAAGTGGACATGGATATTCTCAGGTCAACTTGCTCATCCGAAAAGCAGGTCAAAGGCAAAATTATTATTATTTCTGATCTCTATGTGTTATATATGTCGTAGTAATTAAAGTTTGGACATGTCAGGGGTGCGATGCATCAATACTGTTGGATGCAGTTGGAAGTATAAAAGCTGAGAAAGACACAATTCCAAATCTATCACTGTCAGGTTTTGACGTTATTGATGAAATCAAGACTCAACTGGAGGAAGTTTGCCCTGGAGTCGTTTCTTGTGCAGACATTCTTGCGTTGGCTGCTCGCGATGCAGTTACCTTCCCTGTTAGTAACCCTTTACTCGGAATTTACGCTTAAAAATCTTTTATAATGATTCTGTAATAGGGATGAAATAATTACTCTGTTTATTACTCTTAATTGGTCAATGCAGCTTGTCAAGCCTAGATGGGAAGTCCTAACAGGAAGAAGAGATGGCAATATTTCCCTTGCATCTGATGCCGATGAAAATCTTCCTCCCCCATTTGCAGACTTCACAACTCTTATCCAAGCATTTACATCTAAAGGTCTTGATTTGAATGATCTTGTGGTTCTATCAGGTGGACATACAATTGGAGTTGCTCACTGTGCTATGTTCTCAAATAGGCTTTATAATTTCACTGGTAATGGTGATAGCGATCCTTCTTTAGACGAAACATATGCAGATTTCTTGAGAACCCAATGCCCAAATCCAGCCAATCCAGCAATAGCTGTAGAAATGGATCCTGAAAGCTCACTCGGATTCGATAATAGTTACTTCAATACTCTTCTTCAAAATAAAGGCCTTCTCCAATCTGATGCTGCTCTGCTCCAAAATGAACAATCTTCCAAGATAGTTAGACAGTTGAAGATATCTAACGCTTTTCATGCCAAGTTTGCCATTTCCATGAAGAAAATGGGAGCTATTGAAGTGCTTACAGGAGATGCTGGAGAGATTAGGAAGAATTGTCGTGTGACAAATCCCTGAGATTAATATTTGTTTTATCTTAATTGAATTGAATTTTTTTAAAGTCATAATTGATTAAATAATGAAAAAAAAAAATGTATATTTGTATATGTAATTAAATCAATTATCAATATTAAGATGAATAATTTTCCTGTAAACAGCCAATTGTTTTAATCAAGCAAAATAATAATTAATTAATTGCTTTCACCTCGATCACCTTCCGCAGAACAAATAAAACGCCAAAGCGTTTTGTTAATCCTGTCGCTTGCACATTTATTATCTACATGTTCGGCCAACAATATAATTATATAACCTAGTTAGATAATATGCATTTCAATTTTCAAGACCAAAGAAAAACTTAAAAAATAATTATTAAGTTAATCGTGTTACAATTCATCTTACACGTTGAAATTTAACCTATGACATGTTAACATCAATTTATATTTTTAAGAATAAGACTTACCTACATTTGATATTTGCTTAGTCTTATATATCAAGCCAATCTACGAAATGTTTTTTAAAATTTAATTACTATTTTATCATTTTTTTTTCTAATGAATTGTCAAAAATATCTTGTTACAACCAAAAACTTATAATCAATGCTCGTAAAAAAAATATTCCCTCTATCTATAAATATAAATTATTTAAAATTATTTTTTTTAGAAAAATTATTTAAAATTATTAAATGGTGATTAAAAAAATAATTAATTTTCCTAAATTACAGTGGAATATTCATTAATTTAACATAATGTTCTCCCACTTCTCTAAATCACAATTTCTATAAAAGAAATTATAGAAACTAAATGAATTAACTCATGTAAATTGCATGAACAAACAAATTTTAAAATTAATCATCAACTTAGCAAAATTTACTTTATAATACCACTTTATTAATTACTATAATATTTTAAAAAATAAATTGCATTAATTTTTATAAAGAGATCAAACAAAGCCCTTTTTCTAGAAATTGTATTCACTACTAGAGCATTTATAGGAGCTATAAATAATATTATAGTAACGAAAAAGAGAAATCAAATGCTTTTTTAAAATCAAATTCAAAGTCAAATAGCCAGAATACTAGGAAGCCTACCGATTAGAAACTTAGAGGTTGTCAAGGAACCGCGTGCTACCTTTTCTACCGTTGAAGGTATTATCAGCAAAAAAGATATTATATATTATTATTTAAATAGAATCCAGGAAAAAAATTAATAAAACTTATCAGATTATTTACGTAAATGAGAATTTATACCAAATTATACAACCTCTGACTTCAAACTTAAATTGATTAATGATTTATATTATGTTGACCTTGTCTGATCAATTCAAAATGTCCTTAGTTGCTAATATGTTTGAGAAATTATATTATTTATTTATTAAATATACATTTTGTTGCACATAATTTCGGTTTGTTGATAGAATTAAGAGGTGTAATCTCTTTTGGGAATGTAAAGGGTAAAAATTTTGTCGTATATCTTCGAAGGATCAAATTTATATTCTTACCTTTACGGAAAAAAAATTTCGTTTATCTCTGGAATAATGATAAGGAACCGGGATCGGGAATCAAAGGAATGGGATATAAGTTCACCTCTATGGCACCCCACGTTTATAAGGAAACGGAAACACCAATATTATTGGGAATGTAAAGGGTAAAAAATTTTGTGAATCGAAGTACACTCCCTACGGAAAAAAAATTTCGTATATATACTTCTGGAATAATTGTAAGGAACCGGATCGGGAATCAAAGGAATGGATATAAGTTCACCTCTTATGGCAACCCCACGTTTATTAAGGAAACGGAAACACCATATAATTCTAGATTAAACGCTCTTATGGCAACCCCACGTTTATATAGGAAACGGTAACACCAATATCGAGCCAAGAACAAGATAACGCGCACAACGATGTTGATAAGTTTACCTTTAATTCTTGATGCAATTTATGAGGATAGCAAAATTCTCACAATCTCTCTTAATCCAAGAAGAACCATGCAAGCAGCCATTGAAACAATCTGTCTTTTGATTATTAAATTATTGGCCAAAAATCTTCGTTTTTACATCTTAAGGGAGGCTATTTATATGCCCCTTTTAAACAAAACATAAAACCCCTAAGCGAGGCATCTAACTAGGCTGCCTAGGCCAACCACATGGGCTTAACTCTTAACAACCAAAATAAAGTCATTTTCCGCCCAAACAACTAATTAGTGGTACTAATTTCTTTGTAAAAAATACTTAAATCTAATTACATTTTAACCTATTTATTATATTATTTGCATTACTTTTAATTTTAATCAATCGGAGAGAGAGGCTCGTTAATGATCACAATAAATAGATAAGAGGAGTGGATCCAGAAGCTGATAGTGATTTTTTTCTATTCTTCTATTACATGAAAGAAGGTTTCTTGCGGAGTCGCTTGCCCTATTAAATGACTAAGCTTTGTTGCTTTTTTTTTTTTTTTTTTGATTTCGCCAAAAGTGAAAAAAAAAAAAAGGGAGATTGAATTCAATGTATTTCCTAATCCAACTGGCTTATTACTTTTTTTTTTTTTTTTTTTTGATCCGCCAAAAGTGAAAAAAAAAAAAAGGAGATGAATCAATGTATTCCTAATCCAACTGGCTAAATACAAGAAACATGGCATCAGGAGAAGAGAAGCATCAATTCCAAAACACCGAAAGAATAGGGTCTCACGAGAAGAAAAAAATCAAAGCTAAACAACAATCCGAAACACCAAAAGAATAGGATCAGAGAACCATATTGAACGCATAACCAAGTAGAAAATGGAGAAGGAGAGCTCAGTCCTTGTTTTTGCAAAATGATCAGCCACCTTATTCTTCTCCCTAACCACATGAACAAAACTCCCTAACACATGTGCAAAACTCACGCCACTCAAATTTTCCACCATCGGATTAATTTTGTTGAAGATTCTCCACCATTGCCATACCTTCTACGATTATTTGTAACCCAAGAAATAGCATATCTTGAGTCGAACTTGAAAATAATAGGAGAGTCTGTAAGATCAGAATCTGAGAAAATTTCCAAGGCTTTCCATCAATTCTGCAGCGTTGTAATCAAGAACAACAGCTTTTTCATAAAACAGACATTTTATTTCACCTTTTACAATTCCTTAAAACTCGCCCCCACACCAGCAGGACCTGACTTACCCAAAGAGGAGCCATCAACATTAAATTTGTACACACCATTTGAAGGATTGTCCCATCATTCTCATCATACATCATACATTTCTCTCGTTTAATTGGTTCTTGAACTAGCTGAGAAAAAAAAAAATGATGATCGGCAGAGATGGAATATTGATTGTGCTAGCACTTCTTGTTGTGGGAGCTTTTAGGGTTTGTAGAGCTGATGGATTGGTGGAGAACTTTTACAACACTAGCTGCCCTCAAGCTGAGGCGATTGTGAGAAACATTTCAAGAAGTAGAGCTGAAAGTAGCCCTCCTATGGTTGCTAAACTGTTAAGGATGCACTTCCATGACTGTTTTGTCAGGGTACGTACTATTGCCTTATGAACCCAGTTACGACATAAATATTTGCACGTTTAATACATTAATTATGATTTATGAACCAAAAACAATTAGATTAGCACTTATTCCATGGTTTGTTTCTTAAATTGTAACTGGACATTCTCAAAAGCAAAATTATTATTATTATTTCTTGATCTCTATGTGTTATATATGTAGTAATTAAAGTTTGTACATGTCAGGGGTGCGATGGATCAATACTGTTGGATGGAGTAGGAAACGTAAAAGCTGAGAAAGACACAATTCCAAATCTATCACTGTCTGGTTATGACCTGATTGATGAAATCAAGACTGAAGTCGAGAAAGTTTGCCCTGGAGTCGTTTCTTGTGCAGACATTCTTGCGTTGGCTGCTCGCGATGCTGTTACCTACCCTGTCAGTAACCCTTTACTCGGAATGTACTATTAAAAATCTTTTATAATGATATTAGGAGTGATCAAATAATTACTCTATATATTTATTACTATTAATTGGTCAATGCAGAACGACAAGGCTAGATGGGAAGTCCTAACAGGAAGAAGAGATGGCAATGTTTCCCTTGGAACTGAATCCGATGAAAGCCTTCCTAACCCATCTTCAAACTTCACAAGTCTTATCCAATTATTTAAAACCAAAGGTCTTGATGTGACTGATCTTGTTGTTCTATCAGGTGGACATACAATTGGAGTTGCAAATTGTGCCACTTTCATAAACAGGCTTTATAATTTCACTGGCAAAGGTGATGCCGATCCTTCTTTAAACACAACCTATGCAGATTTCTTGAAAACCCTATGCCCTGTAGTACCCAGTCCAGCAACAACAGTAGAAATGGATCCTGAAAGCTCACTCGTATTTGATAATAATTACTTCAAAGCCGTTCTTGAAAATAAGGGCCTTCTCGAATCTGATGCTGCTCTGCTCCAAAATGAAGAATCTACCGAGATAGTTAGACAGTTGACGATGACTAATAGTACCTTTGATGAGAAGTTTGCCATTTCCATGCAGAAAATGGGAGCTATTGGAGTGCTCACAGGAGATGCTGGACAGATTAGGAAGAATTGTCGTGTGGCAAATCCCTGAGATTAATATTTCTTTCTTTGTCTTATTGAATTGAATTGAATTGTATTTTTAAATTCATAATTGATTAAATAAGGGAAAAAAAAATACATAGTTGGTATATGTAATTTTTTTGAAGAGAGTTGGTATATGTAGTAATTAAATCAGTTATCAATATTAAGAATAATTTTCCTTTCAACGTGTGAATTTTATATGAATATAAACTGCCAATAATTGTTTTAATCAAGCAAAATAATTATTAGTCAACTGCTTTCACCAGGATCACTTCCTCGCCGAACAAATAAAACGCCAAAGCGTTTTGGTGTATGAATTCGGTCGTTTTCACACTTCCCCTACATTTAATTGAGTTTAACTTCACAAGAAATTGGATTTCTCTTAAATAATCAAAGAAAATAAATTTAAATTATTATATGATTTTTTTTCTTTTTTTTACTCCAGATAAATTAAAAAATTTCTTCAGAAAAAACAAAAATTAAACCTGAAAAAGACTTAAATGAAATCATTGGTTGTTTCGAAATTTGAATTCTGAAAGCATACAGACGTTAAATAATTACGTTTGCTATCAATGTTCAAAAAAAAAAAAAAAAAAAAAAAAAAAAAAAAATTTGAATTCTGAAAGCATACAGACGTTAAATAATTACGTTTGCTATCAATGTTTTCAAAAAAAAAAAAAAAAAAAAAAAAAAAAAAAAAAAAAAAAAAAAAAAAAAAAAAAAAAAAAAAAAAAAGATAAAGGCATGTGGAATCGAAGAGTCGCTTTGGTTTGGAGGCTCCTAAACTAACCTTCAAGTTATGGCGCCATGTAACGTTCACTTTTTTGAGGTAGTTAAAATAAATACAAGTATGAAGTGAAAACTCAATTCAAATTACAGTTAGCCTAAACTCAATTCAATGGCAAATGAAATGGAAAATGAAGACCCGACTGTTAGTTATTACTTCTCCAACTTTATTAATCCCCCCATTTTCTTTATTTTGTTGAAAATTGACAACCAACATTGTGTTTGTGTGATATAAATTTGAATTAACAGGAAATGGAGGCAGAATTCAAAGTCTCCATGCACTGTAATGCATGTGAAAGGACCGTTGCCAAAGCCATTTCAGAGTTCAAAGGTAATTAATTAAAATATAATCTCGATTAGTTAGTTACTGCATCCTTTTTAGGGTTTAACATACATGTGTCTGTGCTCAGACCAGGGTGATGGCGACTTTAGGTTTCGTACCCATGATTTTATAAGTGAAATTCACCTGGAAATTGTTTTCATTGGTTCAACTTCCTATTAGTTATTACTGTTTTATAGGGGTGGAGACATTTTGGACGGACATGAAGAATCACAGGGTAGTAGTACGAGGCCAAATTGATCCACGAAAGCTTTTGAAGCAGTTAAAGAAGAAGACAGGAAAGAGAATAGAAATTGTAGAGAACGAAAAAGAAGAAGAAAAGAAGGGTTCAAATGGTGAATCTGATAATCAAGGACATGCAGATTCACAAGTAGTTGAATGTCCACAATTACTGTTGGATGATTGTAAAGAGGAAGTGTTAATGACGTTTAATGATGAGAATCCAAATGCATGTTCAATTCTGTAGAGGATAGTTTTCTATTAGTTATATAATTTTCAAACTCTAACCAATAATCATAAACCTCATGTGATAATTGCTGAAAAACAACGCTAAAGATAAGAAATCTCACAAATATTATAATGCAATACATGAATCTTATATAAATTAATTTTTCTACGTGGTGAAGGAAGCTCGAAAGGAGATTTTTTTTAAGGTGGATAGGATTAGAATCTTGTGCCCTGCTCTCTAATTTCAACTTGATTGACTTCAAATTTTAAATGAAAACTCTGCCAATTTGACTAATTTTCTCGTATTATTGCGTCAAGTAACCACTCATATGATTATACAATACAATGTATCCAATTGGTTAACTGTACATTTTCTTATTGCTTCAGTTACCGGTCCATATCCATCTTTAATTGTGACTTGTGAAAGGGAAAAGCAACAACAGATAGGCCAATAAACAACTGACTTGACATATATACAAAAATGTTTTCAAATTGACTTGCTGTTTGAAGCACCAAAATCCCAAATCGGATCTAACCAATTACAGTCTCCCACAAATAATACTTCTTGCGGATGGAAGTACACATGGCCGGTTCAGTGAACCGCCGGTTCGAGATGTTTAAAATTTTGAACTGGAACCGACCCTTGAACCTCCGGTTCCAGCACGGTTCCGACGAACCGACGGTTCAAACTACGGTTTCGATTCGGTTCCGGCATTACGCAAATTTTTAAAAAAATAATAAAATTTTTGATTTCGAATTCATGAATAAATAATAATTTTAAAATGTTTAATTTTTGATTCGATTCCATGAATTTAAATAATAATTTAAAATGTTATAAATTTTATTAACTAAATGAATTATTCTACTTAAAATTTTTAAAAGAAAACATCTATTAACTAACTTAGAAACTATTATTACTTAAATTTCAATTTTGCTAATACTAATATTAAAAACTATAAATGGAATTATAAAATTAATGGAATGAATTGGAAATTATTATTTTTCATACTAAGAAAGATTGATTTAAAATAATTATTAAAAAAAAATCAAATGAAGTAAATTTATGAATGGAAAAATTGAGATTAGAAGGAATTTAGAATTGGATGTATGAAAATAAAAATAAATAATAGATAATTCCAATATTAAGAAAGATAAAGCAATAGAAAAAATAATGAACTATGTAAATTTGAGACTTGAGAGAATTTTGATTGAGAATAAGAGTAGAGTTAGGATGTAATTGGTTGTGAAAAAAAAATCATCAACTCATCATATTTATACATATTTTTCATTTATTAGTTTCTCAAATTGTCCCTTATAACAGAAAAATAACCAGTAAATAAATAAATTAAATGATGTTAAAATGAATAAAATTATTTACCAAAAAATTTAAATAAAAACATCCTCATCATTATCAAAAACTATCCGTTTACACTCTTTTTTTTATCACACTTGGAAAAGTACCTTTTTTTTATATAAATCAAACTATTCATGTTACATTTTTTTATTTAAGTCAAAAATGCCCCGTATTTTTTTCACAATTTAAACCAAACATACTTCTCTTCACCATAAAATCAAATTCAACTTACAATCAATTCAATTGATATAAATTTTCTTTATAAAAATTTTAAGCTAAAATTTTAAGCTACAATTTTTTGTGTATCTGGTTCGAACCGGACCAGAACCGCCGATTCCGGTTCATATTTTAACATCCACATGAACTTTAACCGGCCCTTAAACCGCCGGTTCCGATTCAAAATTATGAACCGCCAATTTCAGTCCGGTTTCAATTCGTCTACAGTACCGTTCGGTTCCGATTAGAACCGAACCGGTGGCCATGCCTAGATGGAAGCTTGTCGGATAGAACATTGGAAGCAAATTCTTTTATCTCTTTTTCTCAGTTCTTTTGTGTTGGCAGACAGCCAGAAGCCCACGTCAGGCCATGAAAGAGGCACATTTGGACCACCGCCCCACTTCTGATTTTTTATGTAGATAGAAAGCTTCACGTGTTAATTATTTATTGGACCTTTCCCTGCAAAAGCATTAGGCAACCGAACTAGAAGTGTCCATTTCCACTTCTTTTGCCCTTTCATGTGGGTCCATTTTGCATTTTGAATCCTAACATCCAATGATGTTGCTTTTAGAATTGGTGGAAATTTGGAGCACTCCAACAACTTATTCCTAAGATAATAGTTAAGCATTAAGAACATTTGTTTATAACAATATACAAATGTGAATGGATTACAAGTGTGGAGAGCATAATTGTGTTTAGGAATCAATGCTTCTGGAGTAAAAGCAAGTTGCAATTTTTAACAACTCTAAATCTACTAATTCTAAAACTGCATTTTTGTACACAAATGGGGGATGGCCAAAGAAATCTATTTTACATTGTTGTGTAAACTGTAAACTGGAAAGCTGGCATGTTTTTCACTTTCTTTATGATGACATTATTTGCAGAGCTTCTCTTTTATTTCCAAGTATGTTGAGTACTGTTGCTGCGATGTGTGATGGTGTTAAACCTGCCTCTATCAACTGGTCAGCTGGTGAACCATGGTCGACATATCGATCAGGAAGAACGAGCGGTCGCCACTGTCATTTAGTTTTTTAACCAAAGAGTAAGTACAAAATATATGTATTTAGAGACGATCATTATATATCAGCAAAATGTGAAAATGATCCTCAGTTAAACGTTCGTAAGGAAATGCTTAGCGTTGAACCAGGAAAAGTTATATTCAATAAATGTAATTATGAAATATGAGCAAGTACCTTAAGCTTGCCATCAAGAAGGCCATTAAGAGCCAGAAAATGGGCGACATGAGATCCAAAGCCCCCAATTGAGCCTTCTTCTACTGTAATCAAAACTTCATGTGAATTTGCTAGACTTCGAATGAGGGCTTGATCCAAAGGTTTACAAAATCTAGCATCTGCAACTGTTAAACGTAGGCCATGGGGTTCTAATAAAGAGGCAGCAGCTAGACAGCTCTGAACTGCTGTCCCATAACCCAAGAGCGCCACTCTTTCCCCTTCAATCAATATCCTGCCTTTTCCAACCTACAAGGAAATAATTATGAGGATATATTGAAACTGAGTTCTTATTTGGTTTTCTGATTTTCCTTTAAGAAAGTGAGAGAAATGAAGGCTTCGTTGAACCTTACCTCCAGAGGAATGCCTTTGTTTCCTGGTGGCAGCTGAACGCCAACACCATTGCCTCTTGGATACCGGAAACAGCTAGGACGATCATCTATTGCAGCAGCTGTGGCAACCATGTTAAAAAGTTCTGCCTCATCAGAAGGAGCCATCACCACCATGTTAGGAAGGCATGCCATAAACGTGACATCAAAAGCTCCACAATGTGTGGGACCATCTGCTCCAACAAGGCCAGCTCTGTCCATCGCAAATCTTACAGGAAGTTTCTGCAAATCCACATCATGTACTACCTGTCTTGTTCATGCATGAACGTCATTAATAGAACATAAATATATGATTAATCTGATATATTAATTTAATGCAACTCCAGGTAGTTATTGAAATGTAAGAAACATATGTATTGGCTTGCCTGGTCATAAGCCCTCTGCATGAAAGATGAATAGATTGCACAAAAAGGTTTAAGGCCTTCACAGGCTAGTCCAGCAGCAAATGTAACAGCATGCTGTTCTGCTATCCCAACATCAAAGCATCTTGAGGGGAAACGGCGAAGGAAGAGATTTAAGCCTGTTCCTCCTCCCATTGCAGCATGAATTGCAACAATATCCTTGTCCACTTCAGCTTCCGCAATCAAAGCCTCTGCAAAGTATGTTGTATAAGACTGTGTAGCGCCACTGGACTTGAATTGCTTCCCAGTTGCTGGATCAAACTTGGCCACTCCTGCCAAATGAAAACCATGAGTTACTACTTGCTACACGAATAAAAAATTTATGGCTTATTCTTTTGTCCCGATGAATTTTGACAATTCTACTTACCATGGTACTTGTCTGCAGCTTTCTCAGCATATGGATATCCTCGACCTTTCTCAGTGACAACATGGATCAAGACTGGACCAATTGTTTTAGTACTTTTAACCTCTTTGAGGATATCAACAAGATCATCTATGTTGTGGCCATCAACAGGACCAATATAATATAATCCAAGCTCTTCAAAGAGGGTTGATCCAGAACCACTGATCATACCACGAGCATATTCATCAACCTTTGCTGCCAGCTCATGCATTGGTCCACCAATCTGCTTTGTGACACCCTGCAATAATTTCCATTACAAGTGAGTTTTCAGATGTAACTAACTTATCAAGTGGCACCTTCTCTCTGCCTCATATTCTTTACCTTAGCAACCTCTCGTAGTTCTCTTAGAGGCCTATTTGATTGCAACCTGCTAAGAGCACTGCTCAAAGCTCCCACAGGTGGTATTGGTCCATCAAGTGTAGCAGTTGGTAAAGAAACTTGTTTGTTGTCATTAAGAATAACAATCATATCAGAGTCCAGGTACCCTGCATTGTTCATAGCTTCATAAGCTTGTCCAGCTGTCATGGCACCATCACCTATAACAGCAACAACATTGTTCTTTCTTCCTTTTAGATCTCTTCCCACTGCCATTCCTGTCCAATACAAGAATCCAAAGTTATACCCTAAATATGGATTAAACCTAGATAGGCCTTATTATTTCATTTCAGCTCAAAATAAGTCATATTTATATCAACTAGAGTAACTTCGGTTCAAAATAACCTAGATAGGCCTTATTCAGATATAAATTTGTATATGATGTTATTGAATGTAACTTAGTAAAATAAATTTTCAGTTTTTTTTTTTTTTTTGAATTTTTATCTAATTATATTCTATTACATGCAATAGCATCCTACCAAACTACACCTATGTGTTATAAATGATGGTAGATGTCATAGATTTACGAAACCTAATAAAGTTTGGTGATTCATTTCTAGATCATTAAAAAGAACAACCTAACTTTGTCAAAAAACAATCCATGCAAAGAATTTTAAGTAATACAGTCTCTTAAAACAGACCAAGACTAGTGGAAATAGGAATGGCACTTTGTTTGTTCAATGGATTTAAGAAACATCCCATAACCACAACTTGCGGATAAGAATAACTATGACCAGGAAAGATTATGAGATCTGATAATAGTCAAAAATGTAAAAAATATATTTAGAAATTCATAAAGATTGAAAAGAAGCAAAAATAGTACCTAAGCCTGCAGAAATAGTGGTAGAGCTATGGCCAGTGCCAAAGCAATCATATTCACTCTCAGATCGCTTGGTGAAACCTGAAAGTCCATTAGTTTGTCTCATCGTGTGCATCTTGTCTCTTCTTCCAGTCAGGATTTTGTGTGGATAGGACTGGAAAACCAAACTGATAGTTTTACAATCGAATTCTGAACAACTTAGACGACAGCATCATGAATGAAAACCAAAGAAGAATCGTATTAGATTAGAAAACCTGATGGCCAACATCCCACAGTATCTTATCTTGAGGAGTATTGAAAACATAGTGAAGAGCCACAGTAAGTTCAACAACACCAAGGCTTGATCCCAAGTGACCCCCAGTTCTAGAAACATTGAAAATAACATCGGACCGCAGCTCATCTGCTAGTTGCTTTAATTCCTGTATATATTCAGAAACTCATTTATAAATTGCATGTGATGATATAAAGTTGTTTTCTTTTTTATGAATAAGCATAGTTATATACCTTGATTGATAGATTTTTCATATGAATTGGATAGTTGATAGTGTCCAAGAGAGGTGTTGCTGGTCTCTGTGAATGATACTCTCCTCGCTCTGACAGTGATGCAGAAACTCCACCTGACTTTTTCTTGCCCTTTGCCTAAACAGAACAAAACAGTTTCTTTCAGTGGTTTTATTCTTTTATTCTTTTTATTTTTTCTCTTTTACACAAAAAGCGGAAAATTGAAATAACCGAAACTCCATACAAATACAAAGAAGAAAAATATATATTGAATAAAAAGACGAAAATAAAAGGACCATGGCGGGCACTTCCTCAGCACTCTTAACTCAATTCTGCGACATGGGTATTATTGCATACACGTTAAGAGCATATAAAAATAAAAATAAAAATAAAAAACCTGATTAATCCTATGTGGAGATTGCCCCAACAGATCTGTTCTCCATAAGAAATGAGGATAAACATAACTGTATTTTTGAAGATCTGAGCATGCGGCCCTGTTTGCATGAGCAGGAACTGAGAATGCAGAGAGAGCCATTACAGGAAAAGACCCGAAAGGACCAAGAACAGAAAAAGAGCTTAAAATGGTTCAAAATTGTGAATAGAGAAGAAAAAGAAAAGAAGAAGGAAAGAAAGAAAGAAATAAGCAGAACAACCCAGATACGGAGTGGAAGTTACGCTTATGGTTCTTAATGCTCCACTAATGAGGTACCAGTACATCAATATAAAATGAGCATGTGGTGGAAAGTAAGAGATATAAAGGAGAAAGAGCGAAGATGGAACCTTTAATCTTGGGTTTCATATTTATAGTGTTACATAGCATAGCAGGAAGCACTGAAGCAGGGGAAAGTGTTGCAGGACAGGAGCATAGTGGCTAGTTTACTCCCATTGGGCCACGTCACCAGAAATCAGAAACGGATAGATTGTATGGATAGATACTCAGTAATTCGATAATATGTAATAAAAATATGCAGCTTCGCCTCCAGCGGAGGATGTTAACTTTGGTCTATTATGGAAGATGCGGGCTTTGCGCTCTTCAATGTATGCATTTTTTAATTTCATACTTATGTTATATTATTTAACGATGAATTATTAATTTTTAAAACAAAAAATTGAACGTCGTCTATCTTTTAATTAAAGTTTTACTTTTTTTTTTTTTAATTTACTAAGAGGCTCAATGCTCATAAATAATATTTTGGATTATGTAATACAGGCGACCCTTTCTTTTATTTATTGATAAAAACTTTTATTATCATGATGTCTCAGAATAAAAAAAGATCTCAACGTAGATGACTAGATCATATTTAATTGAGAAAATTTGACTACTCTTATACTGAATTTAATCAATTCCAAAATAACGTACTAATAAACGTAAAATAATATGAAAATAAAAATGATTTATTGACAACCAACAAAAATATCAATTCAGTAGGATCAAAATTGGCATTGGAAACAGAAATGAAAGAGAGATAAAGTGAGGGACAAATGTTTTTCATTTTCCTTTCTACGTTCAAAAACTCATTGTCATAGTTAAAATTTTCACTTCTTATTTATTCTCCAATTCATACTCCAAGTCTCCAGCCACGAAACTATTAGTCTAATAATGACAATGATACTTTTCTTTTTTATAAACCCTCCAGTATTCAATCGACTAATCTAGATTCGAATTCTATTATGAATATTATGGAGGCGACCCTGGACATTGGAGTCCAGGTGAAAACCATTCAATATTCGGCACAAGCGACTAATCTAGATTTGGGTTCTACTAAAAACATTATGGGAACAATTCTGAATATTGGAATCCAGCGTGTGAACGTTGAAATCCAGCGCTTCATCCATCGGACCAATTAGTAGTCGGTAATGATAACGATACTTTGGAGGCCCAAATAAAGGAGGAGATTGGTGAGCGACTCTTGTCTTGTATGTTGTATGTTATAACATAATGTTCTATTTAGAAAATCTTCCATGATAATTTTTGTTATTCAATTGAGTGAGGGACTCTTGTCTTGCTTGTTGTATGTTATAAATTATAACCTAATGTTTGGATTTAAATAATCTTGCATGATAATATCTGTCTTAAATCTTCCATGTTAAGGTTTGTTCTGTTCCAGCTGTGTGAAAGAAGACATTAACCCCCCCATTGGACCCCCCTCACATTAATGAATTCATTAGAATTCCGTCCTGTGATAGAGACACCAGAAACCCTAGAAGCCACAAGCCCCAAAATCAATCCCCCACCCGATCAAATTTTAATTTGTAATTTATAATTTCCGATTATTTTTCAATTTTTTTGATGTCTCTGCTTGAGAATGCTGTGAGTAAATTTCACATCAACAGCTATCAAGGAAAAGGTAAGGTGACTGGTGATGGCTACGCAAACCAGAAGCATCGTGATCCATGCCAATCCTAAAACATTATAGCAATCACCACATGAAACATGCACATCCACTTCAGGTTTATTATTACAGACAACAACCATTCGAGTGATTGCCTTCAATTCTTAGTGGTGTCAAATTCCAAAATGGGGCAGGAGACCTTTCAAAGTAAGCAGGGTAACAAACTTGACAAGAGAACCAGAAAGCTACATATCCAGAGTTTGTCCGCTGGTCTCTAAAGGAATCAGTCTAAACACCATAATTGTAAAACACGGGGAGCAGCAAAGTAAGGATTTACACAATAATTCAATACAAAAAGAAAATATTAACAGCTACAGGACATAAACAGTCTCTTCATTTCGATGCGTCAGGTTAGGGGCAATGCAATGTGCGCTAATGACTTCAGACAACAAAGCAAAGCAAGCATGCATTTAGCATTAAATCTCAATTTACACTCATTGCTGTAAAGGGATTTTAAGGCTCAGACTCAAGAAAAACCAAGTATCGTAATAGTATGAATTTATAAGAAATCATTCTATAATCAATATATAAACATCGATCCTACCATATGGATTCTGCTAGAAGTAAAGCAACTGCAAACTTCTAAAGAAATTACTTTTTCGCATCATCTAAAGGAGGGTTGAAGAAGGGATGACAGAATATAATAAATGACACAATTCTTATTCAGGTCTACTGACTAGAAAATTGTTAATTGCAGAAGTATATTGATCCAAAATAAAATAGACAATAACAAAGATTTATCACATATCCTTCCACCTCATTTCATTTTTGCCTCAGTAAATAGAACATGGCGATTCACCCGAGGGTCGTATTTCCTAAACTCAAGTTTCTCAGCAAGTTTCTTAGAACTCTTTCTCTTCACGTAGAAGAACCCAGTCCCAGCAGCTGAAACAAGCCGGATGAACATGAATGTCTTCTTTTTCTTGTCACCCATGTCCTAATCGCATAAAGAAAACAATAAAAGAACAGTATAAACAAAAACATACTTCAGAGAAAGGATTTTTTTTTTCCCCTCACAAATAAGAAACAATATATATAACTGGTATACATGGGCATGTGATGCTCTTTGTATTTTTAATAAAGGCAGTCACTCTCCATGGGTTGAGTCTCACACTCACTCTCCATATAGAATCGAAATCCATTGTCCACAACATACAACAAATTTTTTCATCTCTAATCTGAAATTCTAACAGACTAGAATAGGTCTTAAATCTTGACTGATCATATCAAAACAGAAAAGACAATAAATTAACAAAGTTAGACAGAATTCGAAGCCCAGTCACCAAATAAATCACATCCACAATAATAGATCCCACTTGATCATTTTATCGAGCACCTTTTGAGCAACATTCATGGACTAACCAAATTCAATTATAGAAGTCAAAACTCGAATTTCTATACTGACCTAATTATAGAAAACGCAGGGCATTTGATTAAACAAAGAAATAAAAATATGATATTTCTACGAGGCTACAGTAATCTTAAAACAAAAGCAAAGCAATTTTGGTACAAAGAAAAACTCAAAAGGGTTAAATAGGGTTAAACAAAAGCAGAGAAAGTCGGCAAATTGTTATCAAAGAATCGATTGAAAAAAGAAAAACTGAAACTCACTAGCCAATCTTCTTCGTAGCAGTGAAATAAACGGCACTCTTCAAATCGAACAGGAACTTCAAGGGATAGAGATTAGCAACAAAAACCCAAAACCCTAGAAGAGAAGAAGAAAAAGCCTAATGACACGTTAGTCTCTAAATCATTTTATGACTTGACATAAATACCCTTAGTCACTAATATTTATTTCCAATGTAGGTATCTTATCCTATTCCTTTACCTCATGGCGCACGTTAGCAACACTGGGCCTCTCTTCGATTTCTCAGCATTCAGCATCTAAACGATCTGGTTTCCTCCTTTTCTTTCTCGCTTACGAAGCTGTGTCTCTGACTCTCAGAAGCAACGAGTACGTACAGTTAATCTTGATTAAGGAAAGAAAAAGTTTCCCCCCAATAAATATTGAAAACCCTCATCTTTCTGTTTGTTCATTGAGAAAATGTGGAAATGTCGAGAAGAAAATTAAAGTAAATTTTATGGTTGTTTTTGTCCTTAAGGTTGTAGAACCGATTGGAGATGGCGAGTGCGGTGGACGCTACTGGAAATCCGATCCCGACATCGGCGGTGTTGATGGCGTCATCAAGGCATATAGGGACAAGGTGCTACGAGGAGAATGTTGCGTTTCTCAAGTGCAAGAAGAAGGATCCGAACCCGGAGAAATGCCTCGATAAAGGCCAGCAAGTCACTCGCTGCGTCCTTGGCTTGTAAGCAATTTTAAATTTCTGTATTATCATTTTGTTCTTTTGGATTATTTAGCTGTTTCATTATGTTATTAGTTGTTACAATTGTTCTTAGATTTTAATTATATGGTGTCTCATTGTGGTAGAAAATAATTTTTAGATCATTTCTATTGAACTATTGATCATGGATGCTTTTGTAGATTTTGTTTCTCTGTTTTATTGGTTGGGTTCAAGAAGTTCGCAATGCAAGCTCAATTTTATTAGATTATGCAGGAATTTCCTTTTTTTCTTCGGTTTTTTGGGTTTAAATTCAGATAATGAAACTGTGGTGGGATTTGGACTGAAAAGTAAAATGGTAAGTCCAGTATTAAATACATAATTGAATTTGATTAATTTGCTCCAAGGGCCTAGATTCTCAACAGTTTTTGATGCATCCATGTGAAATGTTCTACTTTGGGAGTTGGGGGAGATTAACATCCATTTTCTTTTCCGTTGTTTTTTTTTTCCGTTATTCTCATGCAGATTAAAGGGTTTCATTGATGATTCTGCATTGACTAGTTGATTTGCATATCCTGTTAATAAAAAGATATCAACTTTTCAAGGTTGCATATATTATGTGGTTGGCTGTTTCTTTTAATTTTGTCTTTTGGATTATCTAAATACACACATGATCATATCTATTTATATGTTAAATGGCTGCACTTGGGCACAAAATCGCTACTAGTCTTGGACAAACACAAAGTTTGCTTAGTGCTTTTTATGTGGTTGGCTTTTAATAGTTTCTGGAGATTAGATTGTGGCTATTTTATTGTTTCTTTCACATTTGTGTTTTTTGGAACAGCTAAACTCACACATGATCATATCTATTGATTCATTAAATGGCTGCATCTGGATGCAAAATTGTTACTATTCTTGGACAAACACAACAGTTTGTAGAATTCCAAAATTTATATTGTAGAATCCTCTAGTATTAACGATTGAGTAATGACTGTTGATAATATACAAATCCTGGTCTTGCAAAATTGTGCTTGACAGTAGACTCCTGTTAGGATTGGTCATCAAATCAGTACAATTCTCTCCATATTTGACTCAAACTTTTTCAAATAAGATTGGATACCTTTCTTCTCAAGTCATGTGTAGATAGTCTTTTTGCTTGCAGCATTTCTCTTTGGGGAAAGTGATCTACAACCATTTTAATCTAGCTACAGTAGTAGTTGACAAATGTTAGTTGCAACAAATAGAAATGGTAATATCCTTTGAAAATCTAGACTACTGCTGACTATAATATTCTATAATAGAAAGTAACTCCTATTAGTTACTCTGTTGTCACTCAAGGCAACGCTTCACAATTAAACCATTTGTTTATCCTTTAGATACTATTTACAATATAAGCTTCTTATAGTTGAATTAGAAGTTTATGTCATATCTTTATAAAAGTCAAACTTCAGATTAAGCAATACATCCAGTTCCTTTCTTTATGTGTCCAGCAAAAGACTTGTTGGCCCTGGACTACAAAATAAGATAAGTTTCTGGATCCTATTAACCCTCCTTGCTCACCCACTCCCTCCCTCCTTCCAATTCCAATGGCACTTGAACCTAGGATCATCGTCTAATTATTTTGGTAAGCATGTAGTGCAAAATTAAGGACATGGTGGTGGATACCACTGTTTTTCGCATTGCCAAATGCTTCAAACATCATGCTCCATAATGCATGTAAGTTTGTGCACAGTATCTCTGCAGCAAAGCAAATACTCTTAAATGTCTTATTTCTCTTGTATATGGAGTTGTTTGAACAAATTGTACTGCAAATTTATTTTGTTTCCCCTCTATTTTCTTGTTGTTTTTATATCCTTTATAGTCTATAAACACCATTTATGCTTGTATTGCATGCCAACTCCCACTAGCTTGGATTGAAGTTTGGTAATTAAAGTTCTAATCATGCTAATCAACAATTTTTCACTAAATAAAAAATATAGATAATATTCTAATAAATTAAGCTTGCATGAGCTACAAGAACTTGCATCACATAAGGTTAGGAGCACAAACCCACGTGTGGAAGTATTGTTGGTCGCATTTCTAATTTCTGAAATGTATTGAACTGCAGGCTTAAGGATCTTCACCAGAGATGTACAAAAGAGATGGATGCTTATGTCGGTTGCATGTATTACCATACAAATGAATTTGATTTGTGCCGCAAAGAGCAACAGGCATTTGAGAAAGCATGCCCTTTGGAGTGATTGGCAAGCTAAACTTGTGATGCCATTTTTACAATAATTTAGGGCAGTTTGCGGTTGAGCAAATACTGTTGTTGCACACATTTTGATTGCTTCATGGATTGTCTCCGCTTTCTAAGGCTTAAAATTTCCTTTGAGGATTGCTTTGAATCAAAAAGATGGGACCTTGCCTCCGGTTTTTTTTTTTTTTTTTTTTTTTTTTTTAAAGAGATGGATGCTTTATTGTCAAGGTCTGCATAGTTATTACCATAAAATGAATTTGAATTTTGTGCGCCAAAGAGCAACAGGCATTGAGAGAAAGGCATTGCCCTTGGAGTGATGGCAAGCTAACTTGTGACTGCCTATTTTTACAATAATTTAAGGTGCGTTTTTGCGGTTGAGCAAATTACTGTTGTTGCCACACATTTGATTTGCTCATGGATTGTCTCCGCTTCTCTAAGGCTTTAAAATTTCCTTTGAGGATTGCTTTGAATCAAAAAAAGATGGGGACCTTGCCTCCGGGGTTTTTTTTTTTTTTTTTTTTTTTCTTAAAACATTATATTGTTGGACTAATTCTTTCTTTACATTGCGATTGGGATATTTTTCGGATTTACGCATAATCAGGCTTTTTTTTTTTTTTTTTTTTTTTTTTTCTTAAACATATATGTTGACTAATTCTTTTCTTTTACATGGATTGGATATTTGGATTTACGCATAATCAGGCATTATCAATTTTAATTTCAGTATCTTTTGCGTGATGAACATGTACCTGGAAACTATAATTTTTTTCATTTGAAAGGGCTAGAATCCAAAGTTAGAAACTCAAGAAATTTGTAATGCCGTGTACGAAAAAGTATAGCATTCAGCAGACATCCTTCGCTCTTAAAGCAAGAGGCAGTAGATGAGTCACAAGTCCTGTATTATGACACTAAGGTCAGGTGTTGATCGGCAGTGACATGCAAAATTAAGACTAAAGGAACAATTTCCATTTGCACAATATTGGCTGCGGAATAAACAGGAATGACATACATAACAGGCGTTTGTTTTGGTAAGCTAATTGCAATGCAACCATAATAACACAATCCTAGAATTGGTTTATATGTTCCCTGTGCCAATGAAGCATTCACACAAATTATTACTTACAGAACCTTAACTGAAACCAGAACAATAAACCTGTGAATCGAGTATTATCTCTTGCCCCCAGCAGAAAATTGGGCCATTCAGGTTACTGATTGTTTGTATAATCTCTGATTTACACGCTATGAAAACACAATTCACAACAACCAAGCCAGCCAGCTCATAAAAATAAGATTGAGCCACAAATATTATCATAAACTTCCATTTTACCAGCGTAATAGAAGGTAAATTAACAAACAGAGCTAGCATTAGATGTCGGCAAGTTTATTCAACAGAAAACACACACACAAAAAAAGACCATAAGTGATTAAGAAATACACGATCTATCTAGCAAGACTAATCCCAAAGTGTGCTTCCCAATGCAAGCCCTATAAGCAGCACCAGATAGCAACATTAGTGTGAACAGCCATCAGCGAGATCTGCAAGGAAAACGCCATGTATGATTAGATCTTCAAAGAAATTTAAAAAAATGCATGAGTTATATTTCTGCCTGAAAAGGCTATATAGGACATTGGAACATTTAAAATAAACTCAAGCACCCCAAATTCCTAAACGCATAGAACTATACTACAATGAATAATTGCTCAAAATTAATTAAGACAGTTCTTCAAAACTGCAACCGGGTATTGGAATCATCAAGCAGCCCAAACTCCAAAAAAAGCATAATCACCCACTATGAGTCAGAGACAGCATTTTACAACCACAAAAAGGACTGGTATTCACTTGGAATAGGGGAAAAAGAGGCATAGATGAGCTACTTACCCGTAGGATCGCAAAGGAGACCTAGATCGACTGCGACTATCACCTCTTGGACTCCTTGACCTGCCAGATGCATAGTCTCTTTCATCATGAGGACTCTGACCATTCTCCCTTGGGCTTGGGAACCTTTGGTTTGACTTATAGTCCCTCTCATCCTTCGGAGAACGAGAACGAGAAATTGACCTGGATCTCCTGGGAGATTGATAGTCATCATCCCTCACACCATGATCCCTGTCTCAGTGGCAACAAAAGAGACATATTAAAAAGGATTGATTTATTAAACAATAAATCTAAACTTAATAAAGCACACAAACTAGAAGCATGTCTAGTTAACATTAAAAAAAAACCTGTCTCTATTAACAAACTTCAAAATCAAACCATTTTCATCACAAGCTCATCATTTGATTAAAGACAAGGTGCATTCAACAAAGCAAAAATTTCTACTTACATCTTCAGTATGTTCAAAAACAAAATACTTCCATCTTCAGTGAAAATCTAATTAATCAAAATATGACCTTTACCTGAACCTTTTTCATGGTTTCTGAACAAAATTATGACACTTGGATCCAAACACTTTGAGAGTTGGGCTCTATAAGGTGTACTGGTTGAACAGCATCTGATAACTTCATAGCTTTCTTTGCCACAACTTTACAAAACCTCTAATTATCTTTTTCTTGGGCATTGTCATCATTATCTCTACCAGTAAAACTTTGAATAGCTTTCCTTCTTTGAGGATGATTTCTTTCTTTGCCCAACTATAAGCTCTATATTCTTTCTTTACTGGATAGTATATGCAAAACAGGATATCAAACTTAAAAAATTTATTTATTAAAAAAGTTATTCAAGAGAAACAAAGTACCCCTGTGATTCCAATTAAGTCTCAGGCCAAAATTAGCTTAATTAGTTAGCAAACATCACAAAGCAAAAGTCAAAGAATAGGACATTAACCACAAGACATTTTTTTTTAAACATCCTTTACTTAAAGCCCACAAATGAATTCATTAGAAGCTGAGAGAAAAATGGAGATCACAACATGAAAGGCAAATACAAATAAAATATATAATCTAATATCTAATTTATAAACAAACAAACATTGTAGAAATCGAGAATTTAATTTCTGTCATGACAGTTTTACGTATAGCGATTAGGGTTAAGGCAAGTAAAGATGTTTAGATGTGATATTGTCAATACGTCACTTTCCATTTCCAACAATCTCATTAAACATCCAAATATAAGCAGATTATTACAAACAATACAAGCAAATGGCACAAAGACCAAGAAAAGATGAAAATGCTAATAATACAAACAAAAACACAAATTGCAAAGACTCCTAGCATATATAATCAAACCTGGAGTCATGCCTGGCCGGTGAAGGTGACTGTGAGTAAGCTGCCACCAAAAGGGGAGAAAAAAGATTTACAACTTAGCAAAAATTATTTTTTAGAAAATTTCTTAAAACAATACTATGATATTATTTCAATTCAGCTTCAAAAAAAAAAAAGAAAAAAAAAAAAAGAAAAAATTCAGCTTCAAAAAAAAAAAAGAAAAAAAAAAAAAAAAAAGAATACAAGAACCACAAAAACTTAAAGATCTCATCGGAACTTCAAATAAATGTCTAAGTAAAAAAAAAAAAAAAAAAAAAAAAAAGAAAAGAAATACAAGACCACAAAAACTTAAAGATCTCATCGGAAACTTCAAATAAATGTCTAAGTCAAAGTTTGAACTAACAATGATGCCGGCGTCTAGGGGATCTTGGAGGTGTTCTCCCTCTGTGGCTTCCTCCATATCGACCACTGCAAATAAACACAAAAAAATTAGAGAGAAAACAATCAATTCCTGGAAAAAAAAAATCATTCCATTCATAAAAGTTTAAAAGATATAAACACAATACAAAGCAAGGAAGCAACAACAATATTTGTACACCTCACTCGGGAACTCGTTCGCATTTCTTGAGGAGTTTTTCTGTTCTCCTCTGCAAAAACAATCCTTATCTCGCGTCCACCAATAATTCTATGATTCATACGTTGCTTCGCTTCAGCTGCATCTTCAGCATAACGGAACTTCACGAATCCAAAGCCTCGTGGCTCCCTACAAATTGAAATCATAACAACAAAAGATCAATCATGAGATGAAACATCCTAAAGGTCATCCAAAAGGAGAAACATAAATAGTTTCAATAGTAGCTAAAGAAAAAAGAGCCACAAGATTAGCAAAATATGAAATCCAAACATGTAGTACATGAAATTCATTTCCAATACAAATAGATATATGCAATTTTATGGGGAATATGTAAAAGATGGATCAATGGGAAAAGAAGAGAAGACAGAATTGTTGAAAAATTGTCTCAAATTTAGCACATCCAAAGATGCTAGAGTTTACACATCCAAAGATGCATAAGCATGCAAAAAACATTTAGCACATTTCTCAATTTTCACACAGAATAATTTCATTTCTTCTGCACAATTCCAGTCGACAAAATACAAAGTAGAAGAAAGTTATTACTGATTTTTTTTTTTTTTTTATGAGAAGAATGTTCTGCCTGATGAATGACTAAATCAATATCAACATGTAATGGGCAAAACAAACATTCGAGAGCACAGACATGCACATAGAAGAACAGGCATACCCAGTGTAATAATTCTTTGGCAAATATACATCCTTCACAGGTCCGTATTTCTCAAATGGTCCCCTAAGGTCTTCAGGCCTGCACAATAATAACATTAAGTCCAACAGTTAAGGAGCAAAATTTTACAAATATTTATTGGAAAAAAATTGTTCATAAGCTATTTAAAATACAATAAAATATAATGAAAACATCATTCTAACATGTTGACACTCACTGCATTTCCCCTCCTTGTTTATCATGATAAAAACTAATTAAAAAGAACTATATAACATCGAATACCAGTAAATTCCCTTCATACATCAGAATTCAACGAACATTACAAATTTGAAAACAAATCGAACGTCCATGACAAGCGAATTAAAACAGAAATGCACTAGTGTCCGGAGAGAGAGATAGGGGACCTGGCGTCAAGCGGGAGATTACGAACGAGCAAGCCAGAGGGAGCAGGGGAACGGCGTTCACGGTAAGAGCGGCTGTCACGATAGCGATCGCGGGGTTCTACGTCGTCATAGTAATGCTTTCGGCTACGCGGAGGGGTTTTGCTACGGCGACGGGGACTATAGCTCCTGCTGCGGCTCCGGTATCTCGCCATTGTTGCAGATGTCAGTGAAATCCTAAGAATAAGAGAGAGATTGAGCCTCTAAAACAAGCAGGTAAAACCCTAACCCTAGAAGAAGGCTTCGATGGGCTTCGAAAATTTTGGAGGGAGAGAGAGAGAGAGAGAGAGGGAGAGAGAGGAAATAAAGAGAGTCTTATCTCTTGCTGCATGAGAGAGTGTGTATGACTGCGTCGTCGTGCGTTATCCGGACAGGGACACGGTTAATGCTTAAGGCCCAAAAATACTTATTGGGCTCAAACAAGTTCAGTCCAAGGTTTTGTTCAGTTTAAAATTTTTGATTTGGTAACTTGGGCTTAATATGAGCCCGGATCAAGTTGGATTGAACTTGGGCTGATGGAAATTAAAAGCTTAGTCTAGCCAATATAACAAAAAAGAGACTAATTTAACCAAATTATCATTTATCTCAAAATTAAAAATAATTTATGAATATAGTTATTTTATGTATATAATATAAATAAGAGTAAAATTAAAAAAAATATCATTTTTTACTCTTTAAAATACTCAAAACGTCTTATATTTTATGACAAGACAATGAATCCAAAATAATTTATATCTTAAGACAGATGGAGCAAGTCAAATTAATGAACAGGGATAAAAAAAAAAAAGCAAAAAGATAAAAGAGAGTCCATACTCATCATAAGTTTTATATCTCCCTAATTAATTTATATCAACCAGGGTTAAAGATAAGTAATTCGACACTTTTTATTCTTATATAATTGAGGTCAATAATTTGATCATAAGAAAAATGATTTTGAGATATTTTTCTATGTCGGGATATTAAATAGATGCCTGAAAATGCATTTCCACCTGAAAAAAACATGGAAAAGGCGCAGCCAGCAACCTTACTTGTGGACCGCAGAAAATGGGTTCTATTCTGCACTTCTGTTAAGGCGAAAGGCTAACCCTTTTAATTGTCGGATCCCAGGTGTGAAAATTTTGTCCGCTGTTATTGGAGGGAAGAGGATAGATTAGCATGTCATCATTACTTTGCATCGCTCGTCCTTGACAGCGATGCTTCACCTTCCCTCTTCCACTCGCCAGCAACCCAACACTTACACGCAACCGCTACCAACTCCTAAATATTTTACTCATGGTTCAAGCTCGTAATCCACACTCAACATTATTAATTTGTCGAGGATCAAATATTTTTTTTATCATCATTTGTTGATGATTGTAAATGTTTTCAATTCTGTTAAGAGGTCTGCAAATAACATTATTGGAGATTCATTAATTAAAATTAATTATGAGTTGTAATATTTTTTGACAGTAAATCACAAAAATTTTTAGCTTATGTATATAATTAAAATTGTCATTTGTTAAGTGATATTTTAGTACTAACATGTTTACTTTTATTAAAATATAAAACATAATAAAAAATGCATTTCTTTTCATAAATACTTAATATGAAAATATTATGTTTCAAAATACTTACCACATTTTCCTGTAAAAAAAAATACTTGTCATATTTGTGATTTTAATATTTTTTTCCGTGTTTACTCTTTATACATAACCAATAATTTTTGCTTCAATCTCTCAAAAATTTAGTATTTGAAATTATTAAAATAGAAATATTATAATCCATTTTACTCAATAATTTTATTATAATTTAAATAAATTTCATAATTATTTTAAGAGACGTGAATTTTTCAATGTAACAAGTATTTATTTAGGAATGAAGATAATAGTAATATTAATTTATCATATTTATATATAAAAAGAAATTTTATGTTGAAAAGTATAAAAATGAAATTGAAAGCTTATATATATGAGGTTAATAAATTCAACTCAGATAAATAAATTTATTTTTTAATTATTGAATAAAAATTTATCATTAAATTGAAATAAACAACTCTTGTCAATTAATTGGACTTTATGTTTTGCTTTAAATAACAGGAAAAAGCACCGTTTTATTTTTAAAGATTATTATCTACGACGTAATCCGACCATATCCATTTTTTATTTATCCATTTATAAAGTACTACTATTTCCACCATTAGGGGCGCGTGTAACAGAAGAAGTGCGTGAACTTGCTATTTTTGTTACAATAATCATAAAATATTCTAAGTCGCCACAATAAATTCATTTTTCTTTTTCCAATCAACGACTTCGAATTTCCACCTAACCGGCTGACCGCTGAGCCAACCGAAACTTACCCACCCCACCCGCCCAACCACCACCGACCCTGAGCCACCGAAACTTACCACCCCACCCGCCCAACCACCACGGAGACCACTCATCTCTCCCTCTCTCACGTCTCTTGGGTCGCCGGCGGGGTTCGGGGCGGGCCTCGCACCCACGCCAATCTCCTTTCTAAACAAAATCTTTCCCCACCCGCCCAACCACCACCGGAGACCACTCATCTCTCCCTCTCTCCACGTCTCTTGGTCGCACCACGCCAATCTCCTTCTAAACATCTAGGGTTTTGACCCGCTTAATGGAATCGCCTCTTCCACCTTCACCTGACGCTCAACAGTCTAATCTCGACGAAATGGAAATTCACTCGCCGGTGGTCGATGACCCGTCTTCCTCAACTCTTTGGGACTGGGGCGATCTGCTGGACTTCACAGTAGACGATCAGTTCCCAATTTCTTTCGATTCCATCGACATTCCAACAACTGTCCCCACACAAGTCAATGATATCGAAACAACTCAAGTTCCGGATCGGGTCAGGAAGCGTGACCCGAGGTTGACATGCTCCAATTTTCTCGCAGGTCGGATCCCCTGCGCGTGCCCCGAGATGGATGAGAAGTTGGAGGAAGAAGAAGGTATTCCTGGGAAGAAGCGTGTCCGTACGACTCGTTCCAACTCGGGTATTGCTCGGTGTCAAGTACCTGGCTGCGAGGCTGATATTAGCGAGCTTAAAGGTTATCATAAGAGGCATAGGGTTTGCTTACGTTGCGCAAATGCAAGTGCTGTTATACTCGACGGAGAGAACAAGAGATACTGTCAACAGTGTGGCAAGTAAGCTTTTAATCCCTTTTATTTTTTTTCCAAAATTTGTTAAATTATTGTATATTAGACAGATCGTCTTATGTTGATTTGGGCAGGTTTCATTTGTTGTCGGATTTTGATGAAGGTAAAAGGAGTTGTAGAAGAAAATTAGAGCGCCACAACACTAGACGAAGAAGGAAATCTCAAGATCCCAAGGGGGCAGTTTATGGGGAACCCCAAGGGGAGTTGCACAATGAAGACATTGCTTGTGATGACGAAGAAGCTGGAAAAGGTTTTCATGTGTTTGAAGTAAAGTTAATCTGTATTGTTTGATAGATGCGCATTGGCTAGTGGCTTAATTTGATTTTCTGTGTTGTAGACTGTCAGGTAGTTGAGAAAGAAGCATTGGTTGAATCAGTAGATGGAAATATTTCTACCCTTCGTTCAGCTCCTAATTCACAGAATCTCAATAGTGATAGTGGTGTATCTGTTGGAACTCCAAAGGATGGTGGAAAAGATGATGATTCCAAAATTTCGCTTTCCCCTTCCAATTGTGACAACAAGAGTTTTTACTCATCTGTGGTGTGTCTCCAGTGATTCACTCTGCCCTTTACTTCCCAACTGTGCATTTACTGTTGCTCATTTCTGTTTAAATATATTTTTAAATATTAGAATTTAGCAGTTTATACATGATGTAAATTTGAAATGAAATTTTGTTATAGTGCCCAACAGGTAGAATATCATTCAAGCTTTATGATTGGAATCCGGCAGAATTTCCTAGAAGGCTTCGACTCCAAGTATTTTAAAGAATTACTATTACAGTTTAGTATTTGAAGAGTAATAAATTTTTGCATGGTCAAGGATATTAAGAATTGATTGACATGTGGTGTACTGTATTTACAGATATTTGAATGGTTGGCCAACATGCCAGTTGAGTTGGAGGGATATATTCGCCCTGGTTGTACAATATTAACTGCATTTCTTGCGATGCCAACATTTATGTGGGCAAAGGTAATAATTTGAGTAGATGCCATTTATGATGTATCTAAAGTTAAAAGGATTGAGCCAAATTTGCATCTGTTTTCTGATGGTTCTACAAATGAGATTTTGCAATTTTCCTTTCTTTTGTAGATCATAGTCTATTAAAATACTACATTTATCATTTGATTTATTTATTATACAACTTCAGCTAATTCTTGTTTGTTTTCTGCACATGCAAAAGTGTGAAAATCAGTCTATGTTTAAACAACAATATCCTTGAGATTAGAAACTTCTTTATTTGTGTTATGCTGATTTTGATGAATTTCATTCTAGATTGCAGTTCAGCTGTCTTGCTTTAGATTTTGTCTTTTAAGTTCTGAGTTAGTCCGATTCTTCAAATATTGGTTGGATCAGCAAGTTTATCCCTTTTATCTGCTGGCTGATTGGTTTAAAGAAATTGCTAATATATAAAATATTGATGATCATATGGCTTTCAACCCATGAATCTCGTTTTGATGTACCCAATTTAATCTATGAATATAGCTACACATTTCTCAGAAGGTGTTCTATTTTTCTGTCGTCATACCATGTACTGAATATTGTTCCATGACAATACTGTTTTCGCATTGCATTGCTTGCAAAAACAAATGTTTATTGCGAATTTAAGGAAGCTCCCTTATATTCTCAAACTTTCTCTTTTTCCATAATTTGTACTCAGTGCTTGGCAGAATCTGCATGATTTAACTTCAATCTTTTGTTGGATGAAGCAGTTGTTTGAAGATCCCTTGTCATATTTGCATGATTTTGTTATTATGCCTGGAAAAATGCTGTCCAAGAGAAGCCCTATGCTAATTTATATGAACAACATGATCTTCCATGTCATGAAAGGTTTGTATACGTTCAACTTCATCTTTTTTCATCTCACAGTGTTACACATTCCTTTAGTTTAAGTATCTGTTGAAGTATTAATTGTTGCCATTCTATTCTGCAAAATGAGTAGAATTCAGTTGGCGCTCTGTTTTGGTTGTTGATACTGCAGCTATTGTAGTCTTGTTTTTTGAACAATTTTTATATGCATTTTGTATGGGGAAGCAAGGAATAAAAGCTGATTTACAAAATTATTACCAGAAGAGTTCCTTTTCCAGAATTATGTTTGCGATCCCTGTCTCCATTTCTCTGTGCTATGTAATATGCATAGCATCTGCTTTACAACTTATGGTTCTTGTATCTTCCTTTTTGTTGTCCTTTCTCCTTTCTTCTTTATTGTTTTAGTTTAACTTATGGACTAAACTGGCAGAACCCCTGCAAGAGTCAAGCCATAAATGTGTTTTGTGGTATGCCTTAGGATATAGAATGAAAATCTCATTGGAGCTGGAATATAATATTGACAATTAGAATTTTATTTCAAACTGTTCAGTGCCCCCTTGGTACATCCATTCAACTATGATTACTTCTGCCCCTTTTTGGTTGTATTTCTGTTTGCCTGATCTTTATTGTGTCTTCTTCTAATTACTGCAAATTTTATATGTGTTACCTCTTGAATTGATGAATCTATATCTACATGTGCTAAGTGATTTGTTTCTTTTAACATTGTTTTATTATTTAATTATCATACTGAACTCATTTAGTGAATGGTTTAATAAGGCCCACCCAAATTTTTATGTTTGGGTAACCAAGTTGTACCTTAAGTAGGAAAACTAAGTCCAAGCCATGTTAAGTCAAGTTACTCTTAACCTGAAGTCTTCCTAGCATGTTAGCTCTTTATCCTTTTCAAGTTTTTAGTAAATCTTAATCATTAATCTTTTCATGGAATTAGATGAAAATTCAGTGATGAAAGTAAACATGGAAGGACAGGCCCCGAGACTTCACTATGTTCATCCAATATGCTTTGAGGCTGGGAAGCCCATAGAGTTTGTTGCATGTGGAAGTAATATGTTGCAGCCTAAATTTAGGTATGGAATTGCGTCTTCAAGCTTGTGATCCTTTGTAAATGAGATGCAAACCCCTTTTCTGCATAGTTCTTCAGCAACTGTATCCTAGTTTCTTTTGCTGTTAATGGATTGAAAACATGGCAATACTTTTGGTTTTTGATTTTAATCTTTTAGTGAGCACGAAATGTTTCTCAAAAAGGTTAATAATTATTCAGACTGTATTATAATTTGGTATCTACATTTCCTTTACTGGGTAATAATAGCTCCGCTGCTAACTTCAAGCCAAATGTATATGAATTGCTTGCTAGAGTTTTCTTGAACAACTCTGGTCAAATAAAATAAGCATTGATATTAGGTGCTGTTATCTAATATACTTTTTCGGGGTTGAAAAGAGAACTTTCCTGTGCTACTGAACTGCCTTTCAATATCTTAATTGAAGTATGTTGGTGCAGTTCAAGATGAGGTGAACAATGCCTGTTTGGAAGTTCTTCCTTTTTTTTTGCTTGATTAATTTCCTATATTAGCTTAATCTTGCTATAACTTCAAATAAATTCTTTCTTTTCGACATGCTGCAATAGTATATGTAATCTTCTTAATAACCTTTGAATTGTGAAGTTGATTTCCGAGATAAATCAATGTACTTCCTGATTGTTATGATTTTGAAATCTTGAACTTTAACACCATAGATTATAATAACGATGTTCATGATGGCAGGCTTCTGGTATCATTTGCTGGGAAATATCTTGCTTATGATTACTGTGTAGCATTACCACATTGTCATACTGAAGGGTGTTCCAGTAGTGACCATCAATTGTGCAAAATATGTATCTCTCATATCGAACCTAATGTCTTTGGTCCAGCATTTATTGAGGTAGTTCTCCTGCTTCTTTTTCTATGTTTTGTTGGTTGTATTGAAGTTATGCAGGAAAGACCTTCTGCCTTTATCCTTAAACAGCTTTTACTTCCTTTTGATTTAAAAAAAAAAAAAAAAAAAAAAAAAAAAAAAAAAAAAAAAATTTTTTTTTTTTTTCTAGCATTACCACATTGTCATACTTGAAGGGTTGTTCCAGTTAGTTGGACCCATTTCATTGTGCAAATATGTATCTCTCATATCGAACCTAAGTCTGCCAGCATTATTGAGGTAGTTCTCCTGCTTCTTTTCTATGTTTGTGGTTGTATTGAAGTTATGCAGGAAAGACCTTCTGCCTTTAATCCTTAAACAGCTTTTTTACTTCCTTTGATTTAAAAAAAAAAAAAAAAAAAAAAAAAAAAAAAAAAAAAAAAATCAATAGTTCATATCTATCCTTATTAAAAAAACAGAAAAAAAAAAAAAAAAAAAAAAAAAAAAAAAAAAAAAAAAATCAAAGTTCATATCTTATCCTTATAAAAAACAGCTTTTAGCTCTAGATGTAAATTATACCTTATCCTAATTGGCTGCTGCCAATAACATTAGTCTATAGTTTGGATGTCTGAAATCTGCAATTAGATGCTGCTAACTTTAGAAACAGTAATTTTTAGTTATTCAGGTGAGCTTTGACATCCTATAGTTGGTTTTTGTTTATATAAATGTCTTTTGCAGGTTGAAAATCAGAGTGGCTTATCGAACTTTATTCCTGTAATTATTGGGGATGAAAAAATTTGTTCTGAAATAAAAGTGATGCAGCAGAGATTTGATGCATCTCATCCGTCCAATGGTTCACAGTGCGTAGTTTCTGAACAAAGACAGATGGTTTTTTCAGAGTTTATTTTGGATATAGCCTGGCTACTAAAGAAACCTTCAGCAGAAAGTTTTCTACAATTTAGGAGCTCTTCACAGATTCAAAGACTACACTCTTTATTGAATTTTTTGCTACACCATGAGCTAACTGCCATTTTGGATAAAGTTTCACAAAATTTGAAAATCATATTGGATAAAATTGAGATAAGCAGAGTTGTTTATGGCATTAGTGATTCTGATATGGAGCTATTACAGAAATATATGGATTGGGCCAATAATATGCTTCTTAAAAAAGCTAAGAAAAGCGATGGTTTAGCCTTCCAGTGGGCATGCACTGTAGAGGAAGGAGGTTCTCAAAGATTCTCTCGAAGTGACGTGCATTCTGCTGCTCCGTTCAACAGTGAGGTGAGTTTTGGTGTTCTTTCCTTGCAGGTTATTTTATTGTTTATTGTTTTGACATTCAGAATTCAGAATCTTATCAATCAGTAATTACTTTGAGCTTTCTTTTGGTGTTCACTTTTTTTTTTCTTTTTTTTTTTTTTGGATAAGGTAGGTATTTGAAACAGTTATGTTCTTTCTGAAACAAAATCTTAACATTGTACGGCACAGCAAGGGTGAAAAGAAATTTAGATTGATTTTTTAAGATTTAGGCATGTAACATACAGCCTTTAAAGTGCACTGCAATCCAATTTCATCAGTGTTTGTTGATTTCTTAGTGTGTGTTGGGTTTTTTCTTATTATTATTTCTTTGTAGTTTTGAAAGATGGTTTCAGTTTCTGCGATGAAGAAATTGTTTTACATAACCTTGTGTGTAGTTTTTTATTTCTCTTACTTATTTGTTTTGCTGTCTTGGTTCTCGCTAAATTAACAAATCACATTTTGTCTGTGTATTGTTTAATGACCTTATGCAATACGTGTCTCAATATTTTGAAAATCCCTATCTAATGATTTGCCTCGTCAAAATATTATGTATAAGCTTTTCTATGCCCTGGGTCATGGGTGTTCTGTTTATAGGAGACTGTAATAGTCTGCTTTTATAGTGTTTGAAACTTTGTATTTCCTGTCAATATTATTTCATCATATAGTATTTGCTCTTTGTTTCCACAAAGGTCTTTATAACTTTTTTTCTTCTATCCACTCTACAGGATTTAGAGAGCAGTTCAGATGGGAAGTCAGGTGTGATGGAAAACTCATCTGCTGTTGTTAGAAGTGAAAAGGTTCCACTTTTAAGTAAAGAGGTGGTTATGGATGTGAACGTCATCAGAGGAAGGCCAAACAAGTCATGTAGTCTCACTCTTTCCAACAGAATCATCAAGCCTCGACTCACTGTATTTTTGATTGCAACTGTTGCTGTTTGTCTTGGAGTATGTGCCATCCTCCTCCATCCTAAACAGGTTAGCAAGTTAGCAGTATCTATACGCAGATGTTTGACAGAGAAACTTTAGATGCTAAAACCAAACTCCATCCACATGAAAATGTGTCTTTTGGATTGCTGGCTCTGTAAATTCCATTTTAAGTTGATAGTAGATCAAATTGAGCTGCCTCAAGCAAATAGTATGGGGCTTAATTTCTGACTCGTCATTGTTTATAGACTGGCGGTTCTACTTATTACCGTGATAATAGTGTCTTTGATGGCCGTTTTTGCGGATGATGCATCAAGACAACTGATTGGTTTTTTTTTTCGGTTGAGATAAGAATTCTTCGTTAGGCATGTGTATACCTTCTTCCAATCTCTGACCTCAAGGCTGAAGCTCTTGTATCTTTCATTTTGTTGTGTATTGAGCAAATAATTATGCTGAACTCTTTGCTTTGATAGTGTCAACAAAGGTCTAATCACGATGGAATAAATACTGCATACCATATGACTGCTACCAAATTCTTGGCGAGGACACGTCTGATAATTTGAAAGCATACTGTTACTGGTCCCAAATTCTGGGAAGGGTTGTTTTCTTGCATTGGATTATTCTTTTCATACCAATAGTGCAAATTTGCTTTGATTTTTTATCCTAACTTTGTCCGTCTAGTGTCCGTTGATTTGATTGTGCCGTTGGGTTCGACCTGATTTCAAGTCAGAAACAGCCTGAAGCCGGTCTAGCATCAATCATTTGTTTATTTATTAATCCGGCAACTTTGGAGTACAACAAGAAGTCATTGTCTGTCTCTGTCTGGCAGACGGTTCTATAGTCGTCCATCACTAGCGGTCCTTTTATGCAACTCCTGCCGTAGGAATTTGAATTTCTAAATTACTAACGCAACCAAAAATCGCTCTAAAAGATATTATTATTATTATTATTATTTAAAAAAAAGATATATGCAATTTATTATTGTAAAGTACTATACTATAATAATAAAAGTGGACCGACAAAAATAAACAATGGGACCCTTAAATTGTAATAATGCAGGGAAAAAAAGATGGAAAGCATTTGTAAGTCAAACTGCATCCCTGTTCTAACAGTCTTGTGGCCGAGATTCCAAGGAGATTAAAAGAACGAAAAAGTAGAGATTTTCTTATAGAAAATATGGTGGTTATTCTCAAAATATATGGCCTATGGAATTTGATTTTCTTTGATTTTTCTTATCATTCTCTAACAATTTTGTGCGGTTCAATCACATGAGATAATTTTTTTAGAATTTAATCATGACCTTTTATTTTTACATTTTAATTTGATAAAAAAACGTAGTTATTACGAAATGTGTAGAGTCACGATAAGTCTCTCTGTAAAATTCAGAACATTATAAAAATAATCTTCAAAATTACATAGTCATATTTATATATTAATCTTAAAATAAATACGTGTATTATATTGAATTCCGGCAACAAACTATTGTTTGTACGAGCGCATGATTCCATTCATAATTTTATTAAGCTTATTCCCACGAGACAAAGAATCTCCATTTCCAGCGTTTTAACTACCACGATAATTCCAATTATAATAAAGCACTAACTATTATAGACGCGTTTAGTGGAATTTAATTAATTCATTTATTATTAACCACTTGGCACAAAGATACGGTTGAATTCATAGTTAATGTCAGATAGCGAGCAAGTTGGATGGATCAAAACCGTTCAGAGTATATATCTATAAATTAACATAATTATTCTGAAAGCTAAATCCCGTCCTTCCAAAGGCACAGCACGCACGTGCTTTTATCTTTTGGATTTTTTAGACTTAATATTATGATTTTATTAAAATTATTCTTGAATTTTCCTGTTAATTATTTTATTGTATTTTATAATTTTAAACGGTTCGATTCTAATCAATTAACTGTTAAAAAGAAGAAATTCACATAATGGTGATTCGTAGCATTACCGTCATGAGAATGATTATATAAGTTACCAATATTTTGTTCCATATTAAGGTTATCTAGGAGCGCTCTTGTTCTTTTCATTTTCTCTGTCTATTTTCTGATATTTCTTAGTAATGAATATAAATACAGTGATAAAAAAAAAAAAAAAATCACGAGCAATTGGAACTTAATAGATAAGGTACTAAATATAAAAGACTTAAAATGGAACTTTTCTTACAATTTATAGATTTATACCATCACGAAGGGGGTGTTTGATTACTTCTACTTTATATTTATATTTTAATTTAAAAGCAATTCTTTCTTTTTTTCTCAAGAATTAAGGTTGCGCTCTCTTTCCACTCTATCAGTATAAATGTTTTTGTCTTCTTAATAAATGTTTTAGTGAAATTTATAATTCTTACTTCGGTGAAAAAAAAATAAAAAAAAAAACACACCAACAAAAAAAAAAAAAAAAAAAAAAAAAAAAAAAAAAAAAAAAAAAAAAAAAAAAAAAAAAAAAAAAAAAAAAAAAAAACAAAAAAAAAAAAAAAATAAAAAAAAAAAAAAAAAAAAAAAAAAAAAAAAAAAAAAAAAAAAAAAAAAAAAAAAAAAAAAAAAAAAAAAAAAAAAAAAAAAAAAAAAAAAAAAAAAAAAAAAAAAAAAAAAAAAAAAAAAAAAAAAAAAAAAAAAAAAAAAAAAAAAAAAAAAAAAAAAAAAAAAAAAAAAAAAAAAAAAAAAAAAAAAAAAAAAAAAAAAAAAAAAAAAAAAAAAAAAAAAAAAAAAAAAAAAAAAAAAAAAAAAAAAAAAAAAAAAAAAAAAAAAAAAAAAAAAAAAAAAAAAAAAAAAAAAAAAAAAAAAAAAAAAAAAAAAAAAAAAAAAAAAAAAAAAAAAAAAAAAAAAAAAAAAAAAAAAAAAAAAAAAAAAAAAAAATTAAAAAAAAAAAAAAAAAAAAAAAAAATATAATTGAAATTCACGTTGCACAGAACCAATTGTTTGTACGAAGACCGCAATGCATTCCATCATAATTTATTAAGCTTATTCCACGAGACAAAGATTCCATTTCCAGCGTTATTAACTACACGATACATTCCATTATTATAATAAAAGTTCACTAAACTAAAATTATAGACGCGTTTAGGTGGAAATTTAATTAATTAATTAATTAATTCCCACTTGCACAAAATACATTAGAATTTCATATGTTCAATGATAGCTGCAGCAAGTTGGGATGGATCAAAACCGTGAGATATATATCTATAATTAAATAATTTCTGAATGCTAAATCCTCGTCCTTCCAAAGACACAGACGCGTGTTTTTCTTTTGGATTTTTTAGACTTAATTAATTATGATTTTATATAATAAATTATTTGAATTTTCCTGTAATTATTTATATTATGTTTTATATTATAATTTTAAAAGTTGATTCTAATCAATTAACTGTTGAGCAAATTCACATTAATGGGTTATTCGTAGCAATTACCGTTAGTCATTGAGAAATGATATATAAGTTACCATATTTTGTTCCATATTAGGTAATCTAGGAGAGTCTTGTTCTTCATTTCCTATCTGTACTATTTCTGATATTTCTGATAATGAAATATAAATACCAGTGATTTAAAAAAAAAAAAAAAAATCGGCAATGGAACTTAATAGATAGGTACATAAATATAAAGACTTAAAATGGAACTTTCCTACAATTATAGATTAATAAACCACTCAACAAGGGAGTGTTTATTACTTCTACTTTTTAATATTTAATATTTTAAATTTAAAAGCAATTCTTTCTTTTTTTTTCTTCAAGAATTAAAGGTGCGCTCTCTCTTCCACTATATAGTATAAATGTTTTTGTCTCTTAATAAATGTATTTTCAGATGAAATTTATAATTCTTACTCGCGTGGAAATTAAGATCGTTGATTTTTTCAACTAAGACATTATTAATTAAAAAAATTAATTATAATAATCAATAATAAATCTGAACCAAGTGGGCATTCGTGGGGTTATTCATGAACGTACTGATTATCATTAATTATTAGATCACATGTTACGTGGTGCAACAACACAGTACCAACAAAAAATGGAAATGTCAAACAAGGTTGGGCTCCTCACCCACCAAGTATAGATTTGGGTGCGTTGGTTCTGACTCAGATTGACATAAGACAAGTCCTAATCAATTCTACAAGAAGACGCCTCAACAAATTTAAAAAAAAAAAAAAAACATTTTTTTTAAAATTTGCTACAAAACATGGCTGGCTGACTCACTCACAGCTCGTTTCTGATATATCAGACTCGATATTTTTTATTGCAGATTTGTCTTCTTCTCTAATGAAGAAGAAGACTGTTTTCATGGATGGAATGGGAAGAAACGTGATCTAGTGATGGCTATGGCTTGTGTTTGGGGCCACCATCACTCATATTCCTTAGCTGTCTTCTGCTTTTCATCACTGTAACATGACATTTAGGGTTAGTTTTCAAAGATAAAATACTTTAGTGATGATATTTGATTCTAATTAAGTATTATTTCGTCATTTTGATAAATAATGTTACATTAAATGTAAATATTACAAAATATTTAACATTTGGACAAAATAACTAAATATTTTAATGAAAATAATAATGAATTAAAGTTTCTACTAATAGTATTTATAGTAGAATAATTTTTCTCTCTTTTGCAATATTTTCATTTTTAAAATTTTTATCTATAATTAAAATTATAGTAAGATATTACATAATTATGGTAAAAACATAATATATATGTGTTGTGTACGCACATGATAATATAATTAATTAAGGATGTGCATATAGTAAGACAAGTATGGTAACTAAATGTATATGTATACGTATACGTATTCTTGAATTTACCCTTTCACGTCATGGATGGGTGAGTTGCAATCATTTAGGTGGATTCAGAGTACGTATCCCATCATTAAACTGAGAAAAAACAAAGGAAGGAAAATGCCAAAGCTTGTTTTTCTGTTTGCCAAAAAAGTAATTTCAGAGAATCCAAAGGTATTTTGATAAGCCAATTGCGCCACTTGCAAAAATACGTTTTATTAAAAATACGTTTCGTCCATTTAAAATTTTAAAATGAGCCATTTCAGAAAAAAAAAAAAAAGAAAATTTAAATGAGATAAAATGCTGAATCAGCAATTTAGATTTTGGTTTATCCATTAAGATAATAATAAACCAAGATGTATATTGACTAATCCTGGTCAAAGAGCTTAGCTGGTGAGTGGCCAGATATAAATTAATATATAATAATATACTTGAAATATAAAGTAGAATTATTAGAATATTTATTTTCAAGATTTTGTTTAATTATTATTAATTAATTAGAATTATAAGTTAACCGATATTCGGATTTAAGAACCTCAGTTATTACAATAATCCTGGATTAGATTAGACTTTCACTGTCTAATGGTTGGAACTTACCACTTCAGCCGTCAAACCAAGTAAGGAACACGTCAGCTGGAGATAGGTATAAAAATATAGATAATCAGTTTTTTTTTTTATTATTATTATAAAAATTTTACGAGATACAAATAATATATAAGTTGAATGAGCTGGCAGTACTGACAGCTTAATCCCACATGCCACTTGCAATCCATTGCAGGCTTTTACTATATATATCTTCCAATCATTGACGGCGTTTGGGATCAAAAAGAAATTTTTTTTTTAACTTTTTTTTAACCTGAAAGAGAAAATATCTTTAGGGTCTTGCACTTTTGCATGCATATATATAGCCCATTCCAAAGCTATATTTTCTCACATCAGCCCCTAAAAAGTCCTGACTTGCAAGTTTCTTTCTTTCTGTCTCTCCGTCTCCTTTTGCCTTTCTTTTTTTTTTTTTCAGTTCTTCAGCTGAAAATTAGCTATGGCAATTGGGCAATACAAGGATGTTGAACAAGGGGAAATTAATGTTCTTGAAGATTTGAAAAGACCATTAGTTCAGGAAGAAAAAATTATTTCTCATAAAATTAAAAATAATTATCAGACTGATAATGAAGAGGAAACCACTGGATCAATTGGAATGGTTCTGTTCAGCACATTCGTTGCTGTTTGTGGTTCTTTTGAATTTGGCTCTTGTGTAAGTTCTTTTTAACTTCTTTATGATTCTAAAGTTTAAAGCTTTAAGATCACATTAGAGGCTAGAGTAATGGAGTTTATATTCCTGGTTCAAGAAAACTTCGAGGTTTACTAAATGGATTTTTCTTTTTTTTTTTTTTTCCTTTTGTTTAGGAACAGATTACAAAAACACAAACAAGCACAAATGTAATAGGTTAGGTTTTTTTAGCTTAAGCTATTGTTTTGGCAGGTGGGCTATTCAGCACCCACTCAATCTGCAATCATGGAAGATCTTAATCTCACTGCATCTCAGGTTAGCCTATTTTTCTAATTCTTTTTTCAGTTAATTATAGTATCATAATATCAAAATTGTAACTAAGTAATATGAAATTACTGTTCAATTTGTAGTACTCCATGTTTGGCTCCATATTAACAATTGGTGCAATGCTTGGTGCTATTACAAGCGGCCGGATTGCAGACTACATTGGTAGAAAAGGGGTAGGTTAATAAATTTCTTTAAGATAATTAAAAACTAGTGATTAAACACTAATTTACTTAATATGATTTGTTTATATAATCAGGCAATGAGAATGTCAGTTGGATTCTGCATTACAGGATGGGTAGCTGTGTTTTTCTCTAAAGTAAGAGTTTTTTTTTGCCTTTTGGTTCTTGAAAATTCTTTGACAAGTTCATGTTTCTTCCATAATTTTATGACCCTGAAACACCAAATCAATCCTTTCTTTGTCGTTAATGGCTTTGGTGCAGGAGTATTTTTCGCTTGACATGGGAAGGTTTTTCACTGGTTATGGCATTGGAGTTTTCTCCTTTGTGGTAATTATTTGATAATGATGATGCCCTCAGATCTTATGGTATTTTCTGCTTTGCAAATCTTCAAATGATAATATTTCTTCTTTTTTTTTTTTCTGAAAAAAAAAAGATTCCAATATATATAGCTGAAATATCCCCAAAGAATCTTCGTGGAGGGCTTACCACATTGAATCAGGTACAAATTGTGATGAAATGTTTCTTCTTCTTTTTTTTTTTTTTAAAGAAAAAACACAAACTGTAGTCTAATCATTACTAATCTTTTGAATCTATGCAGCTCATGATTGTTACTGGGTCATCCACTGCATTCTTGTTAGGAAGTGTTATATCATGGAAAGCATTAGCTCTAACTGGTAAAATCTAAATTTGCTACAGAGAAAGGAAAATTTTGCTGCAAAATTTATTTAAAAGAGCAGGAGTATTTATTTGTTCATTTTAATTTGAAGGTCTGGTTCCTTGCATTTTCCTTCTTGTTGGCCTGTTCTTCATTCCGGAGTCTCCTAGATGGCTGGTAAGCAGATAAACAATCTCTTATAAAACCTGTTTAGCAAAATGAGAGAGAAATGAAAATAAAAATTTTACTTATCCAGGCGAAAGTTGGCCGAGATAGGGAATTCAAAGTTGCACTGCAGAAACTTCGAGGCAAAGATGCTGATATTACACGCGAAGAAGATGAAATCCAAGTACTTTGACTTAAACTAACTTTCTTTGTTAAAAAAATTAGTCATGTATTAGCTAATGCATTTCAGATATTTAATAGTTCTGTTTCTTGACAGGATTCTATTGAAATTCTTGAAGCCCTTCCTAAAGCTAGATTTCTTGATTTATTCCAAAGGCAATACATCCGTGTTATATTTGTAAGTAAATTCCTTATCTGTTTAATATGTATGTGGTTATCCCATCATAATTGCCAGGTTTTCTGATAACTTGCAAACTTGGACTTGGAATTCTTCAGATTGGAGTGGCAATAATGATATGCCAGCAATTTGTAGGAATTAATGGAGTTGGATTTTATGTTAGTCAAATTTTTGTGACTGCTGGTAAACCCATTTCTGTGTATTTTTAATTTCATGTATTTATTACTATTATTTTTTAGTTTTTATCTTTGTTGTTGACCAATAATTTTGTTATGAAATCTGGAGGACTTTCTTCTGGGACACTTGGAACCATGAACCATTGCTTATGCTTGTATTCAGGTATTTGACATTGGCTTGTTTCCAAAAGAAAAGTAAAAGCTAACAATTAAACTTCTTGGCTGAATGCTAATCCATTGAAAATCAATTCATCAGGTTCCGATAACAATAGCGGGAGCAATGTTAATGGACAAGTCTGGAAGAAAACCACTAATAATGGTACATAAGTAGACTTTTTTTCGTTTTTTTTTTTTTCTTCCAAGAAGTTATTACTTTGGCTTATATCTTATATTGACAGATAAATCTTGTGAGTAATTACTAAATATGCTTTTGCATATACGTGAAGGTTTCTGCAGCTGGGATATGGTTGGAACTTCTTTCCTTCTCAAGGTAAGTCCCCAAAACTGTTAATTACTCTATATTAACACTTATTTGAAGATATTAATTTATGTTAATGATTCTTATTTAACCAGTCACTCAGTTTGTTGCTTGGATGGGTACCTATTCTAGCTGCTGCAGGAGTACTGGTAAATTTACCTACAATTTGACTCCAATTTCATAAAATCACTCAGCAATCTCCAGGAATTTTAATTCCTGAAATATATATATATATATATATTTTCCGCTATGAAATCAGGTATTCATATCAGCATTCTCAATTGGAATGGGAGCAGTTCCATGGTTGATAATGTCCGAGGTAACTAAAGATTTTAGCATTAGTGCAAGACTTGTTCAAGATGCAGCATTCAGAAAGTTTTTGTGTCATCTAAAAACTTGTTCTGTTTCTTTGCAGATCTTCCCAATAAATATAAAGGGAGTTGGAGGGAGCTTAGTGGTATTGGTGAACTGGTTAGGTGCTTGGATAGTTTCGTACACGTTTAACTTTCTCATTAGCTGGAGTTCCTCAGGTAAATAGCAACTTTTCCAAGAAAAGAATTCTATCAGCTTTCAATGTTAAATATCAAACCGAGTAATTTGTAATTCTTGATTGTGTTTCAGGTACTTTCTTTTTGTACTCGGGATTCTCATTGATGACTATTCTTTTTGTGGCCAAGTTTGTGCCAGAAACCAAAGGAAAAACACTGGAAGAAATTCAAGAATGTATCAATTCATAGAAATGTAGAAATAATATTCAATGGAAATTTTTTTGGAAGATGATAGAAATTTTGATGTGATGGGTAAAGGTCCAGTAGAAGTTACAGTTGAATAGTATCTGCAAATTGCAGCAAATTCTCTGCGGCTGGAAGAATCAAAATTTTTGTTATCGATAGATAGAAAGAAGATAAAGGCTTAAAGCTATAAGGATTAGTGAGGATCTTCACATTCTAACAACTAGAAGTGCTTGTGCTTTTCATTTATGTAGATTATGAAAATAGCTTGTCATTCAATTAACGAAGAAGAAGAGTTTTTAAGCTTCTGTTAGCAAGCTTAATTTCAATTTTTATCTCCCTAAATATACCATCTTAGATCCCTTTTTTGACGCCAAATGTTTTGTATTGTGTAATTCCGGATGGGTCAATAGCTCATTGTTGATAAATTTCAGACATGGAGTCGTGGACCACCTAGGTTTATAGCATCAAGTGCAACATAAAAAACATTTGCTCTGTACTCATTGCAGAGGATTAATAAATTGAAGAAATGGAGTCATGGACCACCTAGGTGGATGATGAATTATGAATTAGAATATATCCAAAAATACCTAATAATTAACTCTTTCTAACACCTGAATTTTTATTTTCAAAATTGTTTTTGGATCTAAATAAATAAAAGATCTGATTTACCATACAGGCACAAACAAGAACCCCAAAATTTATTTTAGGTTTAAGCTCCGTGGTGGTGGTATTGGGGTACAATTATTTGAGAACCAAGACAAAAAGACCCATTCCGTAGTCAATTAAAATCTTCCATTCCCATAAAATAAAAAGCCGTCGAGAATTTAGAAAAGAGAAGAAAAATCTCGAGAATCAAACGACCATCGATTCTCGCGAAGTCAAATGCCGAATCAGAGGTCGATTTAACTGAGTCACGGCGAGTTTGACTGTTATCCAGAAAGTTTGATGTACGATGAGGCTTGTATTGTCCTTTGATCCAAGAAGTAGAAACCCAGATTTTCTGAGGCCAATCCATGGCGTTTTGGCCATCAACTTCAAACAGTATAGGTACGAATTATGAACTTCAATTTGCTGGCCTTGCTTTATTGAATCCAGTGGACTACTAAACCAAATAGGTGGTTTTTATTGAATCTGAGCAGTCCTAGTCAAAAATGAATATCATTTTTGACGCGGACACATGACGCCTCTTGGGTTATGATCGATGACGTGGTAGGGCTAGTGTGTCTTCCAGCTGTACTTTCCTTTGACGTGTCACTTTGTAAGTGGAATTACGTGGCAAATACTGATGAAGTGGCTTCCGATCGAACACATGTCTGCCACCTATTATTAGTTCGATGATGTGATGGCGCCAACGTGTCTTCTAGCTGCGGTGACACACAAAATCCATGACCTGGCCACAGTTCGAAAATGTGTCTGCCATTTGGCACATTTTGACAGACAGGCGATGACTGGAGGAGGACGAGCCACGTGGCCGCCACAATGACTTCGTTTGATGATGTGGCTGTGATAGCTGACATGGCGTCGGTTCTAGACGTGTTTGCCTTTCGGGACACTCGCGACACATGGACAACAGGTGGATGACCACTGGACGAAGAATGACTACATGTCCGCCAGCCAGCTGGACATACCGAGGACGTGTCATTGTGCTAGTGGAATGACGTGACCTTGGTAGCTGATCTGGCTTCCATTTCTACACGTGTCTGCCATTTGGTACATTGATGACACATGGACGACAGATGGACTATTACTGGACAAGGGCACACCACTTGGCCACCACCTTGATTTCGTTGGATGATGTGGTACAGCGGAATGACATGGCAGGTATGGCTTGCGTGGCATCCAGTCGTTCACGTGTTTGCCATTGGAACGGTGCTAATACGTGGAAGACAGGTGGATGATGACTCGACGAGAACACGACGTGAGGTGCCACATTCTGTTCCAGCTGTACTTCTTGGGTACGTGTCTTGTGCCAGTGGAATGTCGTGGCCCATCTGGCTTGCAGCCGTACAGGTCTGTCATTGGCACGCGGCTTACACATGGACGACAGGTGGACGAGGACACACCACGTGGCTGCTGCCTTTATGATGTGAATGGAACTATCGTGGAATGACGTGGCGTGATAGCTGACATGGCTTGCATCCTACACGTGTTTGTCATTTGACGCACTGCTGACGTATGGATGACTGGTCGGAGCACACCACGTCGCTGCCACAATGGTTCAGGTCGATGACGTGTGGTTGCCAGCCTCTTCCAGCTGTAGTTCCTGAGTATGTGTCATTGTGCAAGTGGAATGACGTGGCTCAGGCCTGACTTTCAGTTCTACACGTGTCTGCCATTTGGAATACTTCTGACACATGGTGGCAGGTGGACGATGACACACTGGCTGCCAGCTGGATTTCTGTGGACTACGTGTTTTCCCTTACTGTTCTTCGGTTGACGTGTCACACAGTAAGTTGAATGACATGGCTCATATCAGTGACCTGGCTTCCTCTTCGACACGTCTGCCAATTTATAAATTGCCGACTCATGGCTGATAATTGGACATAGGCGTACCACGTGGCTCCCGTTTGGATTTAGGTCAATGACGTGGATGAGCCATCGTGTATTTTTTCTGGCCTTTTGATGACGTGTTTGGGTGTATCTGGATTTGCCTTCGTATCATCCAGTAGACTATTCAATGACGTGGCAGCTTATGGGTGGTCTGCCGTCGAACACATTTGCAATTGCTGGCTACTTGGTAATGACGTGGCTCAAAAGACAAGCCGACGACGCTTCTACGATAACGAGTTGCAAAAAACGCGCGTGATTCGATGTCACCAACTCAGTAATACGTGGCAGTCCTCCTCCTTGATTAAGCAGAGCACCACCTCCAATTTTGCACGATTTAGCCCATAAAACAACACCGTCACAATAGAGAGAAACAATTCAATCACCAAAACTTGAAAAATGTCTACAAATGATGAATACTCTCACTGAATCTCTTAGAAGGTGAACTTTTATTTCTTTCTTATTTTCCCTTCCCCTTTTTATAGTCTGTTATCGTTTAAATTTTCAATTGGTTGTCATTTGTCCAAAATGGAAAAAAAAAAAAAAGTTGGAATCGTCTATTTGTTAATTTTGATACACTTCTCTTGTACAAGTTGAATTTTGGATTGACGATTTTCAATTTCGGAGATTTAAGCAAAGAACAACAATGCATTTTCATAGGAGCTGACTTTTAATTTGCTGAAGTAAAATTGTGCACTTCATCTGCTAGCTTGATCATTCGGTTTGCTTTTGGGCTTTATCTATGAAGTTTGGGTGTTATATGTACTCCTTATGTGTGCTTGTATGTGATTTTGTGCTATTGTCCTTATGATGTTCACTTCAAAAGTTATGGAGTTAATTCTGAATTGCAGAATCGATCCGTTTACAGTTCATTTTTTGTTATGTCAAGACAGGGTCTAAAGGAATGCTGAAGTTTCATACTTGCGCATGTTTTTTCTTGATTCTAAATTGAAAGTGTATAGTCACTGGAACACGATTAAGGCTTAAACATGAGTGGGATAAACAAAAATACAGACGGTTGTGATGATGATAGTACTAGAAATGAATCATTTGCAAGCCATGGACCAAATGAGAATTCTGACTATCTTGATCATGAGATTGCTCAACTCACCAAACTGAGATCAGAACCCAATCAACTTTTGGTTCGAGATGTGCCTGGCAGAGTGAGGCTGCCTGTATCGACAGTGAAAATGTTGCTTGCTCGAGAGGGTAATTATTCAGGGAGAGGGAGATTCTCATCTGCAGATAGTTGTCACGTATTGAGTCGATACTTGCCTGTCCATGGTCCTTGGAGAGTGGACCGGTTGAAAAGCCGTGCCTATGTTTCTCAATTTTCATATGATGGTACTCTTTTCATTGCAGGATTTCAGGTATTGTTCTACAAGCTTGTGCTAGAGTTGATACAATGATGAGATAACAGGAAATGCTTTATTTCTTGGATGATTGCAGGGATATTTTGCTAGACAAAATGTTTGTTTTCTTATTTTTAATCACAAGTGTTTATGTATGTTTTGTTTGAAACAGGGAAGTCACATTAGGATATATAATGTGGACAAGGGGTGGAAAGTACAGAAAGACATCTTAGCCAAAAGTTTGAGATGGACAATTACTGATACATGTCTTTCACCAGATCAGCGCTATCTTGTAAGCTGTGATGATTGTTGGACAAAGATGCATTTTGATATACCATCAAGATAAGAAGTCTTAGTCATTTTTGGTTCTTTATTTTGTTTATGCCTGCAATTCTCTCTTTTGATTGGATAATAAATTTGGTTAGAGTGCTAAGGTGTACAGTTAAATATTGTTTTCTTACAGGCCCAAAAAGCCCATGACAATGGATTGACTGCCCCATATAAAATCATCATTTAAAATCTTTTCTTATTTATCCTCTATGATAAGGAAACATGTTTAGTATCATAAAGCAATTTAGGTTATCATTGGAATTGGGTTTCTGGTTTGGCCATCAGAACCTAATTAACTGCGTGGCACATCCTTAATCCCTCCTCTAACAGCTTTTTACTGCTGTTTTTCAGCAAGACAACTTTATTTGAATTTCTAGGATGCTTCAGATGCTTGATTATATATTGTTGCAGGTCACATGTTTTTTAATTGGCGTGCTAATTATTGATGGACATCAACTGAGCTTCATCGTAACTGTGAAGCATTTAATGCTGTCTTGCTAAGCCAATGCATTCAATGTTGATTTAATTTTACATGAATGTAAATGGTGCAGGTGTATGCTAGTATGTCACCTATTGTCCATATTGTAAATATTGGATCTTCTGCAACAGAATCTCATGCAAATGTCACGGTATGTGCTGCAAGTTGTCCATAATATTTATTGAATACTTTTCTGTGTGCATTTATTATGTTTCAAATGAAGGCTAAACTTTTTGTTAGTTATTACATTGCTGTTCAATTCGTGGTCCGTCATATGTTCTCTAGGATCTAGTTGGATTATAAAATGCTACTGTATTTTCTAATGCAACAGTTGATCAGATGATATTTAGAATTATAATGTTTATATCTTGGATTAGGGTCTATGGTACTTCGATTATGGAAGTTAGCTTACCATCAGTGAGGTTGAAGTTATCTCTGCTGGTGACTCACTAAGACACATAACTATGTGCTGAACTTAGGCTAATCCAGCATTTTCAACCATGATTTGTTAGGTTATCCCTGTAGATGGAACTTTTCTCTCTATGAGAAGTTTATCAACTATGATGGAATCCTAGCATTTAAGTGCTTTGTTGTTCCTTTTTTTGCTTGTGCTGCAAAGTAACAAATTAGTTTTTCAATAATCTGAAATCGACAGTTGGGTTTGTTCCTGAAGCGTTGGTTCACATATGAAGTCCATACATGCAGGAAATTCATGAAGGTTTTGATTTTTCTGGGAATGAAGATGAAGATGATGAATTTGGGATTTTCTCTGTAAAGTTTTCAACAGATGGGAGGGAGCTTGTAGCTGGAAGTAGCGATAGTGCAATATATGTTTATGATCTGGAGGCAAATAAGAATAGCCTCCGAATTTCTGCGCATCTGGTATTTGAAATTGATAATTACCATGAAAGGTCTTATATATCAAAGGATCTCTTAATATTTTAAGTCTTCCATATTTATAAAATTTGTTCTTTGTGGGGAGCTGGGTTTAGAATGTTTAGATGTGTTAATAATCTGATTTTTATTTCCTCTTTCAGTCTGATGTTAACACAGTATGTTTTGCGGATGAAACTGGTCATCTCATATATTCAGGAAGTGATGATAACCTCTGTAAGGTAAAATCTCTTTGTAGTACCCAAGTTCTTTCCAATTTAACCCGTTTGCAGAAACATCTTTGTGTAAACTGAACAAACTTTTGTTGGAGAATTACACGGTTCAAGTGAGGCACCTAATGTTGAAGGAAACCTAAGCCTTTTCAACAAATAATCGTGTATGCTTTGTCTTGTTTTTAACCTTTCCAGGTGTGGGATAGGCGTTGCTTTATTGGCCGAGGACAAGCAGCTGGTGTCCTTACAGGACATCTAGAAGGCATTGCATTCCTAGACAGCCGTGGGGATGGGCGTTACTTAATTTCGAATGGAAAAGATCAAACTACCAAACTATGGGATATACGAAAGATGTCCAATAATGACACATGGTAAATAACCTCTGCATTAACACTCATTTTTATATCTCTATGCATGATTTTAATGCTTGTAATGCTTTTCTCAGAGCCCTGCTCATATGTGGGATTTGAAACTTTGAACAATTCTTGTTTGGAGGTCACTCTTTTAAAATACATCAGCTTATGAGCTAGCTAAAGAGAGACAGGATTAATTTATTTGCTGATGATTGATGCTTGGTGGAGACAAGTTGAGGTCCAAACACAAAGACGTTTATAATTTTAAAGTTCAATATCTAATTACTGTTCATGGTATTTGGAAAATTTATATGTGTATATACATATATATTTTAGCTTATCTTGCCTACCTTAAAGTTCATATTTCAGGATCATAATAGAACACATAATATGTGATTTTGTGGCTTCACAAATAATAAAGCTTTTTTATTTTCTAAGTTTTATTCGTGGACAAGTCAATCGATACATTTTGAAATTTCAGAATAATGGTAGAATGATGATTAGAGCTTTCAATGCTTGATTTCCTGTGATGGACTAACATTATGAAATAAGCATTTAAATCAAACAAAAGGAAAGACAGTCATTGAGAGGGTATTAGCAGTTATTAATTTATACTGAAAGCTTCTACAACTCAATTGGTGAACCAACATTACGAGAAAGGTATTTTTAAGAGTACAGTCTGCATGATGAGGAGAATTGTGGTTATTGGTAGTATATGCTGGAATATAATATACTCAAGACTCATTTTGGATCTCCTGAACATAGTTTAGATACGCGTATTTTTTTTTATTAAAAACCTTTTATCTGTATATATTGTTCACTAGAGTTGGTTTCAGCAAATTGTGTGAAGAGACTGACTTACTATTTTAGCTGACTGGAACTTAGGATCTGGCTTGGTGTACAGAATATATTATGCTCTATTGAAGTCAAAAGTATGCTCTTAATTGTTTCCTACTGACATTTCTGTTGAACCAGCACTACCACATTAAGGGATTCTGACTGGGACTACAGGTGGATGGAGTACCCACCCCATGCACGAATACTGAAACATCCTCGTGATCAGTCATTGGCCACATACAGAGGTCATTCGGTCCTGCGCACTCTGATTCGCTGTTACTTCTCTCCAGAATATAGGTACTCATCAACTGAAGTATCACATCACAGATGACTGAACTTGCTAAATTGCCTCTGTGCAGGCCTATGTTCCAATTTTCATCCTTAAATTCATAGTTTGTGCAGAATTTTAGAGCCGTTCTGAAGAGTGGCCAACAGTTTGACTCAGCAAACATTCTTTTTAACTGAGAAACATCCTTCTCTTAACCAAAAAATAAATTTTATACAGAAGAAAGAAGAAGAATATGACTTGGAGGATTAGGCATCTTCCTAGACTGAGCAACATGTAGAGACTAGTATGAAAACTGAAAAATCAAAACAGTAGCATTCTCTAATCATACGGCATAACAATAAAAAATATATTTCTTCTGGAAATTTTAGATTTTATGGTTATGCTACTGTTGGTTTTGCTAGTCTGGAAAAAAACCTGTAGTAATTTGGGCTTTCACGTTTGTTTTAATTTATGAAGCTCTAGCTCGTGCTAATTTGTTTTAGCTCAACTAAGTTGTATAAATGTTGGTGTGGGAGATTGGGCTGTGCCTGGTCGTGTCTGGTCTTTGGGCAATATTTTTGCTTGATGTTAATTTGTTTTGTTGGGATTTATAAGTCTTAAGAAATTTCATCATTTACTAATTTGGTAAATAACTTGTTGCAGCACTGGTCAGAAGTATATCTACAGCGGATCAAGTGATTGTTCTGTTTATATTTATGATCTGGTATGTGCCTTATTTAGCTGTCTCTTTCAGAATAAAGATCACATTTTGCGATGGTTACTGCTAAAGGATGAGGGAACCATTGTTGCCTATCCCATGTATGTTCCATTACAATGGATAGCAATTCATCAGATGTATATTTAGGAAATACTGAAAATTGATTGTTCGTTAATTGCCTAGAATTATTGTTTAATTTGCATATTGGTGAATGGGATTAAACTTGGATGATGGCAAGGAAAAGAAAGAATCTAATTAAAATATTGTATCATGAATCTGCAGGCACCATTAGCCAAAGATCTGTTGTTTAGTAATAATTAATCTAGTTGACAATCATTTTGCTTATTCCATATGGAATTTTCCTTTCATATTTGGAACATTCCTGCTTTTACCGGTTGTTTCCCTAACTCAAGAGTTGTCCGCCCAACATTTTGATAAAAAAGATCACAAGAAATGTCGTCCTTTTCATTTGGCTAACTAACTTATGCTGGTGGGAAATGATCTTCTTTTTGTGTAGGTGAGTGGTGCTGAAGTTGCAAGACTTGATCATCACGAAGGCCCTGTAAGAGATTGTAGTTGGCATCCTCTCTATCCAATGATCGTTAGCTCTTCTTGGGATGGAGTAATCGCCAAATGGGAATTTCCTGGGTATGGAAAAGCACTTGTGCCATTGAGACGAAGGTCAAATCGGAGGCGGGTTTACTACACTGATGTTGACTTATAGTTGTACAGATGCATTTTGGTTTTTTTGGATTCAATGGTTAGTAAAATCCAGGTCATGTCGATCTCTGGCTGGAGTGTGCATCTCTGTAGAAAGACATACAGATTTGTACATCTAAGGGAGGTTATATTTTGCTATCACTGCTGTGGAAAGTCCAGCAGTTGGTCTAGATAATAGTAATATTACAGATTCCTTTTGTTTGAAATTTGATATTGCTGTATGTAAAAACTCCCATTTTATATCAATCATTACTGCTGGCAATTGGATGACAAATATAAACATTTTGATTAAGTTCGAGTCGCAAGATACAATTTTTGTTTAAAAAAAGATGACATGGAAAGACAACCGATGGGTTAGTTTCACCATCATGAGCAAAACGACAGATAAGACAATGTAATATAATATATACGCCCTGGACCTGCACTGCCGTCCTACGTGTCGATTCTTGTAGTTCGACGACAGCGAGAAACACGGACGGCGTTAGATATAGTAAAACCAAAATCTCCAATTCCTGGCAGTTAGGAAACGAACTGTCATCCAACGTCAGCGACGAACGAAATTAACGAGGCGGACAGCGTCAATAGTTAGAATTCTTGCAAGCCAAAGAATACGACATGTCGTTCCATGAAAGGAAAATTGCAAAATACGGTACTAGAAGAAGTAACGGCGTCGTATGAGATATTGTATACCAAAAAGATATATTTATTTTCTGGTCCTCTTGAATCCTTGATATCTAATTTTGCGACCTGTAGTTTACACTTTACAGTATACTTGTTCCAAATCCCACACATTACACATACACAGAGATACAGCCAAAAAAATGGCTTCGCCAACTGCAAGGATCACGTTTCGAATTTTAATTGCGGTTCTGGTGATAATGGTCCTCTTTTACGTTGGTCGTCCTCTGTACTGGAAAATCTCCGCTACCATTCAAGAGGTCCGCGAAAACAAACGCACCGTTCAACAAGGTTTTCTTCTTTCTCTAACTATCTCTAATAATTACACCATATATATTGAGATTTCTGAATCTAAACCCGTTTGATGTGTTTGTGTACAGGCATTTCTCAGATTGTTTATGAAGCGCAGAAGTCGGTGGGTTGGTTCCACGATGAATCCGATTCTGGAGTTCGTGAAGACAGGAAAGCGGTAAACCGAAGGCTACTTTTCTAAGGTTATTACTATATTTACAATCACTTATTTTCTTTTTTTTTTTAAATTAATTGTTTTTTTTATTATTGTACTATGATTATATGAGTGGATCTATTCTTCTGTTTATCTGCTGTAATAATGATTGAAGATTTTATTATTATAGTAGTGAATTTCTTAGTATTAAGAATTTTTGTGTTTGTTGATATTTCTCGGAATTGTAAGATAGTAACCTATTGCACTTCACTTGTTGCATTTCCATTTTTGTTTTTTCAGTTAAATTGGGTTGGGGTCCATGGTAGATGGCTCCTTTTTAGATCTGTAGTGTATAGCTTAAGCCTTAACTGGGATTGCTTATTATAATTCTGGGTGCTAATGACAAATATATAATGATTGAAGAAAATTTTGAGTGCACAACTTGGGATTTGTTGAGAAATTAATGTTTGGTAGCTTAGATTATGAGCAAAGCTCAAACAAAGAAAGGATGCTACAATGTTACCAAATTTCTTCATGTGATTACAAACTGATTATGTTCGAGTTGATTCATGATACCAACAAGGTAGCATGCAGAGAGATGGCTTTTGCTTTCATATGAGCATTGCCCATAACTTTCTTTTTTTTGTTGGATGGAAGGAAGGTTTAAAACCTGTTTTTTAATAAGATTTTACAAGCTGTACACTGCTTTTTTTATTTTTTATTTTCTTTCTCTTATCAAAAAGTGCAGGTTCATAGGTTATTGGTTTACAATATTCCTGAGTGGCTTGTTCCATTACATTCATGATATTCGGATGTTTATTGAGCATTATAATAATGAATATTGCCGTAATTCATCCTACCGATTATAGAAAGAAGGCTGGATTTTTTTGGCACCAATTATTTTCTCAGCCTGTGAGGCTTAAGTCATTCAACCTCCTTGGCCCTTTATGATTTACTATCTCGATGGTGTTAAGTTGACTTTCATATGAAAAGATTCAATGTTAGTTCTATGGATTTGTCCAGATGAGGTGTTATTTGAAATTTCAGAGTCATAGAAGATAGGCTAAATCATGTTCTAGGAGGATGTTATTAAGTTGTTACTAAAATATCTACACTAGTTACCAAAGACAGTTGAGTTATTAATTAATTAATTCAAGTTGAGTATTGTCATGAGTTATCAATTAATTCAAGTTTTTCTCCCTAGCAAAATGTGTAATATTGTGGTATCTTCAGACAGTTGAGCCATGCATGTGCTTTCTTTCCTTTTCACCTTCATTTCAGTGCCTGATGCAGTTGCTGGTCCATGTTACTCTTTATGCCCGAAGTAGATGACTCAGTGTCAGAGTTTGCATATCATTCTAGAGTGAATATATGCTTGTTAAGTGTTTATTGGTTTAGGCCTATTAGATAGCTTGTGAGTTGTGAATGGAAAAATCAATTTGTTATTATAGTTTATTGAAAGAATGAAGTTCAAATATGTCGAGCATGTTGAAATATTACTTAGCTAGTTTGATGTGCTAATAGGTTCAAGTTTTCTGCAGTTAGAATTGCCATACAGCTTAAAGAAATTTTCACAAAATCAAAAGCCCCTAGTTTAAATAAATTGGGAAATATAGGCCTCGATCAAAGCCCAATTCAATCAAAGTCTGGAAATGTTTCTGATAGTTTTTATTGGAGTCTATGGCTTATGGATGTTTATTTATAGCCTTATAGGGAGAGGTCTATGATCCTGCACTGTAGTGTTTCGGGGGAATTTGCACCCAAGCAGGGAATATGCACCCAATTGAGAAGTCTCTCATGGGTCAACTCCCCCTGCTTCGAGAACTTGATGATTATGTTATTTTTGGAATCTTAGACCTTAATGTCTAAAATCTCTTTTTAACATCAGCTGTAGAAGTCTGAATTAAAATCATCTAGGTTTTTGTTTGTTTTCAGAGGACAAGTATCTTATCCATAAATAATGAGGCAATCACTGATTCATTTTCCTATCACCTCCTTAACTATTATTCTGTACAGTAACCCACAGAACGATGGATCCTCTAGAAACTAGGATGCTGACAACAAATTTATCTCCACTCTATTACATTGCCTCAGCACAACCTGAGGAGCTGGGGGGGCATTTTTCTTTTAACCAGCTTGTGACACGACAGAAAATCGATGCATTCAAGCTTACTTTATTGTCACATCATCAGTATTGGCCCATGAGATGAGAACATATTAATTTGCTAGGTGTGGTGTGAGGGCTCCAGTTTATGTACATATGTCTAATACTAACGTTTGGTTTGAAAATAACGTGAAGTGAATCGCAGATTTTCATTTCATTTTGGGCTTCAATTTGTAAATTGTGTGGCTAGACTAATAAGTTTAGAATGCTAAATATGCAACTTCTGTTCATTGAATCTATTACCTAACTTTGTGCTTAAACAAGCAATCATTGCGTGATTTAAAGTGACTCTAAAGGGCAATATTTGGTTGGTTTAATATATACATATATATCCTCTTTCTTTCAACCTACTCAAAGGAAGGAGCATTTGATTTTCCTTTGATTAAACAAAACTATATATATAGCCATGATTATTATTGCAGGGGACCAACCTCCAAATTACTACCTTCACTTCATAGTTTTTCCATTATGCTAAAGAAAGTTCACGCATGATTGGACTGACCTTTAACTATAAATGCAATATATCGAATCGAAGAAGGCAACAAAAAAGTCATTCTCAAGGCAGACTTAGCATTAATCCTTGTTGAATTGGTAAGGTTGGGCATAGGTCTATGGTCAACAATGATATACATTACCTATAGAAATAAAAAAATTGTCAATCATCATAATTATAATGATATCCCATCATTGTTCATTTTTCTTCATGGACCATAATAAACACAAGTCTGAATTCTACTTTGAGTTTTAGGGATTTCCTTTTTTTTTTTTTTTTGTGTAAAAACCTTTTGAAACGTGAAAATTAATTAATATATCTATCACTTTATATCGAATTTAATATTTCAAATGGAATAGATTTTACTATTAATTGAAGTCTATGAGTAGAAGCATAGAAATTGAAATTCCTAAACAAAGAATCCGCATGTCCTCAATACTGATAACTCCATTATTAAGGAAAAGGTAGGATTTGACCAAAATAGGCAATTTGGATTAGTGGTGGAAAGGGAGGTACCTTTCTTTTAAGTTCACACACTAAAAAGAACATTAATACAAAATTTTGGAGCCCTTTCTGCTTTGCCTTTGATCCCTCTTAAGCATTCTTACTTATCCAATAAACATATAATCCTTCACGTTTCATATTCCACCGTAGAAAAAGAATTTATTTTTTAATGAAAAGGTCTAATCTCAACCCACTATATTATTGTCAATTGCTTGGAAACCAAGTACTTAGCATATGGTGGACCTTCCTTTGATGACACTAATTAATTGGATAAAACTATTAAGCTAACATTATTATAGGTCATGAAAAAAATTCAACTTGCTTAATCGAAAATTAAACCCGCTAGCCAAAAATAAATTTACCATTTCAATGAAAATTCAATTTATCATACAATTTGATTAATCAAATTTATATATTTATATTTATTTTTATGTTTGTATCAATTATAGTATTTAAGTAAAAAAATTTTAGTGATAATTCTAAGTTTTAAATTATTGACCTTACCAATAAAATTTGGCCGAAAATAAAATCTAATAACTAGCATTTTAGTGAAAAAAAACACGCACGAGTCAAAAGATGGGTAGGATCTAACCGCCAAAACTGTAAACAGAAGGCACAATCCACGTGGGAAGAGCATTACAAAATGACATACGTAGGAACGCACACAAGGGGTTTTTCTTATAAAGGGGAACAAAGATTAGAGAGATGGCCAATCAGTGTGTTAGAATCCTCGAGGTGTGATGGGATGGGACCCAAGAAGACAAAACCTTTTGTCAAATCAGATATCAATACGTGTCCAGTAATAAAACGTGGCAGCTGTGCAGTATTGACATTTGACATATATCTAGCCAAAGAAAATTAGGCAGCAGCTTTTGAGGATTTGAATCTTATGTATGTAACGTAAAAGGTTGTTTGCCGACGACATGTCACATAAGGTAATTTCTTTGTCTCACTCTTTTGTGAGTCTTCTCCTTAAATCATCATTTAAAGAACCCTAAATAAATAAATGCATATTCATCACATTCTGATTAACACCTTACACCTAACCTCAATAGATCTCTCAATACTCTTTCTTTTTTTTTTTTTTTTCTTTTCCTAAAAATATATTTGACCCAGAGATTTTTACATTTAAAATTATACTTTTCATAAGAAATATATTTTTAAAATGTTCATATTTACCTTATAATATCGTAAAAATAAATTATACTAAATTTAAACACAATTCAAAATTAATTCAATTTAAAAAATTGAGTTCAAATTTAATTTGTTTATTAAACTAAATCGATAAGCAAACTTGAGATTCACTCGTTAACGTTGTAGCTATCTCGAATATAATATAAATAATGCAACATAACACCAATAATAGACTGAGCGAAGAATTTCCACTGTACGTAATATTTATAGTCTAGTATTTTAGGATCACAAAGTTCTAGTCGTGGGTTGATCTCAGACTGTAGATATATTTGTCCAATAATAAAAAAAATATACAACTGAGAGCTGTACAAATACAGTACATGTCCCCATAAAAGTTACGTAAAAAAAAATAAAAAATGGTCAAATTCCAATCTTTGGATCCACAAAAACATGTCCACATGCAAACCCCTTCTCACACGTAAGTAGTTTCATATTTATTTGTTCTCTTTGTTTTTATTTTGGTTGGATTGAATTGGATCTTGTATTAATGAGAGTTGACTCAATTTGGCGACTTGAAACAATTTTTTGAATGCAATTTTGACTTTACTGATAAAATTAATATCAACTAGTCTAACAGCCAGCCTTATTTTTAGCATATCCACTAATTTGATCGATTCTGAAGCCATTGAATTGTCAAAAACTTGGATTCTGCATTAATTCTCTATTGGAAGTTACTCAGAAAACAAAAGCAAAGTTGAGACAGTAATAAAATTAGCAGTGACCTCACATGGAATACAATGAGTGACATAACAATATTGAACATTCATGACTTTTCAAATTGAAATCATTTTCTTTGCTATAAGATAATGATACTTTTTCTTTTGAGATATCAAAGTTCAAGAATCTATTCTACCACTGGTAATGAACATATAATTACATCTCCATTGTCTCTTCTTACTTTTTACTCGTCATAATCACTCTTTTAACTGCTTCTTCACATGTGAAGCTCTTCCTTACTATAATACTTGATTTTTATTTTTCGTTTAAATCATAATTGCCTTCAGAGATGGTTTGGATGTAACAGTTTGGAATTGCTGATGTTTTTGCAGGTTTAAAGGAAAGAAACTGTTGAGGGTTTTGATTGGAAAAGAAAAAAAAATGTTACTGCAGAAGATTTTCTGGGTGTTTATCACAGGACTTGCTGCTGCTAATTTGTACACTGTGGTGGAGGGTATACCACATAGGATTCTTTTAGATACAGATGTCGATACCGATGATTTCTTTGCTCTTTTGTATATTTTGAAGCTTAACAGGTCAGAGTTTGAGTTGGAGGTCAGTCTTTATGCTTTTCTGATATGTATAATTTTTAGAAGTTTCAGCTTTTGGTCGTTGATGATACATGTTGTGAGAAATGATTTGCAGCTTTATCTTTTTTTGCTTGCCCCAGCTAAAATAGTTCAAATTTGAATATGTTTGATCGTGATTGAATTCTTGCAAGCTATTCCTGACATGATCATTTCAAATTTTAGTTTGAGGAACTTGTTAAGTCTCTGAGTGGACTTACTCAAAGACTTTAATATTCCCATTCTCTTGTTAATAGTATGCATCTACAACTTAGCTCTGAACTTTTCTTCTGTCAGAAGATATTACAGCGCAGTGTGCTTACCAATATCAGAAATTCTCGTGTCTTTTAAGGATTTATATCCACTAACTGCTTACCAGAGAGATTTTGACAGGCAATCACAATCAATGCAAATGCATGGACTGATGCAGGGCATGCTGTGAATCAAATTTATGACATTCTTTACATGATGGGGCGCGACGATATTCCTGTTGGAGTGGGAGGTGAAGGTGGAATACTAGAAGATGGTACTATACTCCCGAATGTTGGTGGATATCTTCCTATAATTGAGCAGGTGAAGCAAAAGGCCTAATCCCATTTTTGCTGAAGTTTTATGCTTAATTAGTAACATATAACTAATGTTTAAGTTTGCACATTAATTAGGGAAATTCAACAGCAGGAGGCTGTAGATACAGACAAGCTATTCCCATAGGACCTGGAGGAAGATTAGATATTGATTCCAACTATGGCATAAGGAAAGCTTTCCTGCCTCAGGTACCAAACTTATAAACATTATGTTTAATCAATGATCAAGTCTTACACTTGTATGGAGCTCATAGATTCTTCTAATAAACCAGGGCCGCAGGAAATATTCTCCTCTTCGACAACCAACTGCACAGCAAGTGCTTGAAGACAAAATATCTGCAGGTCCTATTACTGTCTTCATAATAGGAGCTCATACAAATTTTGGCATTTTTCTTATGAAAAATCCACACCTAAAGAATAATGTTGAGCACATTTATGTAATGGGAGGTGGCGTGAGGTCACGTAACCCCACAGGTTGCTGTCCACAGAATGCAAGTTCTTCTTGCCAGCCAAGACAGTGCGGTGACCGTGGCAATCTGTTCACAGACTATAATAGTAATCCTTATGCTGAGTTCAATATATTTGGAGATCCTTTCGCTGCATATCAGGCAAGCAAAAGAATAAGAAACAAGTCTTTATGAAACTATGATCCTTGTCACTGTTAAGTTCTTAACAATTATAGATGGTAAGACAACTATGCATTTATTTCAGGTGATACATTCTGGAATACCCGTCACCCTGGTGCCCATTGATGCGACAAATACAATTCCTATAAATGAAGATTTCTTTAAGACATTTGAGAAGAGTCAAAATACATATGAAGCACAATACTGCTTCCAATCTCTGAAAATGGCTCGTGATACCTGGTTTGATGACCAATTCTATACGGTATTTTCTTTTAAAAATGTTCTTTTTTCCATTTTTATTTCTTTTTGTAAAAGACCAATAACTTGGTGAATGTCTTGCAGAGTTATTTCATGTGGGATTCATTTACATCCGGAGTAGCAGTTTCTAGCATTCGCAATTCGCATAACCAAAATGGAGAAAATGAATTTGCAGAAATGGAATACATGAACATTACAGTAGTTACTTCAAATGAACCTTATGGTCTATATGATGGTTCAAATCCATTTTTTGATGGCCGAAAAGTTCCAAAATTTAATCTGAAGAAAGGTGGAGTGCATAGCGGACATGTCCAAACACGCCTTAGAGATCCATTCTGCATCATGCAGAATGGGAAGGGAAGATGCCAGGTGAACTCATTTCCCCATTTTGTTCTTTCTCGGTTTATTTGAAAGCTCATTCTTTAAAAGTTTATAGTTTTAACGGGGACAGGATGGCTATACAAAAGAGGTAGCAGGTTCACAAGGGATACGAGTTCTAGTTGCTACAAGAGCAAAAACTAATCCAAACAAAAGTAGTGAACTTGACAGAGCATATTTCAAGAGTTTCTTGGATGTAAGTTACTATTTGAATGTTTATTAGTTCATGTTAGGATATTTTTTAGATGGTTCAGAACTGATAATACTTTGCATGCAGGTTCTAAATCACCCTCAACAAACTGGGAGGTTCAATTTCACCACACAATTTCCTTATTACAAAGAAGTCCTTTACAAACCACACTTTGGAAAGAAAAGACTAGGTAAACCTGTTGTCTTTGACATGGATATGAGTGCTGGAGACTTTCTGTCTCTCTTTTACCTCCTTAAATTACCTGTAGAAGTGATCAATCTCAAGGTAACAATTTAGTCTTGTTAGCTGCAAAGCAAATATCATATCAGAATAGTTAATTCTCTAAATTTGCATTCTGTTGCTATTTTCCTCTAGGCTATCATTGTAAGTCCAACTGGCTGGGCAAATGCTGCAACTATAGATGTGGTTTATGATTTGCTGCATATGATGGGCCGCGACGACATTCCTGTTGGTCTAGGAGATGTATTTGCATTGAACCAATCTGATCCTATTTTCTCTGCTGTTGGAGACTGCAAGTATGTTAAGGTCATTCCACATGGGAGTGGTGGTTTTTTGGATTCAGACACTCTCTATGGCCTTGCCCGCAATCTGCCTAGAAGCCCCAGGAGGTGCAGACTCTTCTACTATTGCTGTAGATGCTATTAGTGATATTCTATTTTCTGCCTTAACAGATTTTATTTTTCTTGAAAAGGTATACTGCAGAAAACTCAGTAAAATTTGGAGCTCCTCGCAACACGGATCATCCTGAACTAAGACAGCCTCTAGCACTTGAAATATGGGATTCCACAGTGAAAACATTGGAACCAGGATCTAAGATCACCATATTGACCAATGGGCCATTGACTAATTTAGCAAAGATTATTCTATCAAACAATAATGCAAGTTCTGTGATTCAGGTAAGTGAACCTGTCAATTCATATTTGAAAGGGAGCTATATCTTCTATTAACATATTAAACTAGTTATAAATTTCATTGCAGGAAGTGTATGTTGTAGGAGGACACATTAGGAATAGTAATTTGGACAAAGGAAATGTCTTGACAGTACATTCTAATGAATATGCAGAAATGAACATGTATCTTGACCCTTTGGCTGCAAAGACAGTATTTGAGTCATCTATTGACATTACTCTCATCCCACTCAACGCGCAACGCAAAGTAAGTTCATTCTCCAGGATGCTGAAAAGCCTACGTAAAGCAAACAGAACACGAGAGGCATTGTTTGCCCGCCGCTTGCTGTCAAGGCTTTACCGCCTGCAACAAGTTCATCACAGATACCGTCACATGGTAAACATTCTAACCAGATAACTAGTCCCTGCTTCTTTAGTTGCTATTACTGAATTATATTGTTCTGCAGGATACATTCTTGGGAGAAATCCTTGGTGCACTAGTCTTGCCTGGTGATTCGACGTCCTTGAACCGATTCTTGCAAATCAAGCCCATTAAAGTTCTTGCTCAAGGTGTTGAATCCAAAGATGGACAAATTGTGGTTGATGAAAAACAAGGAAAACTGGTCAAAGTACTACAATCTGTAGATCCTGCAGCATATTATGATCTTTTTGCAAGTCAACTGGGAACTAAGAAGCAATCTGCTGTTATAGGAAGTTTTAATGAGCAGAGAATGATTTGGAGCAAAAAACCAAATTCTGAAAATTAAACTGAACAGTATACTTCTTAGTGCTCTGGACTATAATATTCTTTGACAACAGGATATTATTTCTTCTCTTTGTAAGAGTATAGAAGTTTCTTTTGTATGCTGATACACTTATCTTAGAAACTTTCAATAGATTGATTGATATTTCATGTAGAAAAGTATCGCTTTGTGTTGTATTTTGTTCAATGAAAGAAAAAATATTAACTTAGAAAACATGAAAAAAGTACAATTAGTTCTTTTTTTTTTTCTTTTTGTTAGCTAAATCCTTTGTAATTCTACAGATCAAGTTAGAAAACCTATGAACATTATGTATGCAAGACAAGAAAAATTCATCTAGACATAGTTGGTAAAGTAAAATGATTGAAGCTTGAACTTTTTTTTAAGCCAATTTCTATAAACCACTATTTTCTTTTTATTACAGTACCAAAAAAGCTAAAAAAAGAAACTACAACTGCAGATTTCTTAATCAGACATCATTAACAATTCACTAAAGTTTCCTCAGTCAAAGATGCTTATTAGATTTGTTTAGACTAACTTGATGGGTAAATAACACTTGCAAAGGTTGTTTCTTTATTCCTAATATTCTCCTCTCACTTTATGTATTTGACATGGATTTACATTATTGTTGGTTGAGCTGTCAAGAAAACTCTCTCTCTAGCTTTATTTTCCCAGCCACCAAACAGAAACAGGGATTCATTTGAAAAGACAAAAATATTTGGCCTTTTCCCTGGGAGAGATTATAAGAAGTAAACATAACGAGAGATATCACAAAATATATTTTTTTTCCACGATATATACAAATTTTCAGCAGCAGACAGAAAGACAGCCCGGACAGATTCTAATTGACCATAAAGAATCAAATCTTTCCCATTTGATTCATTTTTCCTTTGGACCCTACATTTATAGATGTATTGGCTGTCCAATGTATTTATTTAACAGACTTGATAGATTGTCTTACTCTGTTTCTTTTCTAATTTTGTAAGCATCGAAGAAGCTGAATAATTTGTTGTATCCGTATATAACTGCTATAGCTGCGGAATTCATCCTATTCAACAAAAGTTTTCAACTTTGATAGTTTTCAATATGCTTAGTAATAAAAACTAAGCAAGTGCACAGTTTGCACAGTTTGTTTGATGCCCTTAAAGGCTGGCTATAAATCTCTTCAAAACTACTGATGAAAACAGCAGAGAGAAAATTTCTCCAGTAAAAGTATATGAAATGGTTAGTATAAAATAATAATAATAAGAAGAAGAAGAAGAAAAGGTGAGAAAAAGGAAATGAATAGAATAGAAACAAGAACAGCAAAAGTCCTCTTGATCATTGAAGATCATAATGAGAAGTGGCAGTAGATGAGATGAGACTCAATATCTTCATAAAACTCATACAAAGCACAAACCCCATTCATTAAACACTGTGAGAGAAGAAAAAGAAAAAAAAAGTCTCTCTACAATAATCCTTCTTCCAGTTTTACGTGATAACCCTAAAAACTCAACTCTTCCATTGGAATTGACCCACCAGCTGCCACAATTTGTTGCTCCAGCTGCAATCAACAATTATATTTTTAAATTTTAAGAAACAAAAATAAAATATAGACTTGAAAAGTAGATTTCTTAAATAAATTTTGAATGCATAATATATATATATATATATATCTATATATAAGATAAAATAATAGACTTGAAAAAGTAAGGATGTTTCCTTAAATAAATTTTGAATGCATAATAGTATAATAGTATATATACTAAATCTATATATATGATTATATATAACAGATGTCCTGCTTAACCCTGGTATATATATATATATATAAACAGATGTCTGCTTACCCTGATTAGAGCTTCAAGCTTGTTTTTCACAAGATAATACTCTTGCTTTACTTGCTGCAGACATTTCAGGCACCTGCAAATGCAATCCAGGCATCGAGTAACTTCTTAATTAATTTCTACAAAGAAAATTCATATTGGAAATATATAAAACGAAATAAAAAAAAAAAGTGAACAGGTAAAAAGAATTACTCACGCTTCAATGTTCTGCTCCTCACAGAAATTGCGAAAAGCAATGCAGGCATTTTTAACTCTCTGTGCACCTATGCTGTTTAACACAAAGAAATGAACGAATGGGAAAATGAACAATTTAACCTCTATATCTAAGTTTTTCTCTCAGATCTGGATATCCTAAAGTTGTTTGTTCTTTTTTTTCGCAGTTTCTTGATTTTCAAAAGTGGGTACATACTCGGTGCTTCAACGATCCAGCCCAATATGGTTTTAGGCGAAACAGTAGTAATACAAGAATAATGCAAGAAGCAATGGCTCCACAAGAAAGCTAAAAGAAAATGCAAGGTAAAATAATTTTAGGCTTAAAAAAGCCAAGATAGTACCTGGAGCTGCTACCCTTCAACTGGTGCACATGAGCATCAATCCTTTTGAAGTCTACACTTTGCTGATCTCTACAAAAGAAATTTAAAGGAAAATCCAAAGAAAACAAAGCAATACATTTAGCTAGCAAGAAGTAACCATAACCAAAGGAAGCCTCAAATGACTAACCACAATAAAGCAATTTCAGAAGAGAAAGTTTGGAGGGGATCCTTACATAGCCCTGGTGAGATCATTAAGAAGCCTTTCAGAATCTTCAAAGAAAAGAGACACAACTTCCACAACAAAATCTGCGTTGCTCTCATCTTGCAGTAGCTGAAGCTGTGTAAACTGACCATCCAGAAACCCCTTCATCCACCCAAAGAAGAAAAACAGAAACAAACAAAAATAAACATCAATTAAGAAAAAAAAAAAAAAAACTAAAACGCAAAAAGAAAAACAGAAACAAACAGAAAAATAAACAATCAATTAAGAAAAAAAAAAAAACTAAAACGCAAAAAAGATGAAGGGAAAATGAAGAAGACTAAAACACGAGAAAAAAAAGGACACCCAAAGAAGAAAAACAGAAAACAAACAAAATAACATCAAATTAAGAAAAAAAAAAAAAAAAAAACCCGCTAAAGACGCAAAAAGATGAGAAAATGAAGAACTAAAACACGAGAAAAAAAGGAAACAAAGAACGAGGGGGATTTACATTTTACCATAGTAATTTTAGCTTACCTCCCTAAAACAAGGATTTTTGTATATTCAACCACGTTCTCTGCATCTGACAACCTCGCATGCTTTAAACCTCTGTTCTGCATACACACACGGCGAGAGAGTGCACTATTCTCTGTCAGAGCTGTGACTCAACAAAGCTTTTGTTGGCTTGAATTATGCACAGATCTTAGGGCACATTATTAACAATCAAAAGCAGAATACAATGCTCAGGGAAAACCTTTGAAAAATGGATTTGATGATTAATGGCTAAAAATGCGCCAGAAAAATTCCAAAAATTTCGCTTGCTTTTTGGGTATGACGCGGAAGTAACCCAGTAGAGCAGTAGTGGACTCTATCCACCTTTTTTTTTATCTTTTTTCTCTGGATTTGTGCTTTGTCTGTTTCAATCGTTTTTTTCGTGCCGTTTAGCTTTAAAGGAAAAAAAAAAAAAAAAAAAAAACTAAAACGCAAAAAGATGAAGAAAATGAAGAAACTAAAACACGAGAAAAAAAGGAAACAAGAACGAGGGGGGATTTACATTTCCTGTATTTTACTTACCTCCCTAAACAAGGATTTTGTATATTCAACCCACGTTCTCTGCATCTGACCAACCTCCATGCCTTAACCTCTGTTCTCAATACACACACGGCGAGAGAGTGCACTTTTTCAGAAAGCTGTGACTCAACAAAGCTTTGTGGCTTGAATTTGCAGATCTTAGGGAATTATTACACAATCAAAGCAGGAATAAATGCTCAGGGAAACCTTTGAAAATGATTTGATGAATTTAATGCTAAAAAGCCAAAAAATCCAAAAATTTGCTTGCTTTTTGGGTATGACCGGAGTACCCAGTAGAGCAGTAGTGGACTCTATCCACCTTTTTTTATCTTTTTCTCTGGATTTGTGCTTTGTTCTGTTTTCAATCGTTTTTTTCTTTTTTCCTTTAGCTTAAAGATTCACATTTCACAAAAAAAAACCCATCGTTGCTCCTCTCTCGACATCATTTAAGAGTATTTAAAGACCCATGAAAGGCCTCATATATATATTCCATCGTCCATAAACTATAAAGTTTGAAGTTTCAACCTTTACTTCTTGTAATATTCTTTTTTTATATTGATTTTGTTTTTCATTTCAATGTGCCCCTGATGAACCTATTGGTTGGTTTCAGATTGAAAGCTACACATGGGATTTGACGTAAAAGTGACTTCATACGATTTTAACTTTCTTTTTCTATTTTTTTTATTTATTATTATCATTTCTTTTACATTAAAAAGATTTGGAAAGATTATTACCTTCTTAGAAAATAATATTTTGATTCATCTCATCTGTAATACAGAGAATTCTTCTGAACCACACAAGAATATTAGATTACACTAACTTTAAATTGTACATTTATTTATTTGGTGGAGGCTTATTTTCATGATCATCTTAATTATTCTTTTTCTTCTTTTAGACCTTCAGTTTACTTACCAACAGTTGATTATTTATACCTTTTTCATTCTTTGAGTAATTAGATTGATTATTTATTACAACATTAAGTCATTGGATTGCTTTTTCCTTCAATTTGTTTTTTTTTTTTTTTTTCCTCTTAGGAAACTGTCATCAATGTGTTGTTTGAGCAGAAAATCTGTGACAGCTCCTGAAGGAGACGTGGATCTGCAAGAAGCTAATCTGTTGCCATCAAAATAATTATTTTAGAAAAATCTCATAAATCTGCCCCAAGAGTATAATTTTCTTATAAATTAATCTACTTTTTGCCTATTTTCCAAGAAAACTATGCATTTTCAAGTTTACATTTTCATTGTCAAAACTTTTCTTGATTTCTTGCATTAAGATCTAGAAAATTCTGTGTTTTTAAACTTAAATAATGTCAATACTTAATATTTTTTTCAATTAATATTATGATTAAAAGAGAGAATCTTGAATCCTACAGGCAACTACAGCTGTTTAAACTGTTTGATTAAGATTTGTTTAATTTTATTAAGTGGGTAGAATCTTTGATGAAGTAAGAAGAAGAAGGGACAGCTGGGCAAAGAGTAAAAATGCTATCTTTTATGACACCACCACCATGAACATGAACGTGAACAGAATCCTTATCGTTCTATTATTTAACAAATTTTTTAAGTCAAATTAGGTGCAGTTTTGGGTTATTATTCTCTCTTTTCATTATTCGTATATATCATCAAAGATTACATTTGGTCGTGGGAAAGATATTCTTTATATATTGTAATTGAAATGACGTTTCTATTCCATTCCTTCAAATTATTTTGTTTTAGCAGCACCATAAACGTACATTTGTCGAATTTCTAATATTTCTTTAATCTTTATCTTCAATTGAAGATTCTTTGAAGATGGGTTGCCAATTTCATTTGGTTTTGTTGCTTTAGCTTATGTGGGCTGGGGGGCACGAAGACCATCTCACAATCTGAGCTGGGAATCTAAATGCGTGGCTCTTCAAATTGCGTACTCCATGGCCAACGGTTACATTTATCTAATTTTACTTTTCCGCAAAAGAACAGAAAATTCTTCAAAACGTGGTAGTCGTCAAATCAATAGTAATTAGCAAGAGTTCAAGCCGCTATTGACTTGGGATTTGTACATGGAACAAGCCACTTGTACCTCTAGAACCATCATCATCCATATCTCTCTCACTGCTTTGGACTCTTTCATTAGTAGAATTTTTTTTTTTCATGGAAAAAAAAAATTATAACTGGACTAAAATACAAAGCACAAATCTGTAATGTTTGAAAGATTGTTATTTGATAAACAAAACAAAAATAAACACAATTCACCAAAAGGATTAATAACTTCAATGCAGTGTAAACCTATAAAATTTCTCCCAGCGAAAGCATATAACAATATGCTAACATACCTTGCAACTCCTCCGACAATATCCAGGGAGCTCTGCAGATCCTACCATGTACTCCGGGTTTTTTGTGCATTCCCCGAGAGCAGCCCACCTCTCACAACTCTCATTAAGATCTGTGCAGTTCCCATCAGCCTCCAAGTTCTTGCTAAATGAGTCCACATGAATCCACTTTGTGGCAGACCATTTCTCGCCTTCAATCACTGGGCATCCAGCATGAAGACTGCTTTGGTCTGGAACAGCATTTGGGAGGAGACTAAAAAAGAGTAGGGCATCACCTCTTCGTGGTTTCACTAAGTTTTTCCAACATTAAGGGTAGGAAAACATCAAAAACACGTGAACTCTAGGCGGCAAATGCAGCTGAAGAAATGTAATTTATAAATGCTCTTGTTGACTTTTGAGTGGCTCACCTGCAATTCCTTTCTTTGCACATTCGGACAGATCTTCATCACCTTCATTAGCTTTACGCCGTGGAGCATCCTGTTGCAGATTATTATGTTATTTGAAATCATGTCCCCTCTAGTTTTGCTACCCACTATGAAATACTGACAATTCTAGGAAAAGTTTATGCTGCAACACCACATGGAATGATGCAATTGTGTATTGATAGTAAAGAAGAAGGAACTTGCAAAAACCTCTGCAGAGGGGAACACAGTTTCTCCGCCTTTTTCCACATTGGAAAGATACATGAGCACAGTTGCCAATCGGTGTCCACCACGGGCAATGTTGACCCTGTCAACAAAGTAATCATAGTGGGGATCGTATTTCTGCCCATACTCATATCTCAAGACTTGAATGTCTTCCCCATTTTCTGCAAAGGAAATTGAAAATTAGATCATACATAAATATTTTATGATATGCAGAAAAGATTTCATACATGAGCAGTGGTCAGTTATTTAATAATTTTGGTACAGACATGTGAAAAAAGTCTCCAGAGGATAATATGATGGAAAGAAAATGAAAACTTCAGAGATAGATTGAGGATCATTAACGGTCATTAAGGCAGAACAAGTTACCGGATAAACAGATCACTGTCAAATATAGAATTTTAACATTTAATTGTTTCCCATTTATATTTTCCCAAGACAACTATTTTGGAAAGTTAAAATTGCCCGGTCATGTTTAAAGCAAAGCTTTCTTTGGGAGTTCAATTTTGATGAATCAATGATTCTCATCCCAAAATCAAATTGGTTCACGTAATACTGCTTTATGGCACCATTTAATCATGCAATCACAATTATCTTAATAACCCAAATAATCACTATTCCAATAGGTTAAGAATCATCAGCAAAATATGTCAACACAAAATTTCAGAGATTTTAAGCACACAAGTAGTTTCCAAGTGACAAAATGGCGAGAGTGGTGGACTAGTTTAGCTCTGTCAGCCTTGTTTTCAGGAAGCTAGGCAGGAAGTACGCCCGTATATCATCAATCATAGCTATACTTGAACCTCAATCAATAAAAAATCTGTACTCCCACGATGAACTAGATGTGCCTGTTTTGGGGGTTCGTGGGGAGAAGGTGTGGATGTATTCATGGGGGCACCGGTAACTAAAAGCAAAGTGCTATATTTGAATTTTATGTTGGTACTAATAGCAGTTGGTTTATATTGTGATAACTGTGGTCTTGTGTATGCCAGGAGTGGCTTTGGCATTGTGGTGCCAAGCCAAACCCTCGGAATGCCTGGTCTGCATTTGCATGCTCATTTTTTAAATTTTTATAGCAAGTTCCTAAACAAGCAGAAATTATGGTGACATGTGTATAACCAAAATGAACTTGGTATCAAAACTAACAGATCAATGTGATTATTAAAATTTTGGTTTTGATTATAATGCACCTTTTGGAAGAAATGTCCATGTTGCAATTTTGTCTTCTATACCTGCAACAATGGGATCCTACAAAATGGATTAAAAAAAAAAGATTAATAAATTGCTTTATACAGAAATATACAATGGACACAGAAAAAAGTTATGAAAGCATTTTTCTTATTGCTCATGTGATGATAAGCCTGAATAGCTGAATCTCTTTCAAAAATCATTCTAGATGATCCATCAGAATGTCAAACCAGGAGGAAGCATAACGCGCGTAGCTCCAATTGGTTTATTAAGATGAATTAAGGACAGAGAAGCAAGAAATGAATTTTATCCATTCACTCTTGATGATTGAACAAGGCATATTCCTGGACCCTTTAACTACATAAATAACTGAATCACCAATGAAACTAGAAATCAGTGAAAATGTGGTTGAGATAAAGAAAGTACTATAACATTTTATCAAGACCATGTCCTTTCTATTCGGAAAAATTCAAGAATAGATCATTCTTAGAAGCCACTATCATCTAAAACTAGAAACATTCCCAAAAGTTCTTAGTTTACATAATGGGACCATTCCAACTCCCAAGTAAACACATTTTAACAGAAAGATGACAACACATGAATCTGGTAACCATTATGCTCATGTACATATGTTCCCATACCTAAATTCCAAAGGATAACCAGTTAACCGGAACAAAATAGAACACTGATTTGCCTAAGATAATAACATAGGCATTATACACCAATAATTTTTATCTCCTTAAATTCATCACAGGACAAGCGAATATGGGAACCATCTTAAAAGAGAAAGGAAAACCTAAACTACTTCGCTTTAGAAGCAATATCAAGTGAAACTTGAAATGCCAACCAGTAGGAAAGCAGGCTAAGAATCAGCCTTTAGCTGATACTTCTCATTTAACCCATCAAAGGTAATAAGATTCAAAAACACAGAAATACTAAACTCAATCTACGCAACATAATGCCTTACATAGCAAGAAGTGAAAAAAAAAATTTCAACCTTTCCTTTAGGGATAAACATTCCAGAGCTGGTTCGAACTTCGGCGACCTTACTCTTTCCACTAACATTATCAGCTACTGCTGACCTCTTCAGCTCCGACTTTGCCTAAATTATCAAATACACTAAATTCATTGTATCGAAACAAGAAAGGAATCTAATTGATAAAAATTGTAAATGGGCACTCACCAGCGAGATCAAGTGATCGCATTCCAAGTCCGTAAGAAAACCATGGTAAACAAATGCCCTGCGAATCATCAAAATTCAATTCTTCTTTCTTTCCCACAATTTTCTCAGCAAGACAGCAACCAAATAGAGAAGAAATTATTGAATTAAAAAAAAAAAAAAAAAAAAAAAAAAAAAAAAAAACACTAAAATTCATTGTATCCGACAAAAAGGAATCTAATTGGATAAAAAATTGTAAATGGGCACTCACCAGCGAGATCAAGTGATCGCTATTCCAAGTCCGTAAAGAAAGACATGGTAAACAAATGCCCTGCGAATCATCAAAATTCAATTTTCTCTTTCTTCTCCACAATTTCTGCAGCAAGAAGGCAACCAAATAGAGAAGAAATTATTGAATTAAGAAAAAAAAAAAAAAAAAAAAAAAAAAAAAAAAAAAGAGAGAGAGAGAGAGGGACGGACTTGGCTTCCATTGATGAACTCTGTTCTTGACTTTGGCGGGGTCAATTAATCGAAAAAAAAAAAAAAAAAAAAAAAAAAAAAAAAAAGAGAGAGAGAGAGAAGGACGGACCTTGGCTTCCATGATACTTGTTTGACTTTGGCGGGGTCAATTATGGAACTAGAAGTACCTGGGTACGAGCCAGATTTATGGAGGATCAAAGAGATCGATAGCAAGAAGAGGAATTGGAGAGGATTGATTATAGAAGGCATGGAAGCAAGCTAAAGATGACTTCTTCTTTCTCAAAGAAAAATCTAAATGCGATGCGACTTGTCTTGTAAGTTCTAACAGTTGTTTTCACAGGAGATACGTATCCAGCCAAGCAACTACTGAACGGCGTCGTTTATGTAATATAAATACTCCACAATAGTTAATTAATAATAATAATTAATTGTCTAAAATACTAACAGTATATTTAAATTGATGAATTTAACAATTCGAAGTAACAATTTTTTTTTAAGTTCAATATCTTTTGTAAGTGCGGAGAAGAATCTATAAATTTTGCTCACAAGTGTATGCAAACAGTTAAATTATTTTACAACAATTAGCAAAGCTCAATCCTTTAAAACAGGAATTGTCGAAACACCAGGCTAACCCCTTTGTGGCTGCAGATATGTAAGCAACAATAGGTAGAATTTCTTAGCTGGTTTTCTTCACACAAAATGAAATTGGAAATCTGTTACAAAATTATACATTTATCCTATATAGTAATAAGCAGAAGTCCTCCTTCACGTACACTCACACTGCCCAATTGCAGATATTGGTCTGCAGTGCATTGCTGTTTCTGCTCTGCCTCTTCAAAACTGTGTTTAGTCCTGTGGTTTTGGCTCCATGTTTGGCTTGTGGGAGCAAGAACAGGAACTCAGAATCTACAGGTTCAGTCAATATAGAAGTATAAACAACCTAGTGAAAATTAACATGGTTTAACTTTATGTTTGGCCCTGCAGATCTTCTGAAAGTTCATCGTCATCACCAAGAACAAACTCCATCTGTCTATTTATATCGCTTAAGCTTAGGTGGTACTTTGTTGAGTTGTATTCATCTGCATCAAATAGCTCCTCAGAGTATGTCCTTTGGTGTATAGTCTGTTGAAGCTCTTTTAACTCTTCCAAAATTTTCTTATTTCCTTGTAGAATCTCTAGAACCTGCTTCAAATGCAAACCAAAGCAATGTAAGATTAGTATGGACGTTGTTGTTAACATTTTTCAGATAAAAGATAAAAACAAAAAACATGCCTGGTTCATGTGAGGTCGTAGTACTGCAGATTGATGTATACAGAAAGAAGCTGTAAAGACCATACGTTCCATTTGATCTACGTCGTAGGCACCTGCAAGAGCTGGGTCTACAAGCTCTTTGATTTTGTTTTTCATGATCATAGGTTTTGCCTGCAACCAAGTGTTTGAAACAATATAATTACGTTCTTAACAGTAACATTAGATATAGATAATTGAATAAAGAGGCAGTACATACCCACATCACTATACTTTGCTGAGAACTATCTATTGCTTGCCTTCCAGTAATGAGCTCTAACAGTAGTACCCCATAAGCAAAAACATCTGTTTTTTCATCCACTATTCCATGCATGAAGAACTCGGGAGGAAGGTAGCTGAATGATGATAACAAATGAGATCAGTTGTAAGGAAATACGTAATCTAGTTAGTAACTAAGTTAAGTTTGTAATTACAAACCCAAATGTGCCTTCAATTTTTTCTACAGTGTGATGAGTCCATTGCTCAGGTAACCACTTAGCAAGCCCAAAATCAGAAACCTACACAAATAGAAAGTTCCAGGCTTAGCCATAATAAACAAAGATTCCAGTACTGCAGTCAACTAAAGCTTCAGGTCTGAAAACTTACCTGAGGCTCAAAATCCTCTGTAAGCAATATATTAGCAGCCTTGATATCCTTGTGGATAATTCTCCTTTGGCAGCCTTCATGCAGATACTGAAGGCCTTTGGCAGTTCCTAAAGCAATTTTAAATCGAAGTCCCCAATCCAGTCTTTCCTTTGGGCCTATAAACACAGGTTACGAAATGAATGACTATATCAATTAAGCAGGAAACATGTAAGGTTATAAAAGTAATGATCAAACCGTAAAGAATTGATGCTAGGCTTCCATTGGGAGACAGTTGAAGCACAAGATGCATCCCCCCTTCAACCCCATAGCCAATCATTTTAGCAATATGGGGATGGTCAACATGAACCATTATACCAATCTCGGATAAGAAATCAACAGTCATCTCTTCTGGAGAACCTCTAGTTAGCCTTTTTATTGCGACAAGCTGCCCATCTCCTAATTGGCCCTTGTAAACTTCAGCATAGCCTCCTTCTCCGATTAAATTCTCTGCACAAAATCACAATATCATACAAGACAATATAACCATTATGAGAAGATAAAAATATTAAAAGTCTATTTGAGTTGGATATATTCTTGACCCAATTTTGAGCGGTACAAACCTTTGCTGAATTTATTGGTTGCAGAATGGAGATCTGAGAGGGAAAAGTTCTTCCATGAAGACTTGAAACAGACGAGTTCAGTATCCAGGGGAGAAGTAGTAGTACTTATAACTGGAATTAATTCTTCTCTAATTCTTTTGGTTTTACTTCTGGTGAGCCGTGGGCCTCTTTTCGGAGCAGGGAAGGTTTGAATGCGTCTTGCAGCTCCTTTCTTAAATCCACGAAAGAAGTCACGCCAGTGCGCAGCATTTATATGATTAGCCTGAGCTTCAGATTCTGAGCTAGTTGAAGTGCTTTCCTTATTGGAATGTGTTTCAGATTCTAAGCTACTTGAGCAATCTTCAAGAACTCCTCTTGGAGAGGATTCTTGGACACCATCTTGATTGCGCTCCTCCTCCTCCACCCCCTCATTCAAAGATCTCATATCTAATACGAAGTCTAGCATCAGCATTCAGCACAAGTACGTATTAAAATAAGAAACTTTATTTAGTTTGAAATTAATGTTTGAATTGGCTGAATATGTTGGTTACTAGAGGTCACTAAAGCGGTTTTTAAAGTGATTTGGAACCTTTTATAATCATAAAAGTATAAAACAAGGAAAAATAATAATTTGAAACTGCTTTTCACATTGGTATCTAAATGGGTCTTTTCCCGAAAAACAGTTTTCAACCTTAATGTAAAACAGAATATCAATATTTGAAAAGGAAAAGAAATATGCAATGTACTATTATATATATACCGTGACATGAGAAAGAGTTAGACAACCCAAATCGCTTTATAGGTCTACCTGCAACAAGATCAGCAGCCTTTGCTTCATCTTCTCCAGCAGATTCCTGGGAACCATTGCTGCCAATATGAAACTTCGTATCAATCATATTGAAAACGATGAATAAGCCAAAACAACCGTAACAGCGGGAACCAAATAAAAATAAAAGAAAGGATAAATTTGCATACAAGACGATTTTCAAAAAGGATTGCAACGGAACCATTAAAAGATCATCTGTTACAAAGCAAAAGAAGAAAGACAAAAATTAAAACACATTGCAGACAATAAAAAGAAATGCAAAATCATAAAAATTTAACCGTTAATTTGAAACCCAGAAGCAGAAAAACTCTAAAAAGGAGAGAAATAAAATTACCAGGAAGAAGATGAAGGTTCTCGGACAGCGCCCATGGCAACTAAAGAGAGGCAGGTGAAGGAAAATGTCTGTGGGAGGTACAAGGAGAAAGAGAGACAAGAAACAAATGTAAACAGCGGTTTGCAAAATTTCTCATTTTTTCTTCTCTAATATTTGTTTGTTTTCTTGCACAATAAACCTGTTTTTGATGCATAAAAATCGGCTTTATCTATCATTGTTTCTTGTAATTAAGCTCTCCTCTTTTTTTGGGAAAAATACTAAATACCAGTAATACTATAATGAGAACGATAACTCATCATCCCAAATGGATTATGAAAAAAAAAAAAAAATCCAAAAAATTAGTTCATTGAAGGCTTGTAGGCAAGCACGTAGAATAGAGTCTTATTGGGTTTTTGACACGTCATTAACGAATTCTCATTCTCAACCCCGGGAAAGTATAACTGAAAAAGGAAACAACAACGGTTTGTAAGGAGAAACCATTATTTCTTTGAGAAGATTTGAAAATATTCATCAATTAAAGATAGTTCATTAACTGTTGGTTCCATTAAGGAAATCCACTTAGGCTAGTTAACAACTTGCTTAAGCTGGAATAAGGCACATCAGAAGTTATTACATTATTGAAAAATAATAATTAATTAATAATTATAAAGTTCGCTTAGGAATGTAAAAATCCTATCTTAAGAAAGAAACGAGCATGTGACGCCAATCAATCAAACTTCGAAAAAATCTCTCTTTTTAATGCATCAAAAAGTACGTTACGTCTTCAACTATATAGCAGTAATTTAATGTCTCCAAATTTGAACTTCTTCTCTAGATAATATTTCTGGACGACATACTGACTAAAAGGTCTCTCTTTCGCAAATGAAACGACTTTGTCCTTTAGCGGACAGGATATATAACAAAAAAACGCTGCTGTCGTGCCGGGGTAGTAAGATACTGTCGTTGAAGCAATGGCTAATGGAATGAATCTATTGTCGTTAAAGCAATTAGATTGACCCGAACAAGATAAACATTCGAAAAATGCAAAAATTAGGGGAAAACTTCGCTGATATACTCCAAGATATTCAACAAGCGTCCCATAAGTCACAAGTTCTTTTCAGTGACCATTATTAAATGCTAACAAATAATTTAAGTATAAATGGAAGTATGCCATGGAAATTGCAATTACAGTATAAATTAATTTACAACAAAAGGAGAATGCAAAATGGACTACAAAGTGAATAGTACAGTTCCCATAATCAGCTTGAATGAACATTTCGAGTGATCAACCCCTCAAATATCACATAAAGGTCCTTATTTTCTGGGCCAAAAATCTCATCAGCCTTCCTTAGAGTCTCCTGCACATTACAGAAAATCAGGGGGATGAAATTGGATTCTTAATTCAGGTGGTTAACAACAAGAAATGAAGTGAGACAGAAATATACTTCTTTTGTTTTCTTGTGGGAATTCAATTCCTTAACATTAGCCAGAAATGCACCAAACTGCTCGTAAGACAAACGGCTCCTAATTAAACAAAAGGAAGGAACTAGATTAGAACCCATATTGGTCATGGGTAAGCTTGAAGAGAAATATACAGTACGCATATATATTAGCTTCAGTTCGATAGTGCATTGACATTGATATAATACAGTGCTGAAGATCATTTAACGGCGAAATGTATTCCATAATTCAGAGCTCTCAAAGATTGCAAATTTTACCTGACTTGGCGGAAGAATTCTTTCCCATCCACACGAGTTCGCCCTGTAACATACAAAAACGAGTTACCATATGAAATTACAAATACACTAACCACCTCAAACACAGTTGTGAAGAGCGATGCCTTACCATAGAAGTTCTTAGGGAAAAAATAAGAAAAAGAAAAAGAAAAAACACAAGATGAGCTCAGTTTATTTGTTTATTCAGCATTATACCGAAAAGATCATTGCCAAAAGACTGAAAGGCTTTCCCTGTCAATCATCCACTTAATTCCAGCATGAGCAAGGAAACTAAGAGATGTTTGTAGACAATCATCATTTCTCGAACAACAATTTCATTGCGATGCATAAATTATTTATGAACATTATTTTGCTAGACCCCACAGTCATACTTGAATTGATGTGCTGTGCAGTGTCAGAACTTTTTCCTGAATTCAAAGGACAATTATATGTAGTTTTGGTTGAAGATTGATATGTTCACGAGTGCTTTCTTTTATTTCAAAGGAAAATTGACAAGAACCAAATCATCAAGGTCAAAGAGTTTTGCAAGGAAAATTCATTTAGACAATTTGACATGGCATCTAAGCCTTATGATGTCCAGAAACTAAAGCAATTAAATAGGTAGGTTCAAGTAAAACTTTTGGCTTGTTTAGGCTCAGTACTTGAAGTTGTTTCTATAATAAAGTTTTAGAGCTAACCTGTATGTGACCCTGCGTCAGAGCTTGCCATTGAACCATGAGAGGAAAATATTGGCCTATCATCAGGCATACCCCTTGAGGTAGAAAATGACATTGCATGTCGTCTTGGAGAAACTGGTTTAGACGTTCTTGTGGGAGAGACAGAAGCTGATAAACTGGGAGGGGAACCTGGAGGAGTAAGCTGAGGAGTACTTGTTTGGGATGCTAGCAGAACATTGTGTGATATTGTTGAAGGTCTTGACACTGCCATACCAGCAACATATAGTAAGAATTCAGATTTTTCATAAAAATAAACAAGAAAACGAAAAGGAGGAATCTATAAAACCAGTAGCACATGTATTCATTTACTAAAAGAAGTTAAAAGCATCAGCAATTTTAGTAAATTGCATAATGGAAAATTTTCATTTTAAGCAAGTTGTTAAAAACCAAAATAATTGTGGTATACCATCTGTTTCACGATTCTCTGCAGGTGAGTTTCCCATTTCTGAGAAATGGCTCCGCATTGAAGATGTCCTTGAAGGAGGCAAGCTGACATCATCTTCTGAAAAAATAAGGAAAAACTTCTCCGAGTCAGTAATTGAATCCTGAAATTTGAATAAATATGACTACAGAATCATTGAACATTCAAAAGCATATCAAGAAATTCATGAATATAAACTTATAGAGTTTCCATTTAAGGTTAACGCTTCAAACCAACATAAAACTACCAACTTTAAAGCAATTAAAGCTGTCAATCAGGCAAACACCCATTTATATAAAATACAGCTTTTGAATGATAGGCAAAACCATAAAATATAATTCCTCGCATAATCAAACATCACAGAGGCCTATTGAAAAAGGTTGTTAGTTTCATCAATTATTAAACTGTAAAAAAGAATCCATATAACCAGCTTAAAGATCGCACAATCAATAAGGAAGATAAACCCATACCATTAGGTGTTGGCTTGGCAATGATATGCCGATCTCCTGGCTGTCACAAAACCGGAGTAATTAATTTCAAAACCTTCATATGTTATCCTAAATAATTCTTTGCAGCACTGTCAAAAGCAAGAAAAACGCTATCGAGGTCAAGAAGGAAAATCACTTACAGAACTTTCTTCATCCTCCTGAAGTGATTGCATGAGTGTCTTCCTAAACACCTCTAGCTGCAAACATATTAACTGAAACTATCAACTCAAAGAAAATAATGGTTAAAAAGACCCTTCCTTTTTTTATTTTTTTATTTTCCCGTAATTGTTCAATAAAACTAAATTCGCCTACTTCACATGGCTTGTATGAAATCCATTCAAAATTTCAATGTCTTAAATTTGCAATTTTTCGACCAGCCTCATCTGCCAATGACATTTGCCAAAACATGACAATCAATTTGAACAGGAAATGCCAAAAGACCAAAGTCCAAGCAATGAAAACCAGCTCACGAAAATTTCTCCATCGGCATCTAATTAAAACGAAAAGAACATTCACAGTAATCAAGTACCTTGGCAACATCTCTCTGGAGCTTCTTTACCGTGTTGAATAGTGAAGCATTCTCTTTCAACAAGTTCTCCTGCAACGCAGAAATCACGGTTCATTAAATTAAAGCTCAAAAAACAACAAAATGCTCAAAGACCAAATCGAAAGTCAAAAAAGGCAGGTCAGACCTTCTCGAGGTCAGCCCGGGAAAGTTTATCAACGGTATCGGAGAGAGAAGCGTCAAGAGACTCAATCTGAGATTGAAGGTCGGCGATGAGGTTATCTTTGTCAGCGAGTTCAGCGTGTAGAGCGGAGTTCTCAGATTCAAGAGAGGAAACACGCGTAGAGAGAGCGATGGATGTAATTTTACGAGCTACATCAAGCTGCTCAAATGGATCGGACGGTAACACTTGTAATACTTCCTCGGGAAGATAGAAGGTGGAACTACCAGAATCTTTCGCCAACATCTCTGTTTTATGATCCTCTCCTGTCAGTCTATGTTCGCTTTTTAATTTTAATTTTTAGTAGTATTTTATTTTAACTACCATTACTGTAGAGTTAGACGGCAGTGGTAGGAGACGAGACGATTGAGTGGTGGCTGGAAAAATATAATGGATTTGCAAAGTTAAAATTTACGAATAAATAACAAAACATGTGTGGTTTCTACCAACGGTTGTGGATGGGAATGGATAAGAGGCAGACGTAAGTAGTGGTCTGCCTTGAATTTTCACTCCCACTTTCCCTTATATTTTTTCTTCTACGCTTACTTACTTTCTTCTTCTTCTTCGTTTTTGACTCATTTAAAAAGACAATGCAAAATTTAAACAAAGATTACCCAAATACTTTGATCTAACGGTTGAACCTCATTTGGTCACAGGATAGCTTCATCCGACCATTAAGAAGCGAGAAGTGGAAAATTACTTTTAGAAGGAAAAAAAAAAAAAAAAAAAAAGACAATGCACACAATCTGTAAACCCAAAGATACCGTCTCAAAATACTTTGATCTAAACGGTTGAACCCAATTTGGTCGCATCAGGTATAGTCTTAATTCCCGGACCATTTATATTATTATGCGTAGTAAGTTTTGGATAAATTCTTTTTAGTTAATGGTAAAAAAAATATAAAAAAAACCCAAGATTTCGCTGGATTTTTGATTCCTAACTTTATATTTTAGAATAATAAAGAATATTGAAGATAGGCCCATAATAGTGGACAGTATTGTTGTTTATTGAGAAGAGAGCCACAAATGTTTGTTAGCGGACCTCAAGAAACAACGGGGGGATAGTCTAATTGCCCTTATTTGTTAATTTTAGGCGGAAGTTATGGGCTTTTTATAAAAAGCGCACGAAAAAAATAGGAAACTTGCTCCCTCCATCCCATCGCCTATTAGCGGTTGGAACAGGAAAGACTTTTCACCTGGTCTACCATCGCAAATCATATTTATATAGTAATTTCGGAAAAAAGAAAAAAATAAATTTGATAATAGTAATACTACTATATATATATATATATATATATATAATATATATAGTGTAAGAGGTTCAAAAAATACCTTCAAAACCTTTTTCCTTCGTTCAGCACATTTTCCCAACTTGAGAAGTGTGGCTGCCTACCTTCAAAGTCACAAGACACACATACATCAACTCACACACACATTCCATCGTATAAACAATGACATCATTGATTATCAAAGCCAACTAACTTCAAAAATGACAAAACGAAATGATGAGGACAAGAGACCTGGTACGAGTAACCGTATAGATAATTTCGCACGTCAAGTCCAAAGCCAATTTGGGTGCGTACATTTACACGTTTACTTAGAATCTCTCTCATAACATCTATTGCACCCTGAAGATAGGGGATTGTTTGCGATTCCCACAGGTGACTATAACGATCATACTCCTTTAGGCATAAAACAAATATAGGATCTGGCCTGAATTCTAAAAGTTATTGCTCCCATGTTTTTTAAATTTTTATATTTATTTTCCTTCTATATAGGATGATTTTCCACCACCCCTTCCTAAAATACTATTTTATGAAAGGAAAATGTACTATTTTTGTGTGAAAGGCAGGGTTCAGGAGACAGGAGAATATCTCTATTTCCTGTGCAATTTCTTAAAAAAATTGTTTGTTTGACCCCAAATTCAGAAAAGATAAAAATAGATTTAAAAAAAAAAAAAAGCTTCTTTTGATTTGTGCTTCTTTTTCTTTCTTTAATTTATTTGTTTTTTCATCTTTTTTCTAGCGTGGGAGAATTTTATTGAGCCATTTAGGTGGGCCAGATAATCGAAGCCCACTCATACGATATAATACCAAGAATATTTAATAGTTGCAATTATTAATTAAGCCACCATCTAACACTTTGCTAATTAAAAAAAATTAACAATTTTGGTAATTTTAGTTGGCTTTTGATTAAATTAGTTATAGTAATTGATAAAAAACATAGTATAGTTATACATCCTGTACGGGGAGAATAGGATGAACGGGAATCATTACTCTTTTATTAAAAATTTCGAATTCAAGCTTTATATATTAAAGTTTCCTTAAACAATGGTGTCGGTGGCGTTAAAAAATAGCAAAAGAATGTCAATTAGGGGTGGCCACGGTTCCGGAACCGAATTGAAAATTTAAACCGGTTTCGGGTTGATGGTTTGAACCGAATGGTTCTGGTCCCTGCGTTAAATATTGGTTCCAAAATCGTACCCGCGGTTTCTTACCCGCGTCACGTTTTTCCAGAGTGGAACTGCGAAAGAAACCTGTTTACTGGCTCTCTGACGACGGTACTGTAGACAGCGCTGGTGTTTCACAGTTTCCCAAAAGGAACTTGTTGAAATCGGAATCGAACCTGTTTGGAACTGGTTTTCCGAATTTGATTCAAAAACCGATTCCGGTTTTAATTCCTACCGATTCGGATCGATGGTTATAGTTCCAAAAAAATCGATGTTTGGCAACCCTAGTCGTAAATAAATTTTTAATTACAATGCAAAAAATATTGTTTCATTTTCTCCCTGCAAAGTAATTTAACGCACCTTAAACCAAAAAAAGCCAACCCTAACGCCACTTATTGAGAGTTCAATGTCTATTTTTATTTACAATAAAAAAAAATTATTTACATTCGCGAACTCGAATGTCAACATATATATATGTAAGAGGTCAAAAATACCTTCAAACCTTTTTCCTTCGTTCAAACAAGTTCCCAACTTGAGAAGGCTTCAAGCACACACACAACACAACACAACACATCCATGTAATAAACATGACAATGATACAAAGCCAACTAACTTCAAAAATGACAAAAGGGAAATGATAACAATACCTTACGAGTACCTATATTGCTCAATCCAAGCCAATTGGTGGACATTATATTCTTAGAAGTCAAACATCTATTGCCTGTAAGATAGGTGTTTGCATTCCCCACAGGTGACTATATCATTCCTTTAGGCATAAACAAATATAGGATTCCTGGATTCTAAAGTTATTCCATGTTTTTTTAATTTTTATATTTATTTTCTTTCTATAAGGATGTTTCCACCACCCCTTCCTAAAATACTATTTTATGAAAGGAAAATGTACTATTTTTTGTGTGAAAGGCAGGGTCAGGAGACAGGAGAATATCTCTATTTCCTTGCAATTTTCTTAAAAAATTGTTTGTTTGACCCCAAATTCAGAAAAATAAAAATTAATTTAAAAAAAAAAAAAAAGCTTCTTTGATTTGTGCTTCCTTTTTCTTTCTTTATTTTATTTGTTTTTTCATCTTTTTCTAGTGGGAAATTATTGAGCCATTAGGTGGGACCAGATAATCAAGGTCCACTCATACTATTTTAATACAGAAATAATAGTTGCAAATTATTATTAAGACAGTTAACAATTTGCTATTAAAAAAAATTAACAATTTGGTATTTGAGTTTTGATTAAAATTAGTATTATATTCATAAAAACATAGTATTATACATCCTGTAGGGGAGATAGGATGACGGGAATTCATTCTCTTTTTATTAAAATTTCGAATTCAAGCTTTATATATAAAGTTCCTTTAAACATTGGTGTCGGTGGACTTAAAATAGCATAGATGTCATTAGGGGTGGCCACGGTTCCGGAACCGAATTGAAAATTAACGGTTTCGGTTATGGTTTGGAACCGAATGGTTCTGGTCCCTTAATGGTTCCAAAATCGACGGTTCCGGCCAGTTTCAGATGGAACTAGAACCGTCGGTTCTGACTGGAGCTGAAAGCGCTGGTTCACAGTTCCAAAACTTGTGAAATCGGAATCGAACCTGTTTGGACTGGTTTCGAATTTGATTCAAACCGATTCCGGTTTTAATTCCTACCGATTCGGAATCGATGGTTATAGTTCCAAAAATCGGATTTTGGGCAACCCTAGTGTAATATAATTTTAATTACAATGCAAAATTATTGTTCATTTCTCCTGCAAAGTAATTTAAGCACCTTTAAACCAAAAGCCAACCTTACCCTTTTGTCAATTTTTTTTTTTTTTACATAAAAAAAAATTATTACATTGAACTCGATGTCAACATTATCCATCAAACATAATTTCATTATGTGTTAAATTGATACAATCTAAAAATAAATAAATAAATATTTTAATGATAAAATTTTAGGTGGGATGGAAGTCATGATATCATGGCAAGCACTCAATTAATGAACAGCAACATATCTAGACTGAAGATTTCATTTAACTAGGTTTGATTATTTAAAGGACTTATAATATTGTTGGCCTCAATTTGAGTAACATGATGTATATATATACATTAATTAAAATCCTTGAATGAATCAAACCTATAATATTATCATATCATATGCCAAAAATTAAAATAAAATATTAAGCATAAAATGTCTTTTTCAACAATTCTTTAAAAGGGCAGTGGTATTGAGTAACCTTCAATTATTTATTGCTTTGAAAAGTAAAGATTACATTTCAAGTTGTTTTAATATAATAATTTTCTTTAATTATTATTTATTCTTTATTAAAAAAATGAAATAAAATATATATGTTAATAGCTTAGACTAACACAACAATGACATGTGTAGAATGAAATAAAATTATTGCTTTGTTAAAGATGAATGTATATTATTAAATTAATCCTTAATCTGAGTCAGATCAAATCTTAAAACCTTTATTTTAGGCAAATGCATATCAGCCGGCTTCCTTTTTGCGACAGAATTAATTTGTAATCAAGGTTTTGCTTTTTGTTTTTTAATTTTAAAATTTTTTTAAAAAAGATTTTCTTTTCTAACTAAAACAAGCAAAAGCCAAACTAAGAATTAAATGAAAAGCTAAAATTAAGATTATCACTAAGGTCAAAAATAGAAAATAAATTATGGAGTGAAACAATTTTTTTTGTTTACATATCAATTATCTAACCCAATTATCATATGTGATTAAGCTAATTATTTGTGTTAAGTTCACATTTATGGAAAAAGCTAATTTGATTAGCGAATTTTACCAGTGGTTACATATTTATAAATCAAATTTTGGATATTTCTTCATGAATATAAATTATTATTATTATTATATATTTTGGGCACTGCCAATAGGGACCCTTAACTTAAAGTTGGCAGCTGCCTGTGGGTTTTCAAAACCGGAGTTGCGTAGAAAGCTGGACACTTCCTCTTGCCTCAATATTCAAATACCAAGAACATAACACCAAAAATCCAACTGAAACTTCAAAAGGCTATTGATTATTTTACTGAAACTTATTAATCAAATCGCTTTTGTTTTTTTTTTCTTATTAATCGCTTTTATATGTAAAAATATGAGTATTTTAAAATGTTAATATTAATTTCAAAAATTAAAAAAATTATAAATATACCCGCAGCACAACCATGTAATTACGTAAAGAAACCAACTCCATACAATATAAAATCAATGATTCTCCATTATCAATTTATCACAGTAGGGTCCCACACGTATGGCCCCCAAATAGACAAAAGAATTAGAGAACCCGACAACTAACCCCTGCAGCAAAGAACGTCGTTACCTACTGTCCAAATAAAAACTTCATTTGTCGTTAACTCCGTTAATAATAATAGTCGTAGGCCCCACCCTCCTTTTAACGTAGACCCATTCAGGTCAGACTCAACCGAGAAGCCTCTCTCTCTTAAGTCTTAAGTTGACGAAACGACGCGTCATAAGGGCTAAGAAGGTCGGTGCGAACGCTCCCACCCGACCCCACCTCTTTCTAATATGGCTTGTCTATATATTATCTCTCTTCCTCATTTCTAGCCACACCTCCTATATCAGAAATCTCTGTAATAAATACATAATCACCACCAACACGATCCGCCCCCATCTTCTTCTTCTTCCTCCTCTTCCTTTTTCTCCCATGTGAGGAGGAAAGAAGCCAGAGAACGAGAGAGGAACAAATCTAAAACTAGCGAAGAACAGCGCAATCAATTCTGTATTTCATGATGTTTATATAAATTTTATTTTATTTGAAAATCTTTTCATTTCTCTCTTTGTTCCTAATTTAATATCATTTTCTGGTTAAAAACAACGACACATGGGGACTGAGATTTTGAGGCCTCAGGATTGTTTAATCGAGCGGATCAGAGTTTCTCCTTGTCGCCGGAGGAATTATTATTATGGAAACTCTTATACTAACACTAAGACTTATGACTCTAACCCTAGATTTAACAGAAAGCCGGTGGTCAGATCAGAGAGGACTGACCAGAGAAAGCGCCAGCCGGAGCCACCGTTGATCTCGAAGAGGTCGAATTCGGTTGGTGATTTGAAGATCTCGAAAAACCATCACCAGAATCATGGCTACAAAAGCAGCCACAATCTCGTTATGGAGAAGGTGACGATTTTGCGACGAGGTGAGTCGCTTGATTCGAAGATCCAGAACAGCGAAAACGCTGCTGCTTTGAAGAAGGATCAGGCCGGAGATGTTGTCGTTACTGGTACGGATCGGTTGGGTCCCGACCCAGGAATGTTAGCGAAGCAGCTCAGAATAGCTGATATCAGATCTCCGGTTACCGTGAAATGCGACGTGTACGCAGGTTCGGCTTTTGCAGTTTCGCCGGCCCCGAGCTCGCTCCCGTTGCCGTCGTTCTCGAAGAAAAAACAAGTTTCTTTTGACGACTCAGCTACCAGAGATCTCAGGCGTTTGCTTCGTCTCGACTTTTGAGATCGAACTTTGCTCGGGTTTTTCATTGAATCAGTTATCTCTCTTTACTCTTATCATTTTCGTCTCGGTTACTTCCCATGGATTTTCAAGATCGGATCCTGCCGTGAATTTTTTTGAAAACGGGAGGTAGATCTGAAATTTGGGAAAAGTACAGGGACGAATTAGTTAAAAGTTATGGTATCAAATTGTAACATGGTATAATCTGGGGTTTGTGTATTGGGGTTTCTGGGTAATTTATAAATTAATATGGGGTTTAAAAAAAATGAGGAGGGGTGGATGTTGTAATATTTGGGAAATTAGGTATGGGTTGCGGAGGTTGTGATGGGGACGAGGAAGAAGAAGAAAAAATTATTTTAGAGAATATTTTAATGTGTATTGTGAATTTGTCGAGGACGGTTTAGTCTTTGTGTATTGTAAAGTAAGACGAGAAAATTAGGGAAAAATTTGAAGATATCTTATAAATATCATTGAAGTTTTTTTCTCTCTCTTGATCTTTGTTAAATAACAGCAGATGATTAATTATTTCATATGGCGCTTTCAGAATTTTTCAAATAAGCTCATTTAAGTTTATGAAAATTAAAAAATTAGATATTATAAGGTTATTACGTACGTAAAACAACTATTAAAAAAAGAAAACAAACCTATAAGTTTCCTACACGTGTAATGAAAGCATAAACTGATATATTGGAATGAAGAACCCTAATGAACCAGTTACGAACCTCATTTGTTTGTATGACTAAACAAAATTAAGCAATTAATTTAAGGTTAAATTACTAATCACTGGGTTTGAACAAATGTACATTTTTGACTTTTTGTTCTTTTGACTCCACATTAATTTACTCCTTCGTGTGCATGCATATTATTTTTTTTTTTGTTATAATTTAAAAAAATAAATTTAATATAAAAGATTTTATGTTTTTACATTTAAATTCTATCATATTAAATTATAATTTTTGAAATTTGGTGTAAATTGGCAACAATGGAATAAATTGTGGACCTGCGTCGCCATTGGGAGTTTGCTGAGAAGAAATTGATGAACATCAATAGCAGGTTAAGCAAAGAAGGAAGAGTAGTCTGACTGGTCATTTTTTCTAAATTAAAATAAATAAATAACTCTTTAGAAATGATAGAGACAAATTAATAATTAATTAAGTAGGTTAATTCAAGTCGGTTTCAATTCAGATCACCAGGACTATATACTGGCTTCATCGCAAAGCAATTAATTAAAGATACGTATGCTGGAAATAGAAATCTTTCAAGCATTGATTCATTGCTGAAAGAGCAAAAGGTTACCGTTAATGTAAGAACATCTATTAAGCTCATCATATGTAGTTTAAAAACGAAAAAGATTGAACAGCCTAAATTTGCATGTTATGGAGATAATTAAATGTTAAGCAAACTCTTACAAAGTCTTTTAATAATCTTTTGCTTAATCTAATAAAATAATCCTTGAATTGGAAATGTTGAACGTATGCAATGCCATTTGTCCATCCCCAATTGGTTGATGCTCTTGAAACAGTTTTTAGTTTGATTTTTTTTTTCTTCTGCCATGTTTTTGGAATTTATTTAGTGCTCCAGTTTCAAAAGATAGGATTATAAAGGAAACCCAGTAACACCACCTACTTCGAGGAGTGAAAGCAAACCCAATATTCAGTTGCAAGAACCATTTAACGTAGAAGCAACCATCTCTAAACTCTCTCTAACTTATCTTTTTAGTCCAAATATCTCTATATATTCCTTCAATGATGTGTTTCAAGAACCATCAAAAATCAGAACATAACATTTCCTTTCAGGTTTCTTGGGCTTTCTTCGTAGTGTAATACACAAAAATGGCCAAAAACAGCTCAAACTCCAATAACTCGATCAAAGACAAAACCTTTTCAGGATTCGGCAATCTTGTCAAGCTTCTTCCAACAGGAACAGTTTTTATATTTCAATTCCTTAATCCTGTTTTCACCAACAATGGTCAATGTCATCCCATTAACAAGTACCTTACTAGCATTCTGATAGGGTTTTGTGGGTTTTCTTGTGCATTCTCTTCTTTTACTGATAGTTATATTGGTAGTGATGGATTAACTCATTATGGAGTTGCAACTATTAAAGGGCTATGGCCACCTACTAATTCTGGATCTCTGGATTTGTCTGCTTATAAGCTTAGAATTGGTGACTTCGTTCATGCTTTCTTCTCTGTTATCGTTTTTGCCGTACTCTCTCTTTTAGACTCTAATACTGTCGAGTGCTTTTACCCTTCTTTTGAGTCTACTGAAAAGACTCTGCTTATGGTGTTACCTCCAGCTATTGGTGCTATTTCAGGTGCTGTGTTTATGCTTTTCCCTAACAATCGCCATGGAATTGGGTACCCTTCTTCTTCTTCTTCAAGCGACTCTTCTTCACAGAACTCCTAGTTTTTCTAATTAATTGTTGGTGACAGAGTTTTAATAGTTTTCCTGTTTGTTATAAAATGTTTGTAAGAAGGTTTGGTTTCTTGAAACTTGTATGATTGATTCAAAATGAAGAGGAAGAATAATATGATTCCTCTTCAATTATGTAATAATGAATTAAGTTTGTCATTAGTCCATAATTTGTTAATCAAGAAGTAATGAAGCTTTTAATTTTCTTCTTCTAGCATAATAACATTTCTTTAATGTAAAATCAAGAAGCTATTATGATTATTTTTGGCTATTCATGACAAGATTTTTGTTTGAATTGTATTCTGTTTGTAGATTCGCTACTAAACGCTAAAGTGCGATTCCAACTAAGCTGTAAGCATGAAATCCTTGTGGTGTGGTTAAGGATTAGTTTAGATCTCTTCACAAGAAACTAAAACCAAAACCTAACGCAAATAGAACCAAGTTTTGCTTGGTTTTTAAGGATTTTGTTGTTGTTTTAAGGCAAAAATTGCCAATACAAGCAACCAAAATCTGAAGAAATATTATAAAACTTCTTCATGCAGCAATATGAACCTTTATCACATATTAATCTCTATCTGACACACTTTCTCATGTCAAAAATATTGTAATTTACAAATTAATGCATTTAACGATAAACCATTTTCATTAGAGACAGTAATAATTAAATATAATGTTTATCTAAGAAGAAGCTTTCAGGTGTTTAACTTCCATATAGCTTTACAAGGCCAAGGATTTGTTATCCTAACAACTTTCTGCTTTGCTTTCTGGATTTTTCTAATTGCATTCCTTTGATAACCTTCACTTACTTTTACGATCTCAGCTTTAACTATATGATGATCAGAGGTGCCTTTTGATGAAACGACAGAATAAGATCCTGGAACAAATTTATACGACAAGTCTGCTGATGCCAAAACGTAATCTACTCTTGTGCCATACTTGCACGTTCCTTGAACATCTACTTCATCAGATTAATGAAGAAAAAAGAGGTTAATGTAAGAAACTAACACGCAAAGAAGCCAATACAAGGTTGTTTACTTACTTTGGCCTTTGGCAATCATGACTACTGGTTCACATTCCCCTGCAAAATCCTTTGCATCTATGTACTCTTTTCCTTTTAGAAAGTTGGTTACTTCGATTTTTGGCCTTGGCTTTCCAATGTCCTCATAGTACTAGAAGTTTTATTTTTACATCAGACAGCATATACGAAGATGAAAAATGGCTATCAAATAAAATCTGTCAAAGGAAATTTACCTTGACAATGTCCATCCATCTCTCTGGAGAGTAATCTGATCCTGTCAAAGAGTTAATACCTCCTGCTAATATGTGAGGAGAGTTGCTTGTTTGCATTATTGAATTTATCTGCTTCATTCTCCAATTTTCATCTAAATGGTCAAGCTGTGTACAATAGAAGTCTAATTCTCCTGCCCAGGGAACATTAATTGTAGCCTTCAGTACATTCCTGCATTGCAACAAACCTAGTTAAATGATTTATCATAAGCAGTATCAATCTCTAGCAGACTAATAGAAATTTCTTGATCAAACCTGAAATCTTCATCATTGGCAATTTTTTGAACTTTCCATCTCTTAATTGGCCACTTTGATAAAATTGCATTTCCATATTCTGGTGCCCAGCTTTCAGCAAACACATATTTCATTCCCAATAAAGCGGCCAAATCAGATAAAGGCCTCATGCCTTTCTCTTCCTGTGCCTTAACATCTTGCAGGGCCAAAATATCAGCATCTACTTCTTTAAGCACTTCCAATATGCTTCTGCTGTTTTTCGACTTCTCTTCACCTGTAAATTGAGTTAAAAAATTTGCAGGCAAACACACAGGAGACCTCAACACAACACTGCTTCTGTAATTTCTGCTGGCAATAATATTTGATGATTCCACTTTTTCATCTTCTATAAAGCTAAGTAATTTACTCTGTGCTAATGAAATCTCATTATGAGGAAGGTTAATCGAAACTTTTTTTTGCTGCGGTAGCTGCTCTGGACTTGTCTGCAGGCTGGTATGCAAAGGAGACTGCTTTAGTATACTCTTGGGATGACAGTTCAAAGACTTGACCTTAGCATCCATCTCCATTGAGTTCTTAAACATCATAAATTCTTCATGTTCTTGCCCCAGAATGACTGCTTCCTCAGTCTTTGGAACTGCAGGTGCAAGAGAGAACATGGCAACATTGAATGTGGCAATTCGAATTGGTCTTTCACAATCAGAAGAAGACTGATCAAGTTCGCCATTTCGATAAACAGAAGAAGATTTATGGATTCCAGGTCTCCATTTGCATCGGTCTTTCGTGGTTTTTCCAAACCTTCTTATAATAACTTTTGGCTTTGGACGTTTCCATATCAGCCACCTTATTCTTGAGCAGAGCTGGCGCAGTTTTTTGGTCACTCTACTTAACATGTGAAAAGATAAACAAAAATGGCCTGCTGCAAGATTCTGGATCTTTTAATCAAGGCTTCTTCAGTTCTACCTTAATTACGCTATAATTTGATGTGCTATAACTCTACTTCATGTCAATACTAGTCATTTTTAGAACTAGATGGATGGAAAAGTAAGCAAGACAGGAACTTCGGAGTAAAAAACATTGTGGTAGTGAAGAAGTAGTTAAAGAGACAAGAATGCTTTCTAACTGCTCCAAGAAGTGGGGTAGAGGTTGACAAAAACAGCTAAATTGTTGAGCTTCTTTTCCAACACCACCAACTGCTACCAATCAAACTCAGAATCTTATTTCGTTTTGTCTAATTGGAACCTACCATGTGTAAAAGGAGACATCAAACATGACTTTCTCCAAGTCTCATAGACTATAATGACTTTAAAGAAATAAATAAATTAGCTTTGCGTATCAATAAAACTGAAATTAATTCTCTGGGTAGGTGCTTAAGCCCAGATAATTATATCTATAATGTTGACTAGCAATGTAAAAGTGAAGCGTTCATTTCATAAATAACTATGTTGACTAGGATTGTTAATGGTGGTTTCTTAGAAGAATATTTTTGTTCGTAGTGGGAAAAATGAAGGCCCAACTACAGATCCACTATATTCAATGCAGAATGGGGCAGAGGACAGTGATAGGCATGTTGGGTCACACTCACGCGTCTATAGTGCTAAAATTTATTGTTGCCTTTCCAATTCCAAGTATGCAAGTGAAGGACCAGATTGCCGTTTTGAACCGGCTAAATGAACATTTATGAGTTCAATTATATTGGCTTTCATTTGAAAAAAAAAAAAAAAACAAAAATGGATTAGTGCTAAAATTTATTGTTGGCCTTTCCAATTCCAAGTATGCAAGTGAAGGACCAGATTGCCGTTTTGAAACCGGCTAAATGAAAACATTTAATGTAGTTTTCAATTATATTGGCTTTAAAAAAAAAAAAAAAAAAACAAAAATGGATTGATGAAAAAAAAAAAATTGCAACTTCAGAAGAGAGAGAGAGAGAGAGAGAGAGAGAGAGAGAGAGAGAGAGTGTGTGTGTGTGTGTGCACGAGTTAACTCAGTACAACCAAGAAAAAACTGACAAAAATGAGTCAGCTATTTTATCGGTAACAGATACAAAGCAACATAACGGTAGTGTTCATTTAATGATAGTTTGTAGAACTTTCCTTTCTATGATGCTTTGAGAACCCCCAAAATATGGTGCTCAAGCAATTTCAAAAACACTACAATTCAAACTCTTCAACTTCAAGGGTTAGCATGCACTTTATCTGCACTAATCAGCTGCGGCTCGCTTCTGCTACTCTACAACACTGAGGTACAAAATCCATGACCTCATGCCTTGTGAATTTCAGGACAACAATGTGTTGAGTTCTATCCGGTTGAAAAAATGACACTTATGAGTTCAATCACTCATCATTAAACAAAGCATCCAGAAGGTTTGAAGCTGAATCTCCATTTCTCGATTCATCAAAGAATCCATTAGAGGCATGTTCTTTTCTAGTTTTTCGCTCTTCAATGATGGATTCTTCTGTTTCTGTGCAGTACTTTGCCTGTTTCACGGGTCTTTCTGCCACAATAAACTTATTTCCCTCACGAATTCTCTCAGAAAAGCCTGCCCAAACTGAAGAAAACCATGAGTGAGAATTTGACAAGTTAATTGCAGGGAAATTACAAATTACATGCAGGGAAATCCTATTTGAGTTTGATTTCTTGGCTATATCAGGTTGATATAGAACAAAAACAATGTAAGAAACTGAGAATAGAAAATTAAACAAAAAAGCAAGCCCAGATGCAGATATGAACAACTGGATACACATGCATTGTCACAAACTTGTAAAGGAAGTAAAAAAGAAGCTGAGAGAACAGAAAGAAAACCTTTCTCAAAATGCTATATGTGGAATACATGCCTAAAATGATGAGAATTTTTCATTACAAATAAATTGCTAACATGAACATTTTTAGGTTCATTAAATATCATTTTGGGTGTGCCTCAACACAAAACACATATGCAAGGTGTTTAGTCAGTCATTCACATTAGCAGTAGAAAAAACTAATAAAACATAAGTCTGAATAACTTTTCTAGAGAATATCTGGTTACAGATTACTCCTCAACACATAAGTGTGGTAACTTTTTCAGCGAATATCTTGTTACAGATTACTCCTCAACACTTATTTTTTCCCATATTAATAATGGAAGCAGAAAGGTTGAGCATATTCAAGTTACTGAAGTGGAGAGAATAACAAGTAAACCTAGATTAATTTGGGGAAGCTGTGAAAAAAGATTCAGTGGCATTTCTAAATATGTGAAGGCAAATAAGCCACATATGACACTAATTAAGACAGTATTAAGCTTCGTTGATTAAATCTATTACTACTAATTAAGATGACGAAAAATTTTGAATTGGTTCCATTATTGAGAATCTCGTGGACTCTGTAAATGCATTCTATACTAATTTATAGATCCTAGTTCAAAAGGAGCAGTAAAGTCATGAATGCAAAATCACAGAAGGCAAACTGACTGAGACAATTATGCTAGTTAAAGAACAAAGTAATCCATTAAGCAGTGGCCAAAAAAAAAAAAAAAAAAAAAAAAAATGGCCAAAAAAAAAAAAAAAAAAAAAAAAAATGCAACAACTACAAAAAAAAAAAAAAAAAAAAAAAAAATGCAACAACTACTACATTTTAACTAAAGAAAATATTCACAAAGAAAATTAAAGACTAATGGAAAAAACTTGATTTCATAAATGGGTTGAGGATTCTTTTAGAACAGATTATATAGTATTAATCCATACAACCAAAAGAACAAAAAACATAAGCATTACAGATAACCATTCCATAAGACATCTTACACTATAATCCAATTCGTAAGCTCTAAACTAACAATTTAGACAATTACCTCCAAAATGATGCAGAACAATGGAAGCTGCTACAGTAACATTTAATGAGGCCGTACCACACCCATATTGTGGGATATAAACAAAAAAGTCACAAATCTCACATTCTTTGGCAGATAGGCCTGTTCCCTGCCAAAACAAGCATGCTTGGATGATGTCAAACTAAATTCGTTCAGGTAGTACACAGCTGGAAATTTTCCCGCGTATGATCAAATATAAAGCAGTTGATTAACTACCAGCAGTAAACTGCAAATCAATTGTTAAAGCACTGAACTTTCAGATTTGCACGTAAAAAATTCCTATGCTTATTGAGAGAAAAATAACGTCAGTGCAAAAATCAAAATGGGTCACCTCGTTGCCAAGAAGGAAAGCCGTACTCTTATTAAAAGGATGCTCATTTACAGGCAAAGCACCATCAGCAATCTCCACACCACAAATATCACAATCCTTCTCCTATAGATAGCAGAACATGAATACAAAACTAGAATCCCCAAATAAAACCCTAGAAACAAAAAAGGACAAACTTTGAGAGTTAAAGGAACCTTGAGGAAATTCCGGGCTTCAAGGAGAGAGTGGAAGTGGCGGAATCGGAGGTGAGAGGTGGAGCCGTGGCTACCAAAGGCATTGAAGTCCCTGCGGCCCACAAGAATAAGCTCCGTCACGCCAAATGCTGTGGCGCTTCGTGCTAGTGTGCCAACGTTGTGCCTCTTCGCTATGTTGTGCACCACTATGTAACTTTCTATCCCCATTGTTTCACTTCTTTTTGGATTGAGATTTTGCGTTTTATTTTATTTTATTTTTTTTAACACTTCTAGGGTTTTTCTGAAGAATATTGATGGAGAGGGGACGAGCAATTGAATTGAAATTGCAGTTTAAACGCTGTCGTCGAACGACGGCACGTTTTTATCCAACTAATAGTATGATTTAACCTAGAACGACGTATAGAAGACCGTTTATTCCACAAGTAGAATCACGTGTCAGTTCTCCCGGTCTCATTTGAGCACTGAAAAGGCTCTTGTCGAACGACCTGACGTGCTTACTCAAGTAATATGGTTTAAGCAATCAAACGACAGATAGTTCATCTTTCTTTATATCCAAGGATGCCTACGACCGGTCTCTTATATCAGCAATATGAACAAAATGAATAAACCTTTTTACATTACATGTATTTCTTGGACATCAGTCACATTACATGTAAATTATTATTGTACAAATATTAAATAGCAGCTTTGTCTATCTACAATGGAAAGCCTTTATCTCCTTTCCCTTTTATAATTTATTTACAACTTTATATATAATGTTGTTCAGTGCAACCTTTTATTTATTTTTTTATATTTTGATAGAACTATGTCTGTGGGTTTGTTATATATATTTGCCAAATAATTTTTCTAATTTACAACTCATAAAACTGAGGGTGACATGTTGATGCAGCTGCTGCTCCTGAACTTTCTGTCAGACAGCAGCCTGTGCTGCTGCTAGCCTTGCAATAGGAACCCTGTTAAGTAAATGTAAATTTTTTTAAAAAAAAAAAATCCAATCCTTACAGTTATAGCATTGTAAAACAGCTTTAAAAAGTTAATTAAAAAAAAAAAAAAAAAAAAAAACAGCTTTAAAAAGTTAATTAAAAAAAAAAAAAAAAAAAAAAAACACCAAAACATTCCAAACCTGAAATGGGAGAACATGAAACATAATCCAGTCCAGCCTCTGCAAAGAATCAAAAAAAAAAAAAAAAAAAAAACACAAATTCCAAACCTGAATGGAGAACATGAAACATAATCCAGTCCAGCCTCTGCAAAGAATGCAACCGACGAAGGCTCCCCACCATGCTCTCCACATATTCCGACCTTCAAGCTAGGCCTAGCTGCTCGGCCCTTTTCTGTCGCAAGCTTGATGAGTTGGCCAACACCTTTCTGATCAAGTACCTATCAACAAAACAATTTGATAGTTATTATCAAGCAAACAGCTTCAACTATTTCTGTTAATTTTCAAACTAAAATTTTTTCTTGAATTATAGTAGTAACAAGCAAATAACACAACTAACCTCAAAGGGATCACTTTGCAAGATGCCTTTGGATATATATATTGGAAGAAACTTCCCGACATCATCTCTGCTATACCCAAATGTCATTTGTGTGAGATCATTGGTCCCAAAGGAAAAGAACTCCGCTACTTTTGCAATCTGTGATTATCAAATGGAATAGAAATAAGACAAAAGAATCAAAACAGAGTATCTTCATCCTAGTTTCAAGTTATTTCTTAGGAAACAGTCTGATAAACATTGGAAGTTGATTCCAGACCAAGAGCTGGAAGCAAAGATCTGCTTCTTCTCGTCGGTCTGCCTTGTGGCTCCTGTAAGATCAATTACAGGAACATTTCAGTCAACATACCTCATCTGCAACCAGAGCAGCTCTAGGAATCTCAATCATGGTTCCCACCTTAAAGCTTAAAGTGACGCCCATCTCAGAGAACACTTTATTTGCAACACTACGAATTAAAGTCACTTGATGTCCTAATTCCTGATGAGAAATGTCAAATGTTAGGGAAAGCAGATAAACATATTTTATCACAGTTTGCACAAATTGTTATTCAGAATAAAAGATTAAAAGACAGAAAAAAGGGGAACAGGGGAGAAGAAATAACAAAGACATGCCTGAGGCGTTCCAACAAGGGGAACCATTATCTCAGGAAGAACGGTAACACCCTGGTTGCTCATTGTGACAGCAGCCTGAAAGATTGCACGTGCTTGCATTTCTGTGAGTTCTGGGTATGATATCCCTAGCCTGTGGCATCAAAAATAAAATTCCACTTAGTAACAATCAAATAAGTATATATGTGCATGAGTCAGAAGATTGAGATATAGGTTGCAGACAAAAGTTATGGAGGATCAATCCATATTCTGAAGCATAGCAAAGAACTTGAGATGGAGACACATTCATTCTCACTTGTGATGCTTGAGGGCGCACTATGGAATAAGCACTCAGTAGCTGTGTTCTATAGGGAACCCGGTACAATCAATTTTCATACAAAGATTTCAACTTACTGAGCTTACTTCATGAAATATATATATTTGAATAACGTTAGATTGAAAAGCTCATAGGAAAAACTCTCAAACCTGCAGCCTCGGAAACCAAGCATAGGATTTACTTCTGATAATTTCTCGATTCTTGAGAAAACTTCATCTTCAGTCATGCCAGTCTCACTAGTTAGTTCACCTACAATTTGCTCAAGGTCACCTTCTGGCAGAAATTCATGAAGTGGAGGGTCCAACAGTCGTATTGTTACTGGAAGGCCTGAGATGCCAGAGACGCCAGAGACTAATCTTTAAACATGTAACTAATAAACCAAAAGATGTGAGCAAATGCTTTACTTTTTCTCTAGTGGGATACAAACCTAAGCTCTACCCACCCATTTGCACCTTGAGCTACAGCTCGGAAGGTAGAATTTATGATGAAATGCACACCAAGCAATAAAACACCTGTGATCTTATGTCCAAAGTTATTGATCCTATGTCTAAGCTCTACCCACCCATTTGCACCTTGAGCTACAGCTCAGAAGGTGGAATTTATGATGAAATGCACACCAAGCAATAAAACACCTGTGATCCTATGTCCAAGTTATTGGTCCAGAAAGAAGACAATGAGATCTAATACAGTTGTAGAAAGTACCATCCATTGCTCGAAAAATTCCCTCGAAATCTGATCTTTGATAAGGTAGTAGCAGGTCCAGTGCTGCCTTCCTCTGCTCTGTTGTAACTGCCATTATCATCTTTCTCACAGCCTTTATCCTCTCATCTGAAGCAAAGAACTGAAACATCCCACCACAGAGAATTGAAAAAATAACAAACAAACTTTAAGCTGACTGTATCGCAATAAAAGAAAATCGACATCCATAAGAAAAACTAAAGAACATTGAAGTTATGAAATGTTCCAATTTAAAAAAGAGGCATAAAATATATTTTGGCAGGGTTATTTTGACTCATTTAAAATTCCGTCAGAGCACAATATACAATTTAATTCCATGGGACTACTGATTAACCCTGAGAATTTGGCAAGACCAGCAATAACTATAATTTGTACAGGTTCATTTATATATATATGCAAAAGATGTGAAATTTCCTTTGTTTTAATTTTCCTGTTATGCTGGGTTGGTCACGATGGTGATGATGAATGAAACAATAATTACCATGTGCTCTGTCCTACAAAGTCCTATCCCTTGTGCACCATTATTTCGAGCTGTTAGGGCATCATCAGGAGTATCAGCATTTGCCATAACCTGTTGCAGCATCACATGGCCAAATCAGAAGACATTTCAAATTAACAAATATTACTAGAAAGCAAACTCCCAGATTTGGAGGGCAATATAGTACCTTGATGCGTCTCACATCATCAGCCCAAGACATAAATGTCTCTAAATCACCACTTAGAGCTGGAGGAGATAGTGGCTGTTTGCCCCGTATCACTTCTCCTGTAGACCCATTGAGTGATATCCATTCTCCTTCATTAATGACCATATCGCCAACTACAACAACCTGCATTATCAAACCAACTAAGTTAAATCTCATAGAATAGTCACTTCACTGAACTGATTATTATATGTGGGAATGAAGAACAAAAGAATCCACCTTCTCATAATCATTAACACGAATATCAGAGCAGCCAGAAACACAACATTTTCCCCAACCGCGTGCTACAACAGCAGCATGGGATGTCATCCCACCTCTAGCTGTCAATATCCCAGCAGCTGCATGCATACCTCCAACGTCCTCTGGACTCGTTTCTGTCCTTACCTTCAACCATGCAGAACAGTGATTTTCCTTGTCCATTCATTTTAGCATTTGCATAAATAAGCAATCAAAATATGCTGGTCTTTTGCCTGACATTGCAGGGGACTACATCTGTTGTCAGCCTAAACCATACTAAGACTTCAAGGAGACTGAACATACCAAAATGACACTTTTCCCCTGTGCATGCCATGCTTCTGCATCATCCGCACTAAACACAACCTGCCCCACTGCCGCCCCCGGAGATGCAGGCAAGCCCGTGGCGATCACTTTGTCTTTGTAAGCAGATGGATCCTCAAACTAGCCAAACAAAGGTTCGATCACACAAGTTCAACTCCTACTTGCTAAGGCCATCAGAAATCGGATGTTATAACAAATAAATATGTACCTGGGGATGAAGAAGTTGATCGAGATGCTGTGGCTCCACCATCTTGATTACATTGCGCTTATCAACAAGTCCTTCATTAACCATGTCAACTGCTATCTTCACTGCACCTTTACCAGTCCGTTTTCCTGATCGGCATTGCAACATCCACAACCTATTATCTTGAACTGTGAACTCAATATCCTGTATATATCAGAGATGACCTAGCTTATATTTTTTGTGCTCTATAGAGACGTGAATAATGTTTGACCAAAATATTTATATATTAATAAAATCATGACTAATTGATCAGATCATCTTGAGATAGGAATGAGAATTTTTACCATCATATCTTTATAGTGACGCTCTAGAATTTCACAATTCTCCACAAGCTCCATGTAAGCTTCAGGCATACAATTTTTCATTGTATCCAAGTCTTCAGGTGTTCTAATTCCAGCAACTACATCCTCTCCCTATTCAGAACTACCCATCAGCTAAATTGTCAATACAGTACAAAAGTTTCTATATTTATCAACCATATTGCATGTAGATTTAGAAGGACTGGGACTAATGCGTATAACCTGAGCATTAATTAGAAATTCCCCATAGAGCTTCTTTTCACCAGTGCTTGGATTTCTAGTGAACAGAACACCTGTTCCTGAAGTATTTCCCATATTACCAAATACCATGCATTGAATATTTACTGCCGTTCCTTTCAAGCCAGTAATTTGATTGATGCTCCGATATTTAATGGCCCTTGGGCTGTCCCAAGAATCAAAAACTGCTTTAATGGCTAACTGCAGTTGCTTTTTTGGATCTGCAAAGGTTCCAGATTGACTAGCAACAGCTTAAAATTTGCTGCATCTATTTTAAAATGAAAATATTAACGTTATTTTTGGTGTACTTACCTGAAGGAAACTCTTCACCAGTAACTTTAACATAAACTTTCTTATATTGCTCCACCAGTGCTTTGAGATCGGCGGCTGTTAGATCAGTATCAAGTTTGATCCCTTTTGCATCCTTCATTTGTTCCAACTTCTCCTCAAACGATGAGTGTGAAATTCCCATCACCTTCAAAGAAGCAAAAGAATGTTTCTTCAAATTCAGAAACAGTGATAAAATTGACACGAAAATAACAATAGATTGTCTATGCAATATTTTTCATCTTTTCTTGACCTGGATTTGATGAAGAATTATGCGGAAGTGGATCACAGTAACATAGAGAAGCTAAAAAGTGCAGATACACCAACATTCAACAAGGGCCACTTACAACATCTCCAAACATGTCTAGAAAACGTCTGTAGGAGTCATAAGCAAAACGCTCTCCACTTTTTGCACTCAAACCAGCAACCACTTCATCATTTAGTCCAAGATTAAGGACAGTGTCCATCATGCCAGGCATTGAAATCTTAAAAACAGACGAAATCATAGTAAGTACATGAAGTTGTCTAAACAATCTGAAAGTTAAATAGTCATTAAATCACTGTACTTGACTATGGTTTCAGGAGTCTTATGGCTAAATCTTTCCAAACTCTTACCGCTGCACCAGAGCGAACAGAGAGGAGGAGAGGTTTAGAAGGATCGCCAAGGGTAGCTCCCATGTTGTCCTCTACAATTTTCAAGCCTTCCATTATCTCCTCCCACAAACCTTCTGGTAACTTTTTCCCACACTGCTGATATTCTTGGCATGCTTCGGTTGATATGGTGAGGCCAGGAGGCACTGATAACCCAATGCTTGCCATCTCTGCCAGGTTTGCTCCCTTCCCTCCCAACTATAATAAGCACAAGCATAACTCCATGTAAGCGAATGAACTTGCAGTTTGGAATTGCTTATCTATGTAATATTTCAAGATATATACAAGACTCAAGAATGTTATTGCATTCAAATTAATCGGACAGTAAAATCAAATGCAAATTCATTCCAACCATATTCTGTTAGGTATAGATGATGCTTGGATAATGCATGTTCCTTGACACTGTATTTGCATTGATGGAAGTAGACTAAAGAAAAAAACATAAGTGTAAAAATGAGAAATCTTTAAATGCATTATTCCTTAATTTGAAAACAGAAACTATTTACCAAGGACTTCATGCTCTTGTTGCCTTCACTCTTTCCTTTGCCAAAAGTAAATACTCTCTGTATTAATGAAAGAAAAGAAAAAGTTACAACCTTGAAGGTTGAAGCTTTACAAACTATTTGGCAAGCATTTAAAATGTATAATCAAATCCAATATAATAACAGAATTAGCACAACTAAGAAAAATTGAAATTAATTCCTAAAATTATTATTTTCTAAGGATTTTTTTTAAATCCTTGCCTATAAACTTAAATATTAGCTTAATTACTTTGAAATAATATCATTAACATTATCTTTGCTTACTGAATACTTCTCCAACTTAGTCGTACCTTTTTGGTAGTCGGTGCTGTCGGGTCTGATACCGGACTGAGAACTTGTGCTCGGATTCTGCCACGTAATAACGGACTATATCTCTTGGGGGAGACGATATTAGAATTCCGGCTGAAGTGTAGAATTGAACGGTTTTCCGGAAAAAGAAGATCACTCCGATCAACATACTTGGCGTGGAATAACCTTTGCTTATTACAGAAATCCGGTACAGTTCTGATAAGCATTCCTTTCATTGTCGAAGACATATTTTTTTCTCTCCTGATCGATGATGTATTCTCTGTTTTCGAAGTATATACTATTGGACAAAGAGTAAGAGGCCAGAGCTGCTTCGAAAAAGAAATGGCGGTTAATTTTTTTTTCTTGTTTGTATTTTGTATTTAATAATTTTTTGAAAACATTAGATGAGAGATATGAGTGGACCATAAATTACGGTTATAGCGGCTTGTTGCGTAGCTAACAAAATTTTGACCCTCTAGCTGACCGGTTTGTCCCTATCAAGGTGAATCAACTGAAATAACTGGCATTTCTACCAATTAAATTATATATTTAGATTCAAATTTTATCTTTTAATACTTAAAAAAAAATATCGAGTATAAAATTTTTAAGGAAAGAATATTAATGATAAAACTATTATAGATTTATTAAATAATCTCTTCAAATTAGAGAAAATAAAAAAAATGTTACTATTTATAAAAAATTACGAAAATAACCCTGTAACTATCTCTATCATAATATCATTTTCTTTCCTTCACAATTTGATTCTTTTCAAATAATGGTAACTAATTTTATTTTACTTTGGATCCAAATAAAAGGTGAAAAATTACAATCCTTCATAATTGTTTCTCTTATTTTTCTTACTTGTTAATTTTGTTTCTTCTACTTTTCCAAATATTGTGCTAAACCACACTGGACTGTGGCGCACCAATGAGTGAATCCATCCAAACTACGTGGCGTCTACTGAGATTACATGTCATAACCTTTTGAGAAGGAGTGCTGACAGCTGACAGCTGACAATTCGCTGGTGCAAGGGATAAATTGAGAAGTTATCCGTGGCACGCAAAATTAATAATCATTTTTTGGTCCTGGAGAATCCGGGGCTTTTGCATTCCAAAAAGAAAAATCTCTGGAAACTTCAGGTTATCAGATATTTTTGTTTTCATTTATGTAATACAAAATTAAATTTCTAGTCATTTAAATTTTGGGGCACAACAAATCGTGCATAAGATAGATATTAAACACGGAAATCAAATCACACACTGCTGATGAAGAGATTGAAGTGGCGAAAAAGAGGTTGGCACAGTGGGGCCAGTATTCTCACAACGGAATATACTTTGAATCCAAAGGAATAGTGCCACGTGGCTCAACAATGGACACATACTTTGAAATGCGATCCTGCTCTCTCCCTTCTTATCTCTGTGCATGTATCAATCTCACAACTGTCGGGAGATCCTCCGTTCTCATGTTTCATTTTCCCAGAATAATTTTTTTTTTTTTTTTTTTTTTTTTTTTTTTTTAATCACAATCGGTATTTAAAAAAAAATTGAAGAATAAATATATAGCAAATTCTCTAAGTAAATGAATTTTAAATACCATGTTTTTTTTTTTTTTTTTTTTTTTTTTTTTTTGTAAATATCCCCTCTTCGTGATCTTCTTTGATGGAATTATTTTACATAAAATTGTAGCATATAATCACAATCGGTATTTAAAAAAAAAAATTGAAGAAATAAATATATAGCAAATTCCTCTAAGTAAATGAATTTTTAAATTACCATGTTGCCTCAATTCCCCTCCGACTACCTCCCATATAGGAAGAAGTAGACTCTTCCGACATAGCAATTTCCATACTCAATGCTCAACACCATTCCATCCCAACGAAATCCATAAAACTTGTATACCAATCAAAAAGAAAAAATGTAAAATAGGTTATCCGTCAATCTAAACTGCCTGTAATATAATAATAGTATCTATTATGAGATATTGGAGGATTCTAAAATCAATTGTTAAAAGGAATTTCTCTCAAGTGAAGCCATAAAGTGACAGAAAACAATAACAACAACAACAACACAAAAGAATGTGTGAGCAAGCAGTGCATTACCCTTGCATTGTAAAATTCTCTTAATTGTTAAAATATGAAGCAACTCATATGCATTATTCAACTCAAATGAGTCCCACAACAATTATTTAGAGCACTCAAAACCAACCTCAAGCCCGTCCAACTCCATTATTATTATTATTATTGTAGGCTAAGGACGGGCATAAACTACAGGAATACGGCGTTGTATAGGACTCCTACATGAAGGACAGTCCTTCATTCCCTGTTTCTCATGTAGCTCATTGCACATTGTGCAAACCACCTGATGGGCACAGGGGAGAAAAACTACTGACATCTCTTCTGAAAGGCACATCACACATTCTCTTTCTCGTTTCACCCCTCCTCCCATGGTGTACTCATTGAAGTTTGCAACAACCATTTCTGAGAAATGAGCCAATAACTCCTTCTGGGCAGTATTATGTTTGACGTCTGTCACCCTGCTTGCATAGCTTTCATTGATGCCCCTTCGTAGTGCTGCAATTTTGGACGAATCGGTCTTCAATCTCAATTGAGAGATTTCTTTTTCAAGCCTCTGAATGTCATCTTTGTATTTCTGCAAATTAGTTTCTGCTTTCAATTTGATCATATCCTCCTTAGATTTAGTTGAAGCCTCAATCTGTTCTCTTTCTTTTCTAATTGAATTGGCTTGCAGAATAAGTTCTTCCTTTCCCTTCTCTTCTAGTTGCCATCTAGCCTGTATATATTCATTTTGTAAAATTTTCATTGAGAATGAAACCGATAATAAAAAGAGATATAAGCTATTAAAACAATCTGCCATATGTTTCACAAACACTTCAGTTGAATTCCATGACAATCTACAAATCAAACCTTCTAAGAACAATCAAAATTTTGCTCATTGGGTGAAGCGATCTAGCTAAAAATATAAAACAATGCCTAAAACATTTAAGAAAACAAATGATAATAAATGGCACAAACAAATTAGAATATGCTAAACACAAGAAGACGTGTATGTGCAAACCAATTTGAATATAAACACCAGGCAGAATTTGCTTTTATGTTAGAATAGAACTTTGCTTTTACGTTAGAAGCACCCAGCAGAATTTGGAAAGCGTAAAAAATAACAAATAAAGTAAACAATACAACTGTAGAGACACTCTGATGAAAAAATTTTGATCAAGATATGCAGCAGGTCATGCCAAAAGAAAAGGAATGTCTTAATGAAGATAATACTAAGAAATTAATACATATACATCTACATCACCTTTGTAACAAGACATGCCACTGTTTGGATATGAGATGTGTCATTGCCTTTACCAGAAGAGAAGATGCATATTCAATGTCATATGAATACATGATTGCCTCCCTGTGTGCTTGCTTACCATTTCAATTTGACTTTAGCACAAGATATATATATATATATATTCTACGCATGTCCCCATGGCACAATAACTGTATGCAATATATAGCTCTTGGAGAGAGAGAGAAAGAGAGAGATAATGAAGTTTGATTTAAAGTCCAGCTCATGCAGCAGGTATTAATCTAATCGGACAATGTTCATCATTCTACCCAAATAGATATGTTTTTCCAGTGTCAAGGCCTCTATTTCACTGCCCACCTCGTCCAATGATTGGCCTAATCTACCTGTGTTAATGCTGTGTTTAAAAAATAAAGCGACTAACGGACTACTATTCAAAAATATCCCACATGTAACCTCAGAAGAAAGATGGGGCAGAACAAAATTGGTATAACTGCTCAGAATCATACCTCATGTTGTTCCTGTAATTGTTTAGCATGTTCTAAATCCTGCAGTAACTGTGCAACCTTACGTTTTTCAGTTGCAAGTTCTTCCTGTAAAAGAGTTTTCTGCTTCTCCCACGACTGAAACTTCACCAATGTCTTTTTCTCCCTCTTTGATACTTCCTGACAGCTTGCAGCTGACTCAGCTGCTCGCAGTTTTGCAGCCTCCATCTCTTGCCTCAGTGCAGCATTCTCGACCTCAAGCCTCCGGACAGCAGAATTGGCTCTCTCAACCTGCCCACCAGCCTTGCATAATGCATTTTCCATCTCTTGGAGCTTCTTCACGGTGCTGTCCTCCAGATTTTGTTTCTCCTTCTTAAGCCGTTCAACTTCTTCTTTCTCTTGCCTAAGTGACTTAAGTTCAGCCTTATCCTTACTAAGCCTCCGAGCAGCCTGCATCACTTTCTGATTTGCCCATTCTGTCCATTCTTGAAGCTGATTTTCAAGTTCCTGCACCCTGGGAACCAGCTTCACTATAATTTCATCTTTTTTATCCCTTGGAACCCATTGGGCCAGAGATTTATCATATTGTATCCCAGTATAACCACAACTAGGAGCCTCGGCATTAGAATTAGCGGGGACTGAAGCGTTGTTGCTTTTTGCATGCAGTGAAAGAGACAGCTCAGTATCAGTAGCTGACAATGCAGGTGGACTGTTGAGTTCAGGTAATGTAGGTGTTGTGTTCACGGGAGATAATGTAGATGGGATATTGGTCTTGGGTAAAGAAGAGGTTGTATTAGAGGTTTCTAAACTAAAAGATGCTGAGTAAGAGGATCCAGGATTGCTAGAAAAATTCTGGCTTCCATTATCTTGAGGCACATCAACTCCCATTACCTTGCTCAATCTTAAAGAAGCATTAACAGCAGAGTCTGAGACAGATTTCAATTTCTTATCCAGTATTAAGCCGCCCAAACCACTCAACTTTCCCGATCTTGACTTAGGCCCATATGTTCGGTAGCCCTTCTCCAGATGGAGTGACTTCTGCCGAAGTATGTACTCTCTCTTGCCACTAGTAGATTGGACCTTCCTACTGACTATAAACTTTTCTTCCAATACAGGAGATTGAGATGTTCCTGCAATGTTGAAAGATTTATCTGACGAATCAAAGGTAGACATTGATCCATCTTTCTCTGAGACCAATCCACTAAGAACACCAGGGTTCTTCAGTTTTGTCATGTTGGGAACTCCTGTCGTATTTCTGGAAGCATCAGATTGAGAATTATGAGAACAAGAAACGGAAGGCTCTGATTTACTTGGATTTGGGAGACTTAATTCGGTACATTTGGCTTCTGCTTTCATCTGGGGTTGGATGGGAACAGAGGAAGCCCCAGTCAAAGCCCCATCAGAAGAAAAACCACTCAAGGGATCACCATCCATTGCACAAGCATGAGAAACATTCATGTCACAAATCAATAAGCACCACATTGCATCTCCAGTGCTGAAGAAAGGCCTAATTTCTCGGAGAACACAAACCAATTCTGCCAATATATATTTCTCCAACTGCTGTAAATCCTCAAAACAGTGCTCCCTTGAAGGATCAATCTCTTGACCATTCTTAAGAAATGCTAAAGTATTATCAACAATATTCGACATTGTGTCTTTACAACCATAACAAAGGCCAGACCTCAAAACAGCCCTAGTAGCAACTTCTTCAGTATAACCACAAGAAACAATTTTTTTAATGGAACTCTTAAAGATTGCATCCAAATTGCTTAACACAAGTTCTTCTAGCTGGGTTTCTGTAAAATCGCTCCAATCAGCATCATGGGATTCTTTTGATTCTAATTCCTCTCTAGGATGGCTCGTTCCAACCTCAGATGATCCTATGGCACTAGACAATCCAAGGTCAAGCTTCAATCCATCAGAATGGTCTTGGCTAACACCACACAGGTCACATACACTGGATGGGCCATGAACTGGGGTAGCTTCAAATTTCTCAGCAGAGAATTCATAACCTGAGCATTCATTTTGAGATGAAGGCATAATCTTACTGGGGTCGCTCAAAGGGGGATCAGCTCGGAATTTTCTCTTATTTCTACTCCCTTTTTCTTGGACCGATACCAATGGTGTCACTTGACTGCTACAGCTACTACTATTGGCTTTAGCGACCATTGATGCCATTTTTCACCTGCAAAAGTTTGATAAGTTTCAATTCAATTGTCGAAGTCATTGATCATATGTCTGTCAATCCTCAATGTAACACTAATTTAATGAATCAAAATAAAATAATTGAGCATAAAACTTAAAATTCAATGTCAAACCCGAGCTCATTCGATCATCTACTGATGACAAACACAAAACAAACCATCTAAACGACAAAAATTCATTTCTACATTAAATGGAGACGAGAAAAGGATGTACCTTTTTATCTCTCTATCAAACTTAATGAATGAAAAAGTTCAATTTCTGCATCAAAAATCGCAAATCAATAAATAAAATAAGAACCCAGAAAGAAAAACCAATAACCAAAACATTAAAAACATACCCAGTTCACAGAGACAATATTTCTACATTGACCATATCAATCTAAATGATAATTTAAAAATTGCGAATCAATTAATAGATCAAAACGGCTCAGATAGAAAAAATCGAAGAAATGAGGGAACACGCAAATTATAATATCAAAAGATCAACGAAAAAGTTTGGGATTCTGTGATTCACGATTAAAAGTGGACGATCGACACCTACCCGGATTTATCAGCTAATTGTTCGAGTAAAATCAAAGGTGCAGGAGACGAATCTCTGAACATAGAGAGAAATATATGAACATGAAAATATATATGCTGGTTTATTTGTTTTTTCTTTTCCTTTTATTTTGGATTTTGATTTTCTTTTGATTTGCCCTTCTAGAGGAGAGTAGTGAACGCCTTTCACTCTCTGTATAAATAAATAATAAATAAATAGAAATATGGCCTTCGTGAATTTTCTTTTTTTATTAAGTGCTAGCTTAACTCAATAACCATGGTTAGACACAATGACCCTAATTATCCATGGCTGTCTTAAAAGGATGAGAGGAAAAAAAAAAACACACGTTTGAAGAAAATTAGGCATCCATACAAATTATCCGTAGGAAGTCAATTCAGCTAATTCATTTAAATCAAACTTGATGTATCCATAAAATATTATCAAATTTCAATTTATTTTTAAGCCTTATATGTTTTTTTTTTTCCAATTCTATTTCGTGAGATTAAGTATTGAATACACAAAAATAAAGTACGAAGTGATAAATTTGTAAATGATCACTGTAATTTTAGAGATTCGAAATGTTTTTATTTGATAATGAGTTTTAATGGAATTTGTATCAAATCGAATTTAAGTAACTTAAATTACAACCCTATTTACAAAATCAAATATTAGATTCATAAAAAAAAATTATAGAGAGGTGCAGTCATAATTTGAGTTAATTATAGATATGTAAATATTATCTTAATAAATATTTTAAAATATATTATAAATTCTAATAACACATTAATGTCATATTTTCCTTCCATCATATATTCTACTTATTATATTTATGTCCATAAAGAATCAAAATTAAGAATTCTATTATTGTTTTTTCTTTTGTGTAATTTTATTTAATACACAGAGCACATTGTTAATCGCCGTTGACTATCAGTCCGACCACTTTTACTTAGGTTACAAGCGCCAGCGTTTGAGACAACGGCCGATAAAGAAAATGAACCAACAATCGCCAGCGCAGCCACCGCTTCACCAGAGCGACGCTGACGATGACGACGAGAACGTCAAGCAGCTAAAAGAATGCTCCTCCCTCTACCTCTCTCTGCAGGTACTCCACTAAATGACTATTCGATTTTCAATTTCACATAATTGCTGATTTGAACAAACCATTTTTGTTCCCTTGTCATAGGATTGTCTCATCGACAACAATAGGAATTGGAAATCTTGCCAAAAAGGTGAATTTTTATTAGAATGCTTTAATTTTGAATGATTCATATCCATGGACTTTTGTTTAACCTTAATTTCATTTTAATTTTATTACCTCTGGATATTAATTTTACTTTTCAAGTTGTTGACACATCTTGTTTGTTAAAATGCCTAACAGAAGTCCAAGCTTTGAAGGCCTGCAACGAGAAGAGGAAGAATGACAGAGGAAAGTGAAGATATTTCAATATAGGATCTTTTTCTTCTTTTACTTTATTGATGACATTCTTTTCCCCAACAGTGATGAAGAATTTTGCAACGTTTCTCACCTGAAAATTCAATTTAACGCCTTGATTAGTGTGAACTTACAAATTCTGATCCTTTATGGCTTTTGTTTTGGGGGAAGAACAATTACAATTGCGTGTATGGATTAATGCTAATCAGCTTGAACTTGTCGTTTAATCTCTAATAATTCTCGTTTTGAGAGAAAATATCGTTTGTCTTAAAAAGAGTCCATTACAAACATAATGAATAACTAAACAAAAATTCAAGATATATATATAAACAAGCTAAGATCATCACCCAACTCTGTCCCATATATTATTGATATAGGCTCAACAAATTTAACAATAGAAAGACAGAAGCACATCAAGTAAGAGTCTTTTCACAACAATATTTATCATCTTCACATGTGAAGACTAATTTCCAGGAACAAACTTGATTGAAATGCTATTAACACAGTGGCGTTCGTCTGTTGGAGTTTTGAATCCCTCACCCTTAAAAACATGCCCCAAGTGACCTCCACAAGCTGCACATGTAATCTCAGTTCTCCTCCCATCAGGATCAGGCTGCAAATTCAAAATCCATTCGTTTTATCTCCATTAAAGATCCAACAAAGGTGGAAGAAAAAAGAATATCGCAACTTACACTCCGATTTATGGCTCCAGGAAGACCTTCAAAGAACGCGGGCCAACCACAGCCAGAATTAAACTTGGTACCTGATTTGTAAAGTGGTGTTCCACAACCAGCACAATTGTAAAATCCTTCACCAAAGAATTTATCATATTCTCCTGTGAATTTCAACCTGAGAGATACAATCGAACTATATTAAATATCTTATGGAAAGGAAAAATGATAAATCTCTCAAAGATCAAGTTTTTGTTATGGCGAACGTCTCAATTAGGATTCATTTAGTAGTAACTATAAGGAATTTAGGGTTTACTCAGTTCCTTTCTCCCGAAGGATGTGAAACTGCTCCGGAGAGAGAATAGCCCGCCACTCTTCCTCCGTCTTCTGGATCGAACCCACTGCAGCCATAGCCGAGCAACTGCAGTAGCGTTTTTGGTCTTCAAGCAGAGGTGATTCCACTGAACTGGGACAGTGAGGTCAACATAATTTAAATTCAGAAATCAGCCGAATGTACAAAGACGGAATTTTGGGCAGATAAAGATTTGACAATTGGGCCTTATAGTTGGCCCAATAAACATGTACCTAACTTTGGCCCATCATTGTAATTTTCTGTTTTGGAATGACAGAAAAAAGTGACGTCGTTTAAAGGGATAGGAGGGAAACTTTTTCCCTCAAATCCCACCTACAGGGAAACATTTTCCTGTTTGTTTCTACTTAAAGGAGTGAAACTTTTCCCTGGATCGTGAACGGTAACAATTAACAAATGGTAATTCGCGTGAAAAACACGATTGGTCGTTCTATGAGACGACCGTGAGAAAAACACAACGACGCAAGGATTAATAAACGACAGCTGCAGGCAAAGCACAAATTCAGAGACCAACAAGGCAAAGCTGAACTATTTCTGGATTCAATTCAAACGACGGAATTTGAGAAAGAACCACAAATTTGCCTTTCAATTTCAAGTTCCATCAGTGAGAGAAGAAAACAAATATTTCTGGATTGATTTGCAGAGTGCAAAGCTACCATCACATATGCGTTAAAGTAAGAGGAACGAGAAAAAGATCAATAAGTAGAAGGAATGACGGGGTTCGGCAAGGCTTCGGGACCGGCAGGGCCACCGTCATCGCAACCGCGGTTCGGGAACTTTCCTCGTCCTCCTTCTCCTCCTCAAACGCTGCCTTTTCCTCATTCTGTCTCTGCACGATCTCCAAGTCCCAGGTACTCTCTCTTGCTTTCATTATTAATCAACTCTTCATATTTAAAAAGAAAACCTTTTGCTGCTTAGCCATCTTTACTTTATCGGTTTGTGTTTAAATTGGACAATTTATTGATTGAAAGGTTTAAATACGGTACTGGACTTCATTCATGGGGTTTTGGCTTCACTTAATGTTAAAAAAAACTTACTTTATTGCTGTTGTGGGTCATATTCCCCATCAATGTCCAGATTTTTGTTTAAGCTGATCACAAAATTTATTTTGAGTGTTGGCACTATAGTTGTTTGCTTTTTTTTTTTTTTTTTTTTTTTTTTTTTTTTTTTTTTTTTTTGGCACTATGTTGTTGCTTTTTTTTTTTTTTTTTTTTTTTTTTTTTTTTTTTTTTTTTTTTTTTTTTTTTTTTTTTTTTTTTTTTTTTTTTTTGCTACTTCAAATTTGAATTTGTCTTAATCTTGCTGAAGTTGCTATTTTACTAAGCAAGAATCATGTTCGTCTGCAACTGTTGTATAATTTAATGCTTGGGAATATACTTCTTGTGATTATTTGGTAACCTGAGCTGGTTTATGCAATGTTTTTGAACTTTTGATCCTAGGGATCCTGTAGCTATAGAGAGAGTGCGGTCACCACCATTGGTTTATGATTCATTGATTTATGAAACCTCTGGTCTTGCTGAACAATCTGCTGGAATCCCAAGGTAACAACGCGTGCAAATCTATTCTCTTTATCCTTATTCAAATGTTCACGCTTCACAGGTAAACTGAAGGGTTCACTTTTGATAATAGGAGACCTGGAACACTAGAAAGAGTGCGCTCTCCTCCACTGTCCTTTGACAACAACGGAAGACCATCTTATCCATCTGTTGGAGCCCAGAGGTGAGGTCTATAGCTTATTTTTACTTGTTTGCATGATACAATGAAAGTCTGTTTTTCCATTAAAATGTGTTGGTATAGTGTTATTAAGTAGGGAAACATGTTATTGACATTGGGAAACAGATGCATCAAAAGCGATAAAGCTAAGAATATTCTTGTGCTTTTTTGATATCATGCCTCAGTCCTGAATAACAAACTTTTTATGCTTTGTATTTAAAATTTGTAGCCTTCAGTCATTTTTCTGTGCTCATGAAATAAATCTCACCATACTACACTATGTTCTTCTCAGGCCCACTGTCTCACCTCCTCAATGGGTTAATGGTACGAGATCTTTTTCTAAACTTGATGAACTAACAAATCTAAGGCCTTCTGCAGTCACTTCATTTGTTGCTTCACGAAATTCCGGAAATAGTTTCACAGCTAAGTTCTCCAGATTTCAAGATTTAAAAAGGTCTAGATCACCTCCTTCATATGCTTCGAGTGAAGACATTTCTAGAAATTCCAGTCGAACTTTCCTTCAAAGGTATGTTGGTTGGATCATATATGCATTTATTTTATCCCATTGATTTATGTGGTGCAATGAGGTCCAATTCTTTTAATCACAATTTGGACCAGATTTTACCCAACAGTTGTCATTATGTTTGTCCAATTTTTTTTTTTTTTTTTTTTTTTTTTTTTGTCCAATTTTATTTTTTTTTTTTTTTTTTTTTTTTTTTTTTTTTTGTTGATAACAATTTTTGGAACCTATTGTAATCAGATTGTTGTTCTGCTTCAAAAAATTTCTGCTTATTTTTTGCTTATCAGAATTGATGCTGTTTTAAGCGTTTCCTATTCTCTCTGTTAATTGGTCTCGAGAGGCCTGTGAATTAGAATGCATGGGCATGCACACACATTCGCCCTTTCTATGGCTGTTGGAATAATCTGAAATAGCCAAATCTAACTATCCAAGTTTCAAATGAGGTTAGACAATTTGAAAGGGTGTACACTGTTTTGGTTAAACAGCAAAAGGGGTTACAAAAAATGAGGCTTTAAGACAGTGCACCAATCGCTTCTAATCACGATGTGGGTTGAACCTTGACTTCTCCATTTTAGAAAGAGAGAGTTATTATCTGACTGCAAAGGGCTGAGGTATACAGGAATGAATTTTCCTTCTATTTTATTTAAATCTTTTTGCCCTCTTTTTAGATGGCTATTATATGCTTAATCTGTATCTCATTTTCACGAAGTACCTTCCTTTTTTTGTGAATGAACCGCTCTGTTTCTGTTCCCCAAAACTTTGATCTGTTGTTTGGCCTTGACACTCTTCCTTAGTTATTGTTAGTGGCTTGAAAAGTATATTTGTGAATTTGAAATAGTTATAGAACTTCTCTTTGAAGAATGGTGGACTACCAAATACCAATTAATATGGAAACTTTCAGATATCTGATTTCAGTTTTTATTGCTTGATATGGTAGCAATTCAGATTCGCTTGTTGATAATCACTTAAGTCCAGCAAGAACAAAATTGCCTCCCTCGCCTTTTGAAAATGACAGTTCAACTGAGCATGTCTATCCTTCTTTTGGTGACGGCCAACCGTAAGTTTGCAATTGAATTTTGTATTTTCGTGTGTGTGCTTTATGGGGAGGAGGGTGTATGAGCGGGATCTTTTCTGTGTATTCTAAAGAGACTCATGTCCTAAAAATGATAATAGATTGATCTATGTTATTAATTTGATATTGTATCTCTTAATCAGACATGTTAGTTATTTTGCAGGCCTGTTTTATCTCCTTCTGCATTGGATAATCAGCAAAAGTTTCCAAATGATTATCCTAATCCTTTGGTCCGCCAACAACAATCCTCGGACTTGCCACATGCGGGTTCTTATGATAATCCAAGAAGTTTTATAAATGAAGTTGCTGACGTCCCTGTGCCCACGCAATCCAGGTCGCCACCCAGACCAGCTACAAATGAAGTTCTTCAAAAGGAATCCCAAAGGTACTTTCCAAATATATAGGTTCTTAAAACTCTTCTTTTTTTTTTTTTTTTTTTTTTTTTTTTTTTTTTTTTTTTTTTTTTTGTTTCTATTTAATTTATTTTCCTTTTTTTTTTTTTTTTTTTTTTTTTGTTATCTATTTTAAATTATTTTCCTTAAATGAGATGTCTGGCAGCAATATAAGAAAAAGTTGTCTGGAGATGAGTTTCTAACATAGTCATTTGAAGGTATCTGTTTGTAAAAACTCAGGAGAGTGTTCAAAATCAACCTCCAACATTGAAAGCTTTGGAAATTTTCAAAATTCTAATTGGTAGCAAGGGGACTCTTCTGATAACACTGAATTCAGAAAACAGGAAAAGGAAAGAGACCTTGTAGGACATCAGTAAAATATGTTCTGCCATTAAAAATAAAAGGATAATTTTGTTATACTAAAAAGTTGGGTATTCTACAAGTTTTTGGTTTTGAAGTTGAATCCATTGATATTTATGTATGAAAAATTTATGCTTCTTTGCATCTGAATGAGCTCATCCACATGCTTACTTTGCCAGGCCATCTACATCTCCTCCTAGGTTGGATGTTAGATCAAATTTTCCGTCCAGTGCATCTGATTTCCAAATTCCTCAGAGAACTTTTCCTTCTGCCAATAATACTGCTCTGGAACCTGCTCCCAACAGGATAACCAACTACTCTGTTGCAAAGAGAACAAGGTCACCTCCTTTGCCTACTGCTGATAAAGTCATTCAAGATGATACTGAACGGTAAAAATTTTTGGGGCATCAATTCCATTGGTTGTAATAACTCTTTAGTCCAGCATCAATTCAATTGATCAAGTTTTTGGCATGCAAAATGTAGAGAGATGCAAGCCAAGGCAAAGCGGTTAGCTCGCTTTAAGGATGAATTGAGTAGAAGTGTTGAAAATAGACCTGATTTTGCCGAACAAAAGACTTCTATTGGCAGACTTGAACAATCTAAAGCGGAAAGACAACAGTTTATTGGAAGGCACTCCACAGTATCTGGAGCAGGAGGGGATTTCACTGATGGCAATATTTCCTCTGATTTTGAGGGCTTAGAAACATCCAGTATAATCGTTGGGTTGTGTCCTGATATGTGCCCTGGTATGGCCCTCACAACTTCTTGATCTTGGAGGAATGTTGTTGATAGAATGGCATCCAGTTACATCCTTTGAGGTCATAGGACTTTATTCTATTCACAAACTCACAGTGAAATTTTGATTGGGATTACTTGTCATTTGAATGTGAGAGAAATAACGGCCTGAAAAATGAAGGAGTTTGAATATCGTATCCTACATGCTTTATTTACTAAGCATCCGAAACAAACCACCTTGCATCTGTTCTCTCTGTGTATCTGAAACTGCCATAATTTTTATGTGATGTGGAATCTTGGTTCATGTTTCAGAATCGGAAAGGGAAGAACGAGAAAGGAAAGGGGACCTTGACCAGTATGAACGATTGGATGGCGATAGAAATCAAACCAACAAATTTCTTGCTGTTAAAAAGGTAGTTTCTGTGTAACCTCATTTTTCTGTCAATATCCTTTGTTGGTCATTAAACTAATCTTGGCGGTGCTTTGTTTATGAGGTTTAGTATTATAAATGTTTTTTTTATTATTTTTCCACAGTATAATAGGACAGCAGAGAGGGAAGAAAATCTTATACGTCCTATGCCTGTCCTTCAGAAGACTATTGATTATCTGCTCAATTTGCTTGATCAGCCTTATGATGATCGGTTTCTTGGCATATACAATTTCTTGTGGGACAGGATGAGAGCAATCCGAATGGACCTGAGGATGCAACACATTTTCAACCAGGAAGCTATAACAATGTTAGAGCAAATGGTTGGTAGTCTTGTGATTGTGTTTCATTTGAATCTAACATTTAGCATCTGTTCTTATCCTTCTGAATAGTACATGAAACCATATATCATATCATTACAAGAAAATGTGCTTAGTTTCATATAGAAAAATGGAAAATGAGTACGTGTTACTAATTATGCTCTGCATGTGGATTGCAGCCCCACAAAGGACATCTTTTGAATAATAGTAATAATACCTTTGAGGTGATTCATTGTATTGCTTGGCATATATAGTTATCCTACGGTTTTAAAATCATGAAATTGGTGGTCCCATTGACTCAGAAAGAAACTGAATTGGGCAAGTAGTAAGAATTCTTTGACAAAGAATAGCAAAAATGACAAAATCACAATTAAGAAAGAATATAACTAAGGCAAATATTAAGTTGGCAAAATAAGTTGTTTAGGGTTAAGAAATGAAGCAAGGTGGGAGCAAAGTTTATGGGTGACTTTAACTGCACTTGACACTTTCAACGGCTCTCTTAGTTTGACACCATGTGCCTTGTTGCCGTGGTCTATATTTGTTATCTGTCTCAGCATTGGACTTTGTTAACCAGGTTTATGTATTAGATGATATGCATTATTTCAATGATTTATTATTCTGATGGCTAAATGTTGTTGTTGATTGATTGATTCTGACGTCAGATAAGGCTTCACATAATTGCTATGCACGAGTTGTGTGAATACACAAAAGGAGAAGGTTTTTCTGAGGGATTTGATGCACACCTTAATATCGAACAGATGAACAAGACTTCAGTTGATCTGTTTCAAATGTATGATGATCACAGGAAGAAGGGAGTTACTTTTCCAACAGAAAAAGAATTCCGTGGTTATTACGCTCTTCTGAAACTTGACAAGCATCCTGGATATAAAGTAAGTCATACACAAAGGAATAGGTTTTACAGGTTATATTTAGGATTGTGTCTAACATAAAAACCTCCTGCTAGGTTGAACCTGCAGAGCTCTCCCTGGATCTTGCAAATATGTCTCCAGAGATAAGGCAAACCCAAGATGTGCTATTTGCCCGTGATGTAGCAAGGTTCTCCCTTACCTTTGATTTGTTATGAGGTTAAAATATAAACTTGATCTGATACATGTGGGTGGCTTCTCCAGGGCTTGCAGGACAGGAAATTTTGTTGCCTTCTTTCGACTCGCAAGAAAAGCAACTTACCTTCAAGCCTGCTTAATTCATGCTCACTTTGCAAAGGTACGAGTAATGGTTGCTATCCAAGTAGAGAGTTTGAGATGCCACTAATAATGATTTTCTTGTTTTGCTGACATTAATAGAATATATCAGCTAATCTCTTATTCATCCGCCTTCTTTAAGTCTCTATTCATTTTCATTTATTAACATAGACAGTGGAGACGAAGCACTAATTTGGACAAAAGGCAAAGTAGTACTAAAATTTAGTTTTCTTATCTCATCTATCTGATGCAGAGGATGAACAGTAGAAATGACTAGTATATTTGGCATCTGATGCCAACTTTGTATACATGCTTAGATGCATGACAGTTTTTAATGTGTTTTTGCACATAATATTGTTGTAACATGGTATGATCCACTCATCTCCATTATAGTCCCTGGTATACAGTGTCATTATTCACTTTTTTAGTGCTTAAAAAAAGTCAAAAGGAGGAGTGATTTTCTGGGAGCATAATCTGTCATAAAACAATTCATTAAGTTCAGTGCATTATGCTATTGATTCCCAAGTCATCATAAAATGCTGCCTTAAGGAGGATACTACTTAGTAGAGACAACATGTCTTCTAAGTGTTAATCATGGATTCACCTTGGTACTGTTCATTTAAATGTACATGCACATGTGAACACTCATATGTAGTAATTTTGTCTTACATTCCATGTATTTTGCTGTTGCAATCAGTTGCGAACTCACGCACTCGCTTCTTTGCACTCTGGTCTACAAAATAATCAAGGCCTCCCAGTTGCTCATGTTGCCAAATGGCTGGCAATGGAGGTACCTTTCCTTTTGATGAGAGTTTCATTTTATTTACTTCACAACAGCCAGCAAGTTCCTCCTCACTTTTTGCTTTGATGTTGACATCAGGAAGAAGATATTGGAAGCCTATTAGAGTATCATGGATTTTCGATGAAAGAATTTGAAGAGCCATATATGGTAAAGGAAGGCCCATTTCTCAATGGTGATCAGGATTACCCTACCAAGCGCTCAAAGCTAGTTCAACTGAAAAAATCTAGAAAAATAGTTGACAATGTGTCACCTACTTCTCAAGTGGTGGCCTTGCCTGTTCAAGTGTCCAAGGAGATTCAGCAGCCCATGATCGACAAGCCAGAAAAAAATGTTGTTCCTTCTACTTTTGTGAATAGCAAGAATTCTATTCATGGTACTGATGAAGAAATGGCTGTCTCTGAAGTTGCTTCATCCCCAAAAATTGTCAAGCAAGTGCAGCCAATAATTGGAAAGTCCACAATTGGGCTACTAAATGAGGACAACCATCAGGCAGGAGATGCCTTTATTTCTCCATGGGGCTTCCCCATGGTTCATGGCTCCCCAGTTTCTCCACCAGCTAAACTCAAAGATGTAGACAAATCAAATGATGATGTTCTTTTTGACATCTCTGCTGAGAAGAACATGTCGTCTGCCATGGAAGTTATTGCACCACAACTTGTGTCTAGAACAGCTTTGCAAGAGAGATCCCCAAGTGCTAAAAATGATGCTATGGAGAATACAATCCCGCAAGTTTTGATTTCTAATGAGTCAAAAGATGAAGAGCATCCTGATATTAATCAAGAAAAGGAAAATGAGGAACTTATGGAAAATTATGAAGATGAAGAAATTACTCAGGCAAAGCTCAAGTTAATTATAAGGTTTGTCTCTTCAATTGTTAGCCCCAAGGTGTGGTTTTTATCTCTATCTTGATTCTGCATTTATCTATCATCAGGTTGTGGAAGCGGCGTTCTTCAAGACAAAGGGAGCTGCGTGAACGAAGACAGATAATAGCAAATGCTGCACTAAATTCACTGCCATTGGGACCGCCAATTCAAAAGGCAAAAGATGTAAGCTTTTAATTTTGATCGTTTCAAACATGCATATACTGTTACTTCTTATTTAGTTTGTTTACGTTTGCAAATTTGATGAGCTTGTGTGCATTGTGATTTCCCTCGAATTTTTTTTTTTTTCTTTTCTTCCAATGTAGCAACTGAGCAGTGCTAGTGAGTTTGATATTGAACATATCTTAAGGGAAAGATATAAAAAACATGAACAATCATGGTCAAGGCTGAATGTGTCAGATGTCACTGCGGATATACTTGGGAAAAGAAATCCTGGTGCTGGATGCCTGTGCTGGAAAATAGTGTTGTGCTGCCAGATGAACCACCAAGAAAGAGACAAAATGGGGCAGAGGAACGAGGTTTTGAATGTGGGAGCAGGCCCGTGGTTGCTTTCAAAGATCTTGCCTTCCAAAAAAGATGATGATGATAATGATGATCTGATAGTTTCATCTTCTGGCATATCAATATGGAAAAAATGGGTTCCCAGCCAACATAGTGATGACTTGACCTGCTGCTTATCAGTTGTTAGGAATGTTAATTTTGATGGTTTAAATGGGACGCTAGATGGTGCTAGTGCTATTTTGTTCCTTGTATCTGAAAGCATCCCATTGAATGCTCAGAAAGTGCAACTTCAGAACCTGCTTTTGTCCATCCCTTCTGGTTCCTGCCTGCCCCTTCTGGTCTTGTGTGGTTCGTATGATAAAGAAGTTTCAGATCCTTCCTCCACTATAGTTTTTGAATTGGGTCTTCATGACATTGATAAATCACGAGTAAGCAGCACTTCAGTTGTTTTCCTTATTGGAGACCAAGAGCGGGAATCCTTGGATGGTTTTTTTAGTGATGTGAGATTAAGGGAAGGATTACAGTGGCTGGCAAGTGAATCACCTCTACAACCTGACATTCACCGCATAAAGACTCGTGATCTGATTCTAACCCACCTTACTCCCTCCTTGGATTCCCTTGAAAAAGCAAGCGATCATGAAGTAGGTCCTAATCACTGTATTTCAGCCTTCAATGAAGCCTTGGATTGGTCTATGGGGGAAATTGCTGCTGCTGCCCAATCAAGACCTATCAGTTGGCCATGTCCTGAGATTGCGTTGCTGCCAGATTCCTCTGAGGAGCATATGGTGGTGAACTGGTACTTGCCAAGCATAGGGTGGAGCTCAGCAGCAAGAATTGAACCATTTTTATTTGCAGTAAGGGAATGCAAACTTCCTATTTTTCCTGATGCTATATCCTGGTCTGACAAGGGTGCTAAATCAGGTGACGAGATTGAGAACCTGAGATCAGAACTTGAGAACTGCTTGATCAGTTACTTGACTCAATCAAGTGGGATGATGACATTCAACTTAGCAATAAAGGAGGCACATGTAATGCTACAAAAAAGTGCTCGGCTTGAGCTCGATGACTCAATCTACTATATCGTTCCTAAGTGGATCTCAATTTTTAGACGGATCTTTAATTGGCGGCTAGCAAGACTATCAAATGCGGCGTTTTCTTCAGCCTATGTTTTAAGGCAGCATCATGTCAATCCGACTTTACGCATTCTTGATGATAAGCTTGGGCTTGAAGGAAATGTATCTCTGCCTCACTTGAGTCAACCCTCCTTGGATGAAATAATTGTTGGGTGTGCCCCCCCAGTACAAATAAGGGGTCAGCCGCAGGTGGAAGTTTTTCAATCTCCACCAAGGATAGAAGGTGATGTCGAGGCAGCTACTAACGAGAATGACTTGATGGAGGATGAAAGAACTACAGAGTTGGTCACCAATCATGTTGATCATGTAACAACGAGACTGAACTTTGCTGGTGCTGATATTATGGTTGGCAGCAGAACGACGAAGGAAGCCGACAAACTAAGCAAGTTGTTGGAACAGTGTAACATAGTGCAAACTTCCATAGATGAGAAGCTTTACCTTTATTTCTGATCTTCTTATACGCCCTTTATTTAAGTAGGGGGGTTGGTTAACTTTGTACCATTGTATTGATGTACTCTTTCTTATACAAGAAAATAGTAAGAGCTTTTTCTGAGCAAGTATAAATATTAGTTGTCTTTAAATTGAATTAAAATGTCAAATATTTAATTTAATTTTATTAAAAATGATACGGATTGATAATCCTAATTAATTATGTATAATACTTATATATAATATTAAATGCTTTTATTATCTAATTTAATATGTTTAATATTTAGTCAAACTAATCATGTGAGATATTTAGTTAAATTAATGAACATCTAATTATAGGAGCGTGGGATCATAACCGGGAATAAGAAATTCAAAAATTGCACATGATTGAGCTGATATTAAAGTTAGCAACTTTATGATATTTCTTCTTCCTAGATACAATGTGAAAGGCAGAAAGTTCGTATGTGCTAACGAAATTTACAACAATCATCTCTCAGCTTCTAAGAATCTCTCCAGCATCGGCTCTCAAGTACTTTTATACTTGGATTTAGCAGTCTCGGTTACAGGACAAAGGAGAGCATTCTGTTCTCCTAAAGCCTTTTATCATTTTATGCTGTCACCGGTTAGAGACTCTTAGTAAGAAACCATGGCCTGCCCGGAGATCCTTTGGGCAACTACATCTTGTTTGTGCAGAACAAATTGTCTTTAGTTCAGTAGCAGGCTCGCCACTTGCTAACCCCCATCCTGACACGAGCCGAAAAGATATGAATACCTCTCAGGAATATATTCTCAAAATCAAATTTGGGACACAATTAGGAACCATCAAAAGAAGGAATTCAAAGGGAAAAACTACAAAGAGAGTAGAAACCCACCAATTCAAAGGGCTTCCGATGTGATGGAGACGGAACAATAATTGCTGGGCTTCGATTCACTGAAAGTTGCTGATCTGAGAATTCACTCCTTACTGAACGGTAAATCTCAGACCCAGAAGGAGCAGAACTGTGAGAAGATTCTTTTCGGGTTCTTGAACTCACCGATTTCCTACTCACTTCAGCAGTTCCATCTGTAGCACCAGCACCTGGCTATTAATGCAAAGAAAAAAGTATATATAATCACAAGTTAGCCAATGACCCCTTAACAAGACTTCTCTAGAAACTACTTTGAGATTGTCAGTAGAACGGCCAAAGGTAAATGTGGCAGGTGGAGAATGTTAGTTAAACCTACTAATTATCAGCGTTTCACTTATTCTCATTCTTTTTACGAGTTATAAGTTCAACCTCAATAAATGCCAGACCAAATTTGAATCTAACCCACCAACCCCCCACCCAAAAGAAAAGGTAAAAAGAAAAAGGTTGCCAAACTGTTTTATTATTTGGATTGTATTTTAGCAATTGCATTATTCTATTAGATAGGCTGGACCTGTGTACACATACTATAGCAGTTGCATTATTAGGGAAGGTACAATCTGGCTTATTCTCCAGATCAAACACAGAATGAAGACATGAAACTCAACCTACAAAGCATTGAAAGGGGGAGAGGAGGCTTCTTGCACTTACATTAGATGATTCTTTAATATGTACAATAATGATTGTAATATCATCCGTCCGATTTTCGTGCTCCAACCATAGTTTGTACGACTCTCCAGCAATGGCTGCACATGCATCTCGGGGATCAGAATACCTTGCGACCTATGGGGAGAAAAAAATTGATACCGCATAAAGATGGCGAAATAGTTTTCCACAAAGAAAATATAAAAATTCTCTACACCTTTTATTTTTGCTACATCAGTTATTATAAACGAGAGACAGACTGTCTAACATTTAAATTAACTTTTTTTAAAAAAAAAATTCTCAATATTCAAAAGAATTTCAATTTTCTACACCTATGAATAAGAACCAAGATGATTCGCCGGAAATTTTAGAAGTTTGAACTTAAGAACCAGCAAGTCATGAATTGAAGTTCTTAGCAAATCAACAGAACCTAAATAGTTTTATCTTATTAAGACCCTGTTCATTTTTACCTTTTTCTCAGAATGACTCTAGTATCAAATATTATGAAAAAAAAAATTTTTTAAATAATGAAAAGAAATCAACTTCTTAAGGCATCAAAGGAAATATTCATAAACACAACAAAAGAATGCATGTGAAAAGATAACAATTAATATAAAGAGCATAACCATTTACTTGATTGCAAAATTAGACTAATAAAACAAGAACAAAACATATCCTTCACAGCTCATAAATTTTAATGCTATTGTGTCAAGGTTTGACCAAGGCTCATATTAATTGGTTTATTACTTCTATTTGATGAAATATGCAGCAATCCATTCTTCAATTTCTTGTGGTTACTTGATTTGATGGGCAGGGGATCACCCCTAGTTCTCAAATTCAAATCATAATGTAAGGATGCAATCGAGAAACTTAACAAACATTAGCTGGCAGGCATAGTGATGGAAAATATATGTAGAATGAAGTCAATTTCTGAGTTCAATTCTCAAATTGCAGAAAATCACAAAAACTCCAACAAAAAACAATCAATTAAATCAGAACTACTAAGTCTAAAAGAAGCAAGCAATCTTGAGTTTTAACATATCAGCACATTTCAAAATCAATGTGTGAGTAATGAGAACAACATATAGACCAGATAAAGACAAGAAGACCATAATGCCATACCATATCAACAACAGCTTGGCTTGAAAGGAACTCAAACACTCCATCACTTGCAACCACAAAAAATGGATGATTGGGCATGAGTTTAACGGTAGAAACTTCAGGATCAGCAATAACACCAATTGTCTCAGCTGTACTATCCCCTACACTTCTTGTAAATGCAGTCCCTGGATACATCCCATTCTGCACCCACAACCTCGGAGGATCACCCCCTTGACTTTCTTCATCATCCCACTCCTGCATATTTGGATCCTTGTACCCTTCCACTTGATCAACACTCAGTACTCTAGCCCCACATAACTTCACCCTCTCACGCTCATCTTTCCTAAATGGGGTTTGATCATTAGACAAATTTTCAGCAATAACTCTATTCCCATTTTTAACAGCAATCACTGCTCTTGAATCACCCACATTGGCTACATATATCGTATCTCCAATAACAAGAACAGATATTGCCGTCGTACCACTCATGGAATCATCAATTTTACTACTATGTAACTCGGAGTTTGTCCTTAAAAATGCAGAATTATAAGCTTGAACAGGGTCATTCAACAATGTGGGGTCATTAGCTAATATCTCAATTAACCTATCCTTGACGAAATTTGAACATTCAGCACCATATATACCATGCCCATCAAATACACCAAAAAAATGGATATTTGGGTTACCTTGGATTTGAGTTTTAATGCAGTAACTGTCTTGGTTTTCCTTATCTGGCGAGTCTGGATAGTAACCTCGTTGAGTCAGAACAGAGTACTGTAACGTCAGGTTATGTGAAGGAATAGGAATAGCCTCCAGCGATCTTTGAGTGAGAATGTGTTTACTAGCGATATGACCTGCTTCAGGATGGTCCCTTGAATCGCCATCCGATGATGACGGGTAGCGGCTGCAACACTTGCCATGAACACAACCCATGTTTCTGATAGGCAATCAAAGCCTAAAAAGAGAAATTTTCAAAGTGCAGGCTCGGTGTTTGCAAAATGTCCCAAATGAGACGGAAAACAATCTAGGTCTAAAAAAGGCAGAAATGAAGTTATTGATGGAAGTAGCCGAATGCGCATCTTTCGATTTCGAAAAAGAAGCTTCTAAAAGAATGTGGAGAATTCATATCAGAAGAGAAGAAGGGAACCAAAATAAAGAAGCAAAATGGACAAACAAACCCTAAAAGCAAAATGACCCAAAACTCAGTTTTTAAAGAGCAAATTTGCTTCTCAAATGACGATCCACATCTGAGTTTCACCCAAGAAAACTTTTTCCAAAACGATGATTCAAGATTAGAATAATTAGAATAACCTGTACAGAAGAAACGAATATTTGCTTTAGAAAGGTTTTTCTTTTCGAAAGAAGAAAAGGACGCTAGAAAGAAGCAAAAGGTAGAAACATTTTAGTAATAGTCCCCGATACACGGCGGGGGATCTTTTCTCACGAGTTCTCCAGAGAAAAAGAAATGTAGCTATTTTGGGGTACCAGATGAGGGCTCAAGAAGAAGAAAGAACCAAGCAAGTACCAACGTTAAAAATTCAAGAAAATGAAAACCTCAAGAAAGTAAAGCAAGAGGACAATGAGGGGTTTTGATGATGACGCAAATGGAGAGGTTTCTTTCAACAGAAAGAGAAAGAGAGAGATTCGATGTGCGCATGGGTGGATTTTGTTTGCACAGAGACAAAGAACCCGCCTTCCAAGAAAACAACACAACACAGAGAGCCAACAATAGTAATATTTTTTGTTGTGTATCATCATCCTATTTCATATTTTCGTTTATCAAGATTCACACATATTATTCATTAATCTATCAAAGATTTCATGTCTGAGACAGTAGTGAATTAAAAAATCTTTTCTATTCTTGATTTCTTTTTTTTTTTTTTTTTTTTTTTTTTGTTTGGCACAGAGACAAAGAACCCGCCTTCCAAGAAAAACAACACAACACAGAGAGCCAACAAATAGTAAATATTTTTGTTGTGTAATCAATCATCCTATTTCATATTTTCGTTTTATAGAATTCAACACATATTATTCATTAATCTATCAAAGATTTTTTCATGTCTGAGAAGTAAGTGAAATTAAAAAATCTTTTCTAATTCTTGATTTCTTTTTTTTTTTTTTTTTTTTTGAAATATTCTTGTGTTTTTAATTTTTTTTTTTTTTTTTTTTTTTTTTGAATATTCTTGTGTTTTTATTATTTTTAGATGATTGAATATTCTAGTTTGTTCTTGCATTTAATAATTGAGCTAAAAAAAATTACTTATTATTAAAATATTGCTCTTTAATTTAATTTAATGTTTATTTCCATTACTAATTGTTGCAATAATATCCAAATATTTATTGAGTATAAATTTGGAAAATGCTTTTGTCTCCATAATTTATATTAATTCAACTTTTAACCTTTTAAAGAAAATATTTAATTTTTTTATTTAATGCAACATTACCTTACTTTATTTATCTTGGAATATATAGATTTTTAATCTAGTTAGAGGATAAAACTTATGTAAATCAAGTTTATAAATATATTTATGAATCAAATCAATTACAATTAAGATTTTTTTAAAAATTATTTTCATTTTTTATTTTTTTTTAATGAATAATCAGAAATACTTTCATATTAAAAAATATATTTATATATTTTCCATTTGCTTAACGTTATACTAACAGGTCAAAGTTGGAGAAGACAAGAATTAACATAAGCTAAATGAATTGCATTTCATATAAAAAAAACAATTATGCAAAAGAACAATATAGCTTATATCAATTGTCTTTTCTTTGTTTATTTTGACTGAATTATTGAACGCATTTAATGGATTTTTCTCACTTTGTAATTATACACTTTAATTATTCTAAGATAATCCACTTAATTTATGATTTAACAATTATGGTCAACATTCCATTTTTAACCAAAAAAATAAAACAATTATGGTCAAAAACTTAAGTTTTATTATTATATATTTTTAATTATTCACAAGAACGGTAACCCGTTCTAAAGTTTTCTTTAAACGAACACGCATTCCAATTATGATTGGATTAATTGGAAATTTTCACACAAAACACAAAACAAGATGCAACCCTAAGTGTCTTGGAGGTCATCATGTAAGGAATTAGGTTAGGATTGTAGGGTTGGATCTTTCAACTTGTCCCCTCATTTGATTTGGAAGTGTGAATAGAGCTTGAGAGTATAAAGATAGATAGAGAGATCAGAGAGACTTGGTGAGGGAAGCAAAAGTGTTTATGTAAGTGTTTGAAAAGCATAGTTCCAAAAGTACTTTGCAAACAAAGGGTTTGGATTGGGCAACAAAAATTCTAGATGATGAGGGGACCAAAAGTGTCTGCCATACTCTCCATATGATACTCATTTGGACATTCTCACTTTTTTTTTTTTTTTTTTTTTTTAAGGACCCAAAGTGTCTGCCATACTCTCCATAATGGATACTCATTTGAATTCTCACTTTTTTTTTTTTTATCTTTTCACTTTCTTCTCTCTATAAATCTTATTCTCTAACGTAATAATTTAGATAATATGTCTTTCTTTATCACCTAAACTATGTATCATTTCAAATTATTAATAATCTAACTTAATTTATTATTATTATTGTTTTTCCATCATCTCCCTTTTTTTTTTTTTTTATCTTTTTCACTTTCTTTTCTCTATAATCTTATGTCTCTACCTAATAATTTTATAATAATGTCTTTCTTTATCACCTAAACTATGTATCATTTCAAATTATTACATAATCTACTTATTATTATTATTATTGTTTTACCATCATTCATACTCTGATTGCAAGGGAGATAATGGTTTTTCCTTCCCTTGAAAAGTAATAGAAAAGAAAGGTTCTCCCTTTGTTGTTCAGAGGAAATGTTGAGGCTGATGAATGTGAGTTTTAATATGTCCAACCCAACAAGGGCCCAATGGAAGCCCAAAACTGTAAGCCCAAATCTTGTTGTTAGCAAATAAAGAAGGGAGCCCAATAAATAAAATATTCAATTCTAGATGTATAATCATTTTTACAGCATACTTAGATTAGATATTAATAAAATTAACCAATAACATTTAGTGAATTTGAAATTATTTTGTGATGTAATTAAAAAAGGTTATAAGTTCCAACACCAATTGAAGTTTTATTATATATTTTAATAAACGATGTGTCTTATTTCTGTTTTTACACGTGAAATCAATTGAAACTTCATAATGATTTTTTTTTTTTTTTATTCTTTAATTTAAGGTAATTTTCCACTTCTTCAAAAGCAAGATTACCCTTTATTTAAAAAAAGCAGAGGAAATCATAACCACACAAATTAGTTATTATTTATTTAATATATATTGCTAGTGAAATCTCATCAATTCCCACTTACATTTTGCAAACCAACTTTCACCAACCAAGTCCAATAAATTCTTATCTTATACATTAAATCTTTACTAGTATTGGTATATATAAGTTAAACACCTGTGACTCCAATAATCATCTTTTGCCTAAGTTCCATTATTGTATGTAAAAGAAGATCAATGTTCAACTTTACTTTGTAAGTCTGTTCCTAACTTTAAAAACATTGAACTTAGTCTTATTTTTATCGGATCATCATTTCAATGTTATATATTTATATTAAAAAATTATTGGTCGGATGCAATTACATGATTATCTTGTTTAATAGTTATTGTAATGAAATTCTACGTTGTAGTTTTTCTATCTAGTCAGGTTAGGTTTATAAATTTTATCAGTAATATAGTAATTTTTATTTAATAATTTGATTTTACTTTTACTTTATTGTTACCATATAACAATTTTAATATTTGGGTATGAAGAATTAGACTCTTATTTCCTTATTGTTCGGCTCTGCCATGGCCAGAAATGGAAGCCTGAAGAACCAGAAGCCCAGTAGGTCTTCCAACTTAGAAGCTTAAATCAAAACGACAAGACCGCATTGCTTACTCAGTGACCAGCTGCAAGTAAAACGGTAAGCAAAAGCAGACAGACATTCAAAGTAGTTAAATCGTCATAAATTCATAATTTCACCATTAACAAAATAATTAAAGTCTGGGCCTTCCAGGTAAATCTTATGGGCTGAAGGCTAAAATAAGAAGACCCACACAAGACACATTTATGATAAGATCAAGGCCCAAATCAAAATTCATGAACTTAAAAGCTTTTAAAGTTATATACGGATCGAAAGATTAATTAATAATTTAACTCGATAACGGTTGTCTGAAATGGTTTGAGCATGTAATGTTAATTGATTGGATTTCAATTAGAGTTGGAATTTAAGATTTTTTGACTCAAATTCAATTGAATTAAAATTTTTGGTTGCAATGGCAGTGGGATTTCATTTAACTTCAGGTGCAACATATGATATTATGTTAATAAAATTTAAAAAAAAAAAAAAGGAAAGAAAAGAAAAGAAAATGATGAGGTGGCAGAAATCCACACTTTGAAGCAAATGATTCTTGGACAAGTGAGATGGATAACGCATGACACCTCTTTAAGTCAAAATTATGGTCACGTGTAGATTCTGTATTGTGTTACAATGCGACAAAGAGCTGTTAGATTGTATCATATTTATGGTGACTTCCACGCCAGATGCATAATCATCGTAGCCATCCCACAAATATTTATATTTTCATAAATAAAAAAAAAACCCCAACAAAATCCCATGCAAAACCCCAAAAAAAAACCCCGACCTCCTTGTAAATTCTTGCCAACTTGGTTTCATTTGCTGAAATTCGCACATTAAACCCCTTCAAAGTCTATTAATTTGAGATATTTCGCCCAACCACCCTTTATATGTAAAAAAAAAAAAAAATGTAAAATTAGAGAATTGTATATAATCGATGAAAATATTTTAGGATAAATAGAAAAAGAGTATATTTAAATATAATAAACAATAGTGTGGATGAATAATAATAATCTAAAAACATATATAAGAGACAGAGAGGGAGGGTAGAGAAAAGAAAATCAAAGGAAAAACAATAAAAAGAGAAAGAAAGTTCATATAAACCTGAAAAACAAAGAGCACTTTGGAACCCCACTACTACACAACCTCAAAAATCTTAGGCGTGACTAGCCTAAGTGGGGTGCATTATCATGATACATCATCTCATCAAATTCTCTTTTTCATGCTTCCACATCCTCCTCCTCCTCCTCCTCCTCTCATCTCTAATAAAATCCTCCCCCACTTTTTATCTTTCTACACAAGTCAACTTCTCATTTATCACCTTCTTAACCAATCACATCTCTCTTAAAACGTAATCAACTTCTCCCTCACCCGCCCTAAAAATTTTTCTACTCAACCCTAAACCCTAACTCACTCTCTCTCTCTCTCTCTCTCTCTCTCTCTCTCAGTGTATCTACCGACTTCTTCTTCACCATTTTTTCCGATTCTTTACTTCCTGCGAACTGTGAACGTTTGAAACACCACGCTTCCGCTCGCCGGGAACTCATCCATGGCGCAACTCCGGCATTTCATTCCCATTGGCTCGAGCGCATGTGCAACACGTGTCCACACTTCATGGCTTGTGCATGTAGTCGACACTGACATAGTTGCCGGCCGGAAAACCTGCACAACTTTCTTTAGAACCCCAGCCACGTCATCATTATCGTCGAAAATGGAGCCCACACACTCGAAGCTTGCGTAGCTGTAACCATCTTCTGGAGTCACATGGATAGTAGAGTAACGTTCATTATCAATCCCGTTCATGGAGTATCCACAAGGGTCAAATGCAAAATCACAAATAATAGCTCCTGGATTGATATCACCTATGCCGGTAAGTTTGGTCATCTCTTTTCCGGCTATATCACCGTTCTTGCCATCACCAGGAGGTTGAAAGAATTTACGAGCCAAAACACGGTCAAGCTCGGTCATGCAAACCTCAATAGTATAAACGTCGTCGTTTTGGGAAATTAGGTGAGTTGGGTCACTAGCAGTAAAAACATGCCAAGAATGAGAAGTGATTTTAGAAGGCATAACAGAAGCTTTTCTATAACAAAGATTGGAAGGGAGATTCTCTTCGAGATAAATGACTTCTTCCTTGAAGCTAGTGTGAGGGAGAGGCTGTGACTTGGGAAAGATAAAGCTACCTCGGGTGTACCTACAGGAGCACAAAGAAAGGCCAAGATTGCAAGCATAGAGAATTAATGGACGGATGGATTTGAGAAGCTGAGTGGTCCCACATGTCTTGATGATAATCTTGGTGGGGTATACAAAGAGGCTTGATTCTGATAACACGTAGGCATCAAAATACTGGTTCCCCACAGCTGATACTACAGTGCATTGCACAGCATTTAAAACTTTAACTATTGACTCAAAATCAAGAAGCCTAAGACCCATATTATCCATCATTACCGGATCATCACCAAAGAAATGAAGCTCCAAACGCTTCTCAAACCCTTCAAATCCAGACACAGCCATTGAAGTAGAACTTAGTACTAGCAACAAGTATCTGCAAGAAAATTATATTAATAAAAAAGACTTAAATAAACTCAAGAAAAGAGGATACAAATGGAGATATGTATTATGCTCTGGGGTGGGAATTTAAGAGAGAACTACAGGTGAGAGAGAGAAGAGGGATCTGTATGGTATTTATAGGTGGGTGGAGAAAGGAGAGATATAGAGAGAGAAAGAGAAGAGTTAGGGAGAGAGACGGGGCATGCGGGTGAGGCAACCAAGAATCATGATTGCAGGCATAATGAAGTGAATAAGATGATGATATGGTTTCAAGAAAATAAAGAAATTTTTATTTTTTTGGTAAAAATCTTTTTCTTCAGACAAGAACAGGGAACGGATTTTATGTCCACGCGCATGCATTTTCCTTTCTTTCTTTTTTTCTCTTATTGTTATGTCAAAAATTTCCCAGTCAGTTTCCAGCCACTACAACCTATATATTCATTCTTCCATGGAATACTACAAAAAAATACCAACAAAGCAGCCCATCTCACAATCACACAGTATCAGGGCATTATATTCTTACAATTTCAGACCAAAAAAAAAAAAAAAAAAGGAAAGATTGTGTAAGTAGCAGAACTAGTGACCCAAGATGAAGAAGAGAGAAAGAGGGATCTTGAATGGTTTTTTTTATACGCGCTGGGACTTGGAGCGAAGGAGAGATATTATACGAGAGAGAAAGAGAAGAGTAATAGGGCGGGAGCTATGATGACGGGCAGTGCCAAGGGTGAGAGGGCAACCAAAAATACTGACATTGCAGGAGGCTTAATAAGAATGTGAATAAGATGAATGAATGTCGTCAATGTAAAATAAAGAAAATTTTTTATTTTTTTCGGTAAAAACCTATCTTTTGTGCTCAGACAATAAGAAACAGAGGGAACGGAATTTTATGTCACGGCGCATGCCAATTTTCCTTTCTTTCTTTTTATCTTCTATTGTTAAATGCCTCAAAAATTTTCTTCCCCGGTCCCAAGTCAGGTGTCCAGCGTCACATACAACCTATAAGTTCAATTCTTCCATGGGAATACTACAAAAAAAAATACCCAACAAGAAGCAGCCACTATCGCTATACAAACATACACACTCGGAGACACAGTAATCAAGGAAGCATTAATATCTTACAAATTCCGAAAAGGTCAGAACCAAAAAAAAAGAAAAAATAAAAAATATCTACTATAAATTAATTAAATTAAATTAAGTAATAAAGTCCTTAATTAGTTCTGGTAAAATGCTTATTAAGTTATGTGGTTATTTGGGGCAATTAAAAAAAAAAAAAAAAAATACTACTATAAATTAATAATAAATTATAATAAATCCTTAATTAGTTGGTAAATTAATTATGTTATTGCATTAAGAATGATAATAAAGATTTTATTTGTCGTGTACAATTCTTCTAATCAGTTCACTTTCATGATACATTTCTACAGAGAGGGACCAAATGATTGAAATCTTTGTGTTCATCTTTTTCTTGTTTCCAAAAAAGAAAAATATGGTAATTAGAGAATAGAGATTAGACATTAGTTAAAGAAAATTAAGGATGATTAAAAACACTTTGAACAAATAGGGATTAAACAGAAAATTGAAATGGGGCCAGTCAAAATTCAACATTCACAATTACAAATAACTGTGGTTAACTCATTTCCATTTGACACTTTTTTTTGGAACACAAACATAATCATAGACTAGATCAACTATATGTTTTTTTATTTGCATGACAACAATTATTAACATTGCAACCCAAAAGAAAAAATAAAGTAAGTAACCTAATTGAGATCTTAATTTTCCGTTTATAGGCTATCTCAAGTAGCTACAGGAAGAAAACCAAAACAGAGAGAACAGACACAAAACAGAGCATAATTAGTAAACACAAGGAGAAACTCCAATTGCTTAAAGAAAAGTTATATATATTAATGTCTATTGGATAATAAAAAGGTGAAAACTATTGCACGTAGCTTAGCTATAGCATGATATGAAAATTGAAAACTACTCTGTTTGCAGAGACCACCTTGTCGTTTTCAAAGAAGGCAATGTTTTAATTAACAAAAGGCTAGACGTGCCCAAAAATCATCAATATATTACGGTAAAAACAATAATTATGCACAACACAAACAATACAAGTTTACAACCTCTTTTTTTTTTTTTTTTTTTAAAAAAAAAAAAAAAAGAAAGATCAGCCGGTCAGGGATAATAAGTGAGAATAAATCCTTTTTTTTTTTTTTTTTTTTAAAAAAAAAAGAATCAGGCGTGGCAGATAGATAATGAGAATATCCTTGAATTAGGGAAAGTCCCGTACGTGAAATGGAAAGCACTGACTCACATCATGTTTATTCTCCATGCAAATATTTCATATAAGGGAGTCATTACTATTATTTCTAATTAATACTTGTAGATTTGTTCTAAAAGAAAATGTTTTTACCAGTAATTAATAATAATCTCTCTTAGAAGTTCAAATTGAAAAGTCACCACTGTCAAAGCTTTTCAGTTTGAAAAGGTTACACCATGCATAATCATCATTTAGATATCAAGATTTTTTGTTTCTCGACAACTCTTCCTCTTATTAATATAAATTTAGAGTAAAGTTAAGTAATTTGATTTTGGTTTTAAAATAGAAATAATGAAAACAAGAATTAGTGGAATTATATTGGAGTAATTAATTAGTGGTTGGTAGGGCTATGTAGATTACGTAATTGACTTGTTCTACTTTACAAGTCATGGAGAAACAAAATTTTAACCCTTCTTGGCTTATAATTTAAGAATTTGTTTGTTGCATAAAAGATTAATAATACTGTGAAACGTAGAGGATAGATAAGCAGAATAAAAAATAAGTTGGTGTATAAAAATGGAAATACAAAAGAAAAGGGGAGTGAGAGTATATGAGCAGAATTAGAAGATAGAGAGGAAAGGAGTGGGGAAAAGCAATGATGGAAAATGGTGAGTTTAGAATCAGAGTTTTGCAGTTTAAAGGGCAGGAAATGATTCAGAATGTAAAGCGTCATGAATAATCTTATGGAGGGTGTAGGTGTGGGTGTGGCTGGCAGCCTCCATTATGACCACAATTCCCACATCTTGAGCTGCACGCGCACCCACCAAACTCAAAACACTATCCATCACTCTCTCTACACAACAAAACAAAACCCATGAGCTCTCTACCCTCTAGCTTAGCTTGTTTCAATACTAAATTGGTCAACCACTTCCAAATGTTGAATCAAATCTTACTTAAAAAGTCTCAACCCGACTTGATTTTCTTCTTCAACAAAATCCCACCTTTTACATCAAAAGATGTAACCCAAATCTTCTTTCTTTCTTTATTAATGCCTTTTAGACGATTTTTGCATGCTTTTCTTGCTATATAAAATTGGTATATGATTTTTTTATTGGTTTGAAGTAAGAAAATAGAGAAAAACTTATTTAGACCGAATTCATTATAATAGGATCGTAGATCCAGTGTGGATAAATAATTTCTAAGAAAATATCGCATATATTAACTTTTTTTAAAAATTTATAAATATGGGATGTTTTCGTGTACCGCCTCATCTTTATTTTATGCATACTATTATTAGGAAATTAAGGAATTCTTATATTTGTAATTTAATTTTAAAAATTAACGTTTAATTGATAAAATTAAGATTTAGTGAATGGATTGAAACAGTTTTTGAGAAGAAATTAGAGAGTATAATAATCGAGAGAAATGGACCCACGAGTCACCTTTTGATTTGAATCCTAACACCCTTCCACCCAAATCATGCAATAGCCTAAAACCCCATAATTGGTCCCACCATCAGTTTAAATGTGCCCCCGACAACCACCGTGGCTGGTCCCACACAACTACACATCATCTATTGTGTGCCCTAACTTCTTGGCACATAAGAGGGGTCCATAGGGCTAATTTTTAATTTTGGGACATGGAGTCCCCACCAGAGGGGTCCTAGGTTGGGCAGACATTTCAATCTTGTTGGGCATGGAATTACGACTTGCCTTTAGCCGCCATACATTGCCCTTGCATGCGCACATTTTTCACACGTGTCAGATTTTTGGTGCAGAGCATTTGGTTTTATTTTATTTTATGTTTTTGGTTAGAGACTATAGAGCAGAAGAGCAGAGCAGCACTAAGTAATGAAAGCAGCATCCTGCGCTGTGAGTGCTACTGTACCATGCGTACAAATTTAAATAAAAAGGCTCCACCATTACCAACCATTTGTTCTGTGGACACTTGGCCACTAAAAGTCATATATGTCAAGATTTTGTTTAGCTACTAAAAGTCTCAATTCATTCCTCAAAGCTTTTTTGGTTCTTTTGGTGTGTTTTAATTGGAGCTACTCTATTGAAATGTCATGCCAAGATCAAGCTTTGGTGTCCTATGATAAGTCTTTTTCTTAACCCCTTTTCACTCTTTTGATCATTTTACGTTTCTGATTCGTATAGCGGAAGATCTTGAATTTAAGATTTTTAATTAAATTTTTACGATTGATATTTCGACTATATTTGACGAGCTATAATGAAACATAATATAAGGAAACACTCTCAATTAATTCATAAGCCATTAGTAACATGAATGCATTATAAAGTGAATTTTACTTGTAAAATCAGAAATTTAATTCGATTCAATGATGAGCTACGCGTATGGTGGCAAGAATACTAAAGTGTTAGCGGTAAAATAAAAAAAGTGAGGATAATTCAGAAAAGGGTGAGAAGAACAATATCCCGAAAGGGAGCAAATAATTTAGTGCCTCGAGCCCAGGCACAGGCAGAGGTACAAAATCTATCTGAATTTTTGTAAAATCTAAAACCAACAAGACACATCATTCCTCGTGCTTTGGCTATGAAATTAAAAAACAGCCATAGGTAGAAGCAAAGCAAGCATGATTCAACTGTGTGACCTGTGACACTTGTTTCTGACTCACTTGCTGTCTTATTTGCTTCCTTTCCCGTACGGTTTAAGTCTGCTGTGTTAAAGTCACCCATCCAATCATCTCCTATTACGACTCACTCACTCACTCCCTCCCTCCCACCCACCGAGTTCATATTTTTATTTTTTATAAAACACATGAGGTGAGTTAGAGTGAGTTAGGGGCAAGCGAGTTGAGTAATGTGGTGCTGCTGACATAAATAATTTCGTCACTCCTGGCGTTCGGGTGCAAAAGATGAGTGTAAAAAAATTGGAAAGCGGGGTCCATGAAAGAGAGAAAAGTCCAAGCATTGGAAGAGAGAGTTTCAACTTTCAAGAGATATCATAAAATTGAGAGAGACTCAAACCCAATACAATACATACATATATATATAATTAATGTGAGGCATGGATATGTAAACATGGAGGCCATTATGTTCCCTCTGCTCCAAACTCTCTGTCCTCTTCAAAAGTTTCCATTAACTTATTACTCAGCCTTTTACATTCCTGACTCTAAACCCACCACCACCACCACCATTCGTTTTCTTCTTCTACTTCTTTTTCTTTCGAAACAAAAAAAAAAAAATCAATTTTAATATTAAGCGTCTCAACGGTGAAAAGAATAAAATTACAAACTTTTAAATATGAAAACATGCTAGCGATTGAATCTCAATTTAGTTTAATACATCGATTAAACTTTTACCTTCAATTTTTTTACCCTAAGATCTTAACTTAAGCTAATAAATTAAAACCACATTGGGTAATTATAAGTGGGATACATTTTCATTTAAGTTTAGACCAACACATAAGTTGGAGAAAGTGGTTGAAAAGCACTTTCTTGCAACATATATTTGGAGTTGCTCCAATAAGAAAACTAAGAAAGTGTGTGATTAGGCAGCATTACCGACATCTTGGAACACTTAATTACTTGCTTTAATCACTGCTTTTGTGACATTTAAATAAGATTCTTTGCTTACTATATATGATTACCTTTGTATTTCTATAAAGTTACCATCGACATGGACTTATCAACTCAAGTAAAGTTTACTTGTATGTTCATATTGGTAGTTGATTAGCAATGTTACTCCTGAAAGTGATTAACATTAAGAAAATTTTACCTGAATGTTATCTATGAATGTTATCTATAAATAGAGCGTGTAAACGATGTGCGCTAATTAAATAAATAAATAACGGTGTTACTATCTTATTAATTATATATATGCTCTGGAATGTTCGATTTTTGTAGTGTTTCCAAACAAAGCCTTAAAGAAAGGCATATGGTGTATTAATGAGGCAGACAAGAATCTATTGGGAGCAATGAGAAGAGGAAAAGAAGCTGAAAATGTAACATAATGATTATAATGTTGATACGTTATGAGTAGATTGTATGCTTAACATGACATTAATAATACTTGTATATATTTACTAATTAATCAATTTACTAATTAATCAATTAGCTTCTGTCAGTGTAAAGAATAATGGCTTTTTCATTATACATATATAAAATGTAGTTAAGAGTTATACGACTTGAGATTATGAACCAAAAACCGAAAAAGAGTTTAAAAAAAAAAAGCCCAGAAAAATTGTTGGGTCCATAGAAGAACTGTTATTGGATTGGGCTTCACGGAGAATTGACCCAAAACTTTTTTACAAGTCAGGCCCGTAGAAAGTTTGCATACCCAATTCACCATCTAATTTATACATGACACAATGCGATGGAAAAACGATAATATTTGAATTAAAAATAAAAAATATTTTTACTCTTCTCAAAAAAAAAAAAAATCTAGTAGTCCAATTAACCTTAACCTCAAACTCGAGATCGCTCATTTTTATACAAGTTAGAAAACCAATTAGATCGCGATTGGCGTCTAATGATTTAATTTAAACATAAATAGGTTTCTCGTTTTAATGAGCTTTTTTCATAAATTAAGATGGTGATGGTTAAGATAAACGAAAAAAATTATAATTTATTTTGGTGGTGAAATGTAAAAAAATCTAAAATTTTCTTAAAGATAAATTGACATTTAAGAAGACATATTTACACTAAAACGAGTTGAAATGGAAATCTAATAAAAATATAATCTTACGCTTCACTTCGCATTTATGTAATTATTATAATTGTTATTCGAAGAGGGTACAATGAGGGAGAGGGAGAGTAATTACGCTTATATCTTTAGTTTGTTTCTTATTATAGTGAATTAGGTAATAAATTTCATTGCCATTTTTGATTTTGTGATCTTTCATTTTAATTATTAAAATAGTCATTTTAGAGTTTAAAGATAATCCGACCTTCTTTCACTTCCTTAGGTTTATGTGAAACTTAGACCATTAAAATATTTTTCTCTTTTCCACTTTCAACCCTTTATCTTATTTTACTTTCTTTTTTTTTGATTTATTTTTGTGTAGCTCTCTCAATTCTCATGATTTAACATTTCCAAACTCTCAAAACCCCTAATTAGACAGGATGGCCTTCGTTTGGAGCTATCTTCTCTTCATAGGCCTCCTGTCCCTCCTCCAACTTCTCCACCCTTTCGCCACCACCGTTGAAAGCATCCGGGTTGGCATGGTTATCCGGAAACCCTCACCGGAACTTCCAACTTTCCGGGAAGCTCCATCTTTTTTCAATGGCAATGCATGTGGCTCCAAAGAAAGTGATGTTATTCATGTTGCTATGACCCTGGACGTTAATTATCTTAGAGGGACAATGGCTGCTGTGCTCTCGATGCTACAACACTCGACATGCCCAGAAAACCTATCGTTCCATTTTCTTTCTGTACATCATGAACCTGAACTCTACTCTACCATTAATTCAACCTTCCCTTTCTTGAACTTCAAGATTTACCAGTACGACTCAGGCCGGGTTCAAGGCAAGATCTCCAAGTCTATTCGTAAAGCTTTAGATCAACCGCTAAATTATGCAAGAATCCATTTAGCTGATATAATACCAATGGAAGTAAAACGAGTTATTTACGTGGATTCAGATATTGTCGTGGTGGATGATATTGCAAAACTATGGGGTGTGGATATGGAAGATAAGGTGGTGGCTGCACCGGAATATTGCCATGCAAATTTTACTCAATATTTTACAGAAGCATTCTGGTCAGACCCGGAATTGGCAAGAACATTTGAAGGGAGAATCCCTTGTTATTTTAACACAGGAGTGATGGTGGTTGATGTAGATAAATGGAGAAAGGGAAAGTATACGCAAAGAGTTGAGGAGTGGATGATTGTGCAGAAACAGAAAAGGATATATCAGTTGGGTTCATTGCCGCCATTTTTGCTTGTTTTGGCAGGAAATATTAAGGCAGTAGATCATAGGTGGAATCAACATGGTTTAGGTGGTGATAATTTTGAAGGGAAATGTAGAAGTTTACATCCTGGTCCAATTAGCCTTCTCCATTGGAGTGGCAAAGGTAAACCATGGTTAAGATTAGATTCAAGAAAACCATGCATCGTTGATCATTTATGGGCTCCATATGATCTCTACCGTTCATCAGCAGAGTCATTAGAAGAATAATTAAGCAAAGAAGGAAAGTTGATGAAGAGATAGAAATGTTTTGAGAGAGAGAAGATAAAAGAATTGTTTTTTATCTAATTGAGGGAATCGAGTTTGAATTAAATTAAATATTTTGGTTACAATTACAAAGGCAAGAAAAGTAAAGCCTGCATGTGGGATTCTTCTTCCCCTCCATGGCTTTCATGCAAATTGATGAGGTTTAAGATTAGCATGAAGGCAACACCAAGTTGTCGATTACTTTCTAATTCTTTAAGTTTTGCTTATAATTGTTATTTTAAATGTATGAAGGGCTAATCGAGCAAATACGACATGACTGACTTGTAGCTTCGTATTTTTTCAGTTTCGATACATTCTTTTCATGTTAAATTTATCACATCAGATTGATACTTCGGGATATATAATATAATATAAAACAAAAACTCTTGCCAAATAAAAAAAATTGAAACTGCCAAACACCGACCAAATCCATTACATAAGGAGAATCAAGGCACCTCGTAAATCCACTTTGTCAGTAGAATTGTAGAAAGACATTTCTGCTGCATTCCAACATTAATTTGTAGCATTTTGGAAATTTACAACATCACAAGCCACCCTTTATAGAACCGCTCCGTCGAAATTTCACTCTCCACTCAATTCTCCTTCCTATTACAGATAAAATACAGTACACAAACTGAATGGCAAGGCCCATCGAAGTATGTCATTTGTCATGTCAAAAGCCAGTCGGTCTACGGCAAAGTAATTACCATCCAGCATGTATAGAAATGAGAGAGCATGTGTGCGATACGCTTGATGAGCCAATAGCCAGCATCCCATTTTTTCTTTTTCTTCTTCTTCTTCTTTTCTTTTGAATATCACATAATTCTTGCATTAACCTCTTTGAAGATCCCTAAAGTTTAAGCTGTTGCTGCAGATGGGCACTTCCCCAATGTATTCCACAATATATAGTCCCCAGAAATAACCTTTTGCAATCAAATAGAGTGAATAAAATAATCGTTTGGCAAAAAAAGAAAGACAATGAATATCTATTCTGGAGAGGCATCGTTTATTTATTAAAGATACAGAACTTGTGCCTCACATTGGAAATGACGCTGATCAATAGCCAAAAAACAAATAATATACATCCAAAGGAATCACCATTCAGGGGAATCTAAATAAATCACCTCAAAAATAACAAGCATAATTTAACTTCAATCCAGGTTTAAGGATCAGAGTTCTGATGATATAAATGTAAAGAGGTAAGGATGTCAAGACTAAATATCCAGCAGGAAGGAAGCCCATGAAGACACAAGCAGGGGTATCAAGAAAAAAAATACTAAAGATGCAATTGAAACTAAGAAAGAAATTCCACAAATGTTCACACCTTACATATCTACATTGACATCAGATGATAATAAACCAGTTTCAGAAGTTAATTATCAGTTGCTTATAATTTATCTGCACAACAGAAGGTTTCAAATGAAAGATAGCACTTTGAAGACACACTCACCTGAGTTGACAACTCCACAGGTGCTTTAACAGCTGGATAGATGCTCACCTATATTCAGAACGATATGTGAGAAAGCTAATAAATAAAAAAAAGGTACAATATTGCACAAAATAAGGCTACTCCTTTTACTCGGGGCAAAATGCATCCTAAAATTTTGTTTTGAGACAGACAAGATATTCTAGGTTTTAAAACACCTGTACAACTTGAAAATCTCCTACAATTTTGCATGAAAATCCAAATTCCAGTTTTAGCCTTCTAAACTGACAATGCAGCTTTTTCTTGGATGCATAATAAAATTAAATGAGATATCCAGTAACAGTACTGTTAATTCTTGCATTTCCAAAAGTCTTTGTTATAATATGCAAGACCAACTTCCCTTACATATTAGAAAAAGTAGAAGAATATGAAACTCACAGATTTAGGATCAACTGACATTCCAGATAATGAAGCCCCAGTAATCTTGAAAGACACCTGAGACAAGAATTGGAGATTCGTTAAAATATCCTGACATCAGACCGTTAGCACATTTCTCAAGTTCATTACTTTCACATTGTTCTGTAATCAGGACAGAGAGCAACAATACAAACTAAAATGGGTTACATGACAACTAAAAAGTTTTGAAGTATTTTGTTACACTCATACCAGAAGTGGTTGCTGTTGCTCTTGCATTTATTTCAGTCACCAAACTATGAATAATATTGAAAGTATCAAAAAAGGTAAAGAAATTGAGACAAAGCACATACTTTGGCATAATTATATGCCTGCCAGCAAAATGGTTCGTCTAGGTCAACCGCAGGAAGATTTTTGCTCATTTTCTCCATTAAGAATTCCTCTACATTCACCATATTGTTTGTGCTCTCGCCCTCACCATCACTATCTCCATCACTTGTGTTCCCATTGCCAAATTTAGAGGAAGGAAGTCTTTGAATTTGCCATTGAGCAAATCGAACTGTTCCAGGGAAAGTTGCTTCAATGCTTTTCCCAGTAAGGCTTCTACCACTTGGAATAATTTTCCATTCAACCGAATGCTCAGTGTTAGAAACTATACCAATGGAAGGGGTTCCATCAAAAGACAAAATTCTTCTCCTTGGAAAAGGCATAATCACATTGCAGAACTCCATTGTCAAAGGAGACTTATAGCCTTCCATTATCCGCAGCTTGAATAGAAACGCCCCTTCATCCTCAGAGACCATTGATAACTGGTAAAACCCTATTATAGGAGGACCTAAGGCACAACTTGCCTGATAACGCACCAAAACAAAATTACCTAATGGTGGTGAAAACAGCATAGCCTGCTTATCCACGCCATGCTCAGGAACTTGAACACAAGGATGGAAAGATAAAACCTCAACATGAGCCTTGTTCAACCCTGTCAAAGGGAGTGATACATCAGGCAATCCTTCCAATTCTGCTCGACAGTTTATTTGGCCTGAGATAGATATTGTATCTGAAATATCATCTCTGTCATACATTGCAGCATGCACAATCTCATGAAGTGTGAAGAGCATTCTCTGCTTTCCTTTGTAAAGATAGGGTTTCCATGATGGTTGTTTGAGGTCAGATGGGGGCAGATCAGATGCAGAAAAGCCATTAACCTTGATAGAAAAAATATTGGAGTAGTTGAGGTCCAGGGGAGTACCTGTAAAGGAGCAGATACATGTAAAAAACTAATAGCATAGACATGCACACTGGTTAAGAAATTAAGCAATTACGAAGATTCGAAACAAGATAAACAGTTATAAGATTTACAAACCAAAGGGCATTGCGCTGCTTATGAAATTTCGAAGTGCATCTTTATCTAAAGGCCTTGAACCTATTTTTGGAGCATCTGCTGTAACAGCTCCAATTGCAGCCGTACTGGATGGTGTTGCAGATGCAACAGGTGCAGCCACAGGTTTTGCCCTAGAGGAGATACCTGATATCCCTATGCTTCCAGTTAAGGAATCCAACAGGCCTCCTACAGATGGTGATGCACTGACAACAACCTCTGGATCCACCACATCACCGGTAATTATATCACCAATTGCAAGTGCTACCAAGAATGCTCTGTAATGCCAAATTTAATCAAATTAATTTCCCAGGTAAATTACATGATTATGAAATGACTGTTTTTCCTTCAAATCAACATAATTAAATTTATTTTACAAACTAAAAGAAACAAAGCTCATTTCAGCGAGAATTTTTCATGATCTAAACAATCAAGATAGATGGCTAATATGTAGGAAGTGGGGGTGCATCTACAAATTGAACCGAGGAGAAGGGGGAAAAATGAAACAATCACAGTTGATAAAATGTAAACCTAACCTTTACAGATTAAAAAAAATCATAGAACCAGTAAAAAAAAAAAATTGAAAAGAAGGTCTGGGCCAAAATAAAATAGAATCATCACGTTTAGGGTCATGGTACCCCAAAGATTTAAGATGTCAAACCAAAATTAGTATAAAGTAGAAGGCAGTGAAAAAATAAAAAAAATCAGTTTGAGATGGGAAAAAGGCAGAAGAAAATATTCAAGGGAAATTTGTATGATACCATAATCAAGACATTGTTATTTTATACAATTATCAAAATGATGTTATAAGTAACTTACCATACCCTGTGATGGATGGAAGATCAAGCAGGAGGGATGATATGCTTTCATCTGCTCCAACAGCATTTCCACAGTCAGACCTGCTGCACAATCTTGAATATGCCTTCAAATGCCTTGGCTCAACCAACGGCAGAGCAAGGATGGAATAAGGACCTCTAACATGCAAAATTAAAGGCCAAAGCAGATGACCCTCGGCTTCCTCCACAGTGGCTATACGAAGACTTATAACGTGACGTGTAATGGGGTCATCAATCCAGGAGTCCGACCCTTCAACTGACTGAGTCACCCGTATACCATACCCACGTGTTGAACCCTCCCTACAAAGACACAGATAGACCAGTAAATACAGCTGATTAAAGTAGTCTAAGAAAGATCTAATAGGCTAATAGCATCGCAAAAACACAAAAAGAATCAAGACAAAATCATTGAATTCATATCAATAGGTAAGTTAAAGGAAAAAAAAAAAAAAAAAAGCATCAATCCAGGCAGTCCGACCCTTCAAACTGAACTGAGTCAACCCGCTTTTACCATCCCCACGTGTTGAACCCTCCCTACAAAACAACAGGATTAGACCAGTTATAAATACAGCTGATTAAAGTATAGTCTAACGAAAGATGTCTAATTAGGCTAATAGCATTCGCAAAAAAAAACAACACATAAAGAATCAGACAAAAATCATTAATTCATATCAATAGGTTAAGTTAATAATAGGTAAAGAAAAAAAAAAAAAAAAAAAAAGCAGCATTTATTCAGCTGATAGAAAGATAGTCTGCATAATTGTGGTGTTCTAAATTTTGTGAATGCGCGTGTCAATTAACTATTTAATCCTTTTCAACAGATGTTGTAAGCTTAAAAATGATATACTGAAAGAAAATAAGCCTTAAAAAAGCGTGGAAAACCAAACCTTTTCTTTCGCTCTCCGCAAATTGCCGGGGAGCAGCATAGGCTCTGAGGTTCATTTGGAAGAGATGTAGGTAGCCGAACACCTCTGTACTTGGACAGGATCCTCATTTGACTGTCGGATTTTTCCCGCTCTTGGCAAAGTCAGCCCGCCACTGCCTTTCTACCACCGGAAACCTCCTAATATTGTGTAAAAACACCAAAAAAAAGTAAATGAAAATTATAAGAAATCTCGATCAATATTTATGCTTGCAGACATTTTAATAAACCAAGAAATACGAAATTCCCCAATATTATTAAACCGCTTTAATACTAATAGGACTTTCAGAATTCAATTCAAGTTGAATTCCAATTAATATTGAAATCCAACTCACCAGAATCAGTAACTAAAGGTAAGTTAAAGGAAAAAAAAAAAAAAAAAAGCAGCATTATCAGCTGAAAAGATTAGTCTGCAAATGTGGTGTTCTAAAATTGTGAATGGCGTGTCAATTAACTATTTAATCCTTTCAACAGAGTGTAAAGCTAAAATGTATACTGAAAGAAAATTAAGCTTAAAAAGGTGAAACCAACCTTTTCTTCCTCTCCGCAAATGCAGCAGCTAGCTCTGATTCATTTGGAAGAATAGGTAGCACACTGTACTTGACAGGATCCTCATTTGAGCTGTCGTTTTCGCTCTTGCAAGCAGCCCGCCACTGCCTTTCTACCACCGGAAACCTCCTAATATTGTGTAAAACACCAAAAAAATAAAATGAAATTATAAGAAATCGATCAGATTGTCAGACATAAAAACCAAGAAATACGAAATCCCCAAATTAAACCGCTTAATCTAATAGACTTTAGAATTCAATTCAGTTGAATTCATAAATTGAAATCCAACTCACAGATCAGTAACTAAAGGTAAGATATGTGAATGGCTTAAATTCCAAAAACAGATACTATGAGTAGATGCTTGTGGTTTTTCCGGTGATACCTGGAGAAAAGGACGGCGTCGAGATTGTTGAGGATCCATAGAGCTCTTATGCTGCAACCGCTATGCATGTGGTAGTTCCTCGTCACGGTCTGTGCTATTTTTGTTTGGAAAATTAATATGGAGAGCGAGGAATAGAAAGCGCCTCAAGCTCGCAGGGAAAGGAGATAAAAACGACAACCTTCGCTATATTGCAGAACGACGCTACGCATCGTTTTACACACGCTAATTTTGTTTCTTTCGCTTTGTCACGCTCTCTTGAACCCGGTTTTTTGTTTTTTTTTTTTTTGTTATTTTAACAAAATTACAGTTTCATTATTACTTGATTAAAAATTAAGGATAAGTGTCTGAATTATTTTTAAAAAGTGACATTCGTCTAATTATGCGCCAACGTGGACAGAATATATCATATCAGAAAATTATTTATAAAAACAAAAATTTATTTTTAATATTTATTTATAGAATAAAGTCAATTTGTTCATTTAAAATAATAAATTTGCAGATTTAATCAGTTATTTTTAAAGAGGGAAAAAAATTAACATAAATTAGTAGTTAATTTGATTGTTATTATTTTATTTTATTTTGAACTGTTAACAACAATTGAAATACTGATTGTTAAATGAGGTTGGAACTGGAAAAAGGGCATAATTGTAGAAATGCATTAAGTTAGAATAAAATTGCCTATTCATTTGAACATATGGAAATGATATAATTATATTCACAAAGTTTAAATAAACAGACAACAGAAAATCAAACAGAGTTACCTAGTGTGTATACAATACAACATAGGGACCAACAAAGGAGGAACTCATACATTATGAGGAAAAGAAAGGGCAAAGTTTTATATCACATCTGGAATCCAAGCACTTCACCCCAAATTTTGCAGCTTTGGTTCTGCAATTACTAGACAGGAACTTGAATGGATGTGGAATCTAAAGGTCGACGCATAGGTAGGAAATGACAGAGGCCGCTCTTCGTTTGGTCCTCTCACTAACCTTCCACTTCTCAACCAGGACCTTCTTTATGTTTGGACAACTTGACACCACAGTGGCTACTCCTGCTGCAGTTATTCCTGGGCAATATACCACATGACAGGACTCTAGCATTGTGCAATTTTTAACAAGATGAGATAGACCAACATCAGTTATTTCTCTGCAATGTGACAGCACAATCTCCTTCAGTAGTGGACAGCCTTCTCCTATTTCAGCCATTGCCATATCTCCCAAATGCTGTCCAGGATCAACCGTTTTAGTTTCAAGAAGAGAACGGAAATTAAAATAATTAAAGAAATATGCCAAGCTATTACATTGCTCAGGCTAACCAGTTCACTAATTAGAACATGATTTCATTGGCTAAAACATCATAGAGTGGAAACATAGTTTATTAATGTAAGTATCATAGTTTTTAAGTATATAAAAAGAAAAATGAAAAGAAACATAGAGGAGGGAATGTTGGCACACCTGAAGTACGCTTACATCTAGGTGAATGAGTTCGGGGCATCCTCTAGCAATAGCTGTTATTCCATCATCACCAATTAGGTGGCAGCCACTAACATTCAGTTGTTGCAAGGAGCAACCTTGACCAATGGCAATAAGTGCCTCATCTCCCACCCTAATAAATAAACTAAATAAGGGCGGATAAAACCGAATACATATCATCTACAGAGTTGGAGACATCATGAAGCAAATTAAGATGCAGGTTTCCATCACAAAATTTTCCAAATCAAACAGAGGAATAAAATTAAAAAGATCAAAAGAATCCAACTGAAAAGGCATTTCTAGTTTTGAAACGATAGAGAAATCATATATATATATATATTACCTATCACAAAACCGAAGGCTAAGATCTGTGAGAGATTTACAATTCTCACCAATGGCTATGATTCCCTTGTTACCAATCTATCAATGAAAAATCATGGGAAAAGAATTAAAAGATAAATGATGCAAAGTGTAATTGCAAAAGTGAAAATACATATTACTAGCAGAACACAAAGCTATACATCATATTGCTTAAATATGAAACTTAAAAACTAGTCCAACAATGTTAAAACATAAGTAGGCAAACAGTTAATAGTTTTCGCTAGAAGAAAAAGAACTTCAAATGAAAGATGTTAAGGAAACAGATATTAATAGAAGCTACAGTTGCTTGTGTGTGTGTTTGTGTGCAGGCATGTAGCAACACACATGCATGAGACACAGAATAGAGAGAAAGTGAGAAAGAGTACCTCATAACATCGGCGAATATGAAGTTTCTTCAAATTTCTACAGCCTTTAGCTATGCAGCAAATGGCATCATCACCAATACTAGAGCAGTCTACCAGATGAAGAGCCTGCAAGAACTTGCAGCCTTTTCCAATTTCAATAAGAGCATGATTACCAATCCGTTGACAGTATAACAAAGCCAATTCAGTGAGGCGTCTGCACAAGTTAAAACTTCAGTATGAAAAGTACGGCCTAAAGATGTTAAAATACAGATAAGATATGTTTTTGACTGCCAGCGACGGAAGAAACTGATTCACAGAAATGATGGAACAAATTTTAGACACAGAAGAATGTAAGCTATACAAGAATGATTCTTTAAACAAGCCAGTGATAAGGAATGAGAGGGGGGGAGAAAGAGAGCAGAAAAAAGAAAAGAATAAGGAATGACGAAGAAAGAAAAGAGAAAAAGAACCCACGGGCAAGATTTTCCAATGGCCTCCAGTCCAATCGTCCCAATATTGTGGCAGCCATTAACTTCAAGTTGTGTCAGTTCTCTACAACCAGTAGCAATTGCTTCTAAACCCTTGTCACTCAGGAAATAGCAATCACTTAAAGTAAGATTTTTCAACTTCTTACATCCACCCCCAATGGCACGCAAACCCCTGAAAAAATTATACTGCCTTAGACATCATGAATAATCACAGTTATCTAAAATGCTTACCACTACCTGAAGTTGCATATCAAATTCCCAAGGAAAAGCATTGGATAATAAGTATCCTTTGAATAAAGGAGAAAAGATGAACTAAAGGACCATAGTATAGTACTTGAACTGAATGTTAGCTTTCATGACAAGAAGGTTATTTATAAGGCAACAAAGTTGGGTCAAATAATATTTTGGTGGTTTAGTTCAAGTAAAGACATGTCATTTTAATTTCAAGGAGAGAGATGATCAACTGACTTGTCAGTGAATCGCTGGAAACTGTATAAAGCCAACACCTCCAGTGACAAACAATGGGTTCCCACGGCCATCAAAGCTTCATCTGTGACATTAATACATTGTAGCTTCAAAACTTTCAAAGAAGGGCATCCTTGGGCAACAGACAGTACACCTTCATTATGGATTGATTCTGAATCTAGTGATAGACTTTCAAGAGATTTGCAATAGGAGCTCACTGCTTCCAATGATATGTCTGTTATTTTTGCACAGGCTGCAACACTGACAGTCTTTAGCGATTTCCCACAGCCTTGGGCTAATTCAACCAAGCCTGTGTCAGTCAATCCTTCACAAAAACGTAAATTCAAATCTTCAAGCCGCTTACAACCCCTCCCAATAGCAGCCAGACCATTATCTCCAACATAGCAACCCTGTGGACAATGGGAATGGGAAAAGTAAAAGAATAAATAAATAAAACAAAAAGCAAGAGAGAAACTCAAGCTCAAGTAATGCTTACAATGTAGAAAAGTAAAATTAACTACCAATAGTTAATTTATGAATCTATTACTGCAGATATCTAAAAGCAAGAAGAAACATGATGCTGAGAGCAGTTCACTAGGCCAGTATATACTGCACTAACCATAACCTGACAAGTAAACTAGAGATTAGGTTACCAAACGCATCAGCTAAACTGTGGAGATGCTAATGTCTTTCTGATCCCAAAAGCTTTCTCTGAGAGAGAATTAAACAATTAAATACCAAGAAATGAGCTGACGTACTCCAATAAAATGATAATCTAAGACCAGCGGTTCTACATGCTCACTTAAGAGTACTAAAAGAAAATATTCTAAATATCCTCAATTGAAAGTAAAGTTAATCAACACATCTGCACAACAGAAATCCAAGAATTAATAAGTAAAACAGTTAAGAATTCATAAGTCTTACTTGTAAATCCAGAGATACCAAGAAACTGCATTTGTAAGCAAGAGACATTAAGCCTAAACTTGAAACAGTAGAGCACCAGATTAAACTCAACTTTTCAAGCCTTGGAAAGCCGTCACCAAGGGCACTCAAACCAGCATCAGACAAACAGTACGGTTCAAACTGGCCACCTTCGGATACACCTTTTTCAGAATGTAGCTTAAGAGGCGGTGTAGATTGGTCACTTCCCCTTTTTCTTCCCTATATAACAAACTACATTAATCAACATGCACAATACACTGACTAGCAATAACATACAAATGTAACTGCTTTATATTTCCCCATTCATTAAAAGCAAAACACCACCACAGAACAGACCCATACCCACCCACCCACATCCCCTTCCTGGCAGGTGATCATTTAAGAGAATTCAAGTATGGTGTTTAAAACTCTTCCATCTTCCTAGGACAAATCAAGTACACTACTTTCTTCCATGATGAACAACTTTTAGTTTCTTTCTTCATTAGCCTTTGCATTTTGCTCTTTTAAATCCACAATGAATAGCATATCAAGAATGATAATCATAATTAAAAAAAGATTGTTCCACATCAAATAACAAAATTCCAATTCAAATAACGTTAAACAACTTAATCACTTTTTCCCATGTAAAGTAATACAAACTCAACAATTAAAAAACCAATGAAACCTGTAAGAACGCAATTACATTGCGTAGCGGGTGAATTGTGAGAGCAGTGAACAATTTCTCATCAAAATGAATTAAACAGTTTCAAATTGGATTGAACTAACCAAACTAATTGGCATTTAGATAGGGAGCTACAAGGAAAGTATCGTTATTGAGGCTTACAAATGGGACTGGAATAGAAATGGAGAATCGTTCATCAATGTGAATAGTTTTAACATTGTGAAAGCGGCGAGCAAGAAGCTTGACGAAGAGGTCAGGGTTGCCAGAAGCGCCGATTCGAAGGGTGGTGCGGCTGAGGCGCTCGAGAGCCAACCACCGTTTGCAGACGAGAGAGCAGGCATCGCGGCTGCCCTTGGAGTCCAGGTGCCTGAAGATCTCGATAATCAGCTCGTCAGGTAGACACGTGTTGATCCAATCATGGCCTCGCATGTGGTAGAGATAAAAAAAAAAAAAAAAAACCTAAAAAAAAAAAAAAAAAAAACCTGATGATTGAGAATTGAAGTGAAATCGAGTGGAAATGAAATGTTTGAATTTGCAGGAGATTGTTTTAGAAGGAGGAAATCCGAGGGAATAATTAAATTTTTCTGGAAATTGGTGGAGTCGGCCCGGGTGGAGAAGGAAATGTATTGGGTGTGTTTAGCCGAGAATGCCCCTGCTTTGAATATAACTACCGTATCGCAAGTTTGACTGCAAACCTGGTTTGAATCGTCGTTTCTTGAGACGTGGTCGTTTCAACCGAAGTAGCGAATGAGCGAGGGTCGTTCCGAGGTCGGGTCCTTCGTTCAAAAAACCAAGAAACGGGAACAAAACTAACAGTAAATGCATATATGAAACATAAAAAAAAAAAAAAAAAAAAAAACCTGAATTGATTGAGAATTGAAGTGAATTGAGTGGAAATGAAATTTTGATTTGCAGGAGATTGTTTAGAAGGCAGGAAATCCGAGGGAATAATTAATTTTTCTGGAAATTGGTGGAGTCGGCCGGTGGAGAAGGAAATGTTTGGGTGTGTTTTACCGAGAATGCCCCTGCTTTGAATATAACTACCGTATCGCAGTTTGACTGCAACCTGGTTTGATGTCGTTTCTTGAGACGTGGTTCGTTTCAACCGAAGTACGAATGAGCGAGGTCGTTCGAGGTCGGGTCCTTCGTTCAAAAAACAGAACGGACAAAACTAACAGTATGCATATATGACATGTCGTGTTTCATGTCGATCCATTTGCTGACACGCCACCGGCACACCGGCCGTTAAAATCATAACTTTGATTTTTTACTACATTAAGCAACAAATTAACAAATACATTGCATTAATAGCAACGTATTCCAACGGTCTCCGAGGATAAGTGGTTTTAGGGGAGCGTCTTGTCTTAAAATATTCATGTTAAATATTTTAAAAAGTATAAATAATTTTTTAAATTTTATTCTTATTTATGTTAAATACAGTAATTATTTTTTAAAATTACTTATATTGTGATTAAATTACCTTTAATTTTCTCATATCTTAAGAGAATTAATTATTTTTTTTAATCTCGTGTGAAAACTTTAAAATCAATTAATTTCTTTAATTTTATGTAAAAACTTTAAAACATTTAAAACTTTATTCTCCAAACACGCAATCTTAATTTGGTGGTAATGACTATACTTTCCATAAAATAAAATAATAGTATATCCCTGTTCCATAGAAAAAGTATTTATATTACTTGAAACCATAAATATAACATATTATTGAATTGAAGTAATAGTCAAAATCAAAACTTTTTTATATGTTTATAAAACAAAAGTAATATTATTTCCATTCCATAATATTTGTTATATTTGATAAAATAGTTTGTTCTAAAATACTTATCATATAATAATTTTTTTTCATGTTTACCTTTTATATATGACTAATAATTACTACGTCAATTTAATCATTTATTATAACGTAGACAAAATTAATAATTTTGTTAAGAAATGTAAAATTTCAAATTTGACAACAAAGATAATAGTTCTAAAAGAATTTGTTTGATTAAAGAGGCAATTGATGCCATTTGATCACTTAATTCTTAACATTTTACCATTTTTTAATAATAACTGGTAAAAATTAATTTCAAATTATATAATTATTGTTTTTATGATTTTTAAGTGACAATAAAATGGAAAAAACATTAAATTATACTTATTTAACTTGAATGGAATGGAGATCTACAGAACACAATAAATTTATGCACAATTATTTAAAAGTGATTAGAAATTCGTATATATTTCTTAAAATTGCAACATTTTAATTGAAATGAACGTCTTCATCGTTCATAGACTCTGAAAAGAAAAAGAAAAAAAAGCCAAAAGAAGAGAAAGAAAAACGAAGCTCTCAAGAACCTAAAAAGCCAAATACCACTTTTGCTTTTGCAGATTTTCTCATTTCATAACGCAAATTTTAGCAACCAATTAGTGAAAAACACAAACAAAGAGGAACTAAAAATTTGATCGATCGACGATCATCATGTCTTTTTCCTTCTTCAAGCCATCTCGGCCTAAAACGCCGCCAGAGGTGGTGAAAGCAATGAAAGATAGCCTCATGGCTCTGGACACGAAAACCGTTGTCGACGTTAAAGCTCTAGAGAAGGTATTTCTCTTTCTCATTTTTTATTACTTAATCCAAATGTTGAGGATTCATGTAAATGTGATTTTATTTTTCCTTCAGTGAGGCTATTTCGTTTGCTAATGATGCAATTGTGCTTTTAAAACAGTCGAGATTGTAATCTTTGTGTTTTTAGTTGTCTGATTGGATCAATCGTGAAAATAATCCTCCACAAAAGGGGAATGAACTAGGGACCTGTTTACTGTTTCTTAAAGATACAATGATTTGCTACCACGTTATGGCATTCTAGAATCATCATTGCCTTTTGCTTGCTTGGTGTTTAGTAGTTATAGCAACTGCCACATTCGAGCATTTGAAACCCTCAAATGGTTGCTGGGCAATTAGCCAGCTATCCCTACATTTTTGCATAAATTTGTTGCGCGTTGGCATCAAAATTGCCATCTCTTGGCTGCAGGCCCAGCAGTTGTGCTAGAGACTGGTCCTTTATGTCACCGAGTGGATGGAGACGAGCTTTAAAATGTTATAAGACAGCATTGCCCTAGGAGGGCAATTTGAATGGCCAAGGAGATTATATGCTGCTTTGTACATATAATCCCATTATATTGCAACTATTGTTACTGCTATTGTTGTTAGTATAGGAAGCAAAACACCCTGTTTTTTCCCTTTTTTTTTTTTGCCATACAGGCAATGGAAGAAGTTGAGAAAAATCTTGTGGCAGTGAGATGTATGCTTTCTGGAGATGGCGAGGTTGAACCAAACATGGATCAAGTTTCACAGCTGGTTCTTGAAGTTTGTAAAGAGGATCTTCTTGCCCTTATGGTTCACAAACTGCCTCATTTGGGATGGGAAGTGAGTTTGAACAGTTCTTAGCACTCTGACAAGCATTCTGAATTTACTTGAATTTGGTTGTGTGATATTTGTCCTTTTAAACCAGGCAAGGAAAGATTTAGTTCATTGTTGGTCCATATTGTTGAAGCAAAAGGTTGATTCCAAGTGTTGCTGCGTGGAATACCTCGAGAACAATTTGGAATTATTAGACTTCCTTGTCGTGTGGTAAGCTTACTCCCCTCTCTGTTTCTCTTCTTAATATTATCTACATATCCTATGAACTTTGAGATTCTTGTAATAGGTTCCTTGTGAGCATCTCTTCTCCTACAGGATTTTGGTTTCTCCATGGTCTTCCTGAATGTTGTGCATGACTTACTTCTGGCCCAGAAAGGTATAAGGCTTTTTTGTGTGAAAGAGAAGACAATTTTGAACAGATTCCCATACTGGAATTTGAATTCTGATAGAACATTGAAGAGAGAGGCCATCTTACCCCAAGGACACACTGGGATTTACATTATAAGGGCAAAGTGGCTTTGGTACAGCCAGTGCAGCTAAAAATCTGAAACTAGGAACATTACAGTTGAAGCAATGGATGCCAATTAGTTAATCTCCTAAAGTCCAAAGAACCATTAACCATGATGAATGTGCATTACTGTTGTTCTTGCTGTTGTCTATTTGATCATTAGGTTTTTTTTAAAAGCTGTGTTACTTGAACTGGGGATTAGTATGGAAAATGAGTATACATCGAAGAACGTACTCAGCTACTTTTACAAATTCCAGCAGTGATTTGAAGTGAAAAGTCAATATCTGTGCATAATTGTCCTGTTCTAACAATTTTTTTTTTTTCTATTTATTTTTTGGTAAAGTAAAGAGGTGAAGTAACTGTGGGTTAAAAGACTTGTCTTTTGTCCAATTATTTCAATTCTTCTAAAAAGTTGTGCAAAGTGCAAAAGTATTCGAATTCTTGAGGACCGCAACGCCACGATCCTGCAGGAAGGGGGCAGGGTCTCCAACCAATACTTTGGGAGTTGGTACGCCCTATGGGGGTGTCTTAAATCGGGACGTCAACACCTGACTGGTGGCCTGAGTCGACGGGGATAATGACTAACCCACCTAGTAGTCCCTTTTTTTTTTTTTTTTTCGTTCAAAAAAAAGAAGTATTTGAATTCTTGAGTTGTCCTATTACCATCTAATTATGAAATTCAGTAGTTTTGTATTGCATGGGACTTATTGTTTTCTTTTGGAAACAGCTATGATAACAAGGAAATTGCCTTGAATTGTGGACTTATGTTAAGGGAGTGCATCAAATTTCCAACACTTGCAAAGTAAGATAAGACATCAGGCCTTTTGTCAATTTGGCATATGTTAAAGAAACTTCACTGTTCTTCTTGTATGCTTGATAATTATATGAAATAAAGCACAATAATGTAACTATTGGAAGAACTATTCTTGTTTGCTCTTGTTTTTGGCTTACTTGTTCTGCTTTGAGTTCATCACATTGTTAATTTTTGTTGTGATTTTTCAGATACATACTGGAGTCTGCAAGCTTCGGATTGTTCTTCAAATTTGTGGAATTGCCAACCTTTGATGTTGCTTCTGATGCTTTCTCTACTTTCAAGGTCAGAGTTACAAGTTTGTAAGTCCTTAATTTCTTGTATGTTTACCAGTTAGTTTGGAAGCTTCCGGCTATGGTTGCTTTACATGTTTGGAAATAAATTCTTGCCAGGATTTGCTTACTAAACATGACACCATGGTTGCTGAATATCTAACAGCACGCTATGACGAGGTACATTTCTTTTTTATCATTTTCATGGTATGATTTGAGAAAGCTTAGACAGACCTCAATGTTCCTTAAGAATCTGTCAATCTATTTGTGTTGATGAAATAGCATCCAACAAAAGGATATGCTTTGCCAAGGACGCTTTCTTGTTAATCACCAACAAATCAGTGGTATCCAAGTAACACTTATGCTGTTAGATATTCTTTTTTTGGGAGACGGCAATTCAACTGAACTCATTATTCTTTTTTGGAAAAGCTTATTTTAACTGATTTTATGTAACACTTATGCTGGGGAAACTGAATATAACTCTTTCCATAATTATCTTGGCATATTTATCTTATTCTTCTTTTCTTGTCTATATAAGATAGCTAATATGGTAAGGTGCTGTTTTTCCAGTTCTTTGATATGTATGAAAAACTACTGACATCCCCTAATTATGTGACAAGAAGGCAATCGTTGAAGGTTAGTCTCTGCTCTAAGTGTTTATAGATCATGCCCTGATGTTGTTTTGTTATGTGAGTTGACGGGACTATGTCAATGATTTTAGCTTCTGTCAGATTTCCTTTTGGAGGCTCCAAATTCCCATATAATGAAGCGCTATATTTCAGAAGTTCGATATTTAAAAGTCATGATGACATTGCTGAAGGTGCCAAAATTCTCATTTCCACTCTTTATGTCTTCCATTTTAGTTTTGGATTGATTTTTTTTCAAGTTCCTCCTTATAAAACCCAATTAGACATGAAATTAAAGACCTAGAGCTTTCAACAATAAAAAGTTTTCTCCACTTTTAATGTTATAAACTCTGGATACTGAGAATGAGAAACCCATTAAGATTTCTTAACTCAAAATATAAAATTGCAAAGTAGGTCTTCAATTATTGGATTATTTATATATTTTCCTCTCTCAAATCAGTTTTGTCTTGTACTACTGCTTTACAAACAGTCTCCAATGTAAATACGCTTTGGAATCTCATGGGAATTGACGCCCTGGTGAATCTATAGGCAGTAATATTTACTTGTAAACTTTGCTGCGTCTGAATTGTTACAATTATGTTAAACTACTTCAAGAGCTGTTAAATAAAGGTTACTTCCTTAGTGTGTTGCAAACTTCAAAGTGGAAATTATTAGTTTTGTGTTAACAGGGATATTTTGAACTATAATATATGTTCAGCCATCTTGATTATAGATTTGAATAATTTACAATAGCTTATTTGTAAATTGACGTTTCTGTCTATTTGTTTGTTTTCTGTGCAGGACTCAAGCAAAAATATTCAGATCTCAGCTTTCCACATTTTCAAGGTTCTGAGATCTCTTTCTTTCTTCTTATTCTGGTTGTTAGTCATATCCGGGCTATTCAGTTTCCGGGGATGCTGTAATGCTCCCATACTTGTTTTTCTCTAAAATTTGATCCCCCTAACCATCTACGATGTGCAATACGATTGAATTTACCATGCAAAATATTTTTCTTCCATATAAAGTTGATTGATAATTTGACGTGGATCATAATATGGAGGGAATAAAAAACATAATATATGAATAACTCTTTCCTTTCCTTCAATTTTTGCTTTATCCCGGCAATTAAAGCAATCTGATTGAGGTTGTCATTTAGCCTTGTTGCACAATCTTTAGACACAGCAACTTATAACTATTGCCTCTCTCTGTCTCTCCCTTAACATTTTTTTTTTTTTTTTGAAACAATGGTTGTCTCGTAAGAGTTGAAATACAAATGACCTTGTTTTGGGTTGGAAAACTTAGGCAGTATCATGAGTCTCCCTTTTCTAAAATATAAGTACAAATCCTTTATTGCAGCTTTAATAATGAAAGAAGAGTTGGCATGTAATTTGTTCAGAGTTTTTGATCTCTTGGCTTTCATGCAGGTTTTTGTTGCTAACCCGAATAAGCCACGAGAAGTAAAAGTAATTTTAGCAAAAAACAGTGAAAGATTGGTGGAACTGCTTAATAATCTTTCCGTTGGAAAAGGTAATCACTGTGTATTATCCTTCTGCCCTTGCACCAAATATATGCAAATAGCTGATGGAATGGAATTGCACCTTGATATTGTTGCAAAATTTTCTAATATCTCCTGTGCTATTCGCCTCCTTTCAGGTGCTGAGGATGAGCAATTTGAAGAAGAAAAGGAACTCATAATCAAGGAAATTGTGAGAGTATCACGCTCGCCATATCTGGATAGTTAGGTCCTTACCTTTATAGCAGGTTTTCTTTTTCTACTGAGATTCTGTCTTACGGTTCATTCTAATTCCATATGATGATCTTCCGGCAACTGCTGTTTGCCAAAAAAAGTTGGTGTTTGGGGAGTTTCAAGGTATTCATAGGGATATGTGTACTTGCAATCGTTTTGCCCAAGAAGTGATACTGAGCAGTAGAAATTGACATTCGGTCTTTAAAACATGTCTAAATAGTAAATTGTTGGTTTTGAGTGGTCAAAAGGCATTTGTATCATAATGAAGTTATGTTGTTTTTGCTTTTGTTCTTTATTTGTGCAAACATGAGTGATCAAGTTTTAATGCATGATTTTCTTATGAGCAAATTTTAGGTTCACAAGTCGCTACCTTTCTCTAGTTCAATGTCAAGACTGGAGTTTTTAAGCTTTGGAAATGCATATGAACAAATAAAAATAATAATTTCGATGGAATGCCAATGATTGTGAAGAAATTGTGCTTATCATTTCACTTCTTAATTCTAAAGCTATTATTTTGCTTGAGTTATCATTATTTTTATTTTGCATATTATTTCAATCACAAATCATAGTTTTATTTTTTTCATTCCATTTTGATTTTTTTACAACATTTATTCATTTGGACGTACATACATATTATACTAATATTTACAATAAAATATTAAATAAAAAGCACCTAATAAATATATTTATTTTTTTTACTCAATAACATATTATCATTTTTATTATATTATTAAAAAAATCAATCAAATATATTTAGAAAAAGGAAAAACAAAAAATAAATGTTAAGACTAGTTTCCTTCTCTTTATAAGCTTTGAAATCCATCAAAACACAAAAGTATATTCCTTTATTGAACTCTCTTATATTCTCTCCACCCAAAACCCAGAATATAAAATCGGTCCTCTTTTCCCCGAAATCCAATTCCCTTTCATTTCCTCAAATGAATTTCTTCAAATCCGTGTTCTCAGAGGAAACCACTCCTCCCGATTCTCCTACATCCCCAACCGATACCCCAACCTCCGACCCCCAAACCCTAAACACTCAACCTACCGGTACTCCAGCATGGTCCTTCGGCGGCTTGATCAAGACCTTAGCTACTAAATCCGAATCTATGATCGAAACCTATCGCAAGGATTTCGAGGAGTTTGGATCCGGACTTAAAAAGGAGACAGCAGTTATTAGGGAAGTGGCCTCCCGTGCCGTCAAGGACCTTCCAGCTTCACTCGACGTTGGTGCTTCCGTCGCGCAGGAATCGCTGGAGACTGTCGGCCAAGCAATTGATGACATCGGAGCCACCGTCTGGAAATCCACTTCACAGATAATCACTCACGGTAGGGACTCAATCGTCGCTTCGGATCACGATGACTCGGATTCTTCTGATAAACAATATAGCGACAGTAAACAGCAGTCTTTGAATTTAAAACGGTACAGTCGTTTTGATATGCAAGTGCGTTCAATACAGTGTGATTTAAATACTTACTGCATTGAACCGGAGGATAAAGTAGAGTATGAGAATTGGAGGTTAGGATCTTTTTCTATGGAAGATAAAAAAGAGGAGATAGAGAATTTATTTAGCGAAAATAGGACGATTAAGGAAATTTATAATGACGTGGTGCCTAGTAGAGTAGATAATGAAGGTTTTTGGAGTAGATATTTCTATAAAATGCACAAGTTGAAGCAAGCAGAGGAAACAAGAGCCTTACTTGTTCAGAAAGCAATTTCTGGTGTAGAGGAGGACTTGAGCTGGGACTTTGATGATGAAGATAAAGAAGACGACAAGCGCAATGAGCCTGTATCAGAAGGCCAATCTAGTGGAAATTTAAAGAAAGAGAACGATTTCAGTGAAAGATCTGAACTTGAGAATACCAACGCCAGTGAGAGGAACAAAATGGAGGGGAATGTAGTGGCAATGGATATGAAAGGCGATAATGGCGATTCTTGTAAAGATAGTGATATATCAGTAGTTTCAAGTCAATCGTTACTGCCAGAGGAGGATGACCTTGGATGGGATGAAATTGAAGATATTGGAATAAATGATGAAAGCAGAGGGAAAACCACGGGGAGCAACGCAAGTACCAGTAGACTTGATTTGCGTAAGCGGTTGAGTGTTGCAGAGGAGGAGGACCTGAGTTGGGATATTGAGGACGAAGATGATGAGCCTGGTAAACCATGATTCCTACTCCATAGTTGATGATTAGTTCATATGCAAGATAAGTGATTTATTCTTTGTGGTTGTGTAATTATCTCTCCTTCCTTCAACTGATTGGATTCATACGTTAGTATTTAAGTTTTACGAGTTCCCAAGTACATGTCAATACGAATTGGTTTTACTTTTTTAAAAATTAAGCTCCAAATTTAAAATGTTGATCATAATGAGTTCGAGTAAATATGACTAACCTGCAGTTATCTTTTGGTAATTGTCTAATTGCATGGATCACCGATGTTACTTCTGAGAGAGAATTACTGGGAAAACAAAAGGTGAGTTGAGAATTGTTGATCCTTTTGTATTGATTTTGTTGGAACTTAGTAAGAAACAGTGAAAATGCTTTCCCTTTCCTTTCCATGTAAGTCGATCAACCTAATATGATAAGACTATCTTGTTCATTTTTTAAGTTTCTAATCTTACAGGAAAATAATAACTGAGAAAAAAGAGTTTTTTTTTTTTTTTCAATCTTAGGTCTTAAATCATTCCAGATTCCTTCATTCTTCTTTGCGTCTTTAGCTTCACATCGGAGTGCAAGACTGTGTCTGGGTCTCGTTCATATGGTTCCTTTCTCTGTAAAAAAATCATTAATTTCTTCATTTGCACTTCACTTCAGATTATGCATTTGATCTTTTACAAAATTTAGCTTTCCAAACTTTGAGGTAGGGTAGCCTTTCAAATTCTTAACCTCTCTGTGCTATAATTGATAAATGAAGATGATTTGCCCTTTGACTGGTGGGGAAAGCTGAAATTTTACAGCCAAAATATGAAGGAAACCGTCACTCAAGGAACAATACAAACCCGAGGCAGGATTTTCTTAAAACATTCAAGTAATTCTTCAGCCATCGTTTGTTTCTAATTTTCATCATATTGTAAGAGCTTGGATCCTAATTATCAGCATTATCGAGGCATTGAATAAATCAAAAATTTACGCAGCAAGCTAACTCTGTTTCTTGTTTGATGGTTCGCATTCCTACTGTATGGGAAAAAATAAAGTTTGGTTGCTATTGCTTCATCATCCACAGTTTGGATGGGAGCGAAGAACCTACTGCAGTTCTCACTTTGCGTCGTCAAACCCATGCTAATAAATGTCAAATTGTGCAACTGCCAACAACCAGATTTGTTGCAATCCATCAGTAAAGTGTCTCAACATCAATCCAAAATCAGATCCAACTACCATGTGGCAGTGTAGTGTATCATGCAAAAGCAAATTAAAAAGAAAATAACACCACACAAAAAGATGCGAAAGAAAACAATCTCAACAGCATATCTATTTACTAGAGTTGATTGGGTGAATGTAAAGTAAAGCCCTCCAGGCCAATATAAGAAGAGTGCACTCAATGCATATACCAACTATCCACAATCTTAACTTGCTTCAGTTATTACAAATATATAGTTTGCATGCTAAACCCCAGCCGGTGAAGAGTGTACAGTACAAACTAATTGTTTCTTTGACTCAAAACTCGTAAAATGGAAAGGAACAGGTTGAGAATGTCCAGGTAGAGAGCAGCAGAGGCCAAAATATACTCATCATATGTAAAGCGTTTGATCAAGTGATCAGTGTCATAAATGATATAGCCACAGAATATCAGAGCACTAATTCCACCATAGATAGCGGTAGATGTTGAGCCAAGAGGGAAGAACATCTGCATAATAAACCACAAACAGACGTCAGACAAAACCACATATTCAGCTGTATCCATTAAGCCATTATTATAAACGATGACTTCAAAAAACAAAGAGAGATGAGGCATCTAACCTGGATAAAACTGGTTAGTATGAGGATGATGAGGCCGGTGAACAAAATTGGTCCCAAAAAGCTGAAGTCTTTTCCCTTCTTGGCAGCCCAGAAAGTGTATGCAGTTAGAGAGCAAACCACAGCAGAGGTTAAAATTAGTGCTTCAAGCACAATTTTGCCTAGAATATACAGAACACAATATTCGTCAGATCATAAACAAAGTTTGTATGTTAACTGGTCGATTACAAATAAAATTGTGACTAAAAATGGAACCATAAAAAAATGCAATTCTTTGTAGAAATTCTGAATAGGGGACGAGAAAGATACTGACCATCTGTATTAGCACAACTTACTCCCACCAAAAAGCTTAGTGACACGGTGAAAAGACCAAGGATAATCAGGTTGACAGGGTGCTTCTGATGATAAACGTGCAACGGCCACAGTACTGCAATTTTTAGTTTATTTTTGAGATAAATTCACGATAATTTCAGAAAATGAAAAAAAAAAAAAATGAAGCATCTATTTTAACTTTGCAATTAGAAGGCATTCCACCATGAGTAATAAGACCAAAAAAAAAAAAAAAAAATTCTGAATAGGGGACGAAGAATAGGATAGCTGGGACCATGCTGTAATTAGGCACAACTTAACTCCCACCAAAAAAAGCTTAGTCGACACGGGGTGAAAAAACCAAGGATGAATCCAGGTTTTGACAGGGGGTGCTTCTGAATGATAAACGTGGCAACGGGCCACAGTAAACTGCATTTTTAGTTTATTTTTGGAGATAAATTCACGAAAAATTTCAGAAAAATGAAAAAAAAAAAAATGAAAGCATCTATTTTAACTTTGCAAATTAGAAGGCATCTCCAACCATGAGTTAATAAGACCAAAAAAAAAAAAAGAAACAGACAAAAAAAAAAAAAAAAGACAAAGCAAACCAAGAGATTCACTAGACACAAAGCAATGAGCTGAAAGTTTAAATTGACTTTATCATCTCAGTAAGAACTTGTTAGAAACAAATACATAACCAATGCTACAGGTCCTTCAAAATTATCTCCTCAAAGGTCAAAATTTCTCTTCAAAGAGAAAAATCCATATAGATGACAATCAGAGCACCAAAACATCGCCTTTTGCATCTTCGCCAATAATTATAGAAGACAATTATAAATGGCAATAGAAAGATTTTACTAATCATTCAATCCATTGATCAAGCAAATTCAATATCAAAAAATCCCCACAAAAACAGAGAAGTTCCAGATAAGTTTTAGATCAAGTAACTAACAAAAACAAATCTAATTTGAAAGTCAAAATTAAGCAAGGGAAAATGAGAGATCTGAATTGATGACATACGGACAAAGGGAACGATGCAGAGGAGCAAAAGGAGGCCAGGACTCTCGGCAAGGAGATTGTTGATGGGAGTGTAGAGGACGGTGGTGGCGGAGACGATGGTGGTGAGAATCAGCTGAACCGCCAGAATTCCGTAGACCTTACGAATCAAGCCCCATCGCAGCTGGTTCTCCCCCAGACCCAAACCAGGGTATAAAGTCTCACCATTTCCCGCTTCGAGATCAACTTCCTTGTCCTTGGTGCTGAGGCTCGTGAATCCGTGCATCTCTTCCTTCTCTCTGTATCTCTTGACTTGTATTTTCTCTCGTTTTCTCAGGAAAATGAGATACAGCGTTAAAAAATTAGGATGCCTTCGTTTATATGTAGGGTAGGGAGAAGAAGACTTCAATTGGAGACTTATCATTGACAGTTAACGTGACAAGACGTTCTTGAAAAAACGTGTGACAGACAAATTGTGGTGGAGGATTGCTTAGGTGGGCTCCACAAGTAATACTGGATCATTGGATCGAACGGGTAAAATCATTGTGATCATATTACAGGCTGTGACGCTAAATTTTATTCCCTAGGCAAATGAATTACTTAAGAGTACTCAAAGTGTTTTTCGATGCTATTTATCCCGAAAATTTTCCCAATTTTTAAATTGGAAATCGGAGTCTTGCTCTTGTTGAGCTGTGCTCTTTGGTTGAGAGTTGAGACCCATAGCAACCAATACATAGGGCGGCGCATCTTCATAGAGCCATAGAATCTTGGCAGAACTGGAAAATGTTAACAATTTGGGCGTTTCAAAATTTTGCTGATTCCATTTTCGCCTGTAAGTTCGATTGCTAGTTTCTAATATTCTCTCTTTAATCGATTCATTTCTGTATTGTACCTTCATTTTTTGCCGTTGAAGAAGAGCTCTATTAGGGACAAGTAGCCAAATCGGTGTTATTTCATGGCTAGAGCTCCATCATCCGTTGTGATTTTTCTTCGCCAAAGCACGAATAGCACCCGCCAAAACTCCGGTACCCAGATCCGAAAAATTACTGTAGAACCTAAGAATAATGAAGTTAATGGAGAGGGAAGTGACCGAAATCAGAATGACGAACTGCCTCAGGGTGTGAACCAGCATTTTACTGATATAGCAAAAGAAGTTGCTAAAATCATGAGAACAAAATCCAAATGGGAGCAAACTCTTTTGTCAGATTTTTCTTCTTTCAATTTCACCAATCCCCAGTTCTTTTACGAGCTTTTGAAGCACCAAAACAATGCGTTTCTTTCGGTAAAATTCTTTCATTGGCTGCGTTTGCATTCCGATTTTGTACCTGACCAAGTTTCCTGCAACTTGCTTTTTGATTCACTTTTGGATGCTAAGCATACCAATGCTGCAAAAAATTTCCTTGAAGTTTCAGGTTTTAGTCCCGAGCAGGGTTCTTTAGAGCGCTATATTGGTTGTCTTTGTGAAGGTGGGATGGTTCAGGATGCAGTTGATGTCTTTTTAAAGTTTAAAGATCTTGGAGTATTCCCTTCAATAGCAACATGGAATTCAGCATTACTGGGTTGTCTTAATGCTGGGAGGACAGACCTAGTTTGGAAATTGTATCATCATATGATGGAATCTGGAAGGGTTATGGCAGATATTGATGTTAAGACTGTCGAATATCTTATTCGAGCGTTTTGTATTGACGGTCAAGCTTGGAAGGGTTATGAGCTTCTCAGACAGATGTTGGAAAATGGATTAGTTCCTAGAAATATTGCTTTCAATGTATTGATATCAGAGTTCTGTAAGCAGAGGAATTTTGCTAAAATGTCTGAAGTTCTTCACATGATGATTGCCAATAATTGTGCTCCTGATATTGATACGTATCAGGGAGTCATCAGTGGTCTTTGGAAGACTAAAAGGTTTCATGAAGCTTTAAGGGTGTTCAATGATCTCAAGGATAGAGGTTATGCCCCGGATAGAGTCATGTATAAAACAATGATTCATGGTCTTCGTGAAATTGGATTGCTTGATGATGCTAGGAAGCTTTGGTTTGAGATGATCTCTAAGAATATTCTTCCTGATGAATACACTAATAATACACTCATCAGTGATCTTTGGAAGAATAAAAGGTTTAATGAAGCTTTAAGGGTTGTCAATGATCTCAAGGACAGAGGTTATGCCCCAGACAGAGTCATATATACAACAATGATTCATGCTCTCTGTGAAAGGGGATTGCTTGGTGATGTTAGGAAGCTTTGGTTTGAGATGATCTCCAAGGATATTCTTCCTGATGAGGACGATTACAATGTGCTGATCCATGGGATTTGTAAGAGTGGAAATTTTGAAGAGGCTAGGAAACTGTACAAGGAGATGCATGATAGGGGTTATGGGAAAACCACAGGAAGTTACAACATGATGATTTCCAATTTTAGCTTAAATGGAGGGGAAAATGAGGCTCTTGCCTTGTTTAAAGAAATGCCACAAAAGGGAATTGCTCGTAATGTGATTTCTTATGATATTTTGATTAGACAATTTTGCAAAAAAAGGAAGGTAATTGCTGCTAAGGAACTATTAAAGGAGCTACTGGCACATGGTATAAAGCCGTCAACTTTATCTTATACTCCCCTTATTGAGAACCTATGTGAAACAGGAGACATGAAAGAAGCAAAGGAGTTGTGGAATGATATGAAAAACAGGGGTTTGAAGCCAATGGCCTCTGACTACAATCTTTTCATTACAGCACTGTGTGAACAAGGTTGCATAATTGATGGGATGGAATGCTTAATTACTATGCTGAAGAATAGTCTCAGACCACGGAATAGAACTTTCAAAACATTATTTCGTTGTCTTTTACAGGATGAAAGGTTAGATGATTCTTTATTTCTTTTAGATCGTATGTCTGAGATAGGATACTCTTTTGGAATAGGCACATGGTATGCTCTGGTTAGTAAACTTAGGCAAAAGAATATCCTTTCTTCTGAAACGTGCTTAGACAGGATTCTGGAAAGCAACTAATTTTGACATTTCTACATTGTTTTTGTAACTCCTGCCAAGAATTGATATGCAATTCATCTTCCAATTGTTTCTTTGAAATATTTAAGGAGAAATCTCCTTTCTGAAGTGATTACTAACAATTACAGTAGATGGATGGAGTCAGATACTGGAGTTCCAGTTATAAAAGCTTCAATTTGGAAGTTATTTTCACTATTTGGTGCTTTGTGACTCATCATCTGCGCTAATTTGAAATGGAAGAGCAGCCTGTTGTACTAGTTTCTTCTGCTAACTGCTCGAGGTTACTCTGGCATAGACTATAGTGGCATTAATTATTGGTTCGCCTTTTGGAATACTTGTTGCTCCATTGACCTGGAAGCTGGAAGAATGTGATAAACTGCAAGGCCCACCCGCCAAGCAATGTAATTTGTTTAAGATGGAGAGAGAGAGAGAGAATTGGAAGTGAGCTATGATAATTTACATTATTACTATTCTGGCTCATGTATGACTTGGGAATTTTCATAATCTTGTTAAAGGATTTTGCCTCCGTACATCCTTAATTGTTGTCTTAATTGTCATCTCATATGAAGGACTGTACTGTAGTATAGTAAGCAGCCATTGGGCATTGGCTTACGCTGGTCTAAGAGAGGCTAAGCCATCAATCTATGAGCGTCATCCACCATCCTAGCAGGGTCTGTTTATGTAGGTTCGCTGTATGTTCTTTCTATTTGTGGGCTTGACGCTGCAAATGAACTGTTGCTGTGTAGAGGTTAGTGAATGAGATTAATTTGATGAAATTTTTCTTAATATACCTTGACATTATACTAATGTCACACTATTTGATGTTAATTTTAATACCAATAAGGATTGGTCCGAGTGGAAAGAACTCGAGTTTCTTAAGTAAGAGGTTAAATGTCCAGTATTTTGTGAACGAAGAAAATTTTTGTTGGAGCTCTTTCCTTTTATGAATTTATGAATTTGACACGGCATTAGCAGGACAGTCAGTGTACTAAGAAAACTTGTGGTATAAATTAAAAAAAAAAAATGCTAATTTAATGGGAAAAGATCCATATATTTAAAAAAAATTAATAAATCAATTATACTCTTTAAATATAAAATACTTACAATTTGAAAAAGATGGAGGATAGAGACAGTTTAGAATAGATACAAGAACCAAAATATGTTACTCTAATTTTAGGATTAAACAAATTTAAGTAATAAAATAGTTAAGGTATTTCTTTGAACAATGTTGCTATAATAATAGGAGGAACAAAAAAAACAATAGTGCAGATATCTTTCATTTAATCAGTAATTACCCTGACGAGGAAGGTTGATGGAATTCTTATCTTTACGTGGGATATGGTGATTTCTCCATTTTTCAATGTCTGTCTTCCGACCAACTTCGTAGGAAAAAAAACAAAAAAAAAAAAAAACTAGTACGCTTTAATATTTCTCCACACTCCAAAAATATTTTGATAGGGAAGGCCAAAAGAAAGACTGACCATCTCTCCAGTCGACAGGTCAACCCTAGGCAAACCAAGCGCGAGCATCAGCGCACTGCGCAGCTGAAAAAGAAAACTAAAAACAGCACATCTCCTGCTCCTTTCGCTTTTTACATTTCTGAGATTGTGCTTCTCCTCTTTTCCCCTAATTTCGCTTATTATAATTCCCGCCCTAAAAAGCGAAATACCAAATTCACAATTTTACTAGTTTATTACCTTACAAATCAAATCGCACACGCACTTTCTACCTTCCTCATTGCGCTCTCTCTCTCTCTCTCACTCTCTCCACATATGGGTTTTCATCCGACTTCAAGTCTGTTCACCAATATCAGAAGGTAATTGTTTTTCTTTTCCTTTAGAACCCTAATTTACCATTGATCTTTTATCCTCAATTCCTTCTCGATGATTTGCCTTCTCACTTATGCTCTCTGTTTGATTGGATTCGACATATTTCGTTGATTCGTTCCTTGTCTCTCTATCTTTGATTTCTCCTACTTTCTGTGATTTCATTCTGATTTTTGTTTTCTGGTGATTATCGAATTTGTCAGCTGGGTTGAAAAGAAGAGAGAGAGAGAGAGTGTGTCAATCGGGCAGCTTTTTTCTGCTGCTTCTCCTTTTACTGCTAGCATAATCGGCAACATATGTTGCTTATATGTCATTTCTCTTTTTGCAATTTGCACATACTGATTTTTGTTGGATTATCATTAATGCAATGCAAATTCATAAGCAAGGTTAGTTAGCTCATGGGATGTGCTTTCAAAAAGGGAAAAAGAAACAAAAAGGAAAATGACTTCTTACTGAAGAAGGGCATTGCCCTGGTTTCGATCAACTGAAAAGCTGTTACACATTTTTTTGGACTTTTTTAAATTCTTTTTTTGTGGACTGTACATGCAGTTCAGATGCTAATCCTAGCAACGGTGATTGTGGGAATGCATTGATTGTAAAAGCATATCCGCTTGGAATGATTCGAGTTAACAACAGCAGGATCAATGGAGAGGATGAGGGGGAGTCAAGACTTGAGCCATGTATGGGTTTAGAGTTTGTTTCGGCAGATAATGCACGGCAATTTTATGGCGCATATGCAACACGAGTAGGATTCAGAATTAGGACTGGCCAACTCTATCGATCACGAACTGATGGTACAGTTTCTTCAAGAAGATTTGTGTGTGCAAAGGAAGGTTTTCAGCTTAATTCAAGGACTGGTTGTCCAGCATTCATAAGGGTGCAAAGGCGTGATTCTGGAAAATGGGTGATTGATCAAATCCATAAGGATCACAATCATGAACTTGGTCTTGAGGATGAAAGCCACCCTCCTATTTTGCAGAAGAGAGCTCCTAAAGCTACAAAATCATCAGCTGGGGTGTCCCAAAGACCAAAATTCAATCTGATTGAGAACATTGATGATGTGCACCCGTGCACATCCGGTGTCATCAGTGTCAAACGCCTTAAAAGGGGAGGAGATGGAGGGCAATTTGGAGCTGAACCTTATGCAGGTCTAGCATTCAATTCAGCTGATGAAGCATACCAATTTTATCAAATGTATGCTGACAGTGCTGGATTTAGAATTCGGATTGGTCAGCTATTTCGTTCAAAGAATGATGGTTCTATAACGTCACGGCGATTTGTGTGCTCCAAGGAAGGGTTTCAGCATCCTTCAAGAGTCGGTTGTGGGGCATTTATGCGGATTAAGAGGCAAGAATCTGGAACTTGGATGGTGGACCGTCTTCAAAAAGATCATAATCATGATCTTGAGCTGCAATCAGGAACTCAAAAAAAAATTTGTAACACTTCAAAGAAATTCATAGATGACATAAATGATGGATTGGACTTATCAGACCTGGATAAAATAAACTATGGTGGTCCTATCAGGAGAAATCGGGTAAACAACATTGGAAGTGATTGGTACCGCTTGCTTCTTGATTATTTTCAAACTAGGCAAGCAGAAGATACTGCCTTCTTTTATTCAGTGGAGGTTGATAATGGCAGTTGCATGAGTATGTTCTGGGCTGATGGCAGGTCTAGATTCTCATGCAGTCAATTTGGTGATGCGGTTGTGTTTGATACCTCATACAGGAAGAGTAATTATCAAGTTCCATTTGCAACATTCGTTGGAGTTAACCACCACAAGTTGCCAGTGCTTCTTGCTTGTGCTCTAATTGCCGATGAGTCGGAGGAATCTTTTACTTGGTTGTTTCAGACGTGGCTTAGGGCAATGTCTGGATGTCGACCAAAGTCTATCATAGCTGATCAAGATATGGCCATCCAACATGCAATTGCAAAAGTCTTTCCTATGACTCATCATCGTTTTTCCACGTGGCAGATTAGGGCAAAGGAACGAGAGAATTTAAGGTCTATGACTGATGAGTTCAAATATGAATATGAGAAGTGCATCTATCAAAGCCAAACATCTGTTGAATTTAATACCATGTGGAGTGCACTCATTAACAAATATGGGCTGAAGGAGAATCCTTGGCTTAAAGAAATGTATGAAAAGCGTGAAAGCTGGGTGCCCTTGTACTTGAGGGGAAAATTTTGTGCTGGCGTCCCCATAAATGAAAGTTTGGAATCTTTCTTTGGTACAGTCTCAATTGCTCAAACACCAATTACAGAGTTTATTTCTCGATATGAGCAAGGTCTTGCACGACGTCGCGAGGAGGAAAGAAAAGAGGATTTTAACTGTTATAATTTGCAGGTCTTTTTGCAGACAAAAGAACCAGTGGAAGAACAGTGTAGAAGGGTTTATACACTTACTGTGTTCAAAATACTTCAAAATGAACTGCTACAATGCTATAATTATCTAGGGATAAAGACTTATGAAGAAGGGACCATTAGCAGATATTCAGTGCGGAGGTGTGGGAATGAGATTGAGAAACATGCTGTTACATTCAGTGCTTCCAATCTCAATGTTTGTTGTAGCTGTCTGATGTTTGAATTTGAAGGTATTCTGTGTAGACATATTTTGAGAGTCTTCAACTTGTTGGACATAAGGGAAATTCCATCTCGATACATATTACATCGGTGGACAAGAAATGCAGAGTATGGCACTGTTCAGGATATTGAATCTGGTGTTAGTGCTCAAGAACTCAAGTCCTTAATCGTGTGGAGTCTGAGGGAAACAGCCTGTAAATACATTGAGGCTGGGACAACATCTCTTGAAAAGTTTAAACTTGCCCATGAGATTATGCGAGAAGGTGGAATAAAACTTCGCTGGCAAAGGTAGACAAAGGACAGAGGTTGGATGTCACTTTAGGGCCAAATTTTTGTAGTTTATGTTTGTTTTGTACATATATTTTTTTTTCTTTTTTGGTCAGCCTTGCTAAAAACTTGTGGCTTGCAAACAGATAATGATACATCTTGTCTCTGTATTTTAATTGAAGTTGTGATTTTTAATCATTTGATGCTGTACTTGGATGGACAGAGATGTAATGCCAATGAAATTGTGATTCTTTTGATAGCCAATTGATTTCTGATTGTTGATCATTAAAGTTGCCCATCACACGTGCCATGGCACATGCTTACGGGTCTGACACCTCAATGTATGTATTAACTGTTAACCTTAGTTGTGACTTCTCTGGTGGATAAGAAACACTTTCCGAATGCAAGAAATGTGTAAATTTAGCAGATGCATGAGTTAACTTCCAGTTTATGTATGGCTAATAACTAGATTTTATTATTCCAAATAACTAAACATCAATAATCTTATAATTGTCAAATACTAATAGAAATATTTTACTTGTAAAAGAGTGCTGCAAATAAGAGCTCATTCCAAGTGTCAGGAACTCCAGGGAGGCACCAATGGCTACAATCTGGGGTACGGTGACCCCCAAAACCATAAGCTGAGGGATGTCCATCTTTTCTCATTTGTGAAAGGAAAGTGATGTTAAGTAAATAAATTGGCTTTGAAATAGTTCCCAGAACTCTTTCTACAATAGCTTCTGCTGGATGTGTACCTCTTGGATAGTTTTGCTTAAACAATGGCTCTGTTTCTCCCATGCAGTTCTTTCCCAAAGAATTGCTCCAATCTGTTGAACTAATTTTAACGAGAAATATATTAATATAAAGGAAATTAGATACTATTACTTTCATAATTATAAAAAAAATAAATATATTATATTTATCTCATGTCCTTACTTTGCATGGTCTGGAGAAACACCCTGAAAAAAGACCTTGGTTTTAATAGGATTAATACTTAATTGAATCCACCTAGCCCAAGTGCTAAGTGCTTTCTCATAGGCAACTAATCGATCCATGTCTTTGGATAATCTCTTTCCTTGTTGGATCCAATCCCATCTACAAAATTAAGTATAATTGCTTATACTTTGATATTATTGTTATAATTAAATTGATTTTGATAGTGATCTTACGGTTGCTTTCTTCCTGTGTGAAGCCACCAGTGCCATGTGTTAAAGATCAAGGTGTCTGCTCCCCTCCATGACCTTCCATTTTTAATGGAGTCTAGTTTTAGAACTCGTCCAATTTTTTCATTGACAATGTCAACTAGAAATGCATTCCTAGAGAACATCACTGAAACATTGTACGCCTGCAAATTGTGGATCAAGCATTTAAACATTGCTCTATTCATTAAAGTAACAAAAGGTGTTCTCAGTACATGAGACTCTGTTTTTTAAAAAGGTTCGAGGAGAAATTGTTTCTGTTCAATCACAGAGGAACAGTTTTAGTTACTTATTAAATAAATTTGTGTTCTTTAAATAGATTTGTAGATATTACATATTATTAAATCAATGGTTTTAATTATACTCTCTAGTGATAATTAATAACAGAGAAAGATAAGCTTACTGGGAATGTAAATGTAGAGAGGCCTCCAACTCTAACCAAAGTGAAAAAAGCTTCTGGTACTGCTGTGTGAAGCATGCAAGTAAGTGACTGCCATTGATTCAAACCTAAAGAGTCTCCCACAAACATGATACGCTTTCCCCTCATTTTTGACAAAAATTGTTTGCCATTGAACCTGCATCATCTCATATCAACTTCAAAAAAGATGATCACTTTTCGAAACTTTGTTTAATTTTAATATAATCAATCAAGAAAGACATTATTAGTTGCAATAAAATAACAAGAAAAAGAAAAGAAAGGACCTTGGTAATCTGCATGAAGTGGGTTTCCACCTATAATGGAGATAGAGTGAATCAAGTCTACCATTGTTGTGGCAATCAAATTCTTTGAGAATGAAAGGACAGCCAGTTACATTATAAAGAGGGTAAGAAGCATCATGAACCCATCTTCCTTGATAAAGATCACACCCTTTCCTTTTGGGTTTACCAACTACTTCAATTTGAGCCCCATGCACTTGGTGCATAAAAGCAGCTAGAAGAAACACAGTAGTAATAGCAATTGCTCCCATTGCGCTCACCTCTAATAGATATAGACAGAACTCACCAGTTATATATTTGATGTTGAACAAAGGGAATGCCTATAATTGTAAATTACATTTATAAGGACATGCCTACATTGTAATACTACCCCCAAGAAGGATTTTATTGGGTTTTCATCCTTTTTATTAGGATTTTATTAATAAATGACATTATATTATATTATTACTAATCAACTTAGTTGTTTCCAATGCATTTAATCAAAATGGTAATTAAATTAAAGATTAAATATTTCTTATAATTGCATGAATATATTGTATATATATCTTTACTTTGTATAATTAGTATGTAGCAATATATTATGTGCTAAATTTATATTTAACTCCTCTTTATAATCGTTAGTACTTTAATACATTTTAGAATTGCATTTACCTTTAATCAGCGAAATGAAATTCGTATCTATCACTATAATATACTCTAAATTATCAAATCATATGTAACAATTACATTTGATTTAATTTATCTAATAATTAATTAAACTACATCTTATAATTTCATGAAATGGAATTGAAAAATCCTACATGCATTATTTAAATTTGTCTCTTAAATTTCCTCAATTCTTGGAATATAAAATAATATGTCTTCACTTAAAACATTTCATGAAAAGAAAAGAAAACCGACAAAGCAAAGGAATGTGCTGTTATAACAAACAAACAACCTTGTAAGAAGGACTAAACGACTACTTAAAAAGAAAACATCGAGAGAAAAAGAACGACAGACCGTGATTTGAAATCAACAGTACATCATCAATTTGGGAACAATGATAATAATTTGGGGATATTAGAGTAAAAGAAAACCATGCAATTGAACTACAACTAAAAGAAAAGAAAATACAGAAGGTCGAAATTATTCTTTCTTTTAATTTCAGTCCTACTCTCTTACGGTTGGCCCGATTCTTGGTAACTAGATTTAGATTTCGCTAGTTCATTCGAGTAATCACAGATGGAGAAGTTTTTTTCTTTCATTTAAACAAAACAGACATGATCAAGAATTGGAAATTAGAGCTGGAGAAGATAAAACTTGTCCATTTGCTTTCCTTTAAGCATTCCTGTGAAGTTCATCTCTGCCATTTATCGTTCCAATTGTCATGTAAGATGAGGAGAAACAAGGCTCTCTACATATCTTTCTGCTTCAAACTCAATTCCAACTGGAATCCCATGAATAATCAGATCCTGATAAGTGTCTTCTTTGAAATTGTACATTACTAATTTCCCATCAATCTCTAACAGAGCTCTATGTTTCCCAAAAAGTCCCAACGGTTTCATTCTGAAATATGATATGCTAATCACAATTTTAGTCCAGGACTCGCTTCTTCCATAGCTCTTCATAACCCAGAAGTCATTGTGAGATGTCATATCACTTTCAGGTAATATACATAGACATTCACGGAACACACCTATCCCATAAAAATTTTTGATAGAAACAGGAGGAGGGACATCCCAGAACTTCTCCTCCACTAAATCAAAAGCACCGATGATATGTGACTTGGGTGAATCCTCACTTCTGCTTACTACCCAATGGATAGCTCCATTTAGTTGAATCCCAGGATCAAGTGCAAGAATAGTGTAAGGAAAGTCACCAACTCTTCTCCAGCTATTGGCTTTCAGTGAGTAAACAAAGACAAACCCTTTACAAGAAATTTTCACCAGCTTGTAATCATTAATAGAGTCAGCATACCCAAATCCATACATGTAAGGCAGCGATGATTGAGAAAATGGGCGACGATTGGCTAACCTTGGTATTTCTGCAGCTTCTCTGGTACAAGGATTTATCAACAGTAAGATTCCTGGCTCAGACGCAACACATAATAAGCCATTGCAAGAACCAATGAACTTGACCTCGTCGTAAAAATCACATTTCAATGGATAATCGAGCTTTACTGCTACTGCTCTACCGGGTGCTTCATAGCCTACATAATAAACAGAAGGAAGAGAGAAAGAAGTGAGACAGAGTCTCCATCTCTGGCAGTTGACACAATCATCTATAGTTGCTAGATTAAGATGCATTTTAATAAATTCCGGGTCAGAGATAAGAAAACACCATGATTTGCATACATTCTTGAATCTGCACAGAGATTTAACAGGTAGTCGCAAAAGTATGTGGATGATGACATCCTGAATAAGTTTTGTCATTTTTTGTGCAAGTCAAATAGACTTCTGGTTTAAGATTTTAAGAGGTGATGCACTGAAGTTGGTATATCAACATTTATAGACAACATTCAATAGTTGGCAGGATATTCTTTATCCTGTCGGCATATTAGAAAAGGAAATATCACCATTATATTGGCAAACTCTGGGATCACCGAAGTCAGATTGTCTTTAACATTACTAACCATAGTCTTTATTGATTAATCAAGAAAGTCACTTGCAATTTCAAGGGACTCATTGTTATCTCCATGTCTTGCTCATGGCCTAAGTATCTCAACAGACAAAATAGAGCTATCTAGAGAGATTCTATATGCTAACAGTCATCTCCATTGCAAATACCCAAGAAAAATCACATAAAATGCAGTTACCATAATTTCAAGATCAAACAGTTTTCACCAACTAATCTCTTTTATGACATTTACATCATAATCAAGTTCTTACATCTGTATTTCCCTCCCAAAGTAAGTATTAGGCGAAATTAGACTCTCTACATAGGTAGCAGCTTCAAATCCGCCCCCAATTGGCAATCCCTCAAACTCCAGTGTCTCATATGTTCCTGTTTCCAAATTGTGCTGGACTAACGTTCCATCTAACTCCAGCAAAGCTTCTCCATTCTGGGCCAGACACAATGGCACCATGCATATATATGAGTAGGTGATAGTGACCCTTGTCCAGGACTTGCCCAACCCATATTCACGCATCATCCAAAAATCATTATGCATATCACTTTGACTATAAAGAAGACAGAGACATTCTTTTAGGGTTCCTAACACAAATTCAAAACAATCATCAACATCTGGTACCGGCATATCTTGAAACAATTCATTCTCCAAATTAAAGGCTGAAACTACATACTTGTCATCTTCACTTTCCCTATTTCTCGCCACCCAATGAAGAGCTCCATGAAGAAATACCCCTGCGCCACACACAAAAGAATCATACGGGAAGGTCTTAATTCTTCCCCAACAAGCTGTCCTCATTGAGTAAACACTAAATGCATAAACATTAAAAGCAGAAACAGCACCAATTAGGACCACCTTATAATCATCGGTAGTTGGATCATAACCAAATCCATATGAATTATAGCCATATGGAGCAGACCGAGAAAGGGATTGTTCTGGGATTCTCTTAGACTCTCCAGTGGACGGATTAAATAAGAAAAGAGTATCTTCCTCTGGAGCTATACAAACTAGTCCATTACAAGAACCGAAAATCTCAACCCAAATGTCATCCAATTTTGTGACTTTACTAGAGAACTTAGCATCAACCTTCACAATAACTGGGTTTTCATCTTCATCTTCAGACACCTTATAATATACCAAATCATTTCCCCTGCTATCATCCAACACATCATCCCGGCCATTAGCCTTTTCTTTCAATGGATAATCAAGAGTGACAACAGCTATATCGCGACCATTAGTATTGCATATAGACTCATATTCAACAGAGTACAGATTGCCTGAAGAGAAAATGAGTCTCTGCCTCTGAGAATAGAGGATATTACTCCGGAGAGCTATATCGAGGTGGGCTTTAGCAAATTGTGGACTAGAAATTCGAGAAAGCCATGATTTGGAAATACACCTAAATCTGCAAAGAGATTTAACGGGTAATCGTAAGAGAATTTCTTGAATAACTTCTTGAGGTAGGTTTGGCACCGCGACTTCTCCTTCAAGAGATTGATTCCGTTGTTTGTTGCTTGCCATTATTACCAGTCGGCGTTGTAGAATTTTGGAATTCAAGGATTAGCGTATGCATTTAGCGAAGGGAGATGCGCGACCTCTCTTTAGTTTGTAAAAGAGATGAACGACATACCGCGTTCTAATTGGAACACCGTTAGAGGAACTTAAATGTAAAGCTACAGGTCGTGTGGTGGGAATATAAAATTGCTCCTCACGGTAATCCTTTTCCTTTTTCTTCCACTTTTATTTTACCCTGCTCCTTATTATGACGACCGAAAAAGATCCATTCGCTATTAAACGTAGATTTTTGCTCTTTTGTGGATTTGGGGAGCAAATGTATTAAATTTAAACGTAGAAAACCTTAATTATAGTACAAAGGATATATAAATATATGCCAAACTATAGCAGATATGTGCATGCTGTTGATTGTTTGTAATACAATACCAATAATTACTATTTACATATTTTGATATCGTTTCATAATCTTCGTTTTTAATCTTTCCTTCCATTCCAATAGCCAAAGATTAGAGATTAGAGAATTCCAAGGTTCTAACACTTGAAACACAGCATACTTCACAGGAAATTTCAACAGTATTTCCACCACCATGTCTTCTGGTAGCCTTGACATGGCAGCTGCAGTTTTCATCTTTCAGGATACTCTTCATCTCTTGGAAGAGTTAAACCACCGTCTAAGTACCAAACGACAACTCTTGTGATAAAATACAAACCATTAATTCGGCGTGCCATCAAGAGACATCAAAAACCCAAATTCATATGTATATCACAATAATCAAGAAGCAGGCCAATCAACCAACACCACACCAAAAATGTGAAGACTTAAATTGCAGTGAAAATTGATGGTCCACCCATTTAGAAGAAGGCCTAATACACCCAAACCGCAAATCATGTGTATGTTCTGCATGTTCTATGCAGGTAATAATACAAAAATGTTACTACATGAAATGGAAGATTACTTGTCTCTCTTGCTTCATCCCAGCATTGTTTTTTTTCTTCCTTTCAAGATTATAACATACACTACAAACCTAACTTTGCATTTGAATTTCATTTCCACTTCCACAGTAACCATTAACTGAAATAAGGCTCTCTATGTAAGTTTCTGCACAAACTTTATCCCCAACTGGAATTCCATGAACCACTATTTCCTTACACGAATTCTTCTCCAAATTGCACTGAACTAATCTTCCATCAACTTGCAGTACGGCTTCTCCATTCTTTGCCAAACCCAGCGGCTTCATATGTATATATGAGAGGCTTATGGTGAGCCTAGTCCATGAATTGGTCACCCCATATTCACGCATCACCCAAAAATCGTCATGCATACCCTTCCAGCTATAAATTACACAAAGGCACCCATTTAGAATTCCCGTCACAAGTCCACAGCTGATATCAATATCAGGAGCTGCCATTTCCCAAAATGTCTCCTTTGCAATATCAAAGGCAGAAATTACATATTTGGGTTTTTGGTCCTTTCTGTTAATAACCACCCAATGAAAAGATCCATGAAGAAACATCCAAGAATCGTAAATATCACCATAATAAGGGAACATCCCCATCTCTCTCCAAGAATCATTTTTCAGTGAATATAAAGTAACAACAGCACCAAAGTCAATCTGCAATACCTTGTAATCATCATTAATTGAATCATAACCAAACCCAAACATTGAAGGCCAATTAGTGTCTTTGTCTAGAATTCTTTTGGATTCTCCTGTGGATGGGTTAAGCAAGAAAAGGGCATCTTCATATGGAGATATACAAATCAATATGCACACCAATCCATCACAAGAACCCCAAATCTCAACCCAGTTTCTTGTACATAAAGTATCAACACTTTCAGTATCTACATTTCCATCTTCATCTTCAAACCAATCATTAGGTATATTTTTGAAAGCATAATCATGCTCCTTCACGGGTACTAAACCACTGTCATCATCATTAGCTACGGATTCATATTCAACAGAATAAAGATTGTAATGAGAGAAAATGAGTCTTCGTCTCTTAGAACAAAGGTTTTGATTTTGGAGAGCTAAATTGATATGCGTTTTAGCAAATTCTGAAGTAGAAGTTAGGGAGAGCCAAGATTTGCATACACACCTGAATTTACAGAGAGATTTTACAGGTAATCTCAAGAGAATCTCCCTATGGATTTCTTGAGGGAGGGTTGGCAGCGTAATTTCTCCTTCTTCTCCATCTCCTTCATCTGATTGATTCCTTTGGTTTTTGTTATTAGCCATGGCTATCGCCATTTTGCAATCTTCTCGTTTGTTTTGGGGATTTCTCAAGACGTGAGGGTTTTGAGACGCAAGTTACAAATTTAGCAGTGGTATTGAGGTAAAAGCGGTAGCCGCTGGAATTTCATAAAACGACATCGCTTTGTCATTTTCTTTCTTTATGATTATTATTATTATTGCTATTATGATTATTATTATGATTAAGGTTGTTAAGAATAATTCAGTATACCATTTTTGTTTATTGAAATTTAAAAACATAAATGTCAGACCTTAAACTAAGATTCATAAATATGTCTTGTTTCCTTAACCCTCCGTTTAGATTGCTAAATTTTATAAGAATTCAATTTGAAAAAAAAAAAAAAACTATTTTGTTTATTCTCATACTTAAAATTGAATAATTTATATTCGTCTCCTCATTTGAATTATTCATTATTTGTTCGAAATTAATATCAAATTAAAGGGATTTTAGTTATAATTATAATTTTTCCTGTGATATTTCAGCTTAAGGCGCCATTCGTTCAATGGTTTTTTAAATGAGGGAATGATTTAAATTGGACATGTCATACTTAGAAAGAATGTTTGTTCTGGATATTTGGGTAAATGGGGTACCAACAATGAATCTTCTTGGACTTGGAATCTCCCTGCCATGGATCCTCAGTTTTTGTTGATGGCTGATGCTGCCAGAGTAGTTCATTTCCATTTTTATGTTTCTTTTCTTTTGTTCTTTCTTGTGTTTTCTTTCGGTGCTAGTTTTTACTTTCGTATAAATAATAATAATAATAATAATAATAATAACAATGTATTCTTAGAATTTGTCATAATATCATGCTGCTGCCCCTTCCAATCTTTTTGGAGCATAAAGTGGCAAAAGAAAAATATTGAACCTTAAAAAATTTCCATATTATGATGAGACATCAACTATACAACTTTTAAACAAATTCTCTAGTTTGCCAGTGTTGGGGAGACGATCAGACATTTTAATAGATTCATATCTAATGCAATTTGAGCACATTAACAAGGGCACAGTCATACACTACTAACTTTATAAAATTCCCATGAAATTCACTTAACTCCATTAGTATTATCAGCAGGCCAAATCATTAATTTTCCTTCAAATTGAGAATTTTCCAAGTAGAGGAAGACACAGAAAGTAAACAATCAACTTCCCAGCAAACAACATTTGTGAATTGAACTCCACTATTCCTTATCCATAAGTGCAACAGAGAGATATTTACAAGAGAAAAACAGAAAGGATTAGGCAGTGAAGTTTACAAAGAAGGTGCATGACAAAAGGTTTTTCAGTCTACCTTCTAATTCTCAATTTTGGGTGAGACCAGGCTCTCAATGTAAAGTTCTGCATCAACCCAATTGCCAGAACCATTTGTCACAGGATACCTAAATGTGCCATCTTTGGGATTGTAAATCGCTAAACGGGAATTCAACTCCAGCAAAATTTCACCATTATCAGAAATGAAGTAAGGCACTGAATACTGCAAATGCCCAATCTCAGGCTCAATCAAATATGGTATACTAACCAACTTGGTCCAAGATTCTCTCACTCCATACTCCTTCATGACCCAAATATCAGCACGAACTGCACTGTAATTACACATTACACAAAGACATCCATCCAAAACTCCCAATGACCTAGCATAACCAGGTTCCCCATAGTTAGGTTGCACAATCTCCTTGTATGTCTCCTTTGCTAAATCAAAGGAAACAATAATCCACGTTAACACCGAGTCCCTTTCACACATCACTGGCCAACTTAGACTTCCATTGACATATTTGCCCGAGACATCATAAGGAACTCCATATCTGAAACCCTCAATACTCTTCCAACTTTCGGTCAACCGACTACACACTTTAACTCTAGTATTGTATCCAATAGCTCCATTAACTCCACTACTTTGAAAGCAGAACACAGCTACCACCTTATAATCATCAATTTCCCTATCATAACCAAACCCAAACACAGTATAGCTCCCTGACTTCTTTCCAAAACCTAAATCAGGCATTCTATTAAAAACCCCAGTAGATGGATTCCATAAAGCCACAAAATTTTGCTTCACAGCCACACATAGTACTCCATCCAGAGACCCAACAAGCCAATCATAAACATGATGCCTATGCCTATCCTCTAATGAATAATGGTCAAGCTCAGCAGCATCAGTTTGTGAATTATTAAAGATGGAGTACAGTGAGCAAGATTTTAGGAGATTAAGTGAAAGATCACCATACGTGAAAACAATTCTTTGATAGAGATTGGGCTTGTTTCCTGAGAAAGATTTGATTTTTCTAAGATGGGTTTTGATAAACTCGTGATCTGAAATCAGGGATTTGAATGATTTGGAAACACACCTGAATTGAATTAGAGTTCTAACAGGCAACCAAGAGAGAATTTCCACGAGGATTTCATGGGGTAGGATTGGTAATGGATAAAGCGGATCACATTGGGGTGATTTCTTTGCTTTTTTAGGGTTTTGGAGTAGCGTTCCGGATTCATAGAACAGTGAGCAGTGGTGGTCGTCATGGAGGCGCTTTGGAGGCAGACGATGGAGGGAAGAGGACGGAGACGTTGGTGCCGGGTCTACTGAATGACTCGAAACGTTGGCTAGCTCTTTCTCTTCGTTCATGGCGGGGAGTTGGGGCGTTGCTGAGTTGCGCCGCTAAAGAAAAGCAAATGTACATCGTATGTTGGGCTGAGAGAGAGAGAAGGAAGACCCATTAATTTTTGGGCTCCAAACTGAACACTGTACATTAAAGCAAACAAGCCCTAAAGTGATCTCTTTTGCAGATTTAAAAGCCCTAAAGTAATTACTTAAAGCCAAAAAGAAGAGCTGGGCTGAGAGAGAGGGAAGACCCATTAATTTTTGGGCTCCAAATGACCTGTCTGTGCACCAGTGACTTTTTAATTGCATAATTTATGGGTACATATATAGCCACCAAATGTGTTGTCATCTTCTCTATCATTTTTCTGTGCCTAAAATGATAGTAATAATGTGATAACAATTGAAACAAGCTTCATTGACCATAATGAAATGAAAATATTCCATTTAGACTAACAATATCACTAAATAATACAATATATTCCCCTCCCCAGACCAGCTGGTACTATCAAAACGCGAGAATTCGCCAACTCTTCAGCATGTTAGTAGACAATATGGTGCATTCTAGATTGATTTGATAGTCAAGCTAAAATCACCAGTCATTGACAAGTATTATGTTCAGTAGATTGTGAAATTTTCCCCTGCCATATAACAATCTTCCACTAACTAGCGGCTGAATCTGTACTGCAGATCATATTGAACAGTACATGGCTTCAGGAAAAGCTAAGAAAAGACATTTGAAATTCCTGGTAGGATCTTTTTGGGATAGAGTGACCTTGCCTAAGCAACAGCATCATGGCACTCATACAAGCAAATAATCAGATAGAAAAGCTCCACTGACAATGCCAATCAGGCACAACATGGAAATAAAATCTGCCATCCCAATTGATGACTCTGATAAGAAGTAGATTTTATAAGAGTTGCTGTCCCCTCTAAAGCCTCGTAGAATCATGGCCTGTAAATTCCTTATATCAGGTCATATAAAGGTTGAGGATGAGATAAAATGAGGTAGAGGAAAGTGTCTATATGTAAACCTGAGAAATCTGCTCTGCATGGTTAAAAATATTCTTGAAGATTCGACGTACGTAAGAAGCAAAAACTGCAAGCCAAAGAACAAAGTGAAAAATCGCTAGCATTGTGATGAATATGTTTTCAAGCAAAAGAAAAAACTATTAAGATAAAACTTGAAGTAATCAAATGGGAAACTTTACAAAATTCAAAAAATAGTCTGAGCTCATTCCAGCATACAACCCCAAACACAACATGAACAACAAATTCCCAACCTTTTCACCTCCTCTCTTTTCTTTTTGATTAGGGAAAGGAAAAAACATAAAAAGATATAACCATATGCTTACTATCAATTGTCTCCATCACTGTCAGTTGCTGCCAATTTATCCTACGAGATACAACCCCTAGTGCAACATTACGGACCTGGAAATAAAATACATAGATACTCCATGAGTGTATTGAACAATGATTTTTCAAAAAGGTATGGTAATTGTTATCAGCAAAAATTTCAAGGTTCTGCAATCTTTTTGGCAAAAAATTAAGTAATCGATCCTTCTCTTACCTCATCAAAAACTAGATTGATGAACCTCAAAGACAGTAAGAGAGTAAGAGTAATTTCAGCCACCGGAACTCCAATATATCTCAAAGGAAGCATAAACCACCGCAAGGCAGACACCAATTTTTCCGGAGTTGTGGTTGCCAGACAGAGGCTTGCACTTTGGAAAATCTTTCAGAAAAGTGAACCCACTCCTCAGAATGACCAAAAGTTTTTTTGTTAAACAAAATTCTTACGAGAGTATACTTAACAAGCCAAACTTCGAGAGAAGTTTAGACTGGATGTCAATACTTTCAGCTGAATTAAAACACATGAAATAACATTTTTAAAGCTCTATGATATGACTCCATGTTAAAAATATCTATGATTACACATTCAACCTTGAATGACATCAAAAGCTGCAGGAAACAGGTTCATGAGAACATAATTATCATTGCCCTCCATAATAGAGATAGACAGAGGACCTAATGGATATAAAAGCAACTTACAGTAAATGTTAAGCATGCTGCTGTGCTTGCTACTGATAACCCCTTCCTTGTAAACTGTAATGGTCCTAACTTCACAATCAAATACGAATAACTCCCCAAAGATGCAGGGAGATTAGGCAAGCCCATCATTGCAGGTGGTGGAGTTCTTGACTGGACAAGTGGAGGTGCACTATCTGAACCCAGCCCCAACATTATGAACAGAATTCCAGAAAGCAATGACACCCTTCCCAATTGATCCTATGACAAGATTGCAGAAGGTTTGGCATTTAGTATCACTACAATAATAAGTCCCATGCCATTCAAAATGATAAATGGTCACACGAATAAAATGGGAGGATGAAGAAAAGGAAAATAAGAAACTATAGCAACGTTTCAAATAATTTCCCATAGATACAGATCCATTCAGTTAACAACTTGCTCCCTGTCACTTCAACCAAAATTATTTAACTAAAAAGTAAAAACAACAATCAATATTGTTCTGTCATCTGCAATTAATCAATCATTAGTCATTAAAAAAGAAGCATATCTTATCAAAACATGTGACATCTGGAGCCAAGGGAAAAACAAGAAAAAACTAAAAAAAAAAAAAAAAGACATCAAAACAACCAAAACATGGTACTCCAGTCCATCCATCAAACCTACTAATGTTTTCAAGACAATCACATACAATATCCATGAATCACCAAACATCTACCACGTTGGGCTAAGCTACCTGGGGGGCTGTAGTGTGGAGATGAGAGGGATGTCCTTGGAAATTAGGGGAACAAGACTAGCTCTAGCACATACAGGTTCACATGCTGAGTTCTAACAACTTAATCTCTCGAATTCATTAAGAAGCATTTTGGAAAAATGCGTCAAAAATTTATATAATGGCTGACAAACAACTGTTTGATTTGAATTTCAGAGTACTGTGTTTACCATCCAAACTTGTCTCGGGAGAATCCATATTGACAGAAGAGCAAGGAACACTACCAATCCAAAACGCATTATTAGATGTGATCGTGCTGGTAAAACAACTAAGGCCAAAAGCCATATCTGCATTAGCAAAAAAATAGAGTCAATATGCAGTAGAAATAATTTCTCTCCTCGCAATTAGCAATAGTAAATATGGATAAACAATAGAAATTTAGTCAAGCGTACACGAATAATATCACGACCAATCAAGTAACTAAGGCAACATGCTGAGTTTAGCAACTTTGGGTAGACTTTAAAAGCCATAATCTTTCATTACTAAAACCAGAGTTTAACACTAACCCCAAATTGTTGAAGTATCAGCCTTTGCATAACCCGGCTGAACAAAATTGTTCTTTTTATTTTTTCTAGCGGTACACACTCTTCACTCCAAAAGAGGCCGTCCAAGACGTGTGGAAAAAACCCATGAACTAAATTAAGCTACAATATGAAGAATTAATTATATGAAACAAAATGCCCAAATTGAAGTTTACCAATTTCACTCGAGGATCAACAGAGTGCAGAAATGTAGTGGGTGAAGATATGAACTGGCCAATGGGACTCGCGGTAGCACTCGAAATCAGTCTAAAAATCTTGTCGGCTGCCAAACCACTGGTCGGTAAACGGTTTACCCAGTTCTCCGTCTCACCAGTATTGTTGCCTGAAGCTCTAGTTTTGAAGACCCTCAGCTCCAAATTTTTACGCTTTTTATGAAGGGATATAGCAGGCGTAGAGCCTAGGCGGTATTGAGCGTGAATTTGAGATGAATTATGCGGAATTAAGGTTTTAGGGTTTCGAAATTTGGAGGGCAGAGAAGGGGAAACTGTGGTTAGGATTGTATTGTGCGTGGAGTTCATCGGTCGAGAAGAATGAAAGTGACGAACGCAGCAGAAACAGCAATGGTGTAGCGTAAATCTTCCTAAAACGACGTAACAAACAGTTGCCGTTTGTGAAAGACGATAATAATATAGAAGTCGTTATTAAATCCACGAAAGTGCTGTTGCTATCCAGACGATACGTCGTTTTTCCTCTCAATGGGTGTTGATATGGGTTAACATATATGGCAGCGATAGCAATATTTGGGTTAACATATATAATTAGTGGAAGGTCCAGCTCTTTAGGCTTATTACTCTTTCTTATTATCTCTACTAGACAAATCATTCAACAACATTGCAATTTTACAATCTAATTCAAGCCTCACAACCTAATTACACAATTGGGGTTAATTTAGATAATTTTTATTTTAGATCGCAATTGGGCTAGTTAATTTAGATATTTTTAGTCTAGATAACAATAAAATGTACAGTTGGAGTTACTTCGGACATTTTTGTTTTAGATCACAATCCTACTCATAGGATTGCTCCAAGTCTACGTTCCGGTCTGAATCGCAAAGTAGTTGTTTAGCATGTATACAATAGTTATAGGAATTTAAATTTCTCTACTTATCTGAGAATAAGTTAAGTCTGGTTTGACTTATTGACATTGATTATTTGTTTCTGCATGGAGTCTTCAGAGTCTATTTTTACTTAGTGATATTGATTCTTTGTTTCTGCATGTAGAGTTTTAAGTTCGTCTGAGTCTGACATGGGTTCTAAATCTGAGTCTATTTTGACTTACTAACATTGATTCTTTGTTTCTCCATAGAATTTGGAGTTCGAGTATGAGTTTTTTTTTTATTTACTGACGTTAATTTTTTACTTCTTTGTTTCTGCATGGGATTTCATATTTCTGGATGGGATTTATGAGTTTCATGTCTGAGTCTGTTTTGACTCGTTGACATTGATTCTTTATTCTATACATGATTTGTATGGGGTTTTGGCTTACTGAGTCAAGATATTAATTCTTCTTTATTACTATATTACTTGGATGGAATTTATAAGTTTCAGTCTGAATTTGAGTCTGAGTTTCAGTCTGTTTCAACTTATTGATATTGATTCTTTATTTCTATACTACTTGGATTGGAATTTCTAGAGTTTCAGTCTAAATTTAAGTCTGAATCTTAGTCTGTTTCGAATTACTGAGATTGATTCTTTATTTTTATGTAATTTAGATTTAGATATAGAGCTATTCTCTTTCTTAAAAAATTATTATTTTGCATTCGACTAAATTACATTATAGTTTTCGCAACTAAAAGCAAATTAAATATTGATATAAGCCTAAAAAACAAACTAAATTAGGAGACATTTAGTCCATCTTGTGTATTTGTATAAAGGAAATATCTGAAAGTTGCAGTTTATCGTAACCGCCAGACCATTGACACGCTTATCACGCAGGGAGATATCAGAGAAAAATGGATCATCTTCTTCCAGAAATCACAGAGGATATCCTTTCAAGGTTGCCCATTAAATCTCTCGTTCGCTTCCAAAGTGCATCCAAAACATGGTACGCTCTGATCTCCGATTCTTACTTTGGTAATCTTCACTTCAGTCGATTATCCAAGAATCCTAAACTCCTTATATTCAATGGCTTTGGCTTCAAATCCTTAGCTTGCGAAACACCACTTAACGATAGCGGTGCATTAGTAGATCTCGCATTTCCTGGCGAAAGACATGACTGGCTTCCCGAAATTATTGGTTCAAGCCATGGATTAATTTGTATAACAACTGATCGTTGTGAACGATTCTATGTATGGAATCCGTCTACCGGGAGTTGTAGAAGAATTCCAAATCTTGGCTATCCGATAAACGGGTGTACTGATTATCTACATGGGTTTGGTTATGATTCTTCTTCTAATGAGTTCAAGGTTGTTGTATCATTAACTCGTAGTACAATTAATCAAAAAACTATTTATAATGTTTTCTCTTCGAAAACAAATTCCTGGAAAAAGATTGTATACCCTTATCGTCAGGAATATTACCTTCCTTATTGCAGTCCAAATTTATATGCAAGCCTTGGAACTTATACTAATGGAGCTCTACATTGGCTAGTGACTAAAATATCCCCGATGGATAGAACAAGACTTGATAATCAAATTATTGCTTTTGATTTAGCAAATGAAAAATTCCGGAAGGTGCCAATTCCAGTGAAGTTTAGACTTTATGAATACATATGTAAGTTGCATAAACCTGGTGGAGCATGGAGGATTCCTTTGTATTGCAGTTTCGCCTCTTCCAGATTACCGTAAGATAGTAATGTGGAAGATGATGGACTATGGAGTGAAGAAATCTTGGACTAAATGGCTCACTGTTCGGCGATTCAACTATGCTAAACCACTTTATATTTCTAGTTCCGATGAAGTTGTAATGCTTGCTAATAATAGATTTTACAAGTACAACAAGAAGAACAAGGAGAAGTCAGAAATCAGTGTAAACCCATATATCTTTCGTGCAGCTACTCTGTTTGTTGACTCTATAATCTCACCCGGAGGCGAAGAATATGATTGGCAGAGCCAAAATCAAAAGCCAAGCACAAAAAGGAAACGCTTTGGCTGAATTTATTCTCCAGGATGATTTTGCTTCTGGGAACTTGGGAGTTTAAACATCAAGAGCTTGTCGGTTTGTTTCTTTCCCTGCTCATCTTTATTGTACTCTGCATTTCTAGAATATTAATGTTTTGTTTCTGTTATATAATAACTGCCCCCTGAACTCCAAGTTTATGTATGGGCAGATTCATATTAGGACTCTGTTGCTAGTTAATTTATATTCATCGTTGTGTTGTACTCATGAGGGATATTTTGTGCTTTTAGTTACTTGTTTCTGCAAATTTATGAAATCCTTGGATTGTGAAACACATTTCAACTATAGTTGTGCTTGGGCATTAGTGTATCTCAAGCTTTAACTTTCACTGCTTAAATCAAATATAAAAAATATACATAAAACAAATACAAAAAAATAACAACATTCACAACACAATTATATGGCACCGGTGGACATTAATGTTAAAGACAGCATTTGGCTTTGAAGGATCAAATTTTGCTTAGGCCCTGTTTCGTGCGCTGACATCTTCCACCCCGGCAAAGATAGCACCAGTGCAGAACAACTGGGTAGCGCTTACTATGATTGTCACAACTTCTAGAGTGCGCTGTTTATCAATATAGCAAATGCCATATTAGAAACTATGTAAGTTTAGTTTTTGTTCTATCTAATGCATCTCTTGGGTCATAATAACTTAGCAATCTATAGTTGAATGCTTGAGTGAACAAAGTTTTTGTTCATCAAAATTGGCTTTGTATTGAGTAAGAGTGGGCTTACCAAGTTGGAATCCATCCAGCCTAAGTCAATCTCTTTACAGGCCAATCTGCAAAACAAACAAAATTGCATAACATTGTAAAAAATTTGACTTAAATTTGGAATTTAGAACAAGAAATGAGAAAAAACAGAGAAATTAGCATAAATGTCAACCCCATGGCTAGCAGAGTGAGTGACAAGGTTGTCACAGAAGAGGCAGCAGCAGCATGTAAATTTGGAACATTCCATTGGACAATGTTATGGAGTCCGGTTAGCGAGGTAGCGCTGCCCACAATTCCGGCAAGGAGGGAGAAAATGATGAAGAAACCAGTTGCCATGTTTCCCATTGGGAAGTATATCGGAAATATGTGAGCCGGAATTGATAAAACAGATGCTGCATATGCAAATAGGTTAAGCACAAGTTAATAGTTGTTGTTTCATGATTAACTGAATACGTTTATTCATCTATCTGAATTACCTGCTTCACGAGACCTCTTGATCCCATGATTAACAGACCATGAAGAAATTACTATTATAATGAAGTACAGCGCGAGATTCACAAACAAGAGCAAGACTGCTGCTGTTTTGGATGCTCCTGAAGCCATGACCTTGCTCAAATTAGAAGCAAAATTATAAGACTACGTGTTCTTCTGCCACCCGTAATGAGCTCAGTGGAGAATTATCTATGTCTATATATGTGTGCAATACAGGGAGTTGTTCTGTTCCTAACCATATATATATATATATATTTCCAAGTATAATTCTCTTTGCTTGCTGAATGGAGTGTCTTAATTTGCAAGAAATGTCTTCAATTCCTAACCCTTACTCTACTTGCCTCATTCGAGGGGAAGGAATCAAATTAATTCATGAATAGGGAGTTGGGGACCACTTTTCTGGAATAATGGAACCTTTTTTCCTGCTCTGCAGACAATGGAGGAATAAAGTTCACTTGTAATTCCATGTCTGCTCTGTTGCACTATTAACTAATAGTATGCACTCTTCCTTTCGCTTCTCCTTCTATTTTTGACAGAAAAACTGTTCTGCATTTCTGGAAAAATTCGTGAAAATGGGCAAATTCTGGCATGAACATGCTTCCAATTGGCATTTATTCTTCCATCAATCTTCTGTTCTAACTGGTAAAGGTAAAGGAAGAAAGTGCATTGTAAAGAGAATTAACAGAAGAAATGGTGGTCACTCCCCTTTCTGGCAGCACGCCGGTTTCCATATTTTTTTGTCCTTTTCCCTTTCAATAAAAACAGAGTATAGAAAACTAACATATGGAATGTTGATATAACAATTGATACAAAAAGCCTAATGAAACAAATCCAGATGATCAATGTGATATCACCAAATTAAAATACCCATAAATTGTCAAGAAGCAGGAGAAAAAGGTCCAAGATGCCAATGGTACAAAATATCAATTAATTGCCCATAATACCAAACAACTCTAATGCATATGATGTTTTTCCATCTGAAAGGCCATTAAGAGCTTGGGCATGAACAATCTATTCACATCAGGACCTTTATTTACAAAGATCACTGAAGAAGCAAAAACTTTTCCGTGCACAGGCCAACTAAATTTGAGTGATTACTTCCTAAGCTCTTCAACCAACTAAAGATTAAACTTTTAAGGACAACTTCTGAGCCGCAAGAGCTTCGGCCTCCAGTGTTGGTTCCCACAAAAGTGTAGTCTCTGCCAGTAATGAGGTCACCACGTAAGGGTCCATGTTTGAGGCTGGGCGTCGATCTTCCAAATAACCTAATAACACAAAAAGGAAAGACTGGAAATTTAGCAACGCAGACGTACAATTGCAGGTCTAAGACCTCTACATTTTGCTATCTGTGTAGTACCTTTGCCATTCTTCTCAGTATCACGGCCAACCCGGATCGAGCAACCACGATTAGCCACTCCCTGCAAATTTCAATTTGACAAAATCAGCACCACATGGCAAAGGACATGTTTTTTTTATTCATTGTCTTTTTTAGAATTTAATAGAAATATCCTAAGCATACCCAGGAAAATGTGTCAATACTGGCTGTTTCATGCTTTCCAGTCAACCTTCTCTCATTTCCCTCACCATAGGCACTAATATGTTCCCTATGGCGAAGAGATAGATTCAGAATCGCTTTCTTTATCACTTCATAGCCACCATCTTCCCTCATGCTCTTCGTGCTGAAAAACAAAATTAATATAATCAACATAATTCTCATAAATTTAGCTTCATTCATCGCAAGAGTTCATATTAATATCAAGTAGCATCATAATGCCTGTAGTTGGTGTGGCATCCTGCACCATTCCAGTCACCCTGTTAGCACATAGAAGGGAGAGTTTTAAATAGTTTTCTCAAAATACTTCTGCTTCAATAAAGGAAAAAAGCCAATTACATCACCTCTATTGGTTTTGGATCAAGCGTGAGAACGACACCAGCTTGTTCAGTGATTCTCTGTCAGAGCAGAAGATAAACAAAACATGTTAGAACACACAACCCCTCATCCGAAACCAGCTTGAATTTTTCATCTTTCTTGTTTGGTCTGTTTCAAAACTTGTTAGCCTCGTCAAAGCTAGAGTCAAAGCTAGAATCAAAGGATCCAAAACAGAAATCTTAAAGTGCAGCAGAGAACTATTTAGGGAAAAAGCACCAAGTTGTACTTGATTTATTTGAAAACAATCGGTTATGAGCTTGTTTACTTACAAAATAAAATGTGGCAAAATCTACCACTTGATGAATTTTAATAGGATAATGAAAGAAAACATATGGAGTCGAAGAGATGCATTTCTAGGTATCAGTTCTGTTCTCATAAAGTTTCACTTCTTCCAATCTATTGAAACACCATTTATCAATAAATTACCTCAAGAATGTATCTTGAACACCAGATATGATCTCCAGCTTCAATTCCCACACTGGGACCCACCTGATACTCCCACTGCATAACATTGAAAACTTAAGATAGTGATGAAACAGAACGAGCATACTTTCATCATTACTGAGTTGTCTACCATAATCCATAAAAGCTAATGGTGAAAGGTAAACCTGGCCGGGCATAACTTCCCCATTGGTACCACTAATGTTAATTCCAGCATATAAACAAGCCTTATAGTGAGCATCCGATATGTCACGACCAAAGGACTTATCAGCACCGGCTCCACAGTAATAAGGACCCTGAAACAAAATTAAAGGAGCTTTGCACCTTAAAATGTTATCTTATGTAAATGATGCTAACATAAGAGTTGAACTTATTGCAAGCTTACCTGAGGACCAGGATAGGCTCCAACAGGCCAGCCCAAAGGCCACTTCACATTTGGTTGGAGCAAGGTGTACTCTTGCTCTATCCCAAACCTAGAATCATCAATAACAAAATATAGTACCTTTAGTATTACAATGCAAATCGCTAACTTGTTCATGATAACTCCTGAATCAACTCATAATAATACAAACGAGGCAAAATAATACCAATGGAAGTATAAAGCTCTGAAACAATCAGAGCTGAAAGTCACCAAATTAGTAAAATCATGGTCATTTAAATTAATAGGCATATCAACTTGAATAGTGAGGCCAGGAACAGACCCAGATAACTCAAAAGGACATACCATGGCACTTCATCTACAACCTTCTGCTTACTGAAAATCTGGGCAGCACGGTGTCGTTTGTTTGTAGGGATAGGCTCACCTGATGGCGTGTATGAGTCACAAATTACCTTTTAGACAAACAAAACAACATCAGTTAGGCAACTGTGTGGTTCAAGTTCAGCGAGAATTTGATTTTTCAGAACCATAAGTGCTAGCTAGCTCAAAATAACACCCACCAAGATATTGTTACCTCCACGGAATGGATCCTTGAAAATTGCTTGAGGGCTGGATAAAATATTAAGTCAAAACTATTGCTTGATAAAACAAATACAGAAAGTTGCCAACTTTTTTTACTAGATCTTACTATAGAATAACTTCACTATCCTCTCCTGGTGCTTGTCCAGTACTTGATCCATCATAATTCCACTTAGGAAGTTCGGATGGATGTCCCACAGGCTTTGAGATCGTCTGAGAACATATACAGCAATTCAATAGTTATGCATACAACTAACCATTATATCAAAACATGTGAAATTTATTCCATTATGTAACATTGTAACTTTTCTAATACCCTTGACTTGCTTCGCACATCAATACCAGATCCTCCAATCCTGTTTCAAAATGATGGAGCATTACTAGTGACCAACTGTGAACATATAAGAAATTGGATAGAATTGTTATTGTCCATAAACATAATATAGAAAATAATTCTATACCAAATATACTCCGCAATGATCTTGTCAGTGTACGGGGTGATGTCCAAATTGAGGAGATCCTCAAGCCTATTGATGGTACTGTTGTCAGACTTCATGGCAAATACTCTAAGTCTGGCAGTGTTTCTAGCTGTTCCCTTCTTGTTCTGCTTTAAAAATAGAGAATTAAACATCTTTGCTGTCAAGGGACTCATGGGCGTCGAGTTCTTTTGTATTCTCATCTGCCATTGTGTGGAGGGCGCCAAGATTTGTGCCATTTTCACCTACTCCTTGCTGGAAAATTAGAACAAGTTTAACTAAGAAAATAACAACTGGAAAACTCAGAACATTATATTCTGATGTTTAATGAGAAAGATAAACCAAAAAGATCATGATGCATCAACTACAAAACTGATCAAGGAATTTACGCACTTTAGATCTCCTGCAAGTAGTATAAATTCCTTGCAACAGGGAACCCTCTAACTTAATTCCATTTCTTTGACTATAACATGGACCACAAGATGGTATTTTCACCTTCGTAGCCTAGTTCTGCCAGCTCTGGCAATTAGAAGGTTTTCAAGGCGATCTAAACTGTTCCTAACAGCCATTTCACTATAACAAACAGTAGTTGACATTGTTCTGTGGTTTACATAATGAGGAGTTGTTGTCAACAGAGTCAACCATGCAATATATCCTATATGGCTTTTGGAATTAAAATAATTCACAAGGACATATCAGTTTGACCTCAAGCAATCCAAATCACAGGGATTTTTTTTTTTTTTTAAGAATTGTTATTTCTTATGTAATTTTAGAGGCAAAGAAGCTTCAATTGCACAACTTGTGATAAAGTGCAAAGAACATATGGCATTAGACAAAAACAAAGAAGTGAAGTCCAAAGATGTCAATTGGATGGCCAAGATCTACTGAATATGCTGGCATAACATCCTATCATTCCTCACGTGGACCAGGTCAATTAGTGGCATATAAAGTGCACCTTCTATTTGATTGACCAAAAGGTCCCGAACACAGTGTAGGATCCTGCTTCCTAGCTAAAATAAACTGTAGAGCAATGATAATATCTCATGAAAGATTGGTAGGTAAAATGATAGATTCATTCACCTTTGTTAACAAAACTATACCAGAACTTTAACGTAAAGGAAAAACAGAAAACAAAAAGAAATGAGGTAGATCTTCATTATGCTCTCTCTCTCCACTCTGCACTCCAACTTCATTGCAATTTATAGATATCTATTGTACCATGTGTCAGATAGTTATTGCCTAATGTCAAAAAACCTTTCAGCCATTTTCTCTATTTCTCAGACTATTTGCCAAAGAATAGATTTTTAAGGGTTGACAGGGAAAATGAATTACCTTTAAGCCGCCTGAAAAGGCAGGAAGACAAGCAAGAATATGGGTCTTGCAGATCTTGCCTCTGGGTTTGTGTATTGAGAGTGAGGGAGAGAGTGAGAGCAGTTTCAGCAGCTGCAAAAGTCTTATTATAAAAGAGGCATTTACAGTAAAACAAAAAATTTCTCTTGGCTTTTCCTGAGTAGATAGGGGTGTCCTATGAGTGGAGGAAATTCGTTGCTAGACTCTTTATTGGCACCAAGAGAAGCTTGGACTACAATTTCATTTTTATAGATAAGGCTCTCATATTCTCTCTCTACCCCATCACAGTCTCAAAGAAGAAATTCAAATTAATTATTATTTCAATGCAGATTAAACCATGATTACATTAACAATGATTGTTACATTGCTAATCTGAGGCTTCCTATGACATAAGTTATGCTTCCAAGAACAAGAAAGGACACATCAGAATTAAAAAATTATAACGACAATAAAATATTATTAAAAAAAAAAAGCTGCAAGATTTACCTAGACAAATGTTAGAGGTGTCTTTTTTCTCCTGAGCAGCTTCAGACTAAGCAAAGAATCTTTATATGTTCTCCTTTCACTAACGCTGCTGTATTCTTGGTCGGTACACCTAAATTCAAGCCATTCAACCTTTTCTTTACAATATTATTATTCCTTAACATGGGCTGGACCGGAACTGGGCCTGTATCTATTCGCTAAATCTGGTTTGATTTCAGTTCCGGTCCAAATCAGCCCGTGGCCATGCATAACTGTTTTCAAAAGTTTCGTCATTTTAAGCTGTGACCAAACTCCGACATGAATTTGCAGAACGACACAGATAATGTTAGATCGTTTTCTTTCCGGAAACATAGTTAGGGCAGGTTCCTACCTGAATTTGTCCAAGAACATGCGTGACACGGCGGTTATGGCCATTTGTCAGAGAAGAAAAATGGAAAACCACCGCCATGCTAAAAAACGACAGGACTTCCTAGTTTGGAGGTCTCCGGTTACAGATCTGAAAACGTCTTGTCGTCTACAACAGTAATCATAATTTAAAATGGTATTGGATTCTGATCCTTAATCTTTCTTTAATCTTATCAACCTACCTTCAAAATTATAAACATGATTCCTTTTAAAAAATTACTATAATCAGTAATTATTTAATTTCGGAAAAAGGAAAATTTTGGCAAAAAAGGTAATTAGATGTAAAATGGGAATAGATGCAAAAAGAAGAAAATAAATAAATAGAATGAATGGAAGGGAGTTTGGTATTAATAGATGTCAATTGATTATTGGTCAATTGTAGCTTAGATCTGGTTGTATGGAAGTGAGCTGGTTGGTGTTCGATGGTGAGCCTTTTTCTGTTCTGAAATTGTCCAAACCAGAAATAGAATAGTGGTTGATGATGATGACATTTTATATTGCGCTTTTGGGACCACCGGATAAGCAGGCCTTCGAATAGAGGTGCACATGTTTAAATCTCCTTTTTGTTTTTTTCTTTATAAATTATATTTATTTATGTATTTTACCATTTATTATCTAATAGATCTAGTGGCTCATGATGCTTTCATTTGGGATTCTAAACTGTGGATGAGTTATTCATGAGTTGGTTGATGCTTGTCTTCATTTATATATTAAAAAAAAAAAAAAAAACCAACCAGAAATAGATAGATACGTGGCTTCTGAAATTGATGATGCACATTTTTTATCTGCGCTTTTGGTACCACCGCAATAAGCCAGGCCCTTCGCGAATAGAGGTTGCCAACATGTTTTAAAATCTCCTTTTTGTTTTTTTCTTTATAAATTATATTATTTATGTCTATTTTTACCATTTATTATCTAAACTAGATACTAGCTTCGCGCTCATGATTCGCTTATTCACTTGGATTCTAAACTGTGGATGAGAATTATTCATGACGTTGGTTCTTGATGCTATGTCTTTCATCTTCTATATAATTAAAAAAAAAAAAAAAAAAAACGCATTTGGTATACTTTCCAACCGAGTTAAATATTGAACCTATGTTTACAATGACATTTTAAAAAATTATTTTTAAGACTAGTTATTAATTTCATTTTATTATACCAAAATTAACTGATTTATAGCCGTTTTAAAAGCTAAAAAGTTAGCCTAAAAAAGTTGTTTTCCGAAAACATTATCTCCACTAATGGAGGACCAAGTAAAACATTCATTTATATATTAAAAAAAAAAAAAAAAGCATTTGGTATATTTAACGAGTTAAATTTGAACCTACTGTTAAATGCATTTTAAAAAATTTTTTTAAGATAGTATTAATATTTTATTATACAAAATTAACTGTTTTAATAGCGTTTAAAAAGCTAAAAGTTAGCTAAAAAGTTGTTTCCGAAACATATCCCATAATGGAGGACCAAGTAAAAAACATTTTGATACAAAGAAGCAAATACAAGATAACCCACAAAAGTGCAAAACGAAGTAAACAGAGAGCAACGTAACTTCCAAAGCCAGAAAACACAAGAACACTATCATATGTACTCATAATTATTATAAACTCCAATTACTTTGAGTTAAGGTATCATTTTACACAAGAATGGCATCAACCCCAATCAAGATTCTTTTATCATATTTCTTGTCACCACACTAATTTTCATCAAGACATTAATAGTCATGACCATCCTCTAAATAGAACTATTTTAAACATTAAGATCCCCTACAAAAGGGAAATCATTGAGTTTTCAAGAATTCAAATTGGGTAGTTACTATAAGACCAAAAATTTTCTGAGAAGTGGCATGAGTTGTCTATAATTTTAGAGGCAACATGAATAGCATTCATGTTGTTGACAGGAAATGATAAAATTGGAGCCATTAAAAATTGGTAAGGTGGGTAATAATAGGTAATATCTCATTATCATGGAATTTTAAAAGAAGGTATATAGTCATCATCAATTCATCATAGTGTTTACCTTTCTATTATGTCTTTTTATAAAACTTCTTAAAAATATATTAAAAAACAAAAAATCTTTGATCAAAAGTTAGGCATTTTTAAAAACCCAACTAGCCCTTGTCAATCTTTTTTTTTTTTTTCATATATATACCTAACTTCTCTTGCAAAAAGTTTCCATTTTCATATGTAATTTCAATCAAATTTTTGCACTTTTTAATATTATAAAAATGGATCCAAATCAAATTTATTATCAGGTAGTACATGTACTTGTCACTATGTTATATGTCCGAATATAAAATTTTGCTACTTGAACTAATAGGCCTATGGGCTATGACTTGGAACCTTAAGTGCTAATAAGACCATCATTTGACTTGTTTCGTTTTTTATATTTTTGGAGAGAAAATCCATAGAAACTTCAATTAGAGTGTTGTTTTTACATAAGTGATTGATACACATATTGTCCACAATTATGGGAACTTCAAAAATATCCTTACATTCCAAAAAAAAGCATTCTACATTCTCTTATAAAACCTTGTAAAGTGATTTGAAATAAAAAGAAAAAATTTTGAAGAAAAATAATATATTAATGAATTCAATAAAGTTGGGCCTAAGCCCTTTGGGTCCAATGAAATTGTCCACACACGTGCAAGGCCCACACAAGCTCCAGTATTGGAACGTGTGTGAAGAGCCATCGTTTTGGGCAGAGAAAGATAGAGACAGAGGCGTTGATTGGAAAGGAAAAATTTTTATTTTATTTTCTTGTGGGATTACGATGAAAAGAATAACACGGAATGGAATTTTGGAAAACACCCACAGCATGAAAAACAAAAACAGGTTAAAAACATTCACAGAGGCCGGTCCCTTCTTCTTCTTCTTCCTTTCCTCTTCTTCCTCTTTCTCTGTCTGATAAAATCAGCTTCAGATACAGAGCACGCAGAGTATCTTCTCTGTTCTTTTGTCCCTTTCTTCTGTTCTTCTCTTCTGTCGTTTTTGTTTTTATTACTATTTTAAATATTATACGGCCTTATATATTTTATTACTTCATTTACTAAATTACTAGAATTAAAACAGCTAAAACAGAGGGAAATCACGAGAGACAAACTGAGAGAAGAAGGGATCAAACTTTATTGTTTTGAATCTCTATGGAGCAGCTTGTCAACTTTATCATACGGCCCCCCAGGTAACCATTTTCGCTATATTTATACCGACTTTGGTATTTAGTCAGTTTGGTTCCTGAGAAAAAGGAAATATAATTTGAATCTCCTTGATCTGGTATGTGGGTTGAAATAAAATTTAATATCCTTTTCATAATTGAGTATAATTTTAAAGTTTAAGGGTAAGTAAGGGATCAACGTAGTGCTGGAGATTCGAATTTGATCTGATTTTTATGTTTTTTACTCATATCGGTCTTCTTGGCTGGTGAAGATTGCCTTAATTTTGATTTAGAATTGGTGCATAGCTTTGGATTCAAATAATGTAGTTTGAACGTTAAGAATTCGAGATCTCTCCACTACTGAAGATTTGCAACTTTTTTTTCTGCAAATTCCCATATTGGTTGGCCATTATATTTGATAGGTTTTGATGTTCTTATGCGAAATTCATTATATATTTTCAATCTGGTCAAATTTCTCCATCCGCATATATATAGCACCTAGTGGTAATTTGGTATTTTTTTTCTCATGTTCTGTTGAAAATTGGTATTATTTGTCTATTTAAGTAGTTTCATAGTTCACATTCAATTTCTTTTATAGGTTCGGCATGTGAGTCTCAATACTTTTTGGTTAACTTTCTTGTATTAACTTGAACTTTGTACTTTTAGTGCAATTCTTGTGATGCTGATAGCGTGGACAACAAATGAACTTCTTGAGAATTCTGAGAAAGACACTAGTCATAGAAAAATTGACGTTAATGACTGGGTTGTTCTACTGAAATTTAGATAAGACTTCTGAATGGCATAGATGGTTTTTTAGACTCTAAGGAGTATTTGAATTGTAATTAAGTCAAACTGTCATTATTATTAGTAAACTAGCTCCACAGATTCTATTTTTCTCATTCAGTGATATCATTCATCTGGATAAATCTTATGATAATAAGCAGATACGCATCAGATGACCAAAAAAAAAAAGGGTAATTGCTGTGTCTTGATTGTTCATGAGTTTCAATGTTTCTTTTAATTTAGAGAATAAGTAGTTTGTAGCAGTAGAATTATCAAAGTTCTTGAAATAGTCCAGAAATTTTGAATTGAATGCTTTATGGAAAAAAGAAATTTAAAGTTGCAACATTTCAATTCTGCTGTATTGGTGCACTGCAGTCTCTGGTTTTGAAGTTAAGTGAGAATGACATGCACCTTTATGGAATACCTGTACGTTTTACAATGTCAAAGGAGGATCTTATATTTACTGTGTCTTGTATATGTTTTTGGACTGCAGGGCTGAGTACAATCCAAAACATGACTTGTTGGATCAAGAGTTTATGCTGAAAGGGAAATGGTACCAAAGAAAGGATTTTGAGGTAAATCAACAGATTATTCCTGTTAGGACAATGATTTTCAATATGATTTTCCTCCCTTTCTTGGAAAGGTTTTACTCGTTTGCTTTCACCAACTATATGTCAACTAGCTAAGAAAATGGACGAAACAAGCAGCCACTGAAGAGTGAAAAATGTAAATTCCAATATATTTAAGGCACTATGTGAGCTTTATATTCATTCATTGGGAGCATAAAAAATGAGGGTTGGCTATACAGGGGAGGTTGCTATGGTACCCAGATCGGGCCTGTGCCCCAGCCGACACAAAAAATTGTGGATACACGCACGCCCACTATAATTGAGAGATCCAATACGGGACTGCATATGTAGGCAAGAACTTAGCATATCCATAAATTAATTTTTCTTATGGTTTTAATCCTTCCTTTTTAATGAATTATGTTATGATGGTAAGATATGACCGAACAGTTTTCTGTTTATTGCAACTTCTTCATCATCAACTTTTTGTTAATAAACTTATCCGCATTAATTTCCTTGTTTTTGAAATATTCTTGCCTTCTTTTTTGATTTATCTCTCAAAGTCCTTATTCCTTTTCCAAAACTTGAAGTCTTGAATGATTATGTGGCTTGTTTATGAGGCACTTTGTATTCTGCAGATTAAAAATAGCCGAGGAGATGTTCTTCAATGTAGTCATTATGTACCCATTGTTACTCCTGAAGGAAAGCCTCTGCCTTGCGTGATATACTGTCATGGAAATAGGTACCTGGGAGTCATTTTTGAATAGAATGCACATAATTGTTTGTTATGGTTTAATTTTATGAATATTCTACAGCATTTTGGCAGGCATTTCAGAATTTGGATGTTGATTTATGATTTTATAAATCACATTACAAAAGTCAAAAATTTTCCCCTTTCTGTACACCGTGTATCTTATCTTGAAAAATAAGCAAATCTTTCAGATGTTAACAATTGTATTGGCCTGTTAGTAAGTTGGCATTACAATAGAGGGGTTGAAAGTGGGTCCAATCATTTGAGCTAGGGGCAGCTTACAGAGAAATGGTGGATTAAGTTGAATTGCCAGCTTTTCTTTTGTTGAATTGATCATTACTGATTGATGGCATGTCTTTGCTTTTTGCAGTGGTTGCAGGGCCGATGCTAGTGAAGCTGCTATTATACTGCTGCCTTCAAATATCACAGTTTTTGCTCTTGATTTCTCAGGATCTGGACTTTCTGGAGGAGAGCATGTCACTCTGGGGTGGAATGAAGTAAGTGCCTGATCATCTTATCAAATGTATTTGATCACTGAACCAGGATGTTGATTTTTCAACCACATCATTCTCCCTCTCCCTTTTAATCAATGCATTGTATACTGGCATTATGTTCATATTTCTTTACAATCTTTCCATTCTTACTTCTCTCATCATATTACCTTTTCTTTTCTTCCTTTTGAAATTGATTATTTCTACTGATCATTGTAAATTTACCATCTTATGTTCTTGGGTTGCTTTTCCAGAAAGATGACCTCAGGGCCGTGGTTGATTATCTGCGGCAAGATGGAAATGTCTCTTTGATTGGCTTATGGGGCCGCTCAATGGGTGCCGTCACCAGGTTGTCTTTGTGAACTCGCTGTCACTCCTTTAGTATATCCAGAATTTAAAATAGAGGAGACTCCTTTTCTTTCTTGACTTATGGAACACATTGCTGGAAAATTTAATTGAACTTTATGTTATAACTGTGTACCGGTGTCTGTTTTTGTACTCATGCAACCTTTTTTAACTTCTGTTTTTCGCCCTGTTGAATGGCATGGATTGTTTTTTTACAGCTTAATGTATGGAGCTGAGGATCCCTCAATTGCAGGAATGGTTCTTGACAGTCCCTTTTCTGATTTGGTTGACTTGATGATGGAACTTGGCGATACGTATAAATTTCGTTTTCCCAAATTCACTGTGAGTGGCCCTGTTTGGCTCATATCCTTGTATATCTTCCATGGATTGTCGACTTCACATGTTCATGCAATAATCATGTTTACACTTCTTTTTATTGGTTTATTGGCTCAGGTGAAGCCATGTTTCAACCTTCTATTAATCTCAGCTTCTTTAAAAATTTTGTATATTTTGCACCCATATATATCTGCCTTTGTTGTTGCCCCAAGTAAAAACGCAACCATTAATCTTTTTGACTGTTTACACATGTTCTACAAGGAACTTCAAGTCAGCTCTTATATTATCTGCGACCTTAACTTTTTCTGTTTCTTGTTTTAGGTGAAGTTTGCAATCCAATATATGCGGAAAACTATCCAGAAAAAGGCAAAGTTTGATATAATGGACCTGAACACTATCAAGGTTCTGTTCTTCCTCATTTACTAGATTGTATACCAGGATTATTGTAGTAAAAGACTTGTTAATAAATATGGACTTCTGTGATGGATTTGAATATATCAATTATCAAGTAAAAGTTTGCATTACCTATTGAAGCTTCTGGTCCATATCCATGTTGAATTCTTTTCTGTGGTCTTTTAATAATCGCAAACTCTGTCTGAGAATCTTATTCTTATATTAAGCCTAAATCCAATCTAGTGATGGTCTATTTGATGATTAATCATAAGCTTTTAGGATTTAGATCTAACTTAATTTCTACTGTAGTCACTAGTTCCTTTGATAAATTACCAAGTGGGTTGGCAGTACTCTAATTCGATGACTTATGATATCAGTTCAAACAAAATTTGATATATAGAGTGCTATTAGATATCAGAGATGACTTAATTAATGTGCTAAGTTTAGGAGCAGGAATAAGCCTTCTGAAAATATTGTAGCAAACCATATTCAAATCATTAAGAGGTGCAAAAGGAAGTAACGAATTTGTTTGATAAATAAAAACAAATAATTCTTCAAGTCTTCATCGGTGTCAATTTCGTAATCTTATTTGTTTTATCCCAATCGTCTTTGTATTAGGTGGCAAAATCTTGCTTTGTTCCGGCTTTATTTGGGCATGCCAGTGATGATGATTTTATACAACCTCATCACTCGGATCGTATATTTGAAGCTTATGAGGTAACTTTTTCTTATCAATAACAAACACTTGAAAGAATTTATGTACTAATTGTTCAGAATTTCAAACTTAAGTTCTGAGGATTGTTAATCCTGTCAAATATCAACATTTACGATCTATATTTAATTTATCTTTTTTAAAAATTTCTTTTGTGAGAAGTGCTTGTCAGTTATCCTAGGTAATGATGTTGGAAAAGTGTGTCAAATTACTTTATGTATGCCTTTCCTTTCTCGTAGTTTGACACTTCTGCAGATAATTTGTTGGTGTTGACTTTCTGGCACTTTCTCTATTTCACAATCCATTGTAATTACCTTCTGCCTCATTAATTTTTCAGGGAGACAAGAATATTATCAAGTTTGAAGGAGATCACAACTCCCCACGTCCACAGTTCTACTTTGATTCCATTAATATTTTTTTTCACAATGTTTTGCACCCTCCAGAGGATGAGGTGGGGGAAACATATTTTGACACAATGCCTCACTACTTTGACAAGGTAAATTGAACAATGATGCATCTGTTTATAATTTCGTCACTTTATTGGAAGCACAACATTTCATATCTACTACTATTTTTGTCAATTGTTGATTGTTTTACCTTCAGGATGCTTGGAGCACTCTGCGTGAAGTAGGCAATAACCTGGGAGTTTCAGTCAGTTCTAAAGGCATGGCTCACATACATTGTAGTTCTTAACTTCTCGATGTTAAATCCAGCCTACCCTTTATTTGGCACTCTTTTGCTCATTCTCCTGTCGATTTATTATTAGCTGCAGAACCATCGACAAGCAACGGGAAAGATGCTATTGAACAAGTTCATCCAAAAAGACCGATGAGTCGGATAGAGGTTAGTGATTATTTCTTATGCTTTTTGCTTGAATGTGAAAATGACACTCAGCATGGAAGTAAAGATGTGGCATTGTTTAGACTAATGCTGTCTGATTGGTATGAAATTTGGATGCTTGTAATAGCTTTTACAATCCTTCTCTTTTAACACCCTATCACACAACACTACTGCTGGACAGAACTAGAAAAAGATTGAATGGAGACAATAAAAATCAAGATATATTGGAGTATTTGCTCCTATTGCATGGTAACGAAGTAGTTTCAGGAATTAGGTTAACTTTTGAAACTGAAAAGAAATAACAGTTGGGATTGTTTTGTTGTATTAAATTGTTTCTTACATCACACTGAGGAACTGTCTGATCACCGTTTCTTTGACTCTGTTCAGGTTCCTTCGGATATTCCGTCAGAGGGCAATCAATCTGCAGTTGAGGTGTCCTCTTGCATTTCCTCAACAAAGTTTGAGGAAAGCCTTGTTTTTGAAACAAGAATTTGTTCTTTCTCCATATATTAACATGAATAGAGCTTGATGAGTTGCTGAGCAGAAAATATAACCAACACCATTTTCTTTAATTTTTTTTTTTTGGCAGGGTGGAGAAATTGATGGCAATCATCTGCCATCATCATCCAAAATGATAAGCTTTGAATTATCCAATGGTAATCCATATGGTCCTCATGTTCCAACAGCAATGGATGATGATCAATACGTGGAGTATCAACTGGATGACTTGTCGGGTTTCCCATGTGATGTAGAGGAGGAAGAAAGGGTGAGTAATTTAATTGCATGTGTGTGTGAAATGAATGACCATGTTGACCTTATTAATACTTGTCTGCATATTTCAGATGTTCATGGAAGCCGTAATTGCATCATTAAAGGATTTGGAGATACGATATCCGGATGCAGAAGAACAGACCACCATCAGTCCGATTTCCACCGAAACTTCACAAAAACCTAACCTAAGTGCATCTGACACAATAGAGCAACATGAACCTCCAAAGGCAGATCCCACTTTCTTCTCTCCAGCAATTAATGGCCAAAATTCTTCAATGGAACACCCATCACCTGATCCTAGTGCGTCATCCACTTCACCCCCATTTGACACTCCCCAATCCATGACAGAATCGGGAAGCTCAACCACATCAACTCTTAGTGATGCTTCAGGAAGTGTACAGACCTCAACAGATACTGACTTGTCAAGTAACACGAAAGCGACGTTGACAGTAGAAAGGAACCCGGCCAATCATATTATGGATGGCTTGATGCGTCGTTGGGATTTCAACTTGTTTCGTAACAATCGATGAACATTAATATGATTTTTTCTTTTTTTTTTCCTTTTTTTTTTTTGTTTCAACAATCTTGTCATGATTTGTTTTGTAATTAAGATAGCAGCAAGCAATTGATTTAGTACTGTAAAATACACGAAACGAAAGGAAGATAGGTTCAGAAGATGTGCTTAAAGTTGATGGAATTGGTTTATATGATACAGTATTTTTACTGCTCAATTCGTTTGTGAACAATTTTATGGTTCTACTCGAAATTAAGAGAACTGTGAACATAACTAGCAGAAGCATTTTCAGTGATTATGTCAAGCTCTTCCGTGAAATTTCTTTCTACAAATTAGTGACGTGTCGTTTTATGACCGGCCATCTAATGCCATGTCAGCACTCCGGAGTTCGGATACCGTAACGGACTTCGCGGATATCCGTATCGACGAATTCAGTTTCGAGTTTCTGATGGAGAAAACAAAGAAGCAAAAAAATGATCTACGAACACCGCTTCTTCTTCTGGTTATCAGGCATGGAAATGCCTCTGCAGCCTCCTCCCCTCTACAGTGGCGATCCACGGCCCGCTTCACTCAAATGCAAGTCCCAACACATCAATCTGTGCATAATAAAACCAATGAATATAGAGTAACCATCTCGATTTTACGGCCTTCGTAAAATTCTTTATTAGAATTGCTAATTTCTCTCTCTCAAAACCTTTCAAAATTTTATACCGTCGGATGAACCGATAATCTTCCCCTAAAGCTCATCTCTAACCATTTTAGATATTACCCAGTTGGCCATTTGTGTTGTGCGATTGATAAAAGCACCAAATTTGACCTCTTGAAACAGATGCTAACCATGGTAAAGCCAAGGCAGCTTTATTTGATGACAGCAATCAAGGCCCTGGAGGAGAAGAATAGAGTATTAGGTACTATACCTCTTTTTTCATAATTCTAGAATTAAATTTCAATACTGGTACCTATAGTTGTGAGCTTCTCTAACTTGTTTCCTGAATCATTTTCTTTCTTTACATCAGTATTTTTAAATGAATTTATAATTCCTATATTGACCATAACTGTGATATAATCCACCAAGAGTTTTGATGGTAATGGAATTAATAAATTAAGCATTGTCATAAGTTGTACAATTACATCGATGTGACTATTATTTGAGACAAAAAAAATAAAGAAAGAAAGAATTATGCATAACTTAGTACATTCTTATGTACGAGACTATAAGTTCATACGTTTGTGATGGTTTATGGAGTACAGACATGAAAAATCAACGTTCCATTGTATGGTTTTGCCTCTCTGCCAGCAATCTCAGTGCAGTTTCAACCAGTGAGTGAATAGTTGTGGCGTGGCGGCTCATCCCAACTGTCCCTGAAAATATGTTGAAGCTTTCAAGTTCTGCTGTTGTTTCTAAGACATGCTCCAGCATTCTCTCCAACCCCAGATCCGTAAGAGTATATACATTTGTTGTGTTTTCTCGCATCATCCAAATTGCCAACTCTATCGCAAACCTCCGTATTCTTGGAACCTTAGTTGATGGCGTTTCATATTTTTTGAGGATCTGCACCACTTTGGTAGCTAATTCAGCTTCTTTAATTCCTGCCCTTTCAAACATTATGCTTGATTCTTCATTTGTCATGAATTTGAAAACTTCTGCTGCTAGTCCAACCATTACTTCTTGCAGTTTGTTCTCTTCTAACATAATTGCCTTAAGGACCTGCCACAATTGGAAAAGATTTAAGGAATAAATTTATTATTCTAAAGTGATCATTAAAGTCTGAAGTTCTTATTCAAAATTAATCATAGATTGGCAAGTAATGAAAAGGAAAATCTATGTTCTCTGCCTATCATTAGAGGACTTTTTTGTTATCTATTATTTGAACTAGCTGTAGAAAATCACTTACTGTAGGTGCACAAGTTGTGACTCCCTTTAAGAGGCTGAAGCATGTTGCACCACTGTAGGCACACAAGCTTCGTAGGATTCTGGCAGCATTTACTCGAAGCATTGGAAGTTCAAGTGCTTTGACAAGCCTATCTAGCACATTCAGTTTCAAAATCCGGTGGCAATTATTTGTGCTTTCCAAGACCAGCATCGCTAGAGCTTCTCCTGCAGCAGTACTCACATGATTTTGACTCTCAGGTGCTCCATGAGTGAAGAAAATGTTGAATAACTCCTTAAGGACTCCACCTGTGCCACCAATCCTCTCTGTTGCATCCTCATCCAGTGCTAGACTGGTTAGTATTTCTATGCCGAGCTTTTGAAGCATTGGGTGTTTCTCTCCATGTCTTAAGATAACTCTAATGTTGCTTATGGTGAAAATTATCTCTGAAATCTCTCTTCGTAGATGACTACCTGTGGTACCTGTTGTGCTTGCCAACATCTTCACCACTTGCAGAGATCGTTTCACAGTCAAAATCTGAGAATGTGCAACATTGTCTTCTTTCAACATCCTCTCTCCAGAATGTGTCAAGTCAATTATTTTGGGCAGGAGGCCCCTTGTGTTACCAATCTTTCCACATATATCATGATCATGAGCCAGTCTTTTCAGGATAAGAAGTCCTAAATGGTTGAACGTCCAGAATCCGTAATGTATATGATCAGTGATGATTGTCTTTTCACCAATTTCATCAGCTGTGGCGCTGAAGCATCTATTGTTTTGAAGCAGAGATGATATTGATTCCATTGCACCTGGAATTCCAGCAACTCGCAGGGAGTTCTGCTTTCTGCCAACTAGTTCAGATAAGATTTCTGCAGCTGACCTCCTGATCTCTTCTTCTTGTTGGTCTTTCCAATTCAACATCTCAACTAATCGTTCTATTACTGATATGTTTGTCCCAATCTTCTGGAGGGTATCATCAGAGAACCGCTGGCTCAGTGCAAATTGGCGGAGAATTCGAACTCCAATGAGCTGCTCATCAGGGGAATTTGATGCCAAGAGATCCATAGCAAAAGTAACCAAGTCCATTTTCAGCCCATCAAAGATGCTTCCATCAACACACCTAGAATAGGCATCATAGAAGAACCTTTTAATTGATATCATACCAGAAGGCCCCAATTCACACTCTTTATTCACCTCCTCCAACAGCTTACAGTAGATCACCTTCAACTCCCAATAAGCTTTCTCCATAAGGAACAATAGAGCTTCTGCCAAGGCCAAGGCGTAGAAAATAGTCAGAGCAGCTTGTCGGTTCCTCTTGTCAGCATCCCCTTTGGCTATCTCACCATAGTTATGCTTGATGAGCTTCATCAATGATAGAGCTATACAGGCTGTAGCAGATGCAAGCTGGAGCCAATAGAGAAGCTTACTGACATTTCTTGAAAGGAAAAACCATTGAGCGTAAGGTAGGATAGGTACATCCCAGCTTGTCCATGATCGAGTTGTCTTCCCATGGCAATCCCAATTCCTCCAATTGGTTGAACTAGAACCTTCCCTCACTTCTCTACCATGCTGACTCTGCTTTCGAACCTGAGCAATTGGCCTAAAAAGTGACTTTATGGCTTTGATAACAAAATGAGAGCTTGACCTCAATGCACGAAAACTATTAATTCCAGCATCAGCAATTGACCAGGTGGCTTGATGTTGCCATTCAAGCTCATGGCTCCTGCTGAATATTCGAGTCCCTTCTATCAACAATATAATAGTGATGAACCAGAAGTCTGTTGTATCTAAAGTAATTGCAAAACCACCTAGAAGAACAACTGTTGCCCAGATAAAACCAAGAGTTCCTAGGCCAGTAGCTGCCTTCTCGAAAACTGCAAGGCGAAGAGCAAACAGGGTCAATTTCTTCTCTGGTGCAGGTATTGCTTGTGTTGTTTGTGTTGTAGGGGAAATAGAATTCACATTGCTGTCTCTCTTCTCTATACTACTCCGAGGCTCAAAAATGGTGGGGCTTGAAGTTGAACCATAGGCTTCGCTGAGCCTGCGAAGCTCAACAACCTGCAAACAAATTCTACCATCATCTCCTGCAGATGTGCGAGTATCCATTTTGGAGGATAAGACCAATCTTGAAGGTGAATCTATATTGTACTAAACCAGTAAGGGAATAGGGAATAAGATGAGTGTAATGAAAGGATTTACTTTGAAATAAAAAAAATGGCTTTGATTGGATATTAAATCTATTGGGTTTTGTAGTTGTGCAAGAGACAATGACGAATGGTGTTTGTTATAGAGAAAGGGAAAAATGATCTTAGGGGGCACGTTTATGCTGTCGAAAAGGGTAGTTGCTTCCTTTTCTCTGCTGATTTTCCTGGGAAGTTTTGCTGTTTACTTCCCCTAAACTTGGCTGGCAAGTTTTTGTCTTTGCTATAGTTATGTGTCTTAGAATGAGTTAGCTTCTCACTAATATGTTCCTTAATCAATCATCCTTTTACACTCAAAAAGCTTCTTTTATAGCTAAAAGGTAAAATTACTTTTCCTCTTTCACCGTCTTTTTCCTTCATATCCATCAACTCTGAACAAAACCCATTGTGGGTCGGACCATGGCTATCTAAACCAAATGCATATGTTCCATGATCTTGGTAACATTGACTTTGGTTGTCCAATTAAATATCATCCAATTAGCTTTTATTATTATAATTTAGGGTCTTCCTCTTTGTGGGAATTAGTTGAAATTAATTGCCAACTAAGATCAGATTAAGAAATTACGATTTTGGCAAGCTACAATTCTCCCACTAATTAGATTTTAATATTGAACACAATTATCTTATCTGTGTTTAAACCTTTAGCATCATTATTTCTACAAGGAAATGGGTTTAAAAGTCATTTTTACGTTAAAATTTATTGACTCATCCCATCCCATCCCTGAAATTGTTACTTTGATTACGTTATGCAGAGTCTTCCAGATTTTGACAACTTGTTAGATTGTAACGTGCAGAAAAGGGTTTCAAAGAAAGAGTCTTCTTGTGTCAAGTTAAAGGCTCAAATGGAACCCAAGTCTTCCAACTATCCCTTTATGTTGAAGAATTGTAATTAAGACCTTAAACGACCCACGTTTGTCCTTATAATTAGCTTTAATCCACCAAAAGGGAATTAATTGGCCTTAATTTGATGTTGATGAAGGTGCTGTGCTGCTGCTGATCGACGTTGCTTCTGTGTTGCTGTTGCTGTCGCTGTTGCGTGTGGACCTTATTTACTCATTAATTTTGAAAAAACAAAAAGCAACAGAAACACTAATTCTTCAACGCTTAATCTTAGACCCTGTACAGATTCAAAATATGCCAATAATGGTTTCTTTTGTTCATTTTTAAGGGGAAAAAAAGAAAAGACAGTTCACGTTAATCTGCCTAATTATTAGTTGAAAGAAAGGAAAACACACGTCGCGAAAAGTAAATTATTATTAATCCACAAGTTAGTGCAATTAGCCCTTAATTATAAATAGATAAAATTATTATTTTATCTTTACATATTGTCAAAATACGTGACTTTTAAAATATATAATTTTGTTTTTACCTTTTAACTCTCGTATCTGTCAATTTTTTATTTTTCCATTAAATATAGAGAAAAGTTAATTAACATAAGCAAAAAGTAAAGACAATTATAAATTTCTAAAAATACAAGAGCAATATTGCATATTATGATAAAACATAGAGATAACATCATAATTTTTCCTTATAAAAAATATTTGCAAACTTTTTTTTTTTTTTTTTTTTGTATAATTTTTTTGTTTTTTACCTTTTTAAACTCTCGTATCTGTCAATTTTTTAAATTTTTTCCATTAATATAAGAGAAAAAGTTTAATTACATAAGCAAAAAAGTAAAGACAATTATGAATTTCTAAAATACAAAGAGCAATATTGCATATTATGATAAAACAATAGAGATAACTCAATAATTGTTTCCTTATAAAAAATAAATTTGCCAAACTTTTTTTTTTTTTTTTTTTGAGGGCACATTTCCAAAGATGTTGGAGAAATTGTTCAAGTAGGCGGCTCTACAACCAAATTTTTTTTTTTTTTTTTTTGAGGGCACATTTCCAAGATGTTGGAAGAAATTGTTCAAGTAGGCTCTACAAACCAACCAACTGCTGTTTTCAAATCTAACAAATAATAATAAAACATAAAGTATCAAGAGCCCAATATAATTTTTTGGGAGCCACGTTGCCCAGAAACGAACAACTATAGCAAATCCAACAGACTAACACCTGAACCTGATATATCATTTTGTTAACAAAGATACCTAATAAATCATAAAAACTTCCTTTGAAAATTGTACAACATGAGGCAGCTCTCTAATTCAAGAATCCCCAGCCTCTACAAAAGATATGAACATGAAAGCTCCTCATATGATAAATAATGGTTTATTGCAGAATTCTTATTTTCACTTCAATATCCATACTCAGTCACAGGTTAGAAGGAAAAAAAAAACTTATAAATGGGGCATTTGATGAATGAACTTCAAAACAGGTTGCCGTGCACAAACTCTGAAATCATAAAATAAAATGATTTCAAGTTCTCCCCTCCCTTGTAATTTCTCTTCTTTCCAGTATTGTTATTTGCGATGGTGGTTCCAATGAACAAATAACTTGATAAATAAAGCTGTTATCCCATTCCCTGCAAGGAAAGAACAATGCCAGGAGCATATGAGGAGCAAACGTATAACTGCAAAATGTGGATACAAGGGGAAAAGAAAATTTATTTCAAGCATTCCCTAGATCCAAAATCTTTCTACCATCCTTTTTATCTTTCATAACAAATCAGGCAAGGCTCAAAGACAACATTCTCAGAATTTGGCCCAAAAAATTTGGCCTGATTAAAGCAGTCCAGTTGCAGAATAAAACAGGGGTTTATAACAACTAAATAACCTTTCATCAACTGGCTGATCAAGGCCTGACATATTTTGAACTAGTGGTTCAGGTTCCCAATAGTTCACCATGTCTAATACATTTTAAGCGCCAACAAGCATTACTTACAGAAAAAGCAACCGAAAATAACTTCCACATGGATGAAAATAGCTTTTCTTCTCATCCCTCAAAGAGAAAAAGAATGAGGGAACTTCATTACAAAACTATAGCATTATAAAGCACTGACCATACGAATGAATGCTTGAACCAAGAACTTCGTTAACAGTACCAATGATACAGCAAAACATGCTCATGACAAAAATTACATATAATTATTAACTTTTAGTAGAGATTTGAGAAGAGAATAATGCTCCAAATTAAACTAAAAGAATCCGGGACATGGAAACAATGAAATAGAGACAATGCAATGAGAACCAAATGCAAAGCCAGCCATAAATAGCAGTAATGATAATAACAATTGGGAGGGAGTCTGTCATAATCGAATTGGAATGGTTAGCGAATTAAGCCATTCACCTGAAATCTACAAATAGAACAATCAGATTTGATCTATATCACCTCAGTGTGTAATGCCATAAACTCAGTCAAAATGCCTTCAACTTTTTTGCAATCCTATGCTATTGTGTAAAACTAATGGGAAATAAATTGAAACCAAAACCATTTGAGAGAAGAGGAGAAAAAAAAAAAGGAAAGAAACCATGAAAAACAAGCATTTCAAAGGTACCTCAACAGCAAAACGAAAACCAGTCCTCAACTAAAGCACTGGTTTCCTTTGCCGAACCTTAGCCTTCTCAGCATCAATGATGGATTCTACAAGCTTCACCGCACTATCCAATTTCCCCTCAGCATTCACAACAATATAATCAAAATTCTCAGCGTGCGTCACCTCTTCTCTTGCGGTAGCAATCCTTACAAGCAAACTCTCTGCAGTCTCAGTTTTCCTATCAATCAGCCTCTTCACAAGCTCCAGTTCAGTCTCCGCAACCAAAAATATAAAAACAGCAGAATTCCCCAATATCCTTCTCAACGTCCGTGCTCCCTGTATATCTACCCTCAGTACAATATCATACCCTTTTCCCGCAAACTCTTTGATCTGCTTTTTTGGTATACCCTTATAATCACCATAAACAAGTGCATACTCTAACAGCTCATCTCTCTCTACCATTGATAAAAACTCCTCTTTTGATACAAAGTAATAGTCTTTACCATCAACCTCACCTGGCCTCATTTGCCTACTAGTTGCAGTCACAACAAAATGCAAATTTTCTCGTACTTCTCTTAATTTTTTAATAACAGCATCTTTGCCAACCCCACTCGGGCCACTAATTACGATGAGTAAGGGATTTGGAGGTGGGCGAATCGGGTCTGTGCTAAATGAGGAGCCTAAAGAGGTCTCAACGGCCCGAAGCAATTCAGTTTTACTGGCTTTTTCAAGTTGTGGGATTGCGGATTTGGGTTTGCTGGTATTCCCCATTTTGCGATAGGAGGCAAAAAATCGATGGCGAGTATTAATGAAATTGCAAGAATTTGGTTTATGGAAGACTTGGGAAGAGAGAAAGTTTTTGGGGAATTGAGATTTTTGGAGTGGAAAGAGTGGGAAGCGAGAGCGAGGGAAGCAGATTCTACGAAACATGAGGGTTTTGAGCTGGTTGGTTAGATCATATGCAGAGAGGAAAGCGGAGCATAGAAGTGGGACTAACAGAGATAGAGTAAGTTGGGGGTTAGGGTTTTAGCTTTTCGGCTGCTAAAAGAGCGGTAATTAGTTTTTGATTCTATTCTATTTGCTCTGATTTTCTCAACAAGATAGGAAGTCTCTAGCCACATCTCAATAATTATAGAGCTTTCATTTTTCTTAGTCAAAATTTTTGGTAATTATTTGTAATTTTCTTTTTTTTTTTATATATCTGAACCGAATCTATTATCAAATATAATTATTTATAATTTTAGATAGAGTTTTAAGAGTCAATTGTTCAATAAATTTAATAAGAAATTCAAGTTTATTTATGAACGAATTTAAACTCGAGCCTATTTTTTTATGAAGCTCAATAAAATTAAACTTAGCTTATTTGTAGTATTAATTATGTAAATTATGTGTTATTATAAATTTATTCGATTTAGGTATTTTAAAATATAATAAATGTTCTTTTTTGCATTTTACATTAATGTTTCCACCCAATTAGCATTCAAGTAATTAGGACGATTAGATTCCATTTAAATGAAAGGACAAAAGCATCAAACTGCAGAACTCAAACGTTAGGATGTCAAATTAAAAAGAAAAAAAAAAAAGAGCTTCCATGTACAGAACTTCCACAGCCTCATCAAAACGCACTTTTCTTACACATGAGACGGTGACTGAGACCCTTCTCAAAGTAAAAAAAAGATTAAAAAAAAGAAAAAGGTATTGAGACGAAGCTTCTGACAAAATTTAATACTATAAAGTAACGAACATCAAAGGTTTCTTTTTTCATCGTTCTCTCTATTTCTAATTTTGCAGCCCGCATTTCAGGTTACCTTTCGCATTTCCCAATCTAATCCGCCGAATCCCTTCTCCTTCTCCGCCTTCACCAGATCTAATCTGTCCCCTCCGCCTTTCTTCCTCTTCAATTTCAGGTTTTTACCTCCCAATATTCTTATCTCCGAAACCCTAATTCTCTGCAAAAACCAAAATTCTGATCTAATCTGTAATTCAATAATATCAAACACAATTATCATAAATTTTCAAACATATCCTACCCGTTGCCTGTTGTTGATGGGCACAATTAGAGCTAGCACCGTAGACTTCTACAAACCCACGTCAAACTCTTCCCCCTCCTCCTCCTCTCCTCCTTTCCCAAACACCACCTCCACTTCCTTCACCGAGACAGTAAATGGGTCGCACGAGTTCAAGATCGGTGGCTACTCTCTATCCAAGGGCATGGGAATCGGCAAATATATAGCATCAGACACATTCATCGTCGGTGGCTACGCGTGGGCAATCTACTTTTACCCCGATGGAAAGAGTCCTGAAGATAACGCGGCCTATGTGTCCTTATTCATAGCCCTCGCAAGCGAGGGCACCGACGTCAGGGCGTTGTTTGAGCTCTCGATGATAGATCAGAGTGGGAAAGAAAACCATAAAGTTCATACCCATTTCGGGAGAGCTCTTGAGAGTGGACCTTATACACTAAAATACCGCGGCAGTATGTGGTCAGTGTTTTTGTGATTCTAAATGTAGTTTTCTTGTTTTTTATAATAGATTAATGGGTATTATTTTCAAAAGCTAAAAACTGTTTATCTTTTTTTTTTTTTTTTTTTTTTTTTTTTTTTTTTTTTTTTTTTTTTTTTTTTTTTACCGCGCATGTATGTGGGTCAGTGGTTTGTGATTCCTAAATGTAGTTTCGGCTTGTTTTTTTATAATAGATTAATGGGGTATTATTTTTCAAAAGCTAAAAACTGTTTATTTTTTTTTTTTTTTTTTTTTTTTTTTTTTTTTTTTTTTTTTTTTTTTTTTTTTTTTTTTTTTTTTTTTTTTTTTTTTACTAGTTGATGTGAATTATGTACTGCAAGCTAGAAATGTATATTATATTAACGACCTGAAAATAATTCTGGTGATTTATCTTTTCTAATGCTTACATACGAATCGGTGTCAGATTTTCTTGTTAGGCTAGAGAAGCTTAGTGACAATTGTTGATAAGTGATGACTCAAATATAATCATGGCGTTTTCCCCCTACTGCAGTCTTCCCGAAAAGTTTCAGGATTGAATTGCAGTCTCTCCGTAGTTTTTCTCCATTAAGATATGTGACCCTGCCTTGTTGTATCATAATACTAAACTATCTGGTTGGACAGGAGCAATGCACAAAGACATTTTGTGGAACAAAATGTTTTCCCCCCTCAAAAGAAAATTGTTTTGTCATCTGGAATAAGTCATATATTGTTCTTGATATAGTTTTCTGTAGTTTAATAGTGTGGATTTGTTAGTGGTGTAAAAACACAGTTTAACAGCTTATATTATCGGATATTGCAGGGGTTATAAACGATTTTTTAAAAGAACTCAATTAGAGACGTCAGACTATCTCAAAGATGATACCCTGGTAATTCGATGTTGTGTTGGTGTTGTCAAGTCCCACACTGAGGGACCTAGGACCTACACCATTGCAGTACCACCATCTGATATTGGTCAGCATTTTGGAAAGTTTCTAGAAAGTGGAAGGGGTGCTGATGTAAATTTTGAAGTTGATGGGGAAATATTTTCTGCTCACAAGTTGGTTCTTGCAGCACGCTCACCTGTATTTAGGGCGCAACTTTTTGGTCCAATGAAGGATCAAAGCACTCAATGCATAAAAGTCGAAGACATGGAAGCCCCAATTTTTAAGGTTCTTTCTCTCTCATATGCACGCTAATTTGCTGCTAAAACCAATCGTATTTGATTTTTTGTTCACAGTTAATGGCTTACAATTATGATCAAATAATAGTTTTCGAAAAAGAATGTATTTTCAGGAAGCTTAACTGTTAGGACTTATTATCTCAGTTATAAAAGCTTTCATCCTGTTTGGCTATTTATGTCCCTTTTTCCTTTCTTTTGTGGACAAATTGCTGCATGGGGAATGCCATTGTGTTAGCACTTCTGTCAGACCTAATGACATTTTAGATGGTTCATTTCTAGAGGGTTATGGCTGCAAGTAACTTGAGGGACTAGCAACTGTTAGTTGAGAAGCAAGAAGAATCAGACTATTGTTCATGTTCTTTTTTTATCCTCATTGTGGATTTATAATTATTGTTTTTCTGTTAGCATTTTAATTGCGCCAAGTTAGCTGTCAGTTGTAATGCATCTAGTTGTGTATGGGTTTTGGGCTTTAGAAATGGATTCTATTTGAACCTAGTTTCTTCTACTGTTGATTTTGTACCTTAAGTTTCTGCTGTGGCCTCTGTCACATAGTGATTCATTCTCTTTTCATTTCTTGTCATATTTAAATTCTGAAATGCAAGCTTCTCCATGGGGTATTATAGGAAACATATTTAATACTATTGCTGTGTTTGAGGGGAAATTTCTGATCATGCTGACAGTGAGGATGTCTTGTTCATATCACCAATAGCATGTAAATAATTTGTTTATGGATATCAGTAAGTGGATGATTATATTCTATGTTAAAACTGCATTTACTGCTAATCCTCAAGTATCATGTGCTTTGTGCTTTATGATTTATGTGTCAATTATGAGATTGTTATGTTCTCTGATAGTGGTAAGATTTCATAAGCAGAGGTAGCTTGGTTGGTTGGTTGCCTTTGTTAGGTGAGTAATTGTGGTGCCATACACAAATGTACATCTGGATCCATCTCCTAAGGGCTGCTTCTTACTCATCCAGCTAAGGTTTATCATTCTTGCTTTTCTTCCTGCTTGCTCCAACTAAATATATTTAGTCCATAATTCGTCAAGTTGGTAGCAAGTTTGATAGCAGCTATGATTTATGTTATTTTACCTACATTCTCTGTTGATTATTTCCTATTTTTTTGAATATGCTTTTGACAAAATTTTTATGATTTCAGCAGCAATTTTCCGGCTAAATAGATGAAATCATAAAATTGGCCTTGGATAAGTACAGTGTACTGTCCTCCTTCTTTGTGACAGATACTGATAATTTTCAATTGAATTTAGTTTTAACTTATCTTGACATTTGATGGAACTTTTCATTTCTTGATTGCTTGGTGAACAATTGAGTTCCTTATTTATAACTTGTTTTTTCTTCTTTTTTTTATCATGGGTTGGATTTCTGCAGGCATTACTCCATTTCATTTACTGGGATGCCCTACCGGACGTGGAAGAGCTTGTTGGTCTACATTCTAAATGGGCTTCTACACTGATGGCTCAGCATCTGCTTGCAGCATCAGACCGTTATGCCCTTGACAGGCTTAGATTGCTTTGTGAGACTAGACTGTGTGAAGATATTGCCATAAACACTGTTGCAACAACACTTGCCTTGGCAGAGCAGCATCAATGTCTCCAATTAAAAGCTGTATGTCTCAAATTTATTGCGCTGCCTGAAAATTTGAAAGGTAGGCTTTCTTTGCACATCCTGTGTTTAGGTTTTGTTTCTACATTTTAGCAAGATGGCTTCTCCTATGAAGACATGGTCTACTATGTTTTTAGAAATTTCCCTTGGGTGCTGTAGAAACCTTGTCTATAGTTTTTTGTTGGACTTTAAGTGGATATAGTTATGTGCAACATCAACTTTAGATGCTTCGTTTGTTCTTTTATATTGTGATTATTGCTAGTGAACACTTTACTGTGGTTATAGCTCAGAGAGAGAGAGAGATTACTGCTGGCCTTAGGCAGTGCCCAGTGCTTGTTGCATCTTTTCTCGACCAATTTGCTATACTGCTGTCATCTTCTTATTTTGAGTCTGACATAAAGAAGTCTGCTGTCTATCTAATCACATGGCTTGTGAGCCATTTTTTCTCTTCTGGATTTAGAGTGGCGACTGCTTTATGGGTTGGGAATTCTGTTTAATGGATTCATTACTAACAAGAAGTTTTCTTGTGAATTGTTTCAGCTGTTATGCAGACAGACGGATTTGAATACTTGAAGGAAAGTTGCCCTTCTGTCATTACAGAACTTCTGCAATATGTGGCTAAAATGGGTGAGCATTCTGTCATCACATGTGGACATGGAAATGAGAGTTTAGATGGTGATATAAATGGAAGGCGAGTGAAGCAAAGGATACATTGATTTAGGAATAACAGAGCTTGTTCTATGGGAAAAAACAAGAGCTTGTTAGGCTTAGACATTTTTGAGATTGTACTAACACTTTACTATTTATAATACAAATTTAATGGTAGTGATTCCTTTTTGTTGGTTTTCCATTACCTTGGATCCCTGGTGAATTCTTGTCTGTTATTATGTATCAAGTAGACCTTTTTTCCAGAGCATCTATGTACTCTTTCTTATGAATATTTACTGCATATGCAGTACATTCCTTTCTGGAGATGCCCTGCAGAAGGAATACTCCTGTAAATGTATTTGCATTATGGTGTAAACCGTTTGCTTCTAGCTGATTATTGATTGCTAATTTATTTTGTCAAGCTGACACAGTTTGTCAACATTCATCTCTTCAATTATATTAATTACTAGGGTTAAAACGTTGCCTTGAAGAAGCCACTTGGTACCTAATACATATGGCATGGCACATTTGGGAGCCCATGATATGACATGCTTAACAATTTGATTTGGAGTCTGACCATTAATCTCTGCAAATGGACCACCTGTTGCAACATCTCTAATTAAGACGGCTATTTTTCAGAGATCAAATACAAACAAGAGCCACACAGCTTTGCTCCGCAATTATTAGCTGCTTACCCAAAATTAAAAAATGAACAACTTGAATGTTATCAATGCTAAGCTTTCCGCATACAAGAAAGATCAATCAACAAACATTGGAGTTCTTCAAAAGTAAAATCGCAAAAGCAAGCCTCAATCAAACTGTTTCCAGGTTTCCAAAATACAATTTTATGTTGTATCCTAATATCCAAGTCTACTTTGCAAGCAAGTTAACCTAGATGTTTTCCCTCAGTGAGTCGCATGTCAAGAAGAGAAGGTTCTTATTTCTGGTGTAAAATAACACAAATAAAGTGAAACAACAATCAACTATCAGGTGGCCCCAAGAGAGGGGAAAGTATAAGTAATAGCTTACTTTTATCTTCCAAAGACTGAAAAAGAAAAGATAAAGGACTTAGTAAATCAACCAATCCCTTTGCCTTTCCTCATTCATGATATCATACATTCCTTGTATCTTGGTTATTGAGCTAAATCAGAGAGCTATATATGGTCATGAATGGTAAGCACCAAGGAACCTGTTCAACTAAATTAGCGATATGAAATACAACTTGCTGCATAACATCCTCCAATAGAAGTCCCAGACCTTAGATCTTCTTATGCCTTTGAGCCCGTAGAAAACACCACTAAATTACAGCAGTAGGAACATATGAATTTCATTTTGGTGGCAAGATCAATCTCATGAAATGTGCTCCAGCGACTGCCACCATTTGGTTACAGGCAGCCAAGCATATAAGTCTGTCACATCATCAGTACCAGTGATTCCCAGGCCCACCTTGAGCAGCAGCAACTTTCCTTGCCATGTACTGAGGTTTTGGCTGTAAGCCACCAGAGCCTTCAACTCCTTCATCCTCTCCCCTTTCATTTTTACAGACAGAGTTTCTTCTTGGATATGAGCAGTTCGCAGCAGTATATTGAGTTGAAATAGCTGGGTTCCTGACCATCCTTCGCTGTTCAAGAGCTTCTGCTGCCGCACAATTGTTATAACGCAGTACCGAACCGACAACTTTCCCAGGTCTAGCAGCACCTGCTGCAAGCCCACCTAGTCATCATTATATCATGTAGGAAAAAGTTCTAGAACTAGGTCCATGTGTGAGTATGAGAAAAGAAATATGAGTGCAAAATCAGCAACCTGAAAAAGTACCTCAAGTTTTAAAATTACGATGGTGTATTCATCTTAGTCTACAAGTTTTCATACGAGAAAAGAATCAACACTACTACCTCTCATACAGTATGTTTCTTATTTCTTTGGTAACTTAGCATGTACAGTGAGAAATTGATTTGATTGGGTTACAATCAAGCAGCAAAAAAGGAGTTCTAGACAAGGCAAATGCTGCAGAATTGTTTTCTGCCAAGCACATAGCAGTACAGAGAGATAAGAGAAAGCATTGAATCATTCCGAGAATGAGAGGGAAAACTAATACAATTATTTCATACCTTGGATACTTTGAGGAACTTGAAGAGGAAGCCTTGTCATTGGGATGCCACCACTACGGTCCATATGTGGCTTCTCAATATCTTTGATAGAACATTTGGAAAGATCATTTGTTACTTCCACTGAATTTTGCACTGTGTTATCTGAATATAACACACATGGCCTGCACACAGATTTTTCATCAATGCAAAGACAAAATACCAAATTCAATTATATGACAGTACATTATCATGGCACACAGAAAGGAACAACTTATTTATAGAGATACCTGGGCAAGGATGCATGCTGCCTCTCAGGTGGAGTAACAGTCGCACCATTTCCATAATGCTCCTCTAAGTAAGCAAATTGCTTTTTGAAATGGTCAACAGCACTGCATGGGAAAACAATAAATACTCGAGACTCTCATACAGCACCAATGATTAAATTATTTCAATAAAAAATAAACAATCAAATATAGAAAACCTTGGATACATGAAGCCTGTTGGCTCTGAACCTTCCAAGTATTCTTTCAACATTTTGGGATGGTACTCTAGAATTTCTCGGTATATGAGCTCCCTTACATCTTCCTTGGTTATCCTTCGCCTCTCAAATTCAAATTCCATCTTAGTAACCGGTTGAGCAGAAGGCTCTCTCTCCACTTTGGCCAAACCCTTGAAATATGGATCAGCAAGAGCCTAAGAAAATACAACAAAAAATGCTCCATTAGAAGAGTAGGCATTTCACCAAAATTGAGTAAGAAAGGCATAAACAAGGCATATTACAAAAATATGCTTAAGAAGGAAATAAACAAATACCTCTTCAGCAGTGGGTCGATCCTTAGGTTCAAATGCCAACATCTTTTCCAATAAACGAAGTGCAAGTGGATCTGCATTAGGGAACTTTTGGGAGAAAGGAATGGGCTTCTTCTTTCTCATGCTGCTTAAGTATCTCCGAGCTTTTTCATTGCGTACCTGTTCATATAATAGTAATACTTTAGCAAACAAACTACAAGGATATGCTGCAGAGTAAGTGAACTACAAACCAATCATTTTCCCATCAACACAAACTCATCAAAGAAAACATACCCTGGCAATGGCTTCAGGGGATGGAGTTCCCAACAGATCAGTCATTAGATCCAGTTGATGGACTACATTTTTCCCAGGGAAAAGAGGTTTTCCCGTTAAAAGTTCAGCAAAGATGCATCCAATGCTCCATATGTCTATTGCTGGTGTATACTGAAAATTAAAAACAGAGATGAATATAAGAAGGTGCTGAAATACATATGGTAATAAACTAAGGTAGCTTTTGCAGGGAGATGGCACCATGTACAAGCCATAATCTATATTAAGCCTTACTATCACATAATATAAATGAATATTGCATGTTAACAGATCTGACCTAAATACACAAATTAACCCCTTCCCCTTCTCTTCCGACTCTCAAATGAAAAGGCAAGTAGCAATAATTAATTGCATATGGGCTATCAGTAGGTGCACAACAATAGGTTGGGTAATGGCCCAAGCAGATTATATCCTTAGGCATGATATAATATATTCTTCCAACAATCATGGAAGAAGGAAAGCAATTCAAGAGCTATAGTGAATGCGCTTAAAAGAACTTCTACGACAAGCTTTTGTGGGTAAGTCAAATGCCATGGTGAATATAAAATGTAAAATAGATGAAATTCCAAACTTGTAAACATGCACCCTCAAGCCCATCACAAGATCAAAAGATTGGATAATAACAGCAAATGATAAGGGTAATAATTCTGCACCTTTGAGAAAAATGATCCACACAATTCAGGAGCCCTATACCATCTTGTTGCAACATAGTCCTGTGGGCAAAGGAAACAGAAATGATACAAGCTTAAACATTGTTGTGGTACCACAAACGTAAATGCCAAAAAAAATGATGAAAAAAAAAACAAAGATAATCTACACGGCAATTAAATATTTTAAGCATCATATCAAGAGAGAACTTACTGTCCAGAAAATGGCAGTTGGGGTATCGTTAAATGCTACTCTTGCAAGCCCAAAGTCACAGATCTTCAGCTTGCAGTCAGCATTTGCTAAGATATTTTTTGGTTTTAGATCCCGATGAAAGACATTGGCTTTAAGACCACAGACAAATTTCCACAAAAAATGATGAAGAAAATCAGCAAGTTTGCCCACACAAAGTAGCAAATGCTCAAAATTCAAAATATTACACTCAGAAAAAGTAATGCAAAAACTGTAGGCTCAGCCAATCACCTGTGTGTATATATTTCAGGCCTCTAAGAAGCTGATAAAGAAAGAATTGATAATGTTCTGGTGTTAAATCATCATTTGCTTTAATAACTTGATGTAAATCAGATTCCATCAGCTCAAAGACAACATATATGTCCTTAAATTCCCGTCTGGATGGAGGCAACAAAATGTGCTTGATCTCCACTATGTCAGGATGACGCAAGAGCCTAAGAAGTTTAATCTCTCGAAGTATGCGGGTAGCATCAGAAACATGTTCAAAGATGTCATTGATTTTCTTAATTGCAACCTTTTCTCCAATATGCGTATCATATGCTGAACAAACAACACCATAGCTTCCTTTACCAATTACTTCCTCTATTTTGTACCTGCTCCCCTCACCATATTCAGTGAAGAAGTCCACATCGACAGATGACTACAACACCAAACATTAAAGAGGAGAAGAAATCATGCCAAATGAAAACTATAAACAGAACTGAACTGATTTATAATATTATTCAAATATAATTCAATAGCAATTTTTGGTCATATATTTATGCATACACATTTATTAACGAAATTAACTTATGTAGTCTAGATACTCCTTATGTTGGGACAGTAAAAGCAATTAGGCCTATAATTTACTTCAATTGTGACATTTAATGGCCTAACCTTCCCATTGTCCGACAAACACATAGATTTGACCCCAGAAACACCATCCCATCCCTTACCATTTAGCTTTCAGCCAGATTTTAATTATTAAACAAAATGCAATTATTTGGTATGCTTTATCAGCATCACAACAATGATCACAATAATACAAACAAAAAGCGGAAAAAAGGCTCCTCATATTTATCAGTAAGAGAAGTCTACATTAGTAGATAAAGTAAATGGAAATAAAAATCCAATTCAGAGTAGAAGTAAATGCAGAAGGAATATGATTTTGTTGATCACTGGGTAGGGAAAATATGGTCTCTACAAAAGAATATAAAATTTCTTGTAAGTGCAATTTCATTCTGGGACTCATCAAAATACACCCCCCCCCCCCCAAAAAAAAAAAAAAAATAACGCAATAACTTCACTCTAATTTTGTACACCTGCTCCCTCACCAATATTCAGTGAAGGAAGTCCACATCGACAGTATGACTACAACACCAAAACATTAAAGAGGAGAAGAAAATCATGCCAAAATGTAAAACTATACGAACAGAAACTGAAGACTCGAATTTAATTAATATTATTAATCAAATGATAATTCAATAGCCAATTTTTTTGGTCCATCATAATTTTATGCATACACACTTTACTTTAACGAAAGTTAACTTATTGTAGTCTAAGATACTGCCCCTTAGTGTTGGGAACAGTAAACAGCAATTTAGGCTATAATTTACTGTCAATTGTTGACATTTAATGGCCTAACCTTGCGCATTGTCCGACAAACCACATAGATTTGACCCCAGAACCCAATCCCGATCCCTTCACCATTTAGCTTTCAGCCAGATTTTAATGTATTAAACAACTGGCAATTATTTGGTATGCTTTATCGAGCACTCAACAGACAATACGATCACAATAATACACAACAAAAAGCGGAAAAACAGGCTCCTCATATTTATCAGCTAAGAGAAGTCTACATTAGTAGATACAGTAAATGGAAATAAAAGATCTTCAATTCAGAGTAGAAGTAAATGCAGAAGGAAATGCATGAGTTTTTGTTGATCCACGTGGGGTAAGGGGAAATATGGTTCTCTACAAAAAGAATATAAAATTCTTGTAAGTGCATATTTCAATTCTGGGACTCATCAAAATACCACTTCCCCCCCGAGCCCAAAAAAAAAAAAAACAAGAGAGAGAGAGAGAGAGAGACGACAGAAAAAAAAAAAAAAAAGAGAGAGAGAGAGAGAGAGAGACAGAGAGACAGAGACACACACACACACACTGCAAGCCAAGAAATAAAAAGGGCTGGATAAGAAAATAAACATTTCTTATAGAAATTCTCTCCTAAACCAAGATAAAAAATGATGGCATATTAACCACGAAACTAAAGATTCAAAAAATAATAATAAAGCAGAAAAAAAGAGGCAAGGCTTAAAACCATGCATACATTACATGGAAATAATATTATAGTGGGAGCTGCCACAATTTTGCAATGGGGGGATAAGAATAGTCAACGAAGCTTAGACATGAACATGACCAGCTCCGCCCACACCCAAATATACAGGAATTATAGGCGATGTAGAAGAAGCATCCAGTACAAATGGAACCGTAATAGTAACCCTATTGAACCAATAAAAATGCCAAACCTACTAGAAATTTATATTTTAGCCCAAGTACTGAAAATACTGAACGACTATAGATTCAAAATCAACTCTCTCTAATCAGAATAATGAGATTGGTCTTGCTTGAAGAGAACCGTCATATACGGAGCTACAGAGATATATAAACACTCACACAAAGAAATATATAAATTAAATGCTTGAATTTACCTTTTTTCGTTGATCAGGCTGCATCTTAGCAACAAAGCATCAAAACCCTCGAAAGTCGAAAGTGATTAATCAAGCAGAATTTGCTCCCCAGCCTCGATAAGAGGGAAGAAAATTTAGCTATGCTTAACCGCAGTTTACCAATATCAAATGGGACCAAACCATTCTGATAAAGTTGAGATCACAAAAAAAAACCATGAAAAGCTGCAATCAAATTTGAAAGAAAGAAAAACACCCGGAAACAAAACTGCCTCGAATACACCGTAATGGTAAGATCAAAAGTAAAAAGAGGGAAAAGCAATAAGCTTTACAGTATCCGAAGCAAAACTGCGTAAATTTGAATCAGACTTGATTTTGAAAGCTAAAGAAAATGAAAGAAAGAAAGAGAGAGAAAAGGGAAGAACGGAGAGTGTGTCGCCAAAAAATGGCGGATGAGACTAAAATGTAATAGCTGGAAAAGAAAGAGTACAGATCAAGGCGAAGTGGGTATTGTACAATTAAAGCGGATAATACTAAATTTTGGAGAATCTAAAGCAGAGGCGATAATCTCTTCTTGGATTTCTATATTTTCTTTATGGATGGTGTCTAAAGAACAGAAGGAAAAATAAAAGGTAAAGTTCTGACAGGAAGAACGATAAAAGAAATTGTTTTTGCGGAAGTAGCTGTGGATCTCAAAGGAAGACGAAAAGAGAGAAGAAGGGAGAGAACTCAGAGAACAAGAACCAGAAACATGAAGTGGTGTACTTCAAGTTGAAGGCTTTTTTGGAGAGAAACAATATGGGACGAAAAATTGCTTGTATTATTTTATTTATTAAACATTTTTTAATTCATGAAGTATTTTTTAATTTGATAAAGGCTATTAAAGTGGGGTTGAAAGGCAGGCATCATGATTTTCAGTAAATGACATCTTTGCCACTGGACATTGTCAAATTTACGAAAATAAGGAAGTGTTCTGTTATTTGGGAATGCATGTACATAAATTCAGAATTTTATTATTTTAATATTACAACGCATCAATTTTTATTTTCACCCGTTAAATATTTTAATTTATAAAATTATTTATTAAATATTTTAATTTTTAAAATTATTTTATTAAATAATCTAATTTATAAAATTAGATCAATTAAATACTTATTAAAAAAAGTTAAATTTTATAGAAATTATAATTTTAAAAATTACGTTAACTATATATCAAATTAATATTTTATATAAAAGCTGAAAATTTTAAAACTTATTGATATTAGTGTTGAAAAGGTTATAATATTATCGAAATTTACAAATTTAAGCGTATTATAAATCATTTGTAAAATTCAGAGCGCAACAAAATTAAAATTGAAAATCTATAGATTAATTTATTTATTTAGCTGCCATGTTTGGGAAGACGAAGTATTGAAAAAATAAGAGAGAGAAAATAGTTGAGAAGTCACTTACCGAATGTCAGTGTGGAGAAATTATTTAATTAAAATAAATTGAATATTAAAAATCATAATATCCAATAAAAAAAGAGATAGATGTTGAGATTAATTATCCAATGAAAACTCCATATTATCCATTGAAATTGACTGAAAAAAAGGAATAAGTAAATCAACCACAGTGGATGTGCTCAGGATAAGAGACACTCACAGATCACAATTGGATGGAATGCTATCATTTGCATGTGCATCACATGGCTTTTGGAATCTTGGATTGAAATTATAAACCAAACCTTTATCCATGTCATAGCCCAATGATTGTCAACACGTTTCGCTTTGCAGGACATTATGGTAATTCAACAATCATATTCATTATAGCTTGATTATCCAATTAGCATTTCTTTTTTTTTTTTTTTTTTAATTTTATGATGGATGCTATCATCCTTGGCATGTTGCATCATCAGTGGCTGTTTGGAATCTCTAGGATTGAAAATTACTAAACCCCAGACAGCTTTAATCCATTGTCATAGCCAAGATTGTCCAACACGTTTCGCTTTGCAGGACATTATGGGTAATTGTCAACAGATCATAATTGCCATTATAGCTTGATTACTCAATTTAGCATTTCTTTTTTTTTTTTTTTTTTTATTTTATATAACGGAGGGAGCTAAGTCTCGAATAGACAGCGTAATCTACAAAGCCTGAGGCCTACTGAAATCCCCTCTTCCTATTATACATCAGTCACTTCGTGGCGAATTTTTTTTTTTTTTTTTTTTTAATTTTATATAACGGAGGGAGCTAAGCTCCAAAGACAGCGTATCTACAAAGCCTGAGGTATGAAATCCCCCTTCTATTATACATCAGTCATTCGTGGCGAATTTAAAATAAAAGACGAATTTAAAATAAAAGAAATTAGGGTCAATTAGGTAGTGATCTGTTTAGTCTTTTTATTTATGTGAAGAGTGGAATGTCTCGAGTTTGAATTTTCTCGACCATAATTATTTTCACCAGTTTGATGAATTAAGGAAAGGTATGCCTTTGTTGTATAATGGTATAAATAGAGTTTTTTTTAAGAAAAAAAAGTTTAATTTTAATCTTGGAATTAAATTAAAATATTTATATGCATACAAAAAATTTTTGAAAAGAAATATCCAAATGGTGGTATTTAAAACAAAAATTTGTCAAAAAGAAAAATAGACATGGACACTGATGCTCTCTATTTTTAGAGAGTCTATTAAACAACGTGATTCAACTTTTTGTTCTTTTTTTCTATTTGTTTTTTTTTTTAATTTTCTTTTATGCATTCTCCTTTATTTGCGCTCAAACTTTTTCTTCTACTTAAATTAATTTCTTCTTCGTGTATCGGAGAATCATTTCTAAAATCTAGTATTTACAAATTCACGTTCATTCACATCATTATTTTTTTATACCATATGGATTCAGTCACTTACAATCCATAGTTGCATTGGATATGCTCTAATGCTTGTTGTTGTTTAGCGGATGAGCTTATGTAATCATTTTTTTTAATATGGTTAAATTTATCAAACGATTAGTTAATTTATCTTTTACTTTATTATTAAAAATTTATAATTAATTATATAATGTCAATGTGAATAATTTAGTTTTAAAAATCAGAATTGGTAGTTCCTATTTCCTCCCACGAATTTGGAAGTTGAGAAATGAGGTGCCAAATGGCGTAGTGGTAGAAACAAAAAGTAGTAGGGGCAAAGAAAGACACACCACCAGCCTAATAATATAATTAATATTAATAAATGAAGAAATTGTTAATAAACAGGAAAATAAATTAAGATGGTCCGAATCCACGCGCTTTCTCCGTGATGCAAGCGACTGATTGACATTTGTAGAAGGGACCCACACAACTAGCAGGCCGTGTTTGTGGAATCGGTGGCCGAACGTAATGCCCACTTGCTTTGGAAGCGCTTGGGTGTCCAGACATTTTGTGGTGCGCGTGGCCACTGTGTGAGTGGTTCCACTTGGCTGTTGGTCAATTGGTCATTCAAATTTGTAGACATGGAAAATGGTTCATAATAGTAAGCAAAATCTAATTGTCAAGATAGTTGTCTCACCACAATTGCTGTTTACCAATGTGGCGAGTCGAACCATGGATTGTCCCCTATTATATAACCCCCTAGCAATATTTTAACCTATCGAGCCTCTAATAAATTAAAAAGAAAAAATCTCTTCTACCTTCTAATTAAAATTAAGTTGGAAACGAACTTGTAATTTATAAATATTAAGCCAATCATGTATGATTCGGTTGAAGTAGTAGGTCTTATGTATGCATCAATATCAAGTTACGCATCCATACAAGGCTGTTATTAAACACAACAATGCGTATTATTATTCGAGGTTTAACATGCCTCATCACACTTTTCAACCACCCAAGATAAGCAAAGCCAAGAAGTTCTACATAATATGGCATAATCTTTGTCATCTCACCAATTGTTCACTTAACATGCTTGGTGAACCAGTCCAGCAAGTTTCCATGGGCTTCCTCAGCGGCTTTCACCGCATTTGCATCTTCTACATTATACCTCACTGTCCATCCATGAGCAACCTTGGGAAATATCTTCACATGGCAATCAACCTGTAAACAAGCAAAAGATCTTTTAATTGCCAAATTGAAAGACAAGTCTTTAGAGATGATGCAGTGAATGTTTCATTCAGTGTTTTAATACATTGTAGCAATGACCAAACGAAAATGAATAGAAAACTAGATAAAAATGTCACATGCTATTTGGCCTGGAGAAAGATAGAGAAAAAAAGAATGCTGATTTGCTTTGAGATTGATACCCATTTTGTACAGAGCAGATTTCATGAAGACTAGCCCAGGTATTTGGTATAAAGTTGCAGCAGAGTGAAAAAAAAAAAAAAAAAGAATTGATACCGAGGCATGATTGTAGCAGAGCAGATTTCCATGAAAGACTAGCCCAGGTATTTGGTATTCAAAAGTTGCAGCATAGTGAAAAAAAAAAAAAAAAAAGATAACTAATTTAGGTTTCTGCTGGTAAAATTAACTATAATTATTAATGAAATGAAATTCAATCGTAGTGAAAAAAAAAAAAAAAAAGATTAACTATTTAGTTCTGCTGGTAAATAACTATATTAAGAAATGAATTCAATGTGTCATAGCTAATCCCCTACCACAGTTGAGAGGCAAAAGCATACTTGATGAGCACACATATAGTCATGAAAAGATTGATGATGTGTCTTTAATAGTTTATTCTTTCAAACTAAAAGAAGATTTTTCAAGAATCAAAAGTAGATTTTGACCACAAACTAAAAAAGATACAACTAATACTTATAAAAGAGGCATAAAATTTCTCTACCTCAGGTTTAGCAGTTAGGACCTCTTCAAACTGTTTCACAAGTGCTGGAGGGGAAAGGTGGTCGATCTCGGCTCCTAGTATTGCAATAGGGACCTCAACCCCTGCAAGTGATTCAATATTTAATTGATTAATTGAATTATAAACTAATCATTGTGCTTATTAGAGTAATCTCCTGCTCCACTTCTCTTAATCTCAGATCTTAACATCACAGAGTGGCAAAAACAGAGCAAAATGCCATTTTCCCGCTCTAATTTCTTTCAAAAATTGAAGATCCGTAAAATACAAGTGGCATAGCCTGAACAAATGCAAATTAACATCACTGCCATCTAGTTCTGGCCTTTATCCAGAAAAAAATGAATGATAACAAGAATAGCAACAAAGCAAATTGTAATAACAAACAATCCTTCAACAAAGGTTTAAGCCAGCCAGGATTTCACATACATAAGCTCAAAATCATTCTTTCCAGGTTCTTAAAAGAAGCTGTTAAAAGTATTCCAGGTTCTTAAAAGAAGCTGTTAAAAGTACAAACCAAAAAAATAAAGAACCAGAAAACAGCCACAGAATAACTAGGAAGAAATCATACCCTTGATATCATCCACAGTTATAAACGAAGGATGCAGCAACACAGCAGCTTGGATAAACTCACGTTTTGCTAGTTGAACCACCACCTTGGCTGAGAAGGAACCAAAAGATATCATGCTCAAAGAATATAAATTTAATTTGCATCTGGTTGAAGGTGTAATTTAACACATAAAGTTGTCTAGATATGGGGAAAACTGAACAGTACTGAGCAATTAAAACCATGTATAGCTGAGGTAAAACGTATAACCTACCACCCCAACAGAAACCGGCAGCTCCAATTGCTGTTACACCTTTACTCTTTAGAGCCTGAACCACAGGTTTTGCATCTTCAAATCCCTTATCCTGAAATATTGAAAAGTTAGCGCTTGCATAACTATGCTCCATAATGATATAGATCATTACAAGATTTAGTGGCCATTAGTTTTTAATGTCGTATCAAGAGGTTAAGATTTACTATATAGACAGGCATAATGAGCAAGCAGAGAAGGGAAAAGCCAGAACATCTTTATTAAGGGCCCATATAATTCATTAATGGGTTCACAGTATAAACAGTGTGGTGAACTTGAGAGCAGAAAGTAGCCAACAAGAGTGATATAGCAGAAGACCAAAATTTACCGCTTCATGATCCTTCAACCAAACTTGTATGGGTCTCTCAGCATTGTCAGGGGAGTATGGGTCTCCATAGAAGAAGTCAGGAACTACAACATAGAATCCAGCAGCCGCAATCTTGTCAGCAAGCTTCCTTCACGGTAGCAAGTAGAAGGCATCAGCTCTCAAATGCTGTCATTAATATGAAAATGGAAAACTACATAGCATTTGCATGTTAAACAAAAGATAATCTCTTTTGAGCTCTCCGATTCCAAATTGTTTGCTTCAAAGATAAAATACGCTCTTCCAGACTAACTATGATTTTTGATAACAAGAGTGCAAACAAACAAGAAAGGGAGAGTGAGTCATACCTCAAGTTTGGAGCTTCATATCCTGCACGATCAACCAGACATGTAAGATTATCACATGATAATCAAAAAAAAAAAAAAAAAAAAAAAAACCTATGATTGTTTGATAACCAAGAGTGGCAAACAAACAAGAAAGGGAAGTGAGTCCATAGCCTCAAGTTTGGAGCTTCATATCCTGCACGATCAAGCCAGACATGTAAGATTATCAACATGATAATCAACAAAAAAAAAAAAAAGAAAAAAAAAAAAAAAAAAAAAAAAATGCCAAAAACCAACCCAAGAAGAAGAAATAAAAAATTAATGCAAAACATAAGGAGAGAGACCAGTTAAGAGAATCAACTGGCAATTAACAAAAAAAATAATCTCAAACGATAAAGAGAAAACGAAATTTCATCACAAAAATAACTTGCAAAATAGAACAAGTAGGAACATCCATCAGGGTGATTGATACTGCCGACCGATCAAAACCCAATACAAAATAATCCAAATAGAATCGCCGAGAAGTAATAGAAAACATTCAGAAAAGCGAACAATTACGACAACCAAAACACCGATGGTGGTGAAACAGAAACATAAAGAAATGATATTTACCATAAATATCAGAAATAAGAAGAATGGCAAGCTTGGAGTCAGGAGAGCCAGTGACATAGGAATTGAAGCCACCCACTTTCTCGACATGGCCAGCTCCGCTCGCTGGGTTTAATGTTGGTGGGTTTGCACAGCACTGAGGTCCAGACATTATCTTTCTCTTTTCCGTTACCTTTACTTCCTTTTCTTTTCTCCAAGCAACCGAAAAAAGAAATTGCACAGGAGTGGTATGTAAATTGGACGCGACGACAGTTATCTAAATTCCAAATACGTATGCGGGACCCTGCATTTAATTTCGGGATTTTTTACTTAATTTTGTATACATCATCTCTTACGTCGTTATTTTGTTTTTACCTTATATACCAGATAAATTAATAAATTACACAATTATTTACTGCCATTAATATTAGTGTTTTATATTAATCATGCATTAAATTAATAGATTTTTATCAAAATAAAATAAAAATTTTAAAATTATTATTGTTAATATAAAAAACGTCGAACTTTCCTAACATAAAAAAGCTCTTGTAGAAGTGTAATGACATTAAATTTTTTGAAAAAATTGTATAAATGAATTTATGCATTTCCTGTATAGCCAACAATTTCAGTTTAGATTCTTTTATAAGACCTATCAATGAATAAAAATTTTTTAAGTTAAATATATAATATTCGAACCATGGTAATCGGTGTATATTGAAAAATTATATTCCTTCCGTCCCAAATTTATAATTCCACAGTAATTATTTAAATTAGTTAACTATAATTTTTTTCTTATTTTTCTATTTATAACCCTAAAGACCTAAATGTTGTATATTAAAAATTCCTTGAAACTTTTATTCATCCTATTGAAAAAAAAGAAAAAACACTAATGGAAAAGCCGAAACATAATACGAGGTGGTCAAATCAAACGTCAGCTTTATAGCGGTTGGTTGTTATTTTCCTTCCCTTTAATGAAATTATGCCACATGGATAGAAAGATTCACATTTGAACCTTCAGTTTTCCAAAAAAAAAAAAAAAAAAAAAAAACACCCATCTTATTTAAGTTTAAGAATGAACCATGACAAAAATACAGTACTTTGCAACCATTCAAGGCAAGAATTTTCAGTTCCAAGCTCAAGAATCTGGAAACTATTTTCTCGTACAAGCATAAATTATTCACTTAACATGCTTGGTGAACCAGTCCAACGTATCTCCATGGGCTTCCTCTGCATTCTTCACAGCAGTCTCGTCTCGTTCATCGTACCTTACTGTCCACCCATGCTCCACCTTGGGAAATATCTTCACATGGCAATCAATCTGTAAACAACCAAATAATTAGCAACCATGCACTTATTATGATGTATGTTTAGTACTCATCCATTCAAAGATGAGAAGATTTTTGAGAGAAGAACAGGAAATCTACCAACTATTAACTGATCTAACAACTATAACAGCATAAACTAACCTACCTCAGGTTTTGCAGTTAGGACCTCCTCAAATTGTTTCACAAGTGCTGGTGGAGAAATATGGTCAATCTCGGCTCCTAGTACTGCTATAGGGACCTCAACCGCTGTAAGCAATTCAATATATTATCATATGATAATCTGTTTAAACATAATCTTGTGCAAATCACTTTGGGTTTTGAAAATAAAATGCCAATTAAACATAATCTGGCACCCAGTTCTGCAAAATAATGGCTTTAATCCACAAGCTTATATATTAACAAGCAACAATCCAATTACAATGATAAACAATCCTTCAAATATGGCATAAGCTTGTTGGAATTTTTACACACATGAGCTCAATGCAAAATTTTTTTAGTTACTTCAAAAGTAGCTGTTAAAAATACAAAAAAAAAAAAAAAAAGAAAAAAAAAGAAAACTAGTATAAGATATCATACCCTTGATATCGTCCACAGTGACTAAAGAAGGATGCAACAACACAGCAGCTTGGATAAACTCACTTTTTGCCAGTTGAACCACCACCTTGGCTGAGAAGAAATCAGAAGACATTCCAGGAATAAGTTGCAAAATGAATAAAACCAAAAAATTATAAATTTAATTTGCATCTAGTTTAAGACATAATTTAGCATGTTAAACGTGTAACCTACCACCCCAACAGAAGCCTGCAGCTCCAATTGCAGATACTCCTTTACTCTTGATAGCCTGAACCACAGGTTTTGCATCTTCAAATCCCTTATCCTGAAGCAAAAATGATAAAGTTCAGATATTGAAAAGTTAGCTCTGGCATAATTAAACCTTGTAATGATATGGATCATTACAAAATTAGGGCATTAGTTTTTAGTACTGTAGAAAAGGTTGATACAGCCAGACATAAGCGGAAAAAGAACAAGCCAGGCAGCAATTTCATGCAATTTGACACAATCTTTGAATGTAAGGCCCCGTCTAGTTTGGTTCCAAAATGAAAACAAGGCAGTGAAATCAAGTGCACAAAAAGAGTGATATTAGAAGTCCAAAATTTACCAGTCCATGATCCTTGAACCAAACTTGAATGTGTCTCTCAGCATTGTCAGGGGAATAGGGCTCTCCATAGAAGAAGTCAGGAACTACAACATAGAATCCCGCAGCTGCAATCATGTCTGCAAGCTTCCTTCATGATATATACTAGCTGGCATCAGCCCTCTAATGCTATGATTAATATTTAAATTGAAAATCACATAGATATATACATATTAAACAATAGATAATTCTTTCTTTTTCAGCTTCATAGAAGAAAATGGAAATATTAAGTTATATAAAAGAAGGACAATAATTTGGGAAGGTAGCCTTTGTCCCATTTCGGATCCCGATGAAGAACATAGAACCATAATTCTATTTATTTTTTCACTTTATGAATTTAGCTTTTTTTTTCCTTTCAAATGAGTTGAATAGCTGCAATTTTGCAGACTGTAATACTGTAGAAGTGTCAAAGCTGATTCCAAATTGTTTGCTGAAGATAAAAACACCTTGTCCAGGATTAATAAACCTTATAATTACTTTTTCTAGGACATATAAAGATATGAAATCAAAGAGGGGAAGTCAAAAGGAGAGTTAGCCATACCTCAAGATTGGAGCTTCATATCCTACAAGATCAACCACAAAATGCGCGTATCACTGGCATGTTTTAGTTGTTAATAGCATATTTTCGGCCCTTTTTGAATCTAACTTTTTTTTTTTTTAATTAATTTTTATAGGTCCAAAAATATTTTGGAAATTTTCATACCATACCAATCATTTTACAAGATTCTATCTTCTGGTGAACCTATATCAACAACAACAACGACAACCATGGTGATGACGAAGCAAGAATCAAGATAAAGAAACTACATTTACCATAAATATCAGAGACAAGTAGAATGGCAAGCTTGGAGTCAGAAGGGCCAGTGAGATAGGAGTTAAAGCCTCCCACTTGCTCGACACGACCAGCTCCGCTTTCTGGGTTTAGTGTTGGTGGGTTTGCACAACACTGAGGTCCTGACATCTTTTTTTTCTTTTTCTTTCAACTCAAAACTAATACTCAGTGGGATCCGAAAGAGAAAAAGATGGTAATGATATTTCAACTGCTTGTGGAGATCTTCCAATTTAATATTTGGCATCATCTTTTGCGTTATCTTTGACTGTTTACCGAAACCGATATCATAATTGCTTTTATACTGTATAAATAATTGCATAGAGATTCCTCATCGTGTTGAGCATGTTCATAATGGTATTTTAAAATGCATTAATACATGAACAAAATAATTAATTTCTTTTTAAAGATTAATCATTTAATATTATATGTCATGTTAAAGCCTCACTTTCACTCAAAGTATTCTAAGAATATTCCTTCCATCATTCAAGAATACCCAATGAATAAGTGGGGAAGTTCTAGATTAGATATAGCAGTTTCCGCCGTATGAACATAGTATTTATTTCTACATTAAATTGCCCAAAAAATAAAAAGAAATTGAAAATACTAATCATACGAAATTGCAAAATTGATTGATGTTGTGATCCACTAATACAATTTTAAATTTTTTATCAAAATTTCAGATTAAACTCGAGTTTTAGGCTCTGCATAGAACAAAATGCCCTCTCACTTGACATGGGTGGTGAACCAATTCAACAGGTCTGAATGAGCTTCTTCAGCAATCTTCACAGCAGAATCATCCTCATCACTGTACCTCAGTGTCCATCCATGAGCAACACCTGGGAATATCTTTACATAGCTCTCAATCTGCAAGCCCAATATTGAAAACAGTAAGCGAAAGATATAAAACGATAAAAAAAAATGTCTTGTCAATAACTATTTTGCCTTACTTCAGATTTTACTGCTAACAACTCTCCTAGTTGTTTCAATTGTTCTGGTGGACAAATCTTATCCTTCTCAGCTCCCAATATAGCAGTTGGAACCTTAACAGCTGAATCAATGTCCAATCAGTAATCTGTATGTAGTAAAAGATTGAAGGTGTGTGACCAACTTACCATTGATCTCATCAGCTGTAATCAAACCAGGATGTAATATAACTGCAGCCTGAATATCATTGCAGCTTGCCAATTTTACCACAACCATTCCTTATACAAAATGCAAGAAAAGCCAAATCTTAATTAGTAGCTGAGAAAGAACTTCGGTGAAAAAATCTTTCATTAATCACCTCCTAACAGTGGCGAGAAAGAACTCAAATAACTTACCACCCCAGCAAAAACCTGCAGCCCCTATTGAAGAAATGCCTCTGCTTTTAAGTCCAGCAATCACTGCTTTGGCGTCTTTACAACCTTCAGTCTAAGATGAATTTGCATCGAGGAAGTATTAGTTCACTAGAGGCTCAAGTGCATCTATCAAATGGCATAGAAGCTCTCTATATTCCTACTCATATAATCAAGGAACTCACAGTGTCGTGGTTTTTCAACCAGACATGTCGATCAAACTGAGGATTATTCACATCAGCAGGGTCACCATAGAGAAAATCAGGAACCACTACAAGGAATCCAGCTGCTGCTGCAACTTTGTCTGCAAGCTTCCTTTACAGCAAAAGAAATCCAAATACTAATTTCATGATACTAAAATTATTGTAAAACATATGCACATCTAAAGACTGATAAATTTACCATCTAAAAATATTTGCAATAGACATCTTTCCTTCCATAATTTCTATAAAAAATTATACAAAACATCTGCAATGACTGCTATTAAAAAAGTTCTCTTTTTCAACCTAAGTGCTCTACGGAATAGACAGAGCACCGATGAGTGACAGAAATTCGTTCTAATCTTCACTATTTGAGTATATTCATCCTCAGTGGATTAAGAAGCTCTTCATACTACCTGTTCAACAAACTATAGAGTTCAAAGAATACCTTAAATTTGGTGTTTCATACCCTGCAAAATATTAGATACACAAAATTTAAAAGATTAACATTATAAGTATTCTGCAATATCCAAGAACCTATTGAAATTTTAATTTCATACTATAGCCAAATCTAAGATTGAAGAAAGCAAACTATATGGAAATTAATGCAAGAACAAAGAATTTGTGAAGAAAATAGAAATGAATAATTACCAAATGCATCGCAAACTAGAAGGATGGCGAGCTTGGAATCGGGAGGGCCAGTGACATAAGTCTTGAGACCACCAAGTTCTTGAACTGTGCCTGCCCCATAGTTTGGATTCAGAGTTGGTGGGTTCTCAAAGCAGTGAGAACTTGACATGTTTGACAGATGTGAGTGGAAGTGAGAGTGACTACTGAGAAGAAACCGTAGAGGGAATTGAAATTTATACTAGTAGAGTTTGGGCTTATATAGTAACCACTGAAACAATTCCGAAATTAGAAACGTCATTACATACGTCACAATGGACAAAGATGACAACTAATTAGGAATTAAATGTATTTTTCAGAGACAAAGTTAAAACATATAGTAATAACTTGGAAATTATCAGTTTCAAGGCCCAAGAGCAAGTCTTTTTATTGTCAAATTTGTGAATGTTTCTGTGTCTTTTTCCTTTCTGCGACTGTTTCCGTGCCTTTTTTCCTTTCTGGTATCTGGCCAATCTGAACCTTCCACATATGAAAAATTTGTGTTAGCCATGTGAGAAACTTCATAGTTGTAATTTTTGAAAGACTTGTAATTCATAGTTGTGATGGCCATACGCAAAACAGAGACATTCTTGAAAAACCCCAACCTGTAACATAATCACGATTATTTTTCTTTGCTAAATTAAAGCAATTAGTATGCTTTCCAAATGTGAATAATGGAAAGCTCCATTTAAAACTCACAAGTTCCTTGTTGTTACTAAAACAGATACTTATATGATTAAAATTGGGGATTCTTCTCCATGAAGTGAATTTTCTAAAAAGAACGTTTGATTCAGCTATCTGCTTGCACTTTTAGTCAACCTGTAATCATGGGCAAAAGAACCAGAACTGCAGCCCTAACAATGGCCCAATATATAACAAACAATAAACAAACAAATAGCGGTTTTTAAGTTTTGATTCGGTTTCTAAAACGACGTTGTTTAACAGTCCTCAACTTCTCACCAGGAAGGCCCATGCATGAAACGAACAAACCAACAAAACGGTAAGAATCACACAAAATGTTTCTTTTGTGATTCATTCGCTTTCAACAATCGCAACCAAATTTGTCGGTGTCTCTTTGGTGGAGGGTTTTTGTAGGGTTTCTCTTTCTCTTCCTCCTAAGTTACAACTTTACAATATATATATACCATAACAACATACTCGCAGAGAAAGGATAACGAAATGGGTTCTCTAAGAAATGGAACAGAGACACGAACTAGCAGAAATGACGAAGAAGAAGAGGAGCCAATACTAAAGGAACAGAACCAGAGATTTTGTATGTTTCCCATCAGATATAAGCCACTTTGGGAGATGTACAAGAAGGCTGAGGCCAGTTTTTGGACTGGTAAGCTTTTTCTTCATTTCGGTACCGGTCTCTGTTTCAGTTATTTGTTTTTTTAGCTGTTGTTATTGGTTTTATTGTGTGTATTTATTATATAATTTGTTTTTAATTTAGGTTTTTGGGTTTGTTTGAGTGTATTTACTTCCAATTGGGTATGCTTCAATTTCTTATATTTATAATTCGGTTTGTCAACGAAAAGAGGAGATTTTGTTTGAAAAGGTTACTTCTGTTTGATGATGCTATGAGATTCTTGCCCCTTCTCGGTTTCTGAAATTGTAACATTTTACTGTCAATTTCAAAATTGCCCTCTTCTATCAGCATTTTGTTGCATTATTTTGAACATTTTTATGATAATCTATTTCTATTACTTAGTTGAGTCTGAAGGAGTGGGTGAGATTAAAATCCTTAGTTGATGATTTCAAGCCACTGCCTTCGTATAGGAAGTAAAGTAATTCGCTTTGCTTCATTTTCCAAATTCAGTAGCACAGGGAAGTGATTCTGTGGCTTTTTCTTAATGGAACAGTTCAAAACAAGTGCTTAATGGAACATTTAATTCCTAAATGTTTTCACTAACCTAATTTTGAAGAAGATAAAGATGGTTTTTTGTGTTATTGTTATCAGCTCTCATGGAGATTGAATTTATTCATTTGTGTCTGCTGAAATGATGAGGTTGTTTGCTCTGGTGAAGGAACGGTTGACGTTGTGGTGATACTGATTGTTGCTTTAATGGGCATAGAATTTATAGTTTCTGAAATCTGTGGCCAAAATGATAACAATCTCACTAGCGTATTTGTCAGCAAGATATGTGGTTTGTGTATTCATAGTGATGGATTTGTTGGTTTGTTGTTGGCAATGATGGTAGACTACTGGTACTGCATCAGTGATTAGATGATTATAGTATAAGAAAGTCCTTTCTTTTCTTTTTCCTTCATTTCTTTTCCTGATATTATATTTCTGATTCACCATTTTTGGCTGCGAAGTATTGGTGATTGTCTCTTTTTCTTTCTCTAATTATTTTTACAATCCATAATATATATATCTTGAAAAGGGGAGTTCTATTTTCTAATTTCATAGTTGGAAATTAATTAGGAGAACTTTTGTAATCTTTATTGAATTATTGCTAACGAAGTCTTTCCTTTTTTTGGTGTGTGTGTTGATTTTTATCAGTTTACCTTTCTCTTTATTTTGTATGAATAACTTTTTTGTTCATTTACAGCTGAGGAGGTTGATCTCTCTCAGGATGTGCAGCAATGGGACACTCTATCTGATTCAGAAAAACACTTTATCAGCCATGTACTGGCATTTTTTGCTGCATCTGATGGGATTGTTTTGGAGAACCTAGCAGCAAGATTTCTAAAGGATGTTCAAATTCCAGAGGTAAAATGACTCGCTGTGCTCTCAATGTTTCATTGTAAACTGTTAAGGATATGCTCATGGTCAATACTTTCAGCTGTATCTCATTTTACTCTGTCTGTTCATTATTTGCCAAGTAGAAGAACCCAATAGACAACGCTGCTTCTGACTATTTGTATATATTATATGGTTATTTAAGATGATTTTTTGAGTACAAGTTTATTGAGGATAAATCCTTTTGTGCGAGAAGATTAAAATATTGTACCAGTTGATAATCTAAAAAGCAAGCCTTTTTATTTCATGTAGGCACGGGCATTCTATGGATTCCAAATTGCTATGGAGAATATTCATTCTGGTATAGCTTTTGTAAGTGATGTTAATGGATTTTGTTGTCATAATTCATTACGGTCTACCTGACTGAAACATTTTCTGCTTTCTGTCATCAGAGATGTACAGCTTGCTTTTGGAGACATATATCAAGGATTCAAGGGAGAAGCATAGGTTATTTAATGCTGTTGAAAATATTCCTTGTGTTGCTAGAAAAGCAAAGTGGGCATTGGACTGGATTAATAGGTATTGTAGTTTACTGCTGAGCTCAGAAAGTCTCAGTCTAAAGCCATTCAAGGCTTCATAGACCCTTCCTTTCTTTTGTAGTATTCTGGGGCAAAAATTTGTGTCAGTTGTGACAGTATCCTGGATTTTTGCCCAATTCTTTGAAAGTAACTGCACATATAGTGCCTGAACTTCATGTTGAGAGCTTTTTCTGTCAATAATCTCTTTTTCTTTTCTGCAGTTCCTCATTGTTTGCAGAAAGGCTTGTTGCTTTTGCTTGTGTTGAAGGTATCTTTTTCTCAGGAAGGTAATCTGCTTCAAATATCAAGACAAAAAGGTCTTCTATGTTTCTTGAAATATTTCGCATATTATTCTTCTGCATGAAGATGTTTATATTGAATATATGATTACTTATTTTCATTTTCAAAGTTATTGTTCTCAGCTTCTGTGCCATTTTCTGGCTTAAAAAGAGGGGCTTGATGCCTGGTTTAACATTCTCAAATGAGCTAATTTCCAGAGATGAAGGCCTGCATTGTGACTTTGCATGCCTTCTGTATAGGTGAGATTTTTTCTTGTCTTTTAAATTTTTTTTTTTTTTTTTTTTTTTTTTTTTTTGCCTTCTGTATAGGTGAGATTTTTTTCTTGTCTTTTTAAATTTTTTTTTTTTTTTTTTTTTTTTTACTTTTTCACTTTTTGGTTTCTTAGCGTAGAATCAGAAATATAGTCTGCCAGTACTTTGGTTTCCTCATAATTAATAGCAAATAAAGATTTATGTATCACAATATCTACAGTTGTTGCGGAAGCAACTTGAGTTGCAAAAAATTCAGCAAATTAGTAGAATGAAGCAGTGGAAAAGTTGAAAACTGAAGTTCGCGTGTGATGCCCTCCCATTGTGCATTAAATTGGCCATGATAATGCAAAAATCTAAATGAGCCAGTACATAAAGTTTGTTGCTGAATCGTCTGTTTGGTATAGTATCATTATTTATAGTGCTGTGTTATTATTTTGTATTCAATGTGGAGTTAATAGGAAAGGAAATGAAGAAGTTTATTTCTTTTCCTCTTATTTACAGGTACCTTAGGGTTATCAAGAGGAAGTACAATGTGGAAAATCCTTGTTGAATTGGATGGGAAATTTATATTTGCAGTGATATTTATGAATAATCTGTCCTTAAAGTTGCAAAGGTTTGTTAACATGGGCATTCAATTGTTTTTGTCTTGACTTTGGTGCAATGATTAAGCGCTTTTGCAAGGTGGATGTCTAATTCCAGCTTAATCAAATAAATGACTCATATTGGTGCTCTCAAATCGATCTTAATTCTAAACCTTTCATTTGTAGACTACAAAATATCTATATATGATGCAATCAGATAAATACACCTTTCCCTTGATCTCCCAGCTTCTAATACTGTAGGCTCTCCTTGAGGATTCATGTAAAATCATGGTTCCAAACTTTTTCTATTCAGAAAATTAATGTGTGTGTTCGTTTCTAGTATAACGATCCACAGATATTTTCATCACATGAGATGTTAAACTGAGAAAATTTGTGGGGTTTGGCCTTAATAGGAGGAGATAAGGTAGTGATGGCCCAAATAGCAATTAACTGTTTAAGGCACTTATACATTTGTTAGGACATTGGAAAAATAGAAACCAAGTTTTGACTTTTAGAAAATTGACTTATGAGCCAGATGCCATTTTAAATTTTACAGCACATTAACCTTCCACTTAGGGTTATTACAATTTTAAGTATAATTAACGTCTCTTTATTTGGTTTCCAATTTACTTTTTCTCTAAGCTCGTTTGTACTGAGTGCGAGAAGGGAAAATGCAAACTTTTTGTTGAGAGAAGGGTAGAGATTAATCAAAAGGCATCCGTTATGTAACCTTGATGGTGGAAAAAACTATGATTTTAAGATTGATGAAGACTTTCTAGTCCAGTATGAACCAACTTCCTAGAACTACAACTAATATATGTCTCTCTCAAGTAGACAACAAACAGTTGTGTTACTATTTAATTATTATAAACAATATTTTGTCTATAGTCTACAAACTTACGCAAGCTATCAAAAAGGTATTATTTTTATGTTTGGTCCGGGCATTGAAAATGTCATATTGTAACAATCATTTTTGCCTGGCTGCTATTTCTTAGTCTGTCAATTGGTAGTAAGTGGCTCATTATCGGGTGCAGGCATTATATAATGGATAGCCGAAATATTTATATTCTCCAAGGTGGAATGCCATGCCAATCATTTTGTTTGATAGAATGTATCCAATTCCTTGCTAAATTGCTGTTCAATAATTTATCTAGATACGAAGGCTTCTTTGGTCAGTGGTGAATGCTTTAATTCTTCGGGCATTTTCTATGCAGTTCAAAGGTTTGGGATACAGAAAAGTTCTGTGTTGACTAGAAATTCTAATGTGTCTTGCGAACCAAGTTCATGCAGGAAATACTGCCTTCATTTGCTTATGAAAATTGAAGCGGAGTCTGAATATACAATGATGATGTGAAACGAATATTAGTGCTCTCTTTAATTTCTTGGCCTATTATGAGTTTTTTTCATCAATCATCTTCTTTTGTCTTCTTGTTGTGCGTTAGTGAATCATCAACTAAATTTTGCTTATTTCATGAGAATATTTTGTAGTCCTCTGGTAGAGTTTATTTTTTATTTTTTAAATGGTGAATGGAATAAAGAAAGGTAAATCAAAACATCCCATTATTAAGGCCTGGTTTGGATGGAAAGGACAAACTTATAATGATTATATTATTATTTTTAATCCCTTGTCCTTTTTTAGTCCGGTGGATGGGGAGTTGGTGGTGAATGTAATGTGATTAGAATAATGGTTCCTGTGAAATAATTCCTAAAAGCAGGTGCATATGTATCTGTGATCTGACTAATGTGGGCATTTCCAAAGAATTGGAAAGGCAAAATTATAAAAGAATGGCTTTATAGCAGTGTACTAAACTCGGTCGCGGGAACGTTGATCTCCCGCTTTCTGTAGCGGGTAAATCGGTTCAATCAATGTAACGAATCCAATCCAACGTAACTTTTCTCTTCTTTATGAGATTAAAAAGTAAAAAATCAATAAGGGTTTTGAAAGTTTTGTTCCCTGATTCTCTCCGGTTGACCGGTTTAATTAAATGACCAAATCTGAGTAAATGGTCTGATTTTTCCGCAATTCTTTAAAAATGGTTTCATCATATCCTAGCATTATCAATTTCCAATTATGCTACATTGCCTTGCCAGTCTTGGTCAGTTTGGTGTGACAGGCCAATCTTCTCTTTGCAGAGTTGACGGATATAATAACCTTAAAAAGAAAAAAAAATAAAAAGTTGCTTGGATCTAATCTTCCCTTCAATGTCAAATTATGGAAATAGGAATCAAAATAAGTGCTCTAAAAGTTGAATATTTATTTTATCTATATCGATTAAGTGACCTTCCTTAACCCACTCAACTCACCTCTAATCAAGAGTGTACCCAACTTGGATCCTCAGCTGATGTGTAGTGTTTTACAGGTGATTAATTCACTTCACCACACAGTATTCATTTTCCTATAATTTTTATGCATCAGTCTTCAATGCACTTAATTGCTTACAATGCTTATTAGTTAGGCGTTTAAATCAAGATACCCTTTTGTGGCCAATCAAGAAGTATTTTTTTAGTGGGACATATAAAGAAAAATTTATTATAGTTATCTAATCTTAAAGTTCAAACCTATCATTTTAATTCATTCGTAACATATTTTTTTTGCATGGTTCCAAATTCAGTATTTTTCTCAAATTATATATAACCACTTGAAGTAAAATAAGGTTCATATTTTTGCAATTAGTTTCTAACTGAAAATTGGTATTCTTTACCTGTGAGATGAGGAGAGTAATTAGTCAATTAGATCATAAACTAGACATAATGAATGTGAAAGTCTTTTAAGCGTTTTGACTTTGTTCTTTCTTCTTATAAATAGACTATTTATGGAACTATAAATCTTATTGAAATATAACTAAATCTAGTTAGTCATCCCTCCTTTCAGTCATTTTAAAGAATAATGTAGCCAAATTAAAAAAGTTACTGTGAAGCTGTCTTGGGCATAACATTTGAAAGTGAAAAATATTTGGTAGGGGGTTGATCCATTTAAGTTGTTGAAAAGTAAGATGATGGTGTCCCTTTTCAAAGTGACCAGAACCCTAACTGATTAACCCAGCTCTAGTGCTTACCTAACCATGGGGTTTTTTTTTTTTCTCTCTTTAAAAAAAAAAAAAAAAAAAAGAGAGAGAGAGAATCTAAAAATGTTAAAGAAATTAAGGAATAAAGCACAGTAGACTCCAGTTTTGGTCGCAAAATTAGAAAAATCGTGGACAAAACAAAGAGTTAAGAGAAGACGATTCTTTCCATTTCCAATTACCTAAGCATCATAGCCAAGCCAATCCCTTGTGGATGAGATTTTATCAATCCTGTCATCACCTCCACCAAACCCTACCCACTATGAGTTTTCTTTTTTTTTTTCCCCGAATCCATCAGAAATTGCAAAAATATTTAAAATATTTTGGCAACAAATTAATTCAATAACAGGGAGGGAAGTATTATGTTCCTCTTCATTAGGTAATAAGTGAAAGGTTTGTTGGATTAAGTGTTAAAGGCAGAGTATTTTGTTTTTTAATTTGAGTTTGGAATTTATCAATTCCTGTAATGTTAATTAGCTCTTTTGATTATCAGTTAACAACATTTTACATGCAATAATTTACCGAGAATTCCACATAAGGGTGAGTTGTGTTGTTGTGGACTGGTTAAATAGGGGAAAAAATAAAGGGGCCAACAAAATTAGTTGATTTGCATTAATAATTAGTTGCTAAGGGCATATTATAGACGAAAAGGATATTATCCACAATACAGTGCACACTTGCATGTTGGTTTGTGCATTCCTATGATCAAGCTAATTTCATTTTAAAATGTAAAATATTTGAAAAAAAATGACTAATTAGTGCCCTAAGTTTAAGGCTCCATTACACATTTAGTTCATTTTCTAAAAAAAATGCCCAATTTTCACTATTAAGATGGAAGGTGATTAGATAGTAATTTCATGATATATAAATAGTAACTATCGTATTAAATGTAAAAGACTAAAAGTTTTAAATATTGCACCATTTTTTCAAAAAGGAGGGGATTAAAATAATCTTCACGGAACTAAAGATTTCAGTAATTAAATTAAGTGATTACAAATGAGTAAGGATGTCGTAAATAGATTTTGACTAAAGATTTGAGGGAACTTAAATGGTTAATTACTCATCTTTTTAAAATATTTATCGCTTTTTATAATTTTGAGTACCACGTTGCATCCGCAACCTTTTACCCCTCAGGCTATGTGTCTGTCGTTTGTTCATATTTTAAGTTAAAAAGGTTTTTGTACCTCATAATTCCACAAAAGCCAGAGTCCATTTAGGACACCAAAGAGGCCAGCTCCACCCCGCTCTGTTTTAGTTTTGAATCCAATCTCAAAATTTCTGTCTCAACTGAAATAAACGCCCGAATTTCGGCCAGTAATGCCGGTTCCATGGCAAAGCATGTGTGGACTATGTTATAGGATACAAAGTTGGCCCAAGGAAAGGGCCACTGATCCTCCTGCTCTGGCTTACAGATAGCCCAAGATTTAAGCTCGAGCCATGGAGTCTCTGTTGGCCCTCTCTACTGAGCTAGCAGATGTGTTGTGTCTTTACGATTTGTTGGGATAATTAATGTTGCCCAATTCTCTGGAGAGTTTCCTAGAAAAGGCCTTTGGTGATCAAGGTGGTGCCTCCTTTGATGGTTCTTGCTCTGGCTTGTCTGAATAGGGTTTTAGTTTTCTTGCACCTTTGCGATTTTTCAGCATATTGCTTTTGATTGGGTTTCCA